AACGGTAAGCGTCGCATGGTTCTCATTGCTACCATGGAGTATGATATCGAGGACTGGGGCATCAAGATTAAGATCGGTGGTCTTGGTGTGATGGCCCAATTGATGGGCAAGACTTTGGGTCACCAGGATCTCATCTGGGTTGTTCCTTGTGTTGGCGGTGTTGACTATCCTGTTGATCAAGAAGCAGAGCCCATGGAGGTTACCATCTTGGGCAGTGCCTTCCAGGTCAAGGTCCAATACCACCGTCTTAACAACATCACTTACGTGCTTCTCGACGCCCCTGTGTTCCGTCAGCAATCGAAGACTGAACCGTACCCTGCTCGCATGGACGACCTCGACAGTGCTGTGTACTATTCGGCATGGAACCAATGTATCGCGGAAGCTATCAAGCGTTTCCCCATTGACCTCTATCACATCAACGATTACCACGGATCCGTCGCTCCTCTCTATCTTCTCCCACAGACCATTCCCGCCTGTCTTTCACTCCACAATGCTGAGTTCCAGGGTCTTTGGCCTATGCGTACTCAAAAGGAGAGACGCGAAGTCTGTGAGGTTTTCAACTTGGACGAGGATGTTGCTCGCAAGTATGTGCAATTTGGTGAGGTTTTCAACCTCCTCCACGCCGGTGCTAGCTACCTCCGTGTCAACCAACAAGGCTTCGGTGCCGTTGGTGTCTCGAAGAAGTATGGTAAACGTTCTTATGCTCGTTACCCGATTTTCTGGGGTCTGCGCAAGGTTGGCAATCTGCCTAACCCGGATCCCTCTGATGTTGGCGAGTGGACCAAGCAGCCCATCACAGAGGCAACCGTTGATCCCGAATATGAGGCTGGTCGTGCTGAGCTGAAGCGACAGGCTCAAGAGTGGGCCGGACTCGAGCAGAACCCGGACGCCGACCTTCTGGTCTTTGTCGGTCGTTGGTCTATGCAAAAGGGTGTCGATCTCATCGCGGACGCTATGCCTGCCGTTCTGGAGGCGCGTCCCAACGTGCAACTCATTTGTATCGGTCCTGTGATTGATCTCTACGGTAAATTCGCCGCGCTCAAGCTCAGTCGTTGTATGGAAATCTACCCCGGTCGTGTCTTCTCGAAGCCCGAGTTCACTGCTCTCCCACCATTCATCTTCTCTGGAGCCGAATTCGCCCTTATCCCCTCCCGTGATGAGCCTTTCGGTCTTGTCGCAGTCGAGTTTGGTCGTAAGGGTGCATTGGGTATTGGAGCTCGTGTCGGTGGTTTGGGTCAAATGCCAGGCTGGTGGTACAATGTGGAATCGACCTCCACGTCCCATCTGTTGATGCAATTCAAGCTTGCAATTGATGCTGCACTCAACTCCAAGACCGAAACCCGTGCTATGATGCGTGCCAGATCTGCTAAGCAGCGATTCCCCGTGGCTCAGTGGGTGGAGGACCTTGAGATCCTTCAGTCCACGGCTATTGCCATCCACGAGAAGGAAATCTCCAAGGGTCATGGCCGCCCTCTGACTGCCTCTGGTACCAGCACTCCCAACGGTACATTGCGATCGCTCAACATGGGTATGAACCCCATGAGCCCACTGCCTTCTCCCGGTATCAATGCAGCTTTGCAGCACTCCAGAGACAGTAGTTACTCGAGCTTCAACCAGGTCAGCGATCTCGGCTCTCGCAGAATCTATAGCCGTGATATCAGCCCCTCAGAGACCGAGCAGCCCAAGTCCGGTCTGGGTCGTTCTCTCTCGCTTGGTGTCCGCTCCGGTCCAGGTCATCGCTCTCGTCGTGGCCGCCACGGTCAGACTGAAGGTGGCATCCCCGAGTCCGGCGACAGTAGCGATGCCGTGGACGAAACCGATGATGATGAGGAGCGAGCCCACAGTGTATACGGTGACGACGAGTATACTCTCACTCCTGCTCAGCTCGAGGAGAGCCGACGGATGGAGAGCACTCAAAGAGATGTTGTTTCGTACTCTTCTCCCCTTTCTTCACCTCGCCGCCGCCCCAGTGACGAGTCTTTGCATCCCCGTTTCCTCATGCCTCCAACCAGTCCTGGTATGGCTCCTTCTGCGGATTCCCTCCTTCTGCCTCCTCGTCCTTTGGGGGAGAGCCACCGTTACAGTAATGCATCGGTTCTTTCGCTCGACTCCGTCGTGGGCAGCAAGAAGGATTTCAAGCTGCAAAAGGTTGATCCTTTCTTCACCGACGGAACTGGCGAGTACTACCACAACTTTGAGCAGAAGTTGCAGAGTCTGAATGGGTCCAACTCCGAAGGTCAACTGTGTATTGAAGAGTTCCTGGTCAAGAGTGAACAGGAGTGGTTCGACCGATTCCGTGATGCCAAATTGGGTCGTCACAAGTCTCCCACTCCCTCAATCTTCCGTTCTAAGAACAATGCTTCGCCAGCTGCCGAGTCTTATAACGACGGTCTTTCTCATATCGCTCTGAGTGATGATCATGATTCTGAAGACGATGAGTTCCTGCTGGGTAAGGATTACGTTCCTCCCACCGGACTCAAGAAGTGGATGCAAATCAAGGTCGGAGACTGGCCTGTGTACTCGATCTTCCTCGCTCTCGGTCAAATTATCGCTGCAAACTCATACCAGATCACTCTCCTCACAGGTGAGGTGGGTGAAACTGCCGAGAAGCTCTATGGTATCGCAACCACCTATGCAATCACTTCCGTTTGCTGGTGGATGGTGTACCGTTACTTCAAGTCCGTCGTTTGTCTTTCCACTCCCTGGTTCTTCTACGGTCTCGCCTTCTTGCTGATCGGCTCCGCTCACTGGGTACCGAATTCATTCAACCGTGGATGGCTTCAGAACGTCGGAAGCGGATTCTATGCCGCGGCGTCTTCTAGTGGATCTATCTTCTTTGCCTCTAACTTTGGTGATGAGGGTGGTGCGCCCGTTGAGACCTGGATCTTCCGCGCTTGCGTTATCCAAGGTATCCAACAGGCATATGTCATCGCTCTCTGGTATTGGGGCTCGACACTGAGCAAGGCTTCCAGCGAGGGTCTCTTGACCTCCGACAACACCATCGCCAATACCTGGAAGATGACGTACGTATTCTCTTGACGAGGAAATTTCTGGAATCACTGCTAACATTAATCACAGCGCCATCTGTTATCCGATTGCCTTCTTCCTCTGGGGTGTTGGTCTTCTCCTGGTCTTCGGTTTGCCCAACTACTACCGTCAAAAGCCTGGCAAGGTTCCGTCTTTCTACAAGTCCTTGTTACGCCGAAAGATTGTGCTTTGGAACTTTGTGGCCGTCATCCTGCAGAACTTCTTCCTTAGTGCCCCATACGGTCGCAACTGGAGTTGTAAGTGCCATCCTTTTTACGTCCACGTTCGAAATCCTCTTCAATGCTGATACGTCTCTTCTCCTTTAGTCCTGTGGAACTCCACCCACACCCACTCATGGCAGATCGTCATTCTCTGCATCGTTTTCTTCGGTGCCGTCTGGTGTGTCTTCCTCTTTATCATCAGCCGATTCTCGAAGAAGCACAGTTGGTTTCTTCCTGTATTCGCTTGTGGTCTCGGCGCGCCACGATTCATTCAGATCTGGTGGGCCATCTCCGGCATTGGTTACTATCTTCCCTGGGTTGGTGGTTACACCTCCGGGGCCCTTGCCTCGCGCAGTCTTTGGCTGTGGCTAGGAGTCTTGGATTCAATTCAAGGCCTCGGCTTTGGTGTTATTCTCCTGCAGACCTTGACACGGGTGCACATGTGCTTCGCCCTCATTGCATCTCAAGTACTGGGTTCCATCGCAACTATTTGTGCCAGAGCCTTCGGTCCTAACAGCGTGGGCCCGGGACCAATCTCTCCTGATATGACGAAGGGTGCCCATGCTCTGGCAAATGCCTGGTTCTGGGTTGCCCTGTTCTGTCAACTCCTTATCTGGTAAGCATTCCTCTCCGCATGTACAGCAAATGACAGTATCGCTAACAATTGATCCACAGTGCTGGCTTCCTGCTCTTCTTCCGTAAAGAGCAACTTTCCAAGCCCTAATCCTCTTTCTTCGTTGCTTCCATGCGAATTCTCCTCTGTGATTTTCACTTGAGTGCGAGTTTAGTATATACAACTTATACCCTCTTGTCATGCTTCGCCCTGGTCACGGGTTCTGGAATTAATATGGCGTTTGTCTGGATCGGATTGACCTTGATTCTACGCCATCACATACACACGATTTTCTCACGGCACTTGACGCCTGCAACGCGGAGCCGTTCTCATTCCTTCCCATTTTTCCCATTTTTCCGGCGTTTTTTCATGTGGTAGACTGTCGGTTGGCGGTCTTGTGAAACACTAGATACTTTATACATACGATGTTAATACTGACCTTGTTTCAATATCCTCAATGAGAATCATAGACCTAGACTATCTGAATTTGCTTGAGGTTTTTCGTTGGGGCAAGCCATATTGACAGGAGAGATTGAGTATGTTCATTTGATTATTCCGGCTTGTTTGCCTGCAGCATTAGGCAGCCACAATCTTGTTAGCCACTGCATTGACTGCGCCTCATCGGGCGGGTTGCCTGCACAGCCACGATCCTCTCTACGAATCAACGCCACCGGGCTATCTTTGGTACTTGTATTGACGAGAGGGGGGAAGCTCCTGACGCGCAGGCGTTGCGTTTCACCTGGTTTCAGCCATTTGTACTCGAGGGTCTCTCGCAGACTCGACCGATAGCTTAGCTAATTCGAATCCCTTTTCTTTTCACAGTTGGCTTTTGTCTTCTAACTCTCTCACTTGCACATACTACTCTCACTTCCCAGGCAGCATCATAAATCGCGCCGAGACAACCTTGGCCAAGCCCTGCATCCACCACGCACACGACCCCCCTAGATCATCCCTCTCCCTCGGCGCAATCAAATTACCCGTCTTTAAAGACTCCACTCCCCGGCACCATCGAATCTGACCGACTTCACTACGCCACACCCCTCCCCTCGACAGCCCTACCGGCCCAGCCTTGTCACAACCTCTTGGGCACTCCCTTCGACACTACCTGACACTTCCGCCACAATATCTATCTATACACCATGGCCAGGTCCAAAAGCAAGGGCAGCAACGTCCTTCCCCTGATCCTGCTCGTCCTCTTCGTCGCAGTCCTCGCCGTCGTCGGCTACGTCGTGTACCAAATCGTGCAGGATGTGAGCAAGAACACGCGCGCCAAGATGGAACGCAAGAATATCGCCTTTACCAAGGATGGAATGAAGGTTCGAGTGAAGGAAATTCAAGATGAGCAGTACAAGGACCGGACGCAGAGGTGAGGACCAACAAGCCTACCGTTGTTGTTTTACTTGAGGTCTCGGATCTAACGAGGTTTTTTTTTTGTAGCGTCCTGGTCAACATGTGGAATCAGACCAAGTTCCCAGCTTACAAAAGCCGCCTTTGGGATATGTCAGGAGAAAGCTCGGGAAGCGAGGGTGCTTCGAAGCGCAAGCCGTAAGTGTGGAATCTTTCACTGACGAACTTTCACTACGATGTCTCGGCCGATCTAACATCTCGTTCTCTTTCTTCAGGCACTCCAAGTAATCCTATGTCTCGGTTGCAGCTCCAGCCTCCAAAATTTGATCTGCGACACGACTAGTTCTTGTCAAATTCTCCCACATATCACCTGAGTTGACGCCGGTCTAAGGCGTCTGCCTCGACTATAGCAGCCTACCATTCTTCTTGCCCTTTTTCTTCATTCGCCATGGTTTCTCGATGCACCCATCTTTTCGGGCTTCGTTTCATCTGTCTCCATTATTACTACGCTTGGCACATTGCTCTTTTCCAGATGTACATATGTTTTCATCGGCTTATCATACGTCGGCTTCCTCGTGAATACGCCAGCATGTATGATAATGCCTCTATACCGAGCGATTCCCTGGTGGAAACCCTGGGATTTTTTTTGCGGTGACCCTGTCATTTCAATCTTTACCTCTTTGCTCTCAACGGGAATTATTATTTCAGCCCTATCAAGACCCCTCCGTACCTCTGCATTCTTTTTGGTGTCACTCCCCAAGTGAGGTAATATTATCTATCAAGAACTGCATGAAAATGAAATTTTACTCATGCCACGGGCCATACAATTGCTATATCTCCGCCGCAGTCCTCTCTCTAGATCCAGAGCCCTTTATATTGCCGCGGCGATTTAATTCGATTGTAATTGCGGCGAGACACTGCGTCCGCCAACCACGAAGTGCCAAGGCCGTACGTCCAGATACCGAACCATCCAGCATATAGGAAGAAAGGGATCATAGAAATACCATTGATACCATCCTAATCTTCTAATTCAAGTCCCCCAAAAAGTTATTTCCTTACATCCCAGATGCTACCCAGACCACCACGCGCCCACACCATCGTACCCACAGTCACCCAACCGGGACCGAGCGGTGGACCACGGTCTTCATCTGCGTCATCATGATACTATAGAATCAACCAAACGCGAGCGACGAAGCCGGTTCTGCAAGCTTGAGAGATGTCCTAGCATTAAGTTGATCAATGGAAATAGATCGCCAATTTAATGCTCATCTCAAGCAAAGCCCCCCCGACATACGAGCTAACCGCCCCGATTCATCACCCGATTCGCTACGAACCACAAGGAGTCGAGCCAGAATTGGAGAGGTATACCTGGATAAAGGACATCCATTTCCTGCCAATACTCGCAGCAATTGGGAAATTCTCATCCAATATGTGCGACGTGCCCTTCTTCCCCATTTTCCCCATCTGCTTCCAATGCGGCACAGATCAGAATCCCTGTCATTGTAAGGTCGTTGGACCAACGCTGGGTATGTCCACTCCACAGTCTTCCTCGTTTCCTTCTTATCCTTCTTTCCAAGTTCCAGCTGGATCATGGGTTAAGGAGGGGCCCCAAAAAGAGCGAGTACTGACGGTTTTCCCGGCGAGCAGGATTCTTTTGTACTATCGTTGCAGCTGTACGTGAATCGCACAGGCCTTACCCACGCAGAGCATCACTCGATCGCTTGTCCAGTGAATCATATATCTGGCTGAGCATGCTAATTGGGCTCATTGATAGGTAATTTGTTGGCCGGCATCTATTTTTTGTGGTTGTGGGTGTACGCAAACAGGACGAGAGTATGAAATTTTCCCCATTACCCCGTCTTCGTTCTTCAAGATGAAGGAGAGATCTAACGATGGAACTACTAGTGTGCTGGGTTATCCGGTAAAATTGAACGGGCAAGTCAGTAATGCGATACCCTTCTGACGAGATCGGTGCGGATTGGACATGCTCTCGAAACAAGAGGTTACGGGCTGGCGTTGGTGTTTGGTCGAAATTCAGGGTTTATGGAGCTAGGTGCTATGGATATCTCGAATAATACCATTTACGACAAACTCTCTCGGTACGAGTGGAAAAACTACCAGGAAATGACAATAAAACATAGACAGTATTAGGGTAGAAAGATACATTGCAATCAGAGTGAAACACAAGGGCTTGCTGGAATACAATGCGGAGGCAGGGAGAGGGAGGGAGAGTGCAGTGCAGAAGAGGTATCCAGATCAAAAAGAACAAACAAGAAGCAAGAAGATAAAAAAGAAGCAAATCGTCACAAGGGTTGATGGTCGACTCGTCGAGACGAATTTTCTCGACACAATTTCCCAAATAAAAATCCTCTTCCTAGCTTCCCTTAGGTCGCGATCTAAAAGCAAGCCAGCGGTAAAGGGGATGTATCCGCCCACGAAAAGAGACAGTGGTTCATCGGTAGATGTTGCAAAAGTAGAATGCGATCGTCCTCCATCTACTTCAGCTTCTCCTTAAGCTTACTGAAGAATCCACTCAGACGCTTCTTCTTCTTGTCTTCCTTGGCGTGGAGCTCACCGGCACCCGATGTATTGGCGGATTGCTGAGCTGGCTCGGTGGGCTTACTAGGGGTCGACTTTGCGGCGGTCTCGGAAGTAGCCAGGCCGGTGGTCACGACCGGTGCGGTCTGAGTTTCGGTAGGTGCCGGCGCAGAAGTAGGTGCAGGAGTGACGGGTACGACGCGGCCGGGAGGAGGTGTCGAGGTCGGAGAAACATCAGCGGAGTCGACGGGAGGAACAGCCAAACCAGCAACGGCTGGGGCGACAGCCTGGGTAGCAGCAGTAGTGGTCGGGGCTGGGGCACCTGCAGACTCCTCCAAAGGAACCGTCTTCTGTAGCTCACTCTCCACCGCCTGCTTGTCTACCACGGCCTCCTTGTTGGCAGCCGCCTCGGGGTTCTCGTGGGCCTCGGCAATCGACTCCTTTACGATCTCAGGGACGTCCTTGACGGGCTCGGCAGCCGTAGTAGGAGCCGGAGCACCGGTAGCTTGCTCTATGGCGACCGTCTTTTGCAGCTCATTCTCCATTGCCGCCTTCTCTTTCACGGCTTCCTTGTTGGCAGCGGCCTCGGGGTTCTCGTGAGCCTCGGCAATCGAGTCCTTCACGACCTGGGGAACATCATTGGCAGGCACGGCAGTGCCGTTGGTCTGCTTGTTCTTTTCAAGGGGAACCTCCGCGGCCAGGGCTGCGGTGGTGGAGGTTGGCGCCGCGGACTGAATCGTGTAACCGGGGTCGGCCATGGCAGCCTGTTGGGCAAGGCCACCGGTGCTCGTCTGTGCTTGATCGGCCTGGGCTGCCCGCTGAGCAGGACCACCAATAGGGAGACTGGATTCGGGGATGAGGTTCTTGGTGACGGGGGGCACGGTGAAAGCACTCGAGCCGGCAGTATCACTCTGAGTGCCAGCGCTGCCGAGCGGCACACTGTCGCCCTTTTCATACGATTCCTTGTCGAGCTTCACGGTCGATTCCACGGTGTTGCCATGGATGGAGCTGAGATCCGGGACCTTATCGCCAGGGTTCAACTTGATCGGGTTCCCGTAGCCACCCGAGGCGGGAATGGGATTGACAGACAGGGTCTTCTCGGATTCCTGTCCCGGCGTCTCAGGGAAAGCTCCCGGGAGGCCACCATTGGATTGTTCCTTAGGGACCTGGGCTGCCAGAGCAGCCGTGGTAGAATTGGGGGTCACGCCAGACATGATGGCGGGCGTGGTGACGTCGTGGGTGGAAGCTTCTTGGGTGTGGGTCGGGGCTTGAATGTCTTCGGGAAGCAGCACGTTGTTGATGTTATCGTGTCCGTCGTTTTCCTCTCGCGCGTGGCTATCGGTAGTCCAAATACCGTCCACGACAAACTTGAACAATCCCACGTTAGCGAGTCTGTGCAAAGAAAAAGAGTACCCCTCTCGAGTGTGGCGCTTCGCCCGTGATTTTATAGTTTTGGCCCTTTAGGGGAAAGAAGGGGGGGCAGGGGAGCGGCGGATGACGTCAGCGGTAAGATGAAGCGTCATGGAAAGCTGGGGGGGGGGGGGGGGGGGGGGTGGGGTGCCTAGTGGCCTGAAAATCGAGGGTTTCCGATGGCTCACCGCAACGGATTTATCTATGTGCGCAAGCCACAAAATGATGGCGGAGGCTTGCAAGGATGAGACAATTGAGACGGTCCAGAGACCGGAGAATATTCCGACTTCAGGGGGTATGAAAGCGAACGGAAAAAAAAAAGACTGGCGCCTACCTTGTAATGGATCTTCTTGTCCGTCGGTAACGAGACTTCTTTGGCAAAGATGTCGCCCACCCGGTCCAGTTTCACCGTCTTACCCCAATCATCGAAGGTACCCGTAACGAACACCTCGTTCGCGCTGTGAGGCCTACATGCAAATGCGAGGAACCGACCAGTCAGCGCTCCAATCCTGGCCGAGAGTCTGTGCCACGGGGGAAAGACTCGAGCTCATTGCGTGCGAAGGGCGGGATCTCGGAGGTTCTTGTCTCGGGCGCTAGAATAGCTCACGAGCCAGCCCTCTCAGCGTCCCAGCTTGCGCAATCGCTCGGGGTGACTCACCATTTGAACGTAAAAGTCCCCATTGTGGATTGGGCGGCTGCCTCTCACGTCAGAGGGAAGAAAGGATGGGGGAAGGGAAATGGGTAGAATAATCAATGGTTAAGGGAGGAAAAAGGGAAGAAGAGAAAGAGAGTCCAGAAAGCGCTGAGTTTCCAAGCTTCGCGCCCATTTTCGGGTGGGGGTGTGACACAGGCCCCAGGCCCAGGGGGGATTCTGCGCAAACCAGCTTACTGGATTGGGTAGCATGCACTTTATCCCGAGAATTCAACCTCGAATTGTATCATAGGGTTGGTTTATTAACTAAAAGCATGGCTATGAATAAGAGGCTGGAACGGAACAGTTCTTGGACCCGACTTTCTCATTGATCCAGGGTGCTTAGGCTTAGGCATCTATTCATCCCACTTCCACACCGCTAGGTTCATCCCCGTAGGTTAGCCAGCTTGAGTCTAGAGCCGCGCTCAGATCTGGCCCGACCCATGGCCACCGAACTTGGACGCTTCGCCGATGGAATTATGGGTGCATCCAAATAATTCCCAGGTACAGAAGCCCAATGGAAGAGTATAGATGAAGAAAAATCAAGGGGGAGGAGCTGAACGATAGAAATTTCGCCAGGCTGCATGGAAGATGCATGGTAGAATAAAGTTCCTAGCATGCTATGCCGTAAGCGGTCGTTCCCAAGAGTTGGTTCGAGCTCCCTAACGAACAGACCCGATCGACACTACCCGCCCGGCAGGTCGATAAGTGAACCAGAACAGAATATCTCCGTAGTTGGCCAAGGATACATGACAAGGCCACTGCAATTGAGTACATGCCAGTACCGTACAGGCAGCTATCATTTCTTGTCAACGAACATTCCTCGAATCGCGTTGTAACTTACTTAATACAATCTCCATCGTCACGATAGGCTGGAACCAAGTGGGCCAAGCTTGCCGAAAACGGCTCCGTCGGGCAATGCATGACTTCAAGAGTCTTGACCACCTCGGCCCTCGTCTACCTCATAGGCTGCCCGCTTGCCATCACCCAGACTTGTGCGCGCACAGTCGTATCGTACCTTGCTCTCGAGCTCAAAACTTTACAAGTCACGGTGAGCAATATACAAAAGTACGCAATCCCAGGTTTACTCAAGTCACCCTCGTATGGAGTGGAGTTTTTGCCACCGTCATGTATATTCCTTCGGAACCCGCAGACGTTCTAGAAGACACCTGGAACCCCCTCCGTGACGAAGCTTTTTTGAGGTCGCAGCCAGGGTCGTGTGCTTCACCCGGTCCCCATCCGTCCTCCTTTCAGCCATGATAGAGTTTCTCATCGACCTATACTTTCTGGTCTAGGAGTCAATAGTCTCGGCTACGGCTTTGCTCGTCCACTCCGGGGAAACGGTAGAGCCCTTAGATGGGAACGAGTGACGTCGATCAGCCCATCAGTGGATTGGGATTCGTCGACAGAGTACGGGAAGAGGGGCGTTCCGACGAGGAGTGGTGCAGTCACAGCAGGCATTAGGCAGGAGGAGGATGTAGCACGCAGGACGGTAGAAGGAGGATGATCGACGAGAAGGAAGCTCAGACCAACTCGCCCCAACTTTACTCCTCTCTGGCTACCCCTCCTCTGTCCACTTTCCACTTTCCACTTTCCACCTCTTTTTGCCTCTCGACCTTCCATCCCTCTTCTTTTCTTTGCTGCTTCTCCCGTCTCAACCGTCTTAACCGTCTTCGTGGCTTCTAGCGAGCCCATTCTTTGCACACCGTTCTTTTATCTCCTTCACCCTCTATAACCACCCCGCAGGTGAGTAATGTCGAGTTTCTTTCACATCCTTCCTCTTTCGCAGCTTCCGGCAAGGACAAGATATCATTTTAGCAGAGGCTCCGCGACAAGGCCCTGGTCCCCCCTTCAAAGCCTCTCTTTTTCTTCAATTAGAGTCATCTCACCAACCCCACTCCTGCGAGGCCGAGGCTTGCCCTTCCGTCCATGTTGGTGGACGCTCCCTCTTGACTGCGCACCTTCCCGTTGACCTGCATTCCTCTCAATTTATTACCGAATTCTCCTCGTATTCTATCCTAACATTATCCTCCCAGGACTACAGACCCTTCTCACTACCCTGCGACGGTCTCCATCCGACACACACACACACTCTCTCTCTCTTCCCCCACCCCACCTCCTTTCTTCTCATCCACTTTCACCGTGGCCGGAGTGGCGGCCTCTCCGGCCCCTACAGCCTTTACAGTCATGGCACAGAACTCTTTTCCGGGGACTAACCCCTTTCTCGACACTAGCGCCAGAGAGAAATCCCCTAGCATTCAGAAGATCTCGGAGGAGGAAGAATTCGAGGTGACGTCACCAACCGATGTGACATTCAAACAAGCCAACACCGGTGGCTCAGCCATCTTTGGAGGAAGTGCATTTGCAGAGGGAGGCTCGGCACCCGGAGCCAGCCCCGGGGCTTCTCTGTTCGGCCGGAGTCCCTTTGACTCGGGGCCGCGAGGCGGGGCAGACGGTCCTGACGACGAGCAGCCCGCCGCCCTCCCAACGGGTACCGCCCAGCATGGGTTCCCCAATAACTATGCGCTGGGTCGTCGAACTTCGGTATCGGCAGAGTCATTGAACCCCACGTCCGCGGGATCGGATAGTTGGACACCTCCCCACCACCCCAAGACCGAGGATCAGCTGGCACGCCTCAAGACTGCGGTCAGCAACAACTTCTTGTTCTCTCACCTGGATGACGACCAGTTCAAGACCGTGTTGGATGCTCTGGTCGAGAAACCTATCCCGGCGAAAGATATCAAGGTTATCTCCCAGGGTGATGCGGGTGATTACTTCTATATTGTTGAGAAGGGCCACTTTGACGTTTACATTCACCCTTCGGGCTCCGTGCAGCCTGGACCTGATGGCCTGGGCAACAAGGTGGCTTCCACCGGGCCCGGGGGTTCTTTTGGTGAATTGGCCCTGATGTACAATGCCCCGCGTGCCGCGACGGTGATTTCTACCGATGCAAAGAGCACCCTGTGGGCTCTGGACCGGATCACCTTCCGACGCATTCTCATGGACTCGGCCTTCCAGCGGCGCCGTATGTACGAGGCGTTCTTAGAGGAAGTTCCCCTTCTTTCCTCCCTCAAGCCCTACGAACGTTCCAAGATTGCCGATGCTCTGGAGCCCATCAAGTACCCAGCCGACGCTACCATCATCACCGAAGGTGACCCTGGCGATGCATTCTATCTCCTGGAATCCGGCGAAGCCGAAGCCTTTAAGAATGGCGTCTCGGTGAAGAACTACTCCCGCGGTGATTACTTTGGTGAATTGGCCCTGCTCGATGATAAACCTCGGGCAGCTAGTGTCATCGCCAAAACTGATGTCAAGGTTGCACGGTTGGGTCGGGATGGATTCAAGCGACTGCTGGGTCCCGTGGAGAATATTATGCGTCGGACAGATTACCAGGTGGATGCAGCCAAGTCTCCCGTGTCTCAATAAATGTGATATGATACGACGAAAGCGAATGGACTTTGCGAAGACAAAATGAAGGAACCAGGTGTACGTGGCCCAAAGAGGCATCTCTCTGTCCACACTGTGACATTCTCATTCTTGTTTGATTCCAATGTTGGACCGTTCACCACCTTTGCGTGCTCCTCCCATCCATTTATTAATTCCAATATTTATGTTACAATGACTCTCTCTCCTTTGTCCACCCTCGGATTCCCGCGAGACCGGAAACCCCCCAACTTGATCAGACTACGTTCGTTTTGATGACATTACACTTCCTGTATCTACAAATCCCGTTTCTGTTACGCTTGCCTTTTTGGCTTGGTCTGCTTTCTGGCTGACCAGGTATATCATCGTGTCACACTATCTTACCTCGCTGGCTTTGCTTTTTGAATTATCCGAATCAGTCCTGCTGTGTATACGCAGAGCTGCGCAAATTGAACTAGAATTTCATTACGCTTACTCTGGTCATTGAAGCTGCGATAGAGCCCGATTGTCTCGTCTCGTCTGTAGGATATCTTAAGTCTACAATAGGGTTCGAAGGGAAGAAGAGATTGTGTAATTTTCTTGGGGGATAAAGGGTCAGAAACGTAAGTGGTAGAAACGAAACCACATCCCCGTACGCCTTGCTATGCTATGCTACTTGTGCTTTCTCCATGCATTTGGTCTCAAAACTCCAAGATGCCCTTTATTTGCACATCATGATATGCCACTACCACGTAGCCTGTGATATTCCGATCCAATACCATTTCCCAACCGTCGCTCCATAACTCCATAATCATATACAGCCACCCTTTCAATCATACCCTCCAGCTGCACCATAAATGGAACCAATTCCATCTACCTCGCAACAACCAAATCACTCCTCACAACCCATTTCTCCCCATTAGTAACCTCCCTCCCCTCATGTACCATACACCGATCCCCATGTCTATGCAACAGCGCCATGCCCACCTCGGGAGCCACCGCGATAGGTGCCGGATTAGGGTTCTGGCGCGTGGCGTCCGGATAGAAGACCGTTTCGCCGCCGGTGCAGGTTGTCAGGTAGATTAGGAGGGTCCAGGTTGTGCGGGCGGGGACGGAGCGTGGTGATGAGGCGGGGTGGAAGGTTAGCGCGTTGGACTCGTCGTCTGTTGATGATATCTATGTTAGTATGTATACCTATGTCTGGTGCGGTGGGGCCATTGTCCAGTCTAGACAATAGTACGGTAGGAGGTAGCAGGTATCCATCCTTGATTGATGTGGGATTGAGGTGATTCGACGTACAATGCTGAGCGAAGAATTGGCCCTTCGAGTAGCGGTAGATACGAATATTCGGGTTCAGACCTAGTGGTTGTCCACCCCAAGTCTCGTGCAACTTGTGTGCTTTGGCTTCCTCGTCTTGTTCTCGTGTACCATCCTCGTCTTCATAGCTATAGTCGTCCTCGTCAAACCTCTCCAAGATCAACTCTCTCAACGCCGTCCCACTCCACAAATTCTCCGCGAACCGCGCATCTTCGATCTGGAAACGGTCATTCACGCGCACTGCCTCGTCCTTTTTCGGCCGGCCTGGTGTAGTCGTGAGCGGTAGCGATGATAGGAAAGAGGCGTAAGATTTGCAGAGGGTTGCGGGGAGGAAGTTGCGAACTAGGTAGATTTGGTCGTGGACGAGGGGGGTGAGGTGTAGATCCGTTGCGGGGAGGAGAGGGCGGAGGGGTGGCCAGTTGGGAGGTGGAGTGGGGGGTGGGTGGGAGTGAGGTTTGGAGTCGGACTTTTTGTTTTGGGGTTTGGGTTTGGCCATAGTTGGGTGTGATATTTAGTGGCTTGGGAGGGAGGGTGGAGGTGGAAGTGACAGTACTGCGAGAGAGGGTCTTGAGGAGGGGGTCGTCGGTGTGTGGTGCTGATAAGATTACTCGGGTCTGCAGGTGATTGTTTGGCTTCTCCAACGGGTTTCCTCCGCGGTGCCTTTTCTACTCTACATCAGTGTCGAAGGCACTATAAGGCATTATATAGTTATCTTGCTCTCTATTTTGGGTGTTTTACAGGATTGACCAAGTGTCTTGCACGTGGGGTCCATCAATTGCCATAACCTGAATGCGGGCTGATCGTCGGGGTATAAGCTAGAGAGTCAATACGTCCCGAGTGTGCAGCGGAGGCAAGCCACTGGACATGGCGAGAGGGGTTGACTCCACTTGGTTTTCCGTCGGGCAGGAAGTGAATGAGAGAGAATAGGAGAATATGAGAATAGGAGATTAATATTCTATGTATTGAGAATTAATTCTCAAGGTTACTCGTGGTCTGTTAGACTGTTATGGTCAACTACCTCTCGACCTCATAGATCCCAATCTCCAATCGGTGAGGAACCAGGCACCTAACTGGGTGGATCGGATTGAGCGGGGCGGCAAAGAAGAAAATTTGTCCCCGAGGATCGTCTGGTCCCGAAGGGGGGAACAGAACAAGATCCGGCCATTCCAGATTCTGCAAAAGACCGGTCTATCCTTGTATTCACACCAAAATACTCACATTCATTATTCCTATAACTCTTCTTCCATATCATGGATCTCCAAGGCTAGGTGAGGAAAAAAGAAAAAAGTACCAAACTCGGTACGGCATTCTGCAGCCACCAACCGGGCAATCGGCCCTCACCGCCCGGGCCCCAAGAGAGAACTTCAGCTTTTGTTCTGCTTCCTTCTCCTCTCCCTCTCGAGCCATGTCGTCGCAGACAATGACGGCGCCAGCAGTGGGCCATCGACCACCCGATCCAGGCCCCGATACGCCCATGTACGACTATGGCGGCTCTCAGAACGACGCTTCGCCTCCGACCGACTCCAGGAGCGACTCCGCAATTCGCGACATGCATAATTCTGCCCCAACCTCCAAGGGCTTGTCCGCCACTCCAATCGGAATCAAGATGGAATCAGTCGAGACCCAGGACCTGGCCGGGTCCGAAAGCCAGAAGCATATCAATACCCAATCTGCTGCAGGTGCGCTGCTCGCTCAACTCCTCGGGAATCAATCTGCGCCGACGAATTCTGTCCCGAACGGGTTACCAACGATGGAAACGGGAACGGGGACAGGCACGGGGACAGGCACGGGGACAGGCACGGGGACTGAAGCGGGAAATCACCAGGATGTGAAGATGGGCGACGAGGATGGTCACGTGGATCAAAAGATGGACTTGAACGCCGATTTCTCGCTCGATTTCAACCTACAACAAGATGGACAGGCCTCGGCTTCGGCAGGAATGCAAAGTATGTCAAATGGGGGGAAATCGACGGATGATATCTTTGCGCAACTCGATGCGACACCACAGGATGGATCTCATACGGGACATCGAGGGTCCGACGCCATGGATCTTTCCGGTCCCTTGAACAGCTCAAAGTCAGACCTCGATCAACCACCGTCCTTGCTTCCCGCCTTCGATTTCGCCATGGCCCCGAAAAACGCCTTCGAAGCCCTCCAACAGAACGAAATGCTCACCGCTGCTTATCTATCACAGAGTGCCGATCTGTCCGCCTTGGGTTACCAGGACGGATCTACCTCGGTGGCCGGGTCAGAGCCTCGAATCCAGGCCTTTGCGAAGTTAGAATTTGATGATGGTCACTTCTACTGCAACACGTACTCGTTTATCTTAGGTCGCGATGTACGGGCCGCGCGCGCCGCGCACCAGCGAGAGTATCAGTATCGGCAGGCCGTGCGAAGCTCTCGAGCCAAGAGTTCGAGCGGTGGCAATACGTCTCATACCCCTAACCGGATGAAGCGAGAAGAGAGCGCTGCAATGATGGGCAGCGTGGTCAGCGACCGTGGAGGCATCATGGGATTTGATCCCGACGTTCCTCCGAACCTTTCTGGCAACAACATGCCTGGTAAATTGGACATGAACCGAAGATCGTCAAAATCTTCGTTCGATGGATCAGTGGTGCCGCTGCACGCCAATCCGGCACAATTACAAGCCTCCACCGATTACAATGCACTCGCCATGCAGTCCCTTCAAGAAGGGAATGGCGATCCCAAGCCGGTTGATACGTTGGCTCTCCTCCCATCTCCCGATTCTTGTCCGACCATTCCTATTCATCCTCCCTCGACAATAGACGGAACGGCCGCAGGTCACCGTGGTATTTCTCGCCGGCATGTCCGCATTGCCTATAACTTTGATCGCAATTTGTTCGAAATGGAAGTCATGGGTCGCAATGGAGCTTTTATCGGTGCTGACTGGCTTTCCCCCGGACAAGTTCGACCATTGCATAGCGGTGACTATATTCAGATTGGAGGGGTTCGCATCCGATTCTTACTGCCAGATGTCCCCATCGGCGAGACAGGCGCGGATCGCATGGAGGAGCAACTGGCCGAGGAAGAAGAGGCTGATCAGGGCTCGGTCGATGCCGAGCATGAAATTGATGATACGGACAAGCCTCTCAGTGACAGCGAGAGCAGGGAGCCCTCTTCCAAGGTCACCAAGATCATCCTCAAGACCAAGGATTCTGATTCCTCCAAGGCCATGTCTTCTGTCGAGGCCGGCGGGGAGAATGGCGGACAACCTGCACGTCGCAGGGGTCCTGGTCGTCCCCCCAAGGACGGCATCATGTCCAAGCGCGAGAGGGCCGAATTAGCCAGAGAGCAGAAGATGGCTGCCAAACGGGAGGCCAACGGCGGTGTCACCCCGCCCCCGCCCGTTCTCCCTCCTAAGCCTACTTCCAGCAAGGCTGGGAAGACTGTCAAAGAATCGGTTGGTGCCGAATCTCCACCGTCTTCTGTTAAACCTGCCGAGAAGCGCAAGTATACCAAAAGGAAGAAGGGCGATGGCATGGACTTTCCCCTGCCTTCGACGGAGGGGGGCCAATTCAACACCGAGCAGCGGCCGGAGGAATACGTCAAGCCTCCACCAGTCAAAAAACGAAAGCCCTCGCGGTCTCCATCTCCCAACTATCCTCCGGAGTCTGCTTATACTCCTGAGGACTTGGCCAAGCCACCCTACAACTACGCCGTTCTGATCTTTGATGCTCTGACGGAAGCTGGGAACCCGATGACGCTGAAACAGATTTACCGTGCATTGAAGTTGAAGTATCCATACTTCCGCTTCAAGTGTGAGACTGAAGGATGGACATCGAGTGTGCGGCATAACCTCAACGGCAATAGTCATTTGTTCATGCACGCCGAGCGAGATGGCAAGGGCTGGTCCTGGCAACTTCGTCCTGGCGCATCTGTCGAGAAGGAGAAGAAGAGACGTCCGTCTCCTCCACCGCCGCAACCAACCCAAGCATCAGTGCCACCTCCGCAGCATTACATGCCTCCAATGCCTCACTCGTATGCGCCCCCGACGGGTGCACCTGCTCCAATGCAAAATCAGCACCAGCATCAGCATCAGCATCAGCACTTCCAATTCCCTTCCATCCCGCCTTCCAGTTCCTTCTCTGCACCTTCAGCGCCTCCTCCTCAACAACAACAACAACAGCAGCAGCATACTAGTCCATATGCACCTCCTCCTCCTCCGCCTCCCCCTCCAACTTCTACCGCCCCTCCCCCTCCCGCTCCTGCTGCTGTTCCTCCAGTATCGGCGCCGGTACCTGTTGCAAGTCAACCTCCTGTGCCTGCACCCGTATCAGTACCAGCGCCGCCATCAGCTACGCCTGCTCCCGTTTCGGCTCCGGCTCCTCCTGTTCCTGTTCCTGCCCCTGCCCCTGCGCCAGCCCCTGCATCCTTCCCTATTCCAAGTGCCCTGCGTGGAAACCTCCCTGCTGCTTTTGCTCGGACCATACCTGGAACCTATACCTCTCCATATGCCTCCAACCCAGCTCCGCAGGCTCCTCCACAGCAACAGCCACCTCCGCAGAATTCGCAGCCGCAGCCGCAGCCTATTCAAGGGCCACCGGGACAGCAGGCACCGCAGCAACATCAGCAGCAGCAGCAGCAGCATCATTCTCCTTACCCCCCACCCCAAAAGGCACCTTCTACCCCACAGCCACACATCAACTCTCAAACCCAAGCCTATCCTCCTCCCGCTGCGCCGCAATATCAACCTCAGCACCAGCACCCAATCCAACAACCGGTTCAGATGCAACACCAACAGCACCAGCAACCCCAGCATCAACCTCCTCCCCATCAGCATGTGCCACCACCGCATCACCAGGCACATCAATCACATCCTCCACCGCCAGGACCGCAAACTCACCATCATCAAGCACCACCGCAACATCAGCCACAGCACCAGCACCATTCTGTGCAGTCTGGTCCTCCTCCACCAGTTGCCCCGGAGTCTCCATCGTTCACTGAGCGCGCCAATAAGGCCATTGACGATTTTGAGAACGTTCTCATGGAAGATTACGAGGACAAGAATTACATCCGGGAGGTTCTCCGCAGTGCGCGTGCCCGGGTCTTGGGCAATGCTACGGAGAGCTCGTTCCCTGGTGGCGAACCTAAGGATGAAGCGGTTATTATGGATGTGTTGCGCAACCTGGTTGGAAGCCTGAAAGAAGAGTAAACTGCACGACCTTGGTTGGTAGTTCTGATTTATTCGTTCTTCATGTCTGGTGTGTGATTTGTAAAGCTCTCATATCGATTGCTTTTATGATCATATACGGTTGCATTCCTCTGTGATGTCGGCAATTACACTGGGATCGAACTGGACTGTTGTGAGCGCTGGATTGGGAGCTGATTGGATTCTACCCTCCCCATCACCCTGGAAGTGCTCGGCCGGGAGGGACTGGATTGGGATGGAATTGGCCGCTCGTGCCCTCCTCCCAGTCCTCCTTCCCCTGACGACCTCTCCGAGTATACGAGTCTATGTCATTTTCTTTTCTTTTTTTTCTTTTGCGTATGGGTTCTTTTTGAATCTTCATGATATCCCTCTGTTCTGGCCAGCCTATGCCTGGACCAATTTCTGGATTGTTTTCCCCCTCGTTGGACCACTTCATCTTTGACACCCTTGCATTCTCTTCTTGTTTGACGGATGGTTGGTTTGCTTCCGCTACCGTTACCCTTGGGGAAACCAGCACGGTTGAGAAGAGCCGAGGGCCGTTTGACTCCGAATAAAGTTTGGAGTCACCGTCCCCCGTGTTTACTTGTCCGTCCCCTTTGCCCGCTAGATTTTTGAGGATCCGGCGTCTATCCTATCCCCATTGCCCCCTTCCTGCGGTTCGGGTGCATGTTATACAATCAAAAAAGCTTGAGTACGATAGAAACAAAATTCCAAAGCATCTTTAAGGGCATATCTTCTCCAATAATACATGTACTATGACGTGGCTACCTAGGCCTGATCTAGTTTGTGATGTAGCCGTAAACATATTAAAGACGTCGAGCCATTCCCCTCAAGACGAAAAGAGACCCGGAAAAAAGGAGGAAAGAAAGAACAGAATAAGTGCCGTAAACCCGAAATCCTAGCATTGATTTCTAATACAGAACCCCCCACGATTTCCCCAACTCCGACGTCGGCTGGTCATCGAACAATCAACACTGAAGGAAATCAAAACGCCTTTTCCCCCGCCTCCAGCCATCCGGTCCGCGGCGATTCTAGAGAGGTTAGTCGTAATTAGAGTCCACGAGAATATGTGTTAATGTAGTCGACGGTGTATTTGAATAATTTGCCTCCCCCGCCCTCGAGGTACGGCTGCAGGATGAACAACAGCACAAGCGCCCGGAATATTCCTCTGCGGGGGTTGGGAAGTATATTCTGCCCGACCGGCTGCAGGACGGGCGGAGTTGGAGTGAGAATGCCAGCTAGCAGAAGGAATTAGGTACTCCGTACTTGTGGTTGGTAATTGGGCCGAATGTAGCCGGAAGACAGCGCTTTGTGATCCTCTTTGCTCCACTGGTTGGGCAGGGAGGAGGGGAGACAGGTTCCTGTTGGTGGGTTGAGTGAACCAATTAGTTCGAAGTACGGGATGTAATTACTTATGCGGGCGTTGGATGGAGGAGACATAGTCGACGTGGATCATTGGGGGAGTATGTACATCCTGATACACCTCCAATGGGATTTGGGGAGAGGCTTTTTGTTTGTGCTTGCGGGATTTACTAAAGAGGACCGCACGGAGTGCTGTAGATCGGTTGGGATTACTAGGCCACCTATCGTACTGGAGAACGGGATTCGATCCTCTGTGTAAGCCCGGGAGGATAGTATACGAAGGAGCCGCAGTCATCCAGGCCTCGTCAGTATATCGATGCCTACGAGAGTAATAATCCTAGTATATTGGTATACTTTGTAATGGTTGCTAGGCAGCTATTACGTTCCATTCAGAGTGATCTCACACAACATAATAACCACGTTTCCGTCTAGACATCATTAGCCACGACTAGTTAACAACGGAATACAGTCACTACAATACACCCCCATCCCGTGCGCAATGAACTGGTCCACCGCCCCCCGTCCGTTCGTCACACCGGCATTGCCCCCCTCCCCTTCTCCGCCTTCTCCGGCCACTCGTTATCTTCGGACACCGTCTCCTCCTGTCACCATGCGGCATGACGCTATGCACCCTGCAGGGATCACTTCCAGACTCGGTGACTCAGAAGGACCCAGACACCCAGACACCCAGACGCCCAGACGCCCAGAAGCAAGTCAGAGTCAGAGAACTCATCGATCATCCGGTCGGTCATCGGTCATCGGTCATCAAGCATCGGTCATCAAGCATCGGTCATCAAGCATCGGTCATCAAGCATCGGTGGCTACTGGTCACTTGGGCGGCCCTTGCTTGGTTGTACGGGGTGATCCGAGGTACGAGGCTGACATAATTTCTTGCTTGTGTCCGTAGGAGTAGGATCTCTCATAGGAGGCAAGTATACTCCGTATACGCTTCCTATATGACTGCTATTCAATCTATCCCCTATTTTTACCACAGTAGTATAAACCTACACTACCGTACTGAACCCGAACTACCGCCCTTCACCGTAGACCTAGCAACAGAAGGAATGACAGCCTGCAACGCTTGGACCCGCGCAGAATTAGAAATGTTCCCCCCATATCGCCGTTCTTGTACCAAATTGTATTGTAGTCGTAATTCTGCCCCGTTGGCCAGCCTCCAGTAGCCCTCCTGACCTAGAGAAACGGTTAGAAATCTTGAAATTTCTAAACCCTGTCTTACAGCCTTTACAGCTTAGTCAAGTGGAGACCCGCACGAAGTGGTCCGCTTCTTTTTTTTTTTCTCCTCTTGAGGGGCTTTTTTTAGAAAAGAATTTTTCTCGTTTCTGCTACGCTAACTAGTTTCCGTGACACGGGCGTTGCATCACCGGGTTTGAGGGTTTTTGGTCTTTGACTCGGAGTTCTTGGGGAGGCGATTGACATACTTTTTTTTTTTTTTAAGACACTAGTCCTCGCTCGGCCATGGCCACCCGTTCATCTTTCACCTACCGGAGACCTCCCGCATTAAACTTGGGTATGATGCTAGAGTGGCTGCGCACCTCTCCCTCTTCTACGCCCGTACTCTTACGTAGAGTCCCTTTCTCAATTTTCCATTTTGCCTTCCTGGATCTACTATTCCGGAGGGGAGGGGTATGCTGTCACCTGGGGCAATGAGGTAATTACTGTATACTCCGTGGTCTGGACGGAGGAATTAATTAAGGATGTCTTGATTGGTATTGTCTAGATTAACTGAATTAAGGATTTAATTGTCGGGGGAGCATTACGGGGTATAGCCGTTGAGATAGTTTCGTAGTCTACTGTAGTTAGAAATAATCATAATGAATAATGCTATACTCCGGACATCATGCGTGTTTATTATAATTTTCAATAAGGAGAGAACCCATTCACGAGTGTGTCAGGTGCAGAAGGCCCTAAGAATCAGGAGTACGGAGTAGTAGAGAAGTCGGTAAGAGTCGGTGACGGTAAGTTGGAGTCCACCAGAAGAAAAATCACCCGCCACTGCCCCCAACACGACCGGCCAAATTCCACCGAGAAGTCGAGGCCCGGGTATGGTAACGATGTCACGTATTGTCAAGCCCATTCACACACACACACATACTGTACCCGCAGCCCGGTCCACCGCACTCTTCCTCTCTACTCTCAACTCTACTCCTCTCCCCTTTCGCTCTCTTCTCTCTCTCTTCCTTCCCACTCCTCCTCTATTCAACCACTCCTCCTCCTTCCAACGAGCTTTTCACTAAGTGTCGTTGCTGATCTCATTCGTGAGGTTTGCCTCTACGCGAGGGAATTCCCATTTTGTGTGATCTTCTTTTTTCTCCTCCATTTCCCGCGGGATTCGCCCTGTTGCTCTTGTGAACGCGTCCTCTTCTTCCACCGAAGCCCTACCCTCAAAACGTTACGTTCGGTGCAGAGAATACGTTCGCCAACCCGCCTCTTCCCCTTCCCCCTCCTTCCTAACCAGTCGTGTCTATCTGTCTGTGTGATTCGAATTCTTGGTCGACTGCCGACTACTGCGACCTTTTCAAACAAGACCGGTTTCCGAAAATTTATCGAGGGCTCGTCCCAACATAAAACTTACACTCCTTCTCTCTCATTTGTTTTTCGGTCCACTCGGTTTGATTGAAGAGTTTCCCTCAATGTCATTCAACTAGAGACGTTCACTACGACGATATCAGAGCGACGCGCTCCTCGAGCAGCGTTCTCCTCTCCTCCCCTCCCCCAGGATCAGGCCTGGTGAAGCTGTAGACGGTTCGTGATCTCACACCTTCCCCATACTCGATTCGCATCAGTCCCCCCTTGGTCATTTGTCCCAGCCGTATCCTTGCGCTACTCCTCGGGCCCGGCTAGTTTGTGTGTACTGACGATCTTGTGTGAACGGACAGAACTTCGCAACGTCTACCCTTCCCGTCCTGAACTTGGTTACTTCCACCCCCCCCTCCCCTCTTTTCAAGATGCCGTCTTTCTTCGCTCCAGGCCACGGCCTGCCTCCCACGCCTCCTCATATCAACAGCGGTGGTCGTCTGGATGAACCCTCGTTCTATCCGGTTGGTCATCACTCCGCGTTCCCCCCTCGCTACCACCAGAGCGGCTCTGAGTTCATTGAACAGTACTCGCAGTCCCTGGTCTACGCTAAACCGAACGCAATGAATCTGCACCCTGGATCGGGGCACCACTTGCACGGTGTGCGCGACATGCATTCCATGGGCCACCAGCAGTCGATGTACGGCTCCATGGCGACCGCCTTGCCTCCGATTCGGGCCAATGTCCAGCTGCCGCCCATGGATAGTGCCATTCCTCCACAATACCGCCGTCAGGAAATCGCCCCGATGCAGCAGCAGCAGCACCAACATCAACTGGAGCAACACCAACAGCAGCACCAGTCTCGCAAGGAGGAAAAAGCTACCGGAGGTGTCGCCGCCCACCTGGATTACGAGATGGATCGCATGTCCGACTTCGTGGCGGAAATGACCCAGGGAATGTATGATTTATACAACACCAAGATCACCCTTTCAGATATTGACTTCGCGCGAAGCATCTCCCCAGGAACTTCCGTGCCCCCTCAGTTCAGGAAATACGTCTTCCAGATCTTGTCCTCGACCCGCCTCCCCAGTTCGACTATTCTGTTGGGCCTGTTTTACATGTCTAGCCGCATGCGCATCTTGTCCGCTCAGCGGGTCTTCCAGTCCGGCAGTGGCCAAATTTACCGTATGTTGACGGTGGGTCTGCTGCTGGGCAGCAAGTTCTTGGATGATAATACTTTCCAGAACAAGTCATGGGCCGAAGTGAGCAACATCCCCGTGGCTGAACTGAACAAGATGGAGCTCGAGTGGCTCTTTGCCTTTGACTGGAAGATCCACGAGCGCATCTATGATCAGCAAGACGGATTTGCCTCGTGGCGCCGACACTGGGACAACTGGAGTGCAAAGGCCAACGTCCAGGCCCAAGAGTCTTCTCGTCAGACCCTGGCGCCCATTGACACCACCGTTGTCCGACACCACCAGTCCGTTTCCAAGCCGCTCATGTCCCCCGAGGGACCTATCCCGCCGCAATACCAACGCAGCTCGCACATGGAGAGCTCCTGGCTCAACCCTGCTGCCTCCGAGTACTCCCCGCCATCGGCCCCTCACAGCGGTCCCAATACCCCCGACTACTATTCGGTCGGACCCTGGGGCTTCTCGAACCCGCCGCCACCTTATTCGCAGGGAACCTGGATCGCTCCGCCCCCGCGGTACATTGCTCCGTCTGCACCTCGCTCGCAACCCCCGTCCTACCACCACACTCCGGCGTACGGCCTGCCGTTTGCTCAGAGTGTCTGGACTGGGCATGGTTCCTCGTGTGGCTGCATGTACTGCGCCAAGCACATGGAACACTACATGTGCAATAGCACTTTCCCTACGCTGCAGCCCATTGTTGCTGGCTAAGCGGACATAACTTGGCTCTCTCTTTGTGTGTGTGGTCTATTACATGTTGCATCTTGGCTGATATTATCTCATGAATTCGGGACGAAAACCGAGACGAATCAGCGTCCTTTTGAGCCTTGGCGTTTCTAAAGAGGATGCAAAAGTCTCGTCTCTATTTCGGTCTTGTTCTTTTACTGTTTGGATCTAGATCTTGTTTCTTTTTTTTTTTTTCTTATTCTCGACTCTCGAATTGCGTGGGAGGATACTGCATGGCTGTTCGTTTCGTCTTTCCGACTTATTTATCTTTCGACGATACCGTTTGTTTCTCGCTTCCACCTGTTCGATTCGGTGTTTACGCCCTCCATTTGCCAAGTCCTTTTATTCCTTCCTTTTTTGACTCGCTGTCACCACTCAACACGAGCGATCGGCAATTCCGCGTCATCACCCGAAAAGTTTACTTTTTGTTCTGCGACTTGCTGGTTCGTGTCGGCTAAGCGAAAACTCTCCAAAACACCAAAAAAAAAGAGGAAAAAAACGCTCTCCGCGGCGACATTGGCACGTCCCGGCCATACTGTCGATACGACACGGTACTTTCGCTACTTGTTCTTGATGTACCCGACTCTTTGGGCCATCGGACAATATGATTACGCAACGTTTCTTTCGTCGGATCATTCTGTCTCGTCCCATCTATGGATGGGTGGACAACCCCCCCTTGGCCGGGACCGCAGTCACGACGATCACGAATCCCTAAAATCTGATTTTGTTTATTACCCATGACCTTCGGTTCATATCTTCGGCTCATTTTTTCTTCTTGGCCTTCTGTTTCCATTGTCTCTTGCCGTTTCCATGCTTGGCATCTTCGTCCAGCTCTGATTACCCATAGATTGCTGTTTTATTTCTTGCGCTTCTCTTTTTTCTCTTCATGTCGGTACATTATCTCCATTCGACTGTGCACAATTCCGCCACATGCCGCTACTGCGCTCGCCAATTGGAAAGCAAAGAATCGGTTGTGCAAATTTGCCCTCGGCGTTAATACTTCTCTTCACTCATCGACGCATTTTATCAACTTCTCTTTATCTGCGTCTTGCAGTTCCGCTTCTTTTTCTCAACCACGATTCATCCAAACAAACTTGAAATACTCTTTTTTTTTTCTTACCCAACCTTCATGATTACCTTTGCACTTCAATCTCTGATTCCCCCGGTCCGGTCCAAAAACAAGGTCACTCGTCTTGCTGCATTTAATCGAATCGAGACTCCTTGTTGTTGACTCAAGACCACTTAAGCCATTTTCTTTCTCTGATCTCCCATCCGCTTAGACGGCATTTCATATGGAGGGCTGTGCAGGGGATCAGGTTCGGTGTTACGTGTTTGTGTGTCTGGGCTTCCTCCTCCCTTTCCCTGGACCGTTCTCACCTATTCCAATTGCCCTCTTGCATCTGCTGCTGCCTTCGTGTCTAAAACACGTCGATCTCTCAAGGCGGTCACTATCCTTCTCTGTCTCTATTTACCTACCATAGGTAGAGGCTAGTTAGTGGTGGACTGATTCCTGTATGTAGTTTATTGGTTCTTGCGACTTTGTCCTTGTTTTCCATTCTCTTTTGCCCATGTCCCCTCCTTGAGTATGGGGCTTTGACCTAGCCCGTGAGACCGGGTTTGTGAGAATCCGGTGTCAGGGCTGGTTGCTAGCTTTACACGAGCGGTGGCTTCCATGGCTTCTGTGTTAGGACATCTCGTCGCCTTAGGATTATTCGGGAAATATGTGACAAACTATTGTCTTTGTCGCTGAACTTTGTTCTGGTCTTTTCGTAGATTCATAAATGAACGGTAGATAGTAGGCCATGTGTGTAATCTGTCTACTCAGACATGGAAAACTCAATAATAACAGTCCGACATATCCAATCTCTGAATCATGCATTGTCATTCTCATTCGTGTAGTCATGGCGTAACGCTTTATCCCAAACCTAATGCCCCCTCATCTAATTACATCTTTTCATCAAATTAGAAAACGTCCAAAGCTGATAGACCCCCAAATTCATAACCCGAGTCAGCTAAATGATTTCACTCAATACACACTCCCCTGAATACTCTGGTCCTCACGCCGCTGCGCTTCCAGGGAGAGTTCCCCTTCATTTTGACTTTCCGGATGATTATCCTTCTCTTTCTCGTCCGGGTTTGCCTGGGGAGCTGGTAGCTCTGTCGTGCGCGGTGTTTGCGTGGCTTCGCTGGTGGATATCTCGTCGTCGCCGTCACCTAGGATGTTTGCCATTCTCCAGGGCTGTTGGGATGTTGTCGATGACGTTTGTCTGTGGTGACTGGGACGGGGATTAGGGTGTGTATGTGTTGTAGAGTGATTATGGTGGTGATGGTGTGCATGGTGGTGTGGATGACGTTTCGAGTCCTCTGTTGGATGGGAGCTGAGTTCGTCGTCGCCATCTTCTTCCAGGTCTTGTGATGGTTTGGAAGTTGAAGATGAGTGAACATGCGAATGCGAATGCGAGTGCGAGTGCGGAATAGGCGTTCCGGTACGGGGGCCGTGGTGGTGAGGATGCTCGGTATCGTCGCCTTCGTCGTCGGATGGCGCGAGGCTGTTTGCGCCGCTCATGGAGCCACCTCCGTCGCGACCGCCTAGATGGAGAAGAGCCATTTTCAGGTTGACGGAAGACGAGGATGAAACGGGAGGGTGGAAGAGGTGGTCTTCGCTGTCCCGGAAAGGACCTAGGCTGGGACGAACGGGACGATGACCCCCAGCGTAGCGAGTATCGGAGCTGGAAGAGCGCCTGCGCGTATCCTTGTTCTCATCTCCAGCTTGTGTAGTGGAATGAGACCCGTTGTTGGTGGTATGTAAGAAGGAGATGCTTTTGTCGTTGGGGAAGGGGAATGCCCCTTCCATACTGTCGGGGGTGGAAGAAGCGTGCTTCAGCGGTGACGGTTGATCGGGATGTGTAGCGACACTGCCTCGTGTGTGTCCACGATGCATAGACTCCATCAATTGTGTTCGCAGAGACTTTCTGGCCTCACCGGTCAACCCATGGGTACAACCATCAGGACAACCACCCCATTTCCGTCGGATTGGAATATGATCAGAAGCAGTGGTCACGGGAGGTTGGCCACTGGCTTCATTCCCTCGCTCTCGCTCTCTCTCGCGCTCTTTGCGCAGGTCGGACCATGTGCGCAGTTTATTCTGGAGGGTATATTTGCCATTATCAGGGTTGAGGGTCATGATCACGAACTCGCAGTGGTTGATATTGCGTAGGTCTTCGAAGTATTCCACACTCCAATGATACCATTTCATAAGAAACACTCTTGTCATGAGGCCATGCGTGACAAGAACGCATACACTGGCAAAATCCTCCTCGCCGAAGAGTCGCCACAGCGATTCGTTGAAACCGCTCACACGGTCGTAGGCATCGGCGGCGGACTCCCCGTTGGGAATACGATAGAAGAAGTGGCCATAGTCTGCTCGTTCCATCCACATACGCTCCATTTCGGTCGAGCATGGTTGGAAATTGCCAAAGTCTTGTTCTCGTAGTCGAGGCTCTTCATAGACTTTGATGCCGTGCCTCGGAAATGGCGATGGCGTCGGATCGTCGGAGGTCAAGGATTCCAGGATCCCTTCGGTGGTCTCTCTCGTCCGCCGATAGGGAGAAGTAAAGAAGTGGAGGGTATCATCAGGGCGGAGAAGGTCGCGCAGTCGACCGCCAGCCTCTTGGGCTTGTCGATGTCCTTCGGGTGTTAGTTTCACTCGGTGGTCGGGAGTGCTCTGATGAATATCTCGGTTCTTGTTTCCTTCTGACTGCGCATGGCGGACAAGAATAATCATCTATGGAAAAGCATAGGGTTAGATCGAGCATTCACGGACTCTTACTAAGATGAACGTAATACTTACGCGTGGTTTCCCCATGGCTGAAGGAGCATGTGGGACAAGGCTACTAAGGCGATGATGCGGGGGAGGGGCAAATGAAGCCGATCACGAAGAAACGAACAGCACTCTTCAGACAATACAGTCTGGATGGTAGTATCTCTATATGATACTCCCAAGCCCTTTCAACCGCAAGTCTTGATGAAGAGGCAGACGACGAGAACAAGACGGGAAATGTTGGAAACACTGCGGAGATGCGCAAACTGGCCGCACGGGCCACCGTATGCCTTTCTCGCCATTCAGGACGCTCGCTTTCCGCATCGAACGCTGGCAACTTGACCCAACGAACATGGCCGACTCGCTGTTAGAGCTGCTGGCTCCACATTTGGAGACACCACAGCCAAATGATGCTACGACGTCGCAGTATCTCAATCGCTTGTCCACCCTGTCTTTGGACGCGCTCCAGACCACCGAACCACAGTCCCTGGCCCAATCCTCCCATTCAACACTCCTCTCCCTCCAAGCCCTGTCCAACCGCTCCCACCGGGCTTTCATTACCTCCGCCGACCAACTCTCTACTCTACGCTCGTCCATTCCACAGTTGACTCGTGAAGCGCAACAATTACGCGATGCCATTCCTAAGCTCGACGAAGAGGCCGTCAAGTTCTCGACCAAATACAGCAAGATTACAGATAATGCCGCCTTGGAACGGAGGAAGAAAGCGATGCAGCTAGCACGCAATGTCGACCGGCTCTCTGATATCCTCGAATTACCTTCTCTATTGTCCACTGCGGTGTCTGCGGCGTCTGCCAACTCGGGCGCGGGAGCAGCCTCCACCACGTATACCTCAGCGCTCGACCTACATGCACACATTAAGCGACTACAGACGGTATACCCCGAGTCGCCATTGATTCAAGATGTGGTAACCCAGGCAGAAGATGCTATGAAGGAAATGACCACCAATTTGATCGCCAGCCTCCGCAGCCAGAACCTACGGCTAGCAGCTGGCATGCGAACCGTGGGCTGGCTGCGGCGAGTGGCCCCGGATCTGGAGAGTCTTCAAAGTGAGGGAGCAGCAGGCACGGGAGAAGGAGCGCTGGGCGCCATTTTCCTGATTTGCCGTTTAGCCCACTTGGTCTCGACCCTGGAAGCCTTGGATCCTCTGCGAGAGCTTGCCGACCAAGAAACCCAACGCAGAGTCCATGGCAAAGACAAGTCCGAAACTTGGTCTGATGGGCAGCAGACGGACCGCTACTTGAAACGCTATATTGAGATATTCCGTGAGCAGAGCTTCGCCATTGTCTCACTGCACAAGAATATCTTCAGCTCGGAGCAGTCAGACTCTGAACCTGCTATTTCAGGCCTCCGGGGCGCTGAGGCCCACAAGGCGCAGTCCCAGTCGGTGCGATCAAATGATCCGCTACAAAGACTCCCTTCGGCGTTGGCAACATTTCCGATGCACCTGGTGCAATTACTCACGGATACTATGCGGGCATATCTTCCGAACGTTCGGGATCGCAGCTCGAGGGAGAGTCTGCTGACGCAGTTGCTGTACTGTGCCGCTAGTCTTGGCCGATTGGGAGGCGACTTTGGCATGATCCTGACAGAGCTAGACGGGGAGGAGGATATTACGTATGAATGGGAAGAAGTGATGCGCAAGCATCGGGCACTGGCCGGTCGTCTGGAGCAATTGACGAGTCGAGTGCCGGTACATTGAATTGTGAAGAGAAGTCATGTAGTTTATCCATCTAATATACCCACTGCTCGTTGATACGAACATCTTGTGATTACATAGAACAGTACGTAAAATAGGGTATTTGATTGAAGTCTACATGCTCGAAGAAACGTTGACGGATGTACACAAGCAAGTATCGAGGCAATGATCCATAGTCGGTCCAAGGATAGTATGGGCAACACGAGCCTAAACTCTACCAATAAGGCGGAGTTCAGCTGTCTCCGCCTTTCCCCATGTTTGTGACTGTCTCTCTCTCTCTTTCTCTTCCTTCGGACTCTCTTTCACAACTTCTACTCTTCTCCTCCTTCCCATAATTCTTCGCCTAATTCTTTAGCTCCTTTATCCATTATTCCACTTGTCAACTCCAAACCTCTTCACAATTCCTCTTCCCTTGTTCGTTTCCGCGCGGAGACTTGGCCGCCCCCACGATGTCAACCATGATCGACCCGACCAAGCAGGCCGAATATCCTATCGTCCTGGGTGAACGACTGGCCAATAATGCAGACTTGGACCGCGTGATCAACGTCAACTACAATTACAAGTCCAAAGCTGCGACACCTCAACAAAGATCAACGATCACCCGTTCCTCCCGGTCGCGCGATATCTACGACCTCACCGTCACCGATAAGCCTCCGAGCGCCGATCACACCTTGACTTATTCATACCAAGGCAGCGAAGACCCGACTGGCGAGCGAACCCTTGTCCTAGTCTTCGATCCCGAACGCAAAGTCTTCGTGCTGGAGCCGGTCTCCAGCAAATTGAATTTCAATTTACGGTCGGCGCCGGGCAAGACGGAGAAGCAAGTTCTGGAACAATACGAGCAGCTACGAATTTCACAGGAGGAAGATCACACATCGGGCGATGATCGCAATGGAGGACATACCAGTGAAGACGAAGGGCCGGCCGACGACAGCAATCCTTACGACTTTCGACACTTCCTCCCCAAGGAGGGTGCTGAGGATGCCAAGCCCGCCTCTCGGAACTCGACGCCAGAGCCGATCTACAGCAGCAAAGCCAACACGCCCGTGCTACCACCCGTGAGACCTGCAGCGAAGCCTGCGCCTCGACCAAAGACACAGAAGCAGACGAACCCTCTCCGCGAAACCAAGCGTGTACAGAAGCCGCCCGTAAAGCCGAAGGTTCCCCGGGATATACCAAGCGAGCGACCCCAAGAGCCAGTCTCTCGCCCAGAACCGCCCGTTGACCAGGAGGACTCGCGACTGTCAATATCAGATGCAGGCACGGGCAATGGCTCGCAACGGTCCATTCCATCTCCAGGGTCTAACATCATCATTGACGGGGAATTGATTATTGATATGGGCTCCCCACCTCCTAAACGAGCCTTCAAAGTCAATCCCTCCTTCTTCTCCTCGAATAACACGCCAGCGGACGATAGGGACGGCGAGGAATCGGGAGATGAGATGGAGTCTTTACGGTTACCCTCCCCGGCCAGAGATACCAAACCCACTCCCTCGGCTCCCGCCGATACCGGCGATGATATGGAGGATGATGATGCACTGGCTGCAGAGATGGAAGCCGCCTTCGAAGCGAGTGCTCGTGAGGAAGAGGCTCGTAGCCACCAGTATGGTCAGAGCAGTTATCACGTGGCCAGTGATGATGAGAGTGAGGTCAGCGAGGAGGAATAAGTATCTTTACAGTTTTGAGATTATTGTATCTTTGCATATCAGCGTGGCGCTCGGGTACAGGACTAGAGATACCAGTTACTACATTTCTATGTATGAACCGTCGATTAGGCGGTCTAGTGAATGATTTCGCCTCTTTCCTTGTTCGTTCAGTTATCTTTTTGTTGTCCTTTGATATCAAATCATGAAGCTCACATTCAACATCATTTTGATCCAAAAAGTGTCGTGCTTCTTCAAGACCACGAAGGAGGAAGTCCAAGATATAAGAAATTGTATACCTACGCATGATCAGTCTATTCCTTAATTGTGCATCCTGCTCTTCCAGGCTACTTGCTGTTAGTCCATGGATTCCAGGTAACCATTAAGCATGTGACGATTCACACAGCCTGGATGTTTGTATGGATTTTGCACGCTAGGTTGTAGATGGCAGCAAACATACCGAATTAGGGAGATAAGGCTGATGCTGGCTTATCGGACCGTATAAAGGTGTGTCCCTGGCTGAATAGCTTTCACTTTCTTCACATTCCTTTCCCCGGATTCGTCACCTTCACCAAACGAGCCATCTTGATACTTCACCTTTCTTCCTGGCTGATCTCATCTCTCCGGTCACCTCCTACCGTTTCATATCTGATACCTCCTCTCTGCTCCTCGATCTCAACGTGCCAGGTCAACATGGCCGAGTCCCTCGCTTCCAACGATGTGTGGGCCAGCTCCGTCCGCACCACCTGGGAGAAACCCGTCACCGAGCAAAAGCTCCCACAGGTTGCTGTGACTCCACCTAGCTCGTCGCCAAAATTGACCCAGAGCACGCCGAAGGCCTCCAGCTATGCCCGAGCCGCTCGCCCTCGCAAGGATCAACCCCCTCCTGCGACCGGCCCCAAGCACCCAGTCACTCCCAAGCCAGTGACTCCTATCCCAGTGATCCCCAAGCTCCCCGGGGACGCCAAGGCCGCAGCCAAGTTCTGCACGGCGGCATCTCAAAGCTCAAGTTGAAGACTTGAAGCGCCACATCGCTAAGAGGGATGCCCAAATCGCGTGGCTCAAGGTCCAACTGCAGGCACAGGTTGCCAGACAGTTCTTTGGTTAAGATGGATACCATGGTGCTTTCAATGTCTTTAGATCTTAGCATTCTTTGCTAGGGGGAATTGGAGTTCAGGATGAATGAGAGGTCTGAGATCTCGAGGGATCTCGTGGTACACCTCGATGCTTTGAAACAACGCGTATCTCCTTTTGTAGGATCTTAATTTTCCTGGAGGATCATTCCCGCATGAGATTAGAAGTGAATTAGAAATCACTACTTAGGTAAGTTGTATAAGTCTCGCTCGCCCTGGCTGATATGATTAATCGCATCTCTAACTTCATTTGCGCTACCCATATCGGTCTCAGGCGTGTCTTATTGCGAAGGGATGAGGTCACACTGGTTGTGTTGGCCTTACATTCTAGCGTATCTGGGCGCAAAATGCCATGGCGGTTAATCTGGAGAGCTTTTTAAGAGGAAACGAGGCCCCAAAGCACTGAATTAATGTTGAAGACCGTGTAGATGACCTTCCAATTGTGATTCCCGTCGACACAGAGGACTCCGTTCAGAGGAGCCGATAAACAGCCGACAGAATGTCAAAGCACAATCTCTTGGAGAATCAAACCTGATTAAAACAGGTACCCTCAAAGAAGTGGTTTTCATTATTGGAAAACGAGGGTGTTTACTAGTCCTTCTTGACTAAGTAAGTTCAAGCATCTATGGCATGACCCGGACAGGTGGTCTCTACATCCGACCAGACCAAGATTTTGATCGATTTAGTACTTCCTGTATTCTCCCCAGAATTATCAAGTTGATCTTTCAACTACTGCAGATTTTATCGAGTCTTCCTTTCGGAAAGAGCGACAAGATGCCTGCGTGTTCCCTCACTGTCATTTTATACTTCCGTCGGCCAATAGCAGGTCTCCGGAGAAACCAGTTGTTCCGCCCCGTGGAGCACATTCACTTCCGCTGGATTCGCCGCAACCAAATGCACCCTGTTTCCTTCGATACAAGCTCTCGGCACTTGAGAGTCTTCCTTCCATATATTCACCACTGGATTGCCTCGGAGACACCGTGAAATAATTTTTTGGACCCTCGAATATGCGATGAATAGCTCCGGCATGCGCCATTGGACCAGACAACACCCAAACCTGGGATAGGAAGCTCTATAGAACCCTCCGCAAAGAGGCGCGCGGGCGCGCTTTACCTGGTTATCTCTCACGAGAGATAAGTGGCATCTCCACTTCTCGCCTTTGTTTTCACTTACAAAGCTCCCCTCGCGTGAACCGTTGGCCTTGCGCGAGCCCCCCACACGACCAGATGGAAGCCTCCGCGTCCCCAGCACCGCCAAAACACCGCATCCCCGGCCTACCCAATCCGGTTATCGCGGCCACACAGCAGAAATGGATCTTTAGCGATGAAGACCTCGAGCGCACACCGTCGCGGGTTGACAAAATCGACCGGGAGAAGGAGGATTATATCCGGCATCGTGCTGTCGAGTTTATTTGGCAGGTCAGCATGATGCTTAAGATGCCGCCGCAGACATCTATGACTGCGACGGTCTTTATGCACCGCTTTCTCATGCGATACTCTTTGCGCGGACAATACCCCGAGGTGGGCGCGGACCTCATGCACCCCAAGGTCATCGCGGCAGTCGCCCTGTTCGTTGCCTTCAAGGTGGACGAGACGATGCGCCGCATGAAGGATTTCGTCGTGGCCTGCTGCCGCGTTGCTATGAAGCAGCCTGATCTCGTTGTGGATGAGCAATCGAAGGACTACTGGAAGTGGCGCGACTTGATCCTCCAGAATGAGAGTGTCATGCTGGAGTTCCTCTGCTTCGACTTACAGCTCGAGTCGCCGTACCGCATCCTTTGGGATTACTCTCTCTTCCTCGGCGTGGGCGACAACAGACCCCTCCGCCACTCAGCATACGCCTTCCTAAACGACTCAACCTATACAGTGCTCTGCCTGCAGTTCCAGCCACGCGTCATCGCCGCAGCGGCCCTCTACGCTGCAGCTCGCCATTGCCAGATCGCCTTCCCAGACGACTCGGAGGGACGACCATGGTGGGAACAACTAGACGTCAAAGTGGACGAGCTCATCCGCGCCTGCAAACTCATCGTCAAAATCTACGAGCGCGTCCAGCAAAACCTCAGCAAGGGCTATCCAGACTTTGCCTTCTCGGACGCAGACCCCAACGACCCTACCCGCCTCTTCAACAACAATCCCATCGCCGACCCGGTCTCCACACCCACCCTCAGCACACCGGGCGACTCGGCCGCATTCAATGGGCGCAAACGCTCTCGTGAGCCAGACTCCCAAACCAATGAACACCACCAACCAACACCAACACCCAACACCCAACCATCCTTCTCCTCACTAAACGGGGATCGCTCACCAAAACGTCAACGCACCTTGTCACCCCATCCCACGGCAGGCGCAACAGCTTCACCTTCAAAAACACCTCGCCCGCGCATTCCCCTCCGCGCATTAGAAGCTGTTCGCCAATCTAAAACCACCGAACGACTCTCCAGCGAGAGACACGACCAAAATAACACCCAGTCATCCTCCACACAGAACCCTCAAAGAGAGGAAACGAGCGCCGAAGAAGGTGAAGTCTCGGATGACAAGGGCGTCGATCCAAGTACCGCTCCGGCAGAAACTGCAGAACTCAAGGAAACGGGTCCACCGGCTGCACCAGGAGCCGACGTTAATGACGAAGGGGGTGGAAGCGAAGAAGGCGAAATCTAGATGGCAATACGGCATCATAATCTTGGGACATTTTAGGGGGAAGAGGCGCGAATGAATAGGACCGGTATATGGGTGCTGTTCTTATTCTTTTGGCTTGGCTTGGCTTGGTTTTGTGTCGCTTGGATCTTTTTCGGCTTGCTGCGTGGATGACAGTATTGTACATCAATGACTTATTATTTACGAAATTCGAAGTGATCAAGAATATTCAAGCAACCGAAATAAAAACAAGCATTTCCTGCAAGACCGTCTATTATACCCCCTTCGCGGATTAGAAACGCAGAAAGAGATAGCGCTGTAGAACCGGGTTTGTTGCCCTGAAATGTAGAAGCGAAGAACGAGAACGCTTGTATCGGAAGATACAAGACAGGCAAAAGTTGATGCACAGACAGCGACCATGACATGAAGAAGAGCAATAACAATGCAAAGTAACCGAGACTTCCTAGAAAGGAGACAGAAAAGAAGATTCGAATTCATCATGGGCAGCTCATCGCCCTAACATCATGTCGCCATCACCCCAAGCCCATGATCCAGCAAGCTACTCGACGCCACAAAGCTGAATCCACCAAACGGATCACCGTCACCAGCCGTCTGGCCCGCAAAACTCGACGAGAATCGAGACCGACTCTCCGCATACAGGTCGTCAAACCCGCCAGTCCCTGTCGGACTGAGTGGGATCTGAGTGAAATCAGCAGAGAAGTTCTCGGCCAGAGCGGGATCCGTGACGACAGGTTGAATTGGTGGTTCGAGTTCGCGACGCTCGAGAGCTGCCCAGTCAATCTTGCGGAAGAACCGATGCTTTTTGATAGTCAGCAGGTCCTTAGGCATGTGGTAACCGAGTCGCTTCGTGGGATCTTTCCGGAGTAGTCGGATAAGTAGGTCCTTTGCGTCTGGGCCAAGGTAGTAAGGCAGAACGAGCTTTTGCTTAACGATCTTCTCTTGCAGTTTAGCGTGATTGTTAGCACGGAAGGGAGGGGAACCGGTGAGAAGGTCGAAGCCCAATGCGCCCAGGGACCACCAGTCGCATGCTTTGCCGTACGGTTTGCCCTGAACGACTTCGGGGGCCATGTACTCGATTGTGCCCAGGGAGGAGTTACAGCGCTCATCGTCGCTCACCGCGATCTTGCTCAGGCCAAAGTCGGTGAGGAGAAGGTGGCCGTCATGATCAAGGAGGCAGTTCTCTGGCTTGAGGTCGCGGTAGAGGACGCCGACGTTCTGGTGGAGGTGCTCCAAGGCGAGGACCATTTCGGCCATGTAAAACGCCGCGGCATCCTCTTGGAACATACGCTCCATAGCAAGATGAGTAAACAGCTCGCCGCCCTGGGCGTACTCCAAAATCAGGTAGAGCTTCTCGTGATCCTGGAACGCATAGAACAACTTCACCACGAACGGGTGGCGGTTGACACTCTCTAATATCATGCGCTCCGTCTTGGTTTGCTCCACGAGTTTCTTGTGGACGGTGATCGAGGCCTTCTTAAATTGCTTCTGGGCATAAAGCTTACCAGTGACCACGTGACGAACCAACAAGACAGTTCCGAATGAACCCTTGCCAAGGCAAAGCAGAGGCTCGAAATCTTCTGCGGTCATCTTCCGGCAGAGCAGGTTCCGCATATCGACTCCATTTCCAGCTGCGGCTGGGCTCGTACTGACAGGTCCCTCCTCTTTTGTGGCATCTGTACTGACAAAGTCATGCTCCAGCGACACTTCATAGCTGGTCAAAATCTCAGTCTGGTCGCTATCGGAGTACACGCTTGCGTTACTGGGAGTTTCCGAGCAAAAGCCGCCGGTGCCTGCAGTAGGCTTCCCAGAAAGACTCAGCGAGTCAAGCTGGAGCTTCAAGGCGCTCACTCCGTGGCTGTGGGGCTGAGCCCGCGGGCTCGCTCCACCCTTGGAGGTCACCGGACGAGACTCGGCAGTGCGGGAGCTAGTCGTGGAGAAATCGGAGTCCTCGTCCGCGGAGGCTAGTGGCGTGAAACCGCGGACCGTCGACAATGCTGGATCCGCCTGCGTGGCTTGCTTCTTCTTCTTAGTCTTGCGCCGCTGCTTGCCGGACAACAGGGTCGGATGAAACGCCGGGGGTTGCATCAGATTATCCCCATTGGCCCTGTAATTGGCCATCTGCTTGCGCGGCGACAGCTGGTCGTCTCCCATGTGGACATCCGGGACGCGGTGATTGGTCAAGATGTCGACGGCGGAGGGCTGCGCGCTGTCAGCCTGCGGAGTAAAAACATCTCCAACTGAGAGATCATCTTGCGGCGCAGAAGAAGGCATGATGCTCGACTGCGTTTGTCGCAGCAGTCAACGGTATTGTAGAAAAGCTCAACTCCGATTTGAACCTTAGGGTTTCGTTCCCAGTAGAGGCGCCGACAAGAGTCGCGGTGCGGAGGGCAATCAAGGACACACCAGTGGTGTTTGTTATGGCAAATAGATACTCGAGAGGCCTGTATGGCTACCACTATCGTCCGCCAATGCCATGTTAGCTTTAATCTTTTTTCAACTTGCTTACGATGGCGGGTATGGAGGGGTAGAGGAGAGCTTTCTCGCGCGCGAGGTTTTGCCCCACCAATCGCGATGGAGGAAAGGGAAAAAAGAAACAACGAGTTTCTCGGATTCCGGGAAAGGCAGCAACGAAGACTCACCTCAACGTGATAGCTGAATGGTACAGTCTCTTTTTAGCTGACTCTCAGCCAGCTCGTAAATCTTCGAGTAATTTTACCGTCCGCCCTTCTTCAGGACGGACCCGGGACCCCTAGCCAAATCACTTCGCCGACCGCGAAGTCGAAAGCCAAGGTGGAGGGAGTCGGTAGGGGATATGCAGTCACGGTGAGGGCTTTGGTCGGGGTGCGGTCGCTGTGGATCTCAGAGGTAATCAAGGGGAGGTTGACCAGGAAGTTGGCCAAAGAAGTCGAGACGAGCGAGGACGGCGGCGCAGACAGGCACATAGAGGAAATCGCGGGGCTGGTCTTGGTTGATCGGTTGATCGACTGATCCGGGAGAGTGTCAAAGAGGAGGAACAAGATTGGGTGTTCCCACAGTGAAGGATAAGTTGAAAGAGTAAGACACAAAGCTGAAGAAAAGCATCACTTTCGGGCGTAAATCCGGGGGCTACGGACTAGACCGGATCGGGTGTTCACGTGCAAGGCATGGGCAATCTAGGAACTATGAATGGTCTGGAGATGATAGGCAGAAGCAAAGGGAGGAAAGGGAGAATAAGGATACCACTGGCCTCAAAGAATAGTATCAGCTACTATTGAAGTCGGTTCTTACTCTGCAAACTTGGATCATGACGCTGTCATGACTTCCAATCGGATCGGGGCAGATACTACTCTACCATAGAGGCTGACTATCCCACCAAATCTGACTGGCTACAGCACCATCACATTGAAGTACTCTTAATGACTTGAGAAATTGTACTTCGAAACATTACAACTAGTCTTTTTTGGGGGAGTTCCCGATTTATGACGTCTCAAACAATCAATCATAGGCATTCCATCCAGAAACTTCGATGTCCGGCGGAAGTCAGCCGCCGTGCAGCATGCACGATCGATCGATTCCACGCACATCATCACTCGACTGCCTTACCTGCGTGCCACATCGTGGTTCTTGAAGAACGTTTGGGAGCGAGTAATCTCGACACCAGAGCGCTGGACAAATGCCAACGCGCTAGGCTTCTCGACGCGGACGGTGACGCGCTCATTGCCATAGTCCACCGTCGCGATGCGAGCCACAAAGGTAGCCAGAGCTTCAACCGTCTGGAAAGTGGTCTCGTCGACTTTCTGTATTCCCAATGTTAGACTATGAATCAGCAGCAGCTGTCAAGGCAAATGACCATCACGATCAAACAGGATCTTTATACATACCTCCGCAACAGCCCGCGTCAGAGCCACATACGTATCGACCACGGTCGATCCCCAAGCCAACTGGCCGGGACCCGAAAAGCCCAGGGAAATAATAACAGCCTGCTTCTCAACCCGCTCATGCGAATTCACACCAAGAATACAGTAGCAGCGAACCCCTTCGATACGGAACTCCTCCTCCAACACCACGGGACACCGCGACTCAGAATCCAAGACCTCCGCATCCGCACCATCCTTGTACCCCCACACCGTGACGCTCCGATACTTGAGGCCCTCCTCCGCACGCAGCAACGCCTTGGGCAGGTGCAACCACACCTCACACCGGCCATACTCGGCCGCGATTGGGGACGAGCGGGGAGGCGCGGGGACGGGGGGCGGTGGTGCGCCTGAGAAGCTATTCCGCGGGCTCTGGTGCACATGAGCCATGCGGCGCACACCGGCGGCTGTCTCATCCAACAGGCCCAGACCGCAGTTCGCCACTATACCGGCCGTAACGCGCGGGTCCTGGCCCACGGCACTGATCTTCATCTCCTCGCGCTGTGTGCCGTCGACGCTGACCATGCGGTGATGCGGGTGCTCAGGGGAGATGGTGTGGTGGGCCATCTCGCGAACATCGGTCTCCAAGCGTCGGAAGAGCTTGCCATAGTCAAGAGAGAGCGAAACGTCGTCTTGTTCTGCGGCAGCGATGGCGGAAGAATAGGATAGCTTTAGGCTTGCTGTGCAGGGCTGCGGCTTGTCGGGGCGATGCCATGGGTCTGGGGCAGCGGGGAGCGGGAGCTCGATGTTGCGGAGACGGACGCTGTCAAGGACGGCCGGGGTTGTAGGAATGTGCACGGCGGATCGAGGGGAGGACATCGTGATTGACAGGTTGCGAAAGAGTTCGCTGGTGCTCCAAAGATAGAGTAGAAGGTGGGGGAGCCGGGATTGAACTCCGACGACAGAAATCGAAGCAGTTTTTTTGGGTAAGTGCCTACGATCAAGTATAATTGTGTCAAATGGAGCAGTGATTGAATTAGAGAATCGGGCCCGTGTCCAGCATTCCTTCTCGAAGTTGGAACGATGGAACGAGGTTGGACGACTGCGGCGGGGAAAAAGAATGGAGAGCTCGGGAAGTTTTTGGGGCGGGGCGCAGATCATGACGGCACGAGATCCCCCGCTGAACCTTCAAGATACCGGAACTTGCATAGATTCTCTACTGAGCAAAGTCACCAATTGAAGACAACTCGAATGCTTGAGAATCAGCACCCAGATATTACGAATCTAGTACTAAGACAATGGAGACAAAAAGGTAAATTATTAGCACTACAGACCGGTCTGCACCGTTGCGTCACATCACACCCTAGTCATCATCGTAGCTGAGAATAGCTGAAGATAGCTGAGAAACACTGTCATCGACCAGGTAAGATGCACAAAGTCCGTCAACATATCATAACATAAAATCCAATCCCCCCTCTGCGCCCCTAGATCCGTCGATATCTTTACAGACAAAGTAAAATCCAGAATGCAGAAGCAGACAAAAGAAGAATCAGAGCAACGGGCGACCGAGGTGTGAAAATCAGGGTAGTAAAGTTGCAAATGCATTACTGTCGGCCCGGAGGAGATTAAGCTCCACTTTTGAAATGCGTCCCCGATAGCATTGCATCAAACACTTCCTAGTACCGACGCCGAGCATATAAAGCCCAGCTCGAGATGTAGAAGAGGACATCAGGATGCAAGCTTGTTAGCCACATTCAAAAAAAAGGACGAGTCCCCAACCTTAAAGAGACGGGCTAAGAAACTCGGCAGACATAACGAAGCATGGTACCATCAGGGGGAAGGAAGAGCACGCAGAACAATACGGAACGGCTGGGTATTTGACGAGTAGGAGACAAGAGGAAGAAAGGATAAAGCACTCGCTATATCCGCAAGAGATATGTGAGCGAACATGACGACAAGATGTCATCTACCAGTAGCGCGGACGCTCATAGGCAACGTAGTCACTTCGGGGAGGAGAACGTGGGCGGCCGTATTGCCGCGCCGCTAGATAGGGGTCATCATAGTGGCGCGGCGGAGGCGGCCGGGCATCATAAGGGTCCTCGTACGGACGACGGGGAGGCGGATAGTCCTCCATCCGGGGGCGCGGGGGTGTGCGACGTCCATAGCCATCGCGGTCATAGTATCCTGCGCGCATGGGGACCGGTGACCGTTCACGATAATGGTCCCGGGGACTGTATCCACGGGGGGTGGGGAACCTTCGGTCGTATTCATCCATAGGAGGATAGGGCCGACGTGGGGAGCGAGACCGGTACGGTTCACGGTAAGGACGGTCTTCATAGCTTTGGATCTGAAGAAAGAGATGAGACGGGGTGTTTCCGGGGAAGCAAAACTACGAGGGCTTGATATGTCCGGGGCTGGAAGCTGGGTATTCTTACATCCGCAACGCAGGTCACGCGAGAGCCTTTGAACTCGTGCTGGTCCAGCTTTTCCACGGCGGTCTTGAGGTCGTTTGCAGTTTCGAATTCAACAAACCTTGTGTTCCTTTGTCAATGAGGGGCCCAAGATAGATAGGGAGAACCTGGGGGTCAATGGCTCGGGTTGTAGATGATGAACCCACCCTCTTCCTTGTTCGCGGCCGGTCTCGGAGTAGACCACATCCAGTCCTGACTGGCGAGCAAAGTCTTTCAAGTCCTAGAAAAGGAATGGTGAGTCCAGGTCCCGGAAAGAATGAAAGAAATGTCCGGTCAATTCCATAGAGCCAAAGCGGGGAAGAACGGGAATGGTGACAGTCTACGTCCAGTCAAGCAGGGGGTTCTGATCCATTATGGCCTCATTGGAACGGAGTCCTTGCGGGCTGTCAACAAGGGCCACACTTCCATTGCTCGGGCATTTGGAGCAAAAATTGCAGATGCCAAGAGATCGGCAGGGAAGATGGGACACCAGGAAAGGGTGCTTTATCAATAGCAGGTCCATGGGTTCCAGCAGTCAAACCAATCACCCGGGCAAACGGATCATAGACTGGAAGAAAAGGCATGGTTCATGCGAAAAAAGAAAAAAGGAAAAAGCAAGAAAAAGGTCCAGGGAAATATAAAAGAGGTCCAGAGCATCCAGGGAGGAATGGGCTTGGGCTGCTAACCTGCCAACTAGTCTCAGGGAGACCGGAGATTTGCATCCGGAACATGGTCCGACGAGGACGAGGAACCGCCGGGCGATCCTGTGGACCAGGAAAGTTCTCCTTGCGTCGGGGACCACGAGCAAACTGCACTGTCAGTCGCTCTCCTTTGAAGTCACTGCCATCTGTAGCCAGCTTGTAAGTAGGTCCAAGTCTTGAGTGATTCGGGTTGTCATATGTTAACCGGAAAGAGATCACGTACGGAAAGCTAGAACGGAAAGGTCCGAAAGTTAGCAGATCAAGGGCACGGATTGTAGGTTCAGACCCCCTCAAATATCAAGAGCTGTCAGATGCTGAGTGGACATACCAGGTACGACGTCACGGGCATCCATGGCATCTTCATACTCGATGAAGCCAAAGCCGTTCATCAGCTTGATCTCCGTAATCTTACCGGAGCCATGGGTACTGAAGTGTTCCTCGATGTCCTGTTTGGTGACTGCAAGTCATTCGATGGCAGACGGTGTCAGCTGCACAGGCCTTGAAAGAAGATCGCAATCCATGGTGGCTGAGCTCCTAGGGATCGGGGCTGTTGTTTCCATGCGGCTCAAAATAACTCCATGGGAAAGTGGACCGCGTCTCTCAGTGGGGGGTGAGAGGGAAATCCTTGGAAAAGGGGAACCGAGCCAACAGGGGAAAAGGAAAGGTAGACGAGGAAAAAGGTGGATTGCCAGCATACCATTGCGGGGAAGGTTCCCAAGATACAGTCGGGTGGATGAAACCTCCGTCATGGCGGTCAGTCAGGCGATCCTGACGAGACAGGAGACGGTGGCCTAAAAGGATGCGAGTAAAGAGGCCCCCGAATCAGGGAAAGGCGGGCGCTAGAACCCCGGACACGAGAAGAAAAGGGGGGGAGGTTAGGCTGGAAAAGTTAGATTTCGGGCACACACACGCTTTCCACCGCAGTGCCGGCGAGAAAGAGAAAGAAGAGGGAGATGCAGGAAGTGCAGAAGAGAAAAGAGGAGGGGGTGTGGTAAAGAGAAGGAGAAAGTCGAGATGGCGGTGGGCGCAGCTATTGGAACTTTGGCCGCCTCACTTTTTTTCTTTCCAACAATCCACGTGGTCCCAACTGGGGAGGGGAACAAGGATCTTTCACACTGCACCGATTGTGGTGGTATGGGAAGTTTCCTCAACCTTGAAAATCAAGTGTTTAAACTACCCATAAACAAAGGGTCAAGTAGGTTTATAGACGCCGATGAATTTAGTTGATCCGCCTCGTGGACCTCCACTCGCATTCCACGGTTCTGCCCGCGGATTGCTCCCCATGGGGCGTTTTGCCACGACCAGACTTATACAAAGTACGGAGTACAGTAAGCGACTGTATACTGTACACGATAATGTTTTCTGGGCTACTATAATGGGAGCGCTCAGCCTCAGGCTCACTTTAACGGAGTAATTGTCAGCACCAGCTCATGGTCAATAGAGTCATGTGACCCAGGAGTGATCACTCAGCCATTGCTCACTCAACGACATGCACTGCAAAAGATAACTAGTCAACGAGTACAAGATCAGTTTTCATTGGCTAGTATACGGGTGCAATTAGCAGACTCTGCAGGAGCGGGAAGCTAATGGTGAGAATAGCTAAGACGAGGACGGAGTTAGCTTCATAGTAGACAAACACCTTCAGTCGAGCGCTACAGGCAATATACTACAGTTTCTACACCATTACTACAAGAAACATGGAGAATGATCTGGACCTAGTAGACAGTTAGTAACATCATTCAGTCTGGCGATTGTACAGACATAACCCGGGCATGCACGTTCCCAGGCGAGGGTAGGGGCTCAATTCTACTCGAGTAGAAGCGGCGAGAGGGTGAGCACTACGGAGAACAGTAGGAGAAACGGCGTATGAATACACTGTACGGGAGCTGCACCGTACTTTGATTCTCGATACTCGAAGAGAACCGTTCAGGGTAATTCAAAAGGTATGTAACCACAAGGCTCTGTGCTTTTGGTAATCTCGCATATGTACAGTACAATACAGGCGATCAAGGTCTCGCTATTTCGAAAAAATCCCCCCAGAACTCCTTTCCTAGAAACAGAAAACAGTCCTCAAGTCATGATATACTTAGGACCCTCTCCACCCTGTGGGGTCTGCCAGTTGATATCCTGGGTAGGGACCTTGATATCGCAGGTCTTGCAGTGAATGCAGCTAGAAGAGAGACAGTCAGCATCATGCACTATACAACATCCGAGATAGATATCCTCGGTTCAGCGAAGGCGGATAAGCGGAACTTACTTTTGAGCGTTGATCTGGAATCGGACACCGTGCTGCTTGGTGGAATCTTCAACGTACTCGTACACACCGGCCGGGCAGAACCGGTTCTCTACACCCTTATACACGGGCCAGGCGAGGTTCTTGTGAGCCTCCCAGTCTTTCACCTGGAGGTGGACGGGCTGGTCCTCCTCATGATTGGTACCCGTGCGGCTCACACTGGTCAGGATGTCGAAAGTGACCTCGCCATCGGGCTTAGGGTACTCGATCTTGTTGTATTGCGAGGCGGGCTTGGTAGCTGCGGCATCCGTACCGTGATGACTGAGAGTCCAAGGCACACGGCCGCGGAAGATCATAGCTTCCAATCCAGAGTAGAGCAGACCACCCCAGAAGCCGAGCCAGCTGTTGAAAGAGGGGCGGATGTTGCGCACCTCATAGAGCTCCTTCCAGATGGACGAACTCCGCAAAGCCTTCTCATAGTCGAACAGGAACACCGTGCCCTCATTCTTACTCTGCAGAGCAGAAAAAGTGGCCTCGGCGGCTAGCATGCCCGACTTCATGGCAGTGTGAGTACCCTTGATCTTAGGAACATTCAGGAAGCCAGCCGTGTCACCGATCAGAGCACCACCGGGGAAAGCGCACTTGGGGATGGATTGGAAGCCACCCTCGTTCAGCGCACGAGCACCATAGGAGATACACTTGCCGCCCTCCAGCACTTCCCGGAACATGGGGTGCTGCTTCAGCTTCTGGAACTCCCCATATGGCGATAGCCAAGGGTTGGGGTAGTCCAGACCAACCACCAGACCAATGCTGACCATGTTGTCACCAAAGTGGTACATCCAAGCGCCACCGTAGGTATCCTTGGGTAAAGGATAGCCCATCGAGTGGGTGATCTCACCCGACTTGAACTTCTCGGGCTGGATCTCCCAGATTTCCTTAATACCCAGACCGTACGTTTGGGGCTGGCTGTCTCGGCGCAGATCGAACTTCTTCATCACCTGCTTGGTTAAGCTTCCATGGCATCCCTCGGCAAGGAGGGTGACGCGGGCATGGAATTCCATACCGCGCTCAAATGTATCTTTCGGCTGGCCATCCCGGCCGATTCCGAGATCATTCGTCGCAACACCCTTGACAGATCCATCACTGTTGTAGACGACCTCACTGGCGGCAAATCCGGGGTAAACCTCTACGCCGAGCTCCTCCGCACGTTCACCCAACCACTTGGTCAACTCATTCAAACTGACGATGTAGTTGCCGTGGTTATGCATCTGCGGCGGGGTGGGGAGGGGGAATGACGAGTTTTTAGTGAGGTAGCGCATCTTGTCACCCTTGGCAGGAGTCGCACCCTCAAAGCGGGAGGGGTTGTCCTCTGACAGCCAGTCGGGGAGAAGCTCGTTCAACGCGGTCGGCTGGAGAACGTTGCCGGAGACGATATGAGCACCCAGCTCGCCGGCTTTCTCTAACAAAATCACTCGAAACTCCTCATTGCCAGCTTCGTTCGCCAGCTGCTTCAACCGAATGGCGGCCGCGAGACCGGAGGGGCCTAGATCGATCAAGAGGTTTCGTTTAGCAGAAATCACTTTACGGAGGGGAGCTATCAAACGCCCAGGCATTGCAAACACGTACCACCACCGACAATGCAGACATCCACCTCGTCGGACTCTCGCTCCATGGAACGAGGATCAAAGTTTCCATCCTCATCGGCAAGCCGGCGTGTTACTGACTGCGAAAAGGCGCGGATCTGAGTAGGTGGGAGGAAGGGTGCGGAGCGGCGGGCAATTTGTCGACGGGAGGTCGCGAAGGAAGTGGCAGGAGAGCAAACAGGGACGGCGAGCGCGGGGGTAGCTCGTGCGAGTCGGGAAGAGGAGCATCGCATCTCGCGCCTCAACAGAGGCAAGACGGCGCCTTTTGACGCCATCGTCGGCGCAATAATGTATAGATGTGGAGGGAAAGCGGACGAGGCGATTGCGGACAAGTTGCGATCCTATCGGGCGCCAATGGGCATGACCGATTTGAGGTGTCGAGAAGGATATCTAGAAGGTGATGATTGTGAGGGGAATCCTTCGATGGTTTCGACGTTAACGTTTGAGCCTTGAATAGCCGAGAGGCTGTTGGCGAGTGCAGCCGAGCCTTTTGCAGCTCAAAACGCCGAAAACCGCCTACCCGAGGCTCAGTGCCCACCCGTCCACCAATCAGAGCTCCGGTGATGGGAATCAGGAAGTTCTCCGTTGACACCTTTCTGGGTCACCGACCGCCGGTGGTCTTCGGAGATTCACCTTGGCTCCCCTGGTCCAGTTCAAGTACGCAGTAGGTTGTAGAAGAACGACATTGATAAAGAGGCATTCAGGTATCATGGCTTGCTATAGCCCTACTAAGAAGCCAGTCAGGCGATGGTTCAGTTGTATTTGAGCGCGGTCCCAATCACGTGTATCACATGCAAAAATCTTTTCGAATTTACAGTTTGACAGTCTCTTGACATCATCAACCCTGAGCTGGTTGAGAAGAAAGAGCTAAGGATTTAAATCTCAATAGTTCATAGCAGTAGTCCAAATTTTTGAAACAAGAGTTGGAAGAAAAGGCATAGCCCGACACGCTCCAACCTGCTCTGTGTCTGAAGATCTTTTGGAATATCTTTTGAATTATCATTTTGAATAGCCCAGGCATTATCTTTCGATTTGTCTTTCAACGCATGCCCGATGAGATTGATCTTGAAGTTTGGTCGGGGTTTCAAGCTTATGAAACAACACTGTACGGAGTACACTGTACTCAGTATACAAGTACGGAGTACGGGCGTGTAGAGTACATACAGTAGCCTCGTACTTTTGTCGGTCTCCAGTGTGATCTGCATCAGCTCGACTCTTCCCACCCTAACAAACAAATCTGTATGCCTAGTTTGGCTGTCATTACACCGCTCTTACTTTCAAAATTGTTGGATTTAATTACAGTAACCATAAGAATGGTTTACATATGTATCACGGCTATGCAGTCAGCACTGGGCGTACAAAATGGAGTACAGTATTGACAGATTCAGTATGAATACCGGGGATTTGCAGGAATGTGACGACGACACTGCCAAGTATGGTATTCAGCATACCGAACTCATGGAAAATGCTGATCAAGAAAGATACAGTAGTACTCGGTACATTACAGAGTATGAATGTGCGGAGATGTACTCCGGTGCTGCGACCGATCCAACTTACCCTATGAGGAGAACGCGAGGTCGAAAAAGTGACAGCCTGGAGAAAAGCAGCGATCATCAACCCGCATGCCATGAGATTGATTCATCGCAGGCTTGGCGGGTGCGGTGGATCAGATCCGCAAATTTGACCAGTCGACTTGGTCCGGTCGAACCCAAAATCAAAATCTGCTCTCCCCCCAAACGGCCACCTGTCCTCATGGCCGGGAATTCCAACACGGCCGGAGGCCGACGGTACTTCTCATGGGCGACAACAAGAGAGTATTTGTTGGGTGCTGACTCTCTGGCCTGTGTTTGCGTCGAGTCATTCGCAGCCTAGCATCGCGAGCGAGGGTCGAAAAAAAACCAGGATGTCCGGATGGTTGGCGCTTCGCAATCGCCTCTCCCAAGTAGTGGGGATGGGGAAAGAGGGAAAGAAAGACGGCCGCCCCGAACAATTTTTGTTCAGTTGCCATCGCTTAAAGCAGCGAGAGGATAGCGCGTCGTCCAGGGAGCAGCCACGGAGCGGCGAGGAAGGTGATTGGGCCGCAGCAAGCAGGATGGGGACGGATCCGACTATCAGCTGCAAGAGGCCCGCGGACTGGACGCCCAATAGCGACACCCATGGCGCTGTTGAGGATAAAAGAGAGTCATCGGGGGGAAAAGAGGATGAAAGCAAGGGCGGCGTGGCCAGTCAGGGGGTCAGGATGAGACAGAGTGGATCTGCATCGACGAATCGTTCGCCTTGATAGGAGGGATTGGATATCATTGGCTTCGTCAGCCAGTCTCAGAGCCGCTAGCGGCCCCCTGGTGGAGTTGGGTAGAAGTTAGTGGCTGAGGGGAGGACGATGAGTGGTCATAAAGGGGGATGGGTGGAAATGGGTGGAACAGGGTGAACGGCACCTCTCGCTGCTTTTGCCGCCACCCAAAGCGGGCCCAGCCTCCCCTGACGCGGGCAGTGAGTCAGCACTATATAAAGGCCCAACCTCCCACGCCCGCGCCCTCGCTGGATTTTTGGGATTTCTGTCTCGGTCTTGGCATCCGCTCCAAACTATACGCTTCCCTTTCCCTCTCTCCGACTAATCTTGGCTCCTTTCGAGTTCGCTCAAGGATTCATCTCTCTTCGGGAAGCTCCTCATCTTTTTTTTTCCTTTTGTTTTTCTGTTTCTTCGGAACGGAAAATCTAAAAAGAACAAAAAAAAAAAATAGGTCGCAATCAAAAAAAAAGCAGTACCACCAGGTTCTCTCCCAGTTTCACACTTGGGCTTACCTAATCCGGAAGCTTGTCTCCTGCTCATCCCTGAGTCTTGCTCCACCACTCTCATTCAAGATCACTGCACAAGATAGACACTCAAAATCCCATTCCCCAAAAAAAAGCAGAGGATCCAAAAAAGAAAACAAAAGAAACTTACATCAACCAAAAAAAGTGGTTTTTCTTCTTCCTCGTCTTCTGTCATAACATCCTGACCCCAGAAAACACTTGAGTGTGCTTTTCTTGACACGTGTCTTATCATCGAGGAATTTTCCTGGTCAATCTCGAGTTTTTTGAGATCCGAGTTACCATCGCCTTTGTTCCGATCGAGCCGCATTCTGTTCTTATAGGGGGATACATTCACTTGTCCATCTCCCGCCCAGTCTTGGTAAGTTCACGGGTCACTCACGTGATTGGTTACTGCATCAGTTCACCGCCTTCTTTACTCGGCCTCGAACCCCCCCCCCCCTTTCTCTTCTTATCCTCCGCCTTCTCATCTCGCCACCATCGCTAACCTCCCCCTCTCTTTCCTCACTACAGCCGTGAATCTTCCTTTCACACACCCGATTCACCGTTGATCTTCGTAATCCCCGAGAGTCGCCATCATGGATTCGCTTACGACACACCCGTCGAACGCGCAACAGGCCCGTGCCTTCACCTCACCTTCCTCGCTCTCCTTCCCAGGCGGTGCCGGTGACCTCACCCCGCCCTCGTCGGAGAAAGAGGCCCAGGCAGTCAACGGTCAACAGCCAGCTGGAGGAAATGCCGCTGATGGCAACGGGGTGACGCCCGCTACTCCGGCTGCGACTCCTGGTGCTGCCACCCAAAACAACCCAAGCGGCATCGTGCCCACTTTGCAGTGAGTATTACCCATGTTTCCAAGCCCTGTGTCTCTTTGTGTCCCCACCCCAAAGAAACCTTCGGCTGAGACTTTTTCTCCACCTGAAAAGGAACATCGTGGCTACGGTCAACTTGGACTGCCGTCTTGACTTGAAGACTATCGCGCTGCACGCACGTAATGCCGAGTATAATCCTAAGGTATATTCCACACCTCCCTGAGATTGTTCCATGCATTCAGGGTACAGTGTGGCTGAACTGGTCTCTCTTTTTTTTTCTGCAAATAGCGTTTCGCCGCCGTCATCATGCGTATCCGTGAGCCCAAGACTACCGCTCTGATCTTCGCCTCTGGCAAGATGGTTGTCACTGGTGCCAAGTCTGAGGATGACTCCAAACTGGCATCCCGCAAGTACGCGCGAATCATCCAGAAACTTGGTTTCAACGCCAAGTTCACGGACTTTAAGATTCAAAATATCGTCGGCTCCTGCGATATCAAGTTCCCCATCCGTCTGGAGGGTTTGGCCTCTCGTCACCACCATTTCAGCTCCTACGAGCCTGAACTATTCCCCGGTCTCATCTACCGTATGATGAAGCCCAAGATTGTGCTCTTGATCTTCGTCAGCGGAAAGATTGTCTTGACTGGTGCTAAAGTGCGCGAGGAGATTTACTCAGCTTTCGAGCTGATCTATCCTGTGCTCTCTGGTAAGTTCCATGCCTGCCGTCCTCCCGGCATGCTTATGCTTGAATGAACCGTATCACTAACAAAACATATATAGATTTCCGCAAGGTTTAAGAGACTCTGCACGTTCCCAGGAAGATCTTCCTTTCAACCATCTATGTATTAACATTCTCCCCTTTTTTTTCTTCTCATTTCCCACCCTCTTCTTACGCGACGGTTCAAACTTGAATATCGGCACACAGCACAGAGCACCGTCTGTTGCTGGCACCAGGTTACCTCGCTTTTGCTTTTTATCACCTCGGAGTTGTGGCTCCCTCACGATTTCTCATGCAAGCATTGTTCGGCGTTTTTAGCGATTCGGGATGATCCCTGGTTTTGTTTCATCATTTCGATTGCCTTTACAATTAGATTGCTGCACACCGCAGTGGAGGCGGTTCTGTGCGCTGGTCGAATGGCTGCCTCTTAATCCTGTTTTCTTTTCTCTGCGCTGGACATACCTGCGATAGGGCGACTTATCGCAGGCCCAAAAAAATGGTGAGAGGCTCCCTAGATGTCATCGTTACTCTATGCTGGTGGATGACAGGAGATTGAGAGCGGCTTTGGTTCTTGTTCTGCCGCAGTGCTTCCGTTACCAAAATGGAAATTTTTGAAAGAAAAAAAAAACTTTTTTCCCTTGTAGACTAAGTGGTTTAGTGATCACCACATTGTGGTCCTTTGTAATTCAGTCTGTCGTCAATATGAATCGGACGCGTCTCTCGTTGACTTGCGGTATGCTGTATGTTCAAAATCTATACTATCCATATACACCGTTATGTACTATACACAATCACAACATGTACAATCCGCCCCTCTCCTCCTTCCACTCACAATAATAATCTACAAAACACCCTTTCTAGCAGCCTTCTTCGTCTTGGCTAGCTCATCCTTCAAAATTAAGTCTCTGGCTCCGGACCGGCTGCCATCGCCATCAAAAATATCATCAGTCGCCGTACCAGGCACCACCACTTCATTCCAAGTCCACAAATCCCGGAACCCAGGTTCCAGTGTGCCCTCCAACGCATCAACCACTTTGTCACCAATGACAGGGAAGAACTTGTAGGCGTGTCCGCTGCCACCAGTAGCAAGGAAAAGGCCCTCGTATTCGGGGTGATACGAGACAATAAAGTCGCCATTGGGACTGGAGGGGATGTAAGCTGTGGTACTTGGAAGGAGGTGTGAGGTGTTCAGCCTTAGTCTGGTGTCTAGACCGCTGAACCATTTCATGTCCCAAACAAAAGCAGGATGATAAGGATTACTTACGTGTCGGTGTACCAGCAGATACGAGTACCGGAAAATGGCCGGTTGACGAACCGCGGAAGCAGCTGTCTCAGTGCCTCTCGGAATGCCTCCTCTCCCTCCAGGGGAACGGGCAAGCCCGTCTCGGGCAGACTGACTTGCATGGTCTGACTGGATGACTCCGCACCGGGCACGGGCACGGTGGTCGGATTGCGATAACCATATGCATGGCGCGCAATCTTGAGCAGGTTATCTCGCGGCGGGATAATGAAGATGCCCGTCGCAAAGTTCAAGATAGTCGGCAGATTCTCCAACTCCTTCTGCTCAGCATCGGAGATCTTGATATAAGCAATAGCCTGGCCCGTAGCCACAGCCTTGCCTCGCATATCCACCAACTTGCCCGTCCACGCTCCAGTCGCAAGAATCACCAAGTCCGCCTCCAGCGTCTCCTCGCCCACCAGCACCACGCCCTTCGCCTTGGGCTTCGAACTCGACCGGTCGAATAGGACCTTCTCCACCTCGGCAATCTTGAAATCCACCTTGTCATCGGCATCGAGCAATCCCTTCGCAAATCGCACTCCAGCTGCCGCATCACCCCACCCAGATCCCCAATTCACGTACCCACCCGCAACATCCAATTCCTCACCATACGGGGGTACAACGCTCAGGACATCCTTCTGAGTAGGCAGAAAGACCACCTTGTCGCCCTCAATTGCCCGCACGTTGGCGTAGCTCTTGCGCGCATACTCTTGTGCACTGGCGCTGTCGCTGGGATACACTAGCAACAGACCGGTCTGTGTGTAGCGACCCTCGGCGCCCCAGGCGGTCGAGCGCCAGCGCTTAATGGCTTCATTTGCGAGTCGGCTGTATGCGGAATTGGCATAGTCGGCGCGGATAATGCGCGATGTGTCCACGGACGAGCCGTTTGGGTTGGGGATCGGCGCCGAGTCGACCACAGTGATTTGCGAATTGGGGTGGCGCTCGCGGAGGGACAAGGCCGTTGATACTATGAAATTAGATCAGTTGGTATTCCTGCCTTTTATTGGCAGACTGGGTTCTGAATTCATTTCCGTGTCCAGGGCGAGCAGTGCTGGTGCCACCATACGTATGGTCGGTCGTGTGCCGATATGGCATTGGCCAATGTAGACAGAGATTGTGTGAAGGGTTTGACTTACGGCCGAAAACGCCTCCACCGACAATTAGAATCTTCGGCGGCAGTGCCATTGTGAGAAGGGAAGTGTGAAAGAAATTCACTCTGTACAATTTCGTGCGGGGGAGAAAGGGAGAGGGTGGACTTGAAAGTGTGCATCTCCAGGAAAGTGGAAACCGATAGCCCGATAACGGAGTTGCCCCGGTCTTCTGCCGAGTTCTCCATTCGACATCCCGACGCCGTTGCAGAGCGTATCAACCGGGGAGTCTTGCCATTCACGCAGTAGCGGGTCATAGAATGAGATGAGAAAACGGATTTGAGGATCTCCCCGCTCCGTTGTTATATGTCCAGACGTGCGTTCTTCTTCGCGAAGATTTGAAATTTTCAACGTGTTTCACGACGTCCTCGACGGCGGTCCTCCTAGAAAGGTCTATCGGACAATATAGCTTTGTCTGTACCGAAGTCTTTCTCTTCAGAGGTTTTATCAGGAAAGGGAGCCTGGGTGGCTTCTCGCCAGCAACAGTCAGAATGAGTGCGCTTCGGATAGGTCGCGTCTCTCTCCAGGCTAAAGATCATACCACCACCTTCTCGAGAGGCATAAAAAGCAAGGCGCGTCGACAAACACAGTCAACGTATGTTCCCAACGCTAGATGTTCAAATTCAATCTTCAAGATCAGTCACTGACTACTATCGCAGCTCCAAAACCAGTCCACCACAGAGGCAGACACCCCCTAAATCCGAACTCCAGCGTTTCCAAGAACGCATTCGCGCGGAGAAGGATGCCAAGCAAAGAAAAACCTATCATGGCATCTCGCCACGCGTACTCACCTTCCTGGGCATCACAGCCTTGACCATCAGTACCTACACGGGCTATCTGTACGCGTCATACACGCGCGAGGTCAGCAAAGCGCAATCCATCGACGTCCCGACCGACGTCTCAGATCGGTACAACTCGACCGCGCCGACCTTTGACGCCGAGGTTGAATTGTCTGAGAAAGCTATGCGCATGGGTACTAAGCGCGCTGAGCTCGTTCGTATGGCGCGTGGTGATGTACTGGAGGTGAGCTGCGGTACGGGCCGGAATTTGGAGTACTACGAGCTAGGCGAGCGGCGTGGGGTTGACGCGGAAGGAAAGAGTGCGATCAAGGGTTGTCGTACTTTGACTTTGGTGGATTTGAGTCCGCAGATGGTGGCTATCACGGAGGAGAAGTTTCGACGGTTGAGGCCGGAGTTTACGCGGGTGCTTTTTCGTGCACAGGATGCGGCAAAGGTTGCCGTTGAGAAGCCTGTGGCTACGATTAAGACGTCTAAGGATGTTGGTGATGGGCCTGGAGCTCGTGAGGATCGGTATTATGATACCATCGTGCAGACTATGGGGTTATGCTCGATGCCGGACCCCGTGGCGACGTTGAAGCATTTGGGTTCAATTACGGAGCCTAGTCGTGGTCGCATCTTGCTTCTGGAGCATGGGCGTTCTTATTATGGGTGGCTGAACCGGATTTTGGATAATCTGGCGCCGGCACATGCGGATCGCCATGGGTGTTGGTGGAACCGGGATATTGGGGCTATTGTCAAGGAGAGTGGGTTGGAGGTGGTGGAGGAGAAGCGGTGGCATTTTGGAACAACTTGGAAGTATGTTCTACGGCCAAGGCAGGACCAAGCGAGAGGGGAATAATTTGGAGATATACAGGTGCCGGGTGAACTGCTTTCCGGCGATGTTGTGTATGATCTGTGGTTGTATATATTTGAGGATCTGTAAGACTAAACTCTGATATGTTTGAGACTGAAACATAAGTCTCTGGCTGTTTTCAATCGCATTTAGTATCTAATTGAAATCTCTTGCTTGTAAAGAGTGGCCCAGCTAAAGGTAGATGTTGATAGTTCGGGATTACTGCGTTGGCTACTTTGTGCAATTTAGATGTTCGTTTCACCATCCATGTAACACTGTCGCAGACTGATGAGCGCGGGCCAACGTGCCCACTGAAACCCCCTATCGGAATGCGTCAAATCGATAAGCGCGTCCCAGTCTGTTTCAAGATGCATGGAAAACCAAGCAGCATGGGCATCAAGGCCCCCGGTCTAAAGAAGAGGCCCCCTCTAATAGCGTTATGCTAGTACAGTATCATCAGGGTGGACGATTGGAAGTGGGATCAAGTCTAATACACATGATACCAGACTCGGTTATCCGAGCCGACCGACCAAGTTTACCTATTCATGTGCCAACATGCGCCAACAAACAAGGATGCCAAAGTATCCAACATCCCACTCGGCTATATCAAACAAAGAAATGATACACCCATCAGCCTCGCTTATGAAGAAGGAGGGTGACTCGCCGTATCTATTCGGCCCACCCTAATCACGGTACAAACGACGGCGTCAGGCGGAGAACGCGGCCTTCCAATCTAGATCGATAGCGACATGCAGTTCGCAGATCGCTGCAGGGGTGTGACTCCAGGATTTGGATGTCTTGAATCTGGCTTTTTTGGGCCCGTTGATTAAACCCTCTCCTTTTTGGGGAAAAATTTGAGAGATGGCGCGGGGTTGGGTTGAGACAGGTATGCAAGGATTGAGGTTGGTCAATTACTTGGAGGATAGATGCATAGTGCCCGACGAGGGGGAGGCGATATACTGAGCAGTCGATTAATGAATTTCAGAGTTCTATGATGACATGGAAGCGGCCATGCAATATCTCTTATTGGGTGAGTCGATGAGAAAACTTGCTGGGAAATATAGTATATCCACATACTAGGTAGGATAACCACCTTAGTACACATCAGGCAGTGGAGACGAAATGAATACTGATTTGTTGGAAGTAATTGCACCTGTTCCGCAACCTCGAAGCCGGGGACATAGACTTCCTAGAAACTCAATGCCGTCGAAAGCTAACAAATCAAGGAGGTGCCCAGGGCCCGGGAGGAGTCTGAGCGCATCGCACAGACAGACCGAGAGGGCTAATTGGCTTGAGCAGACAACTTCACATATATCGTGTGGAGATGCGGAGAATTAGTGCACCCACCGGACGCATGATGGTATGGCTACGAAGACCTGGACCTGATGTAATCTACTTGCTGCTCTCAATCCACAGTGCTATTAAGCTTTGTGTACTGCCTAGAGATAAGGCCCTGATCCATGTCTAGTTAGACAGACTTACAGTTAAGATAAAGTCTGCTTCCATGCGGCCGACGTATTCGAACAATAAGCAGATGGCAACGGGGTCTTTCCATGGTTGAAGCGGGTTCGACCCGAGCATGGCTGGGAAGTAACCATCCCGTCCGACAGTGGACGATGTCATGCAAACGGCGCCGCTCGATCAATGAGGGGTATCAGTGGCCCCAGTAACGGGCCAGCATGGGTAGATGATTAGATTACTGGGGTGAGATCAATATCACGTAGTGATTGGGGGTAGTTTTCCCATGAGGGAAGGGATTGGCCTCATGGAATGATCTTCAGTGCCTGCCTATGGAGGACAGGGGCCAGACGTGCAGATGATGTAAAATGCTGCTTGCCGCACCCTTGCTGGGCCAGGGACCTGAATTTTACATATACAACGTCTTCTAAGGGATAAGGCGGACTTGAGGAGAGAGAGAGAATAGACGATGGATGTAGTGGTGATTATAGCGAGTTCTGCTCATCTAGTATGTATAACCTCAAGCCTCTGGTGTATCGTATACGCCACCGGCCAATTGAGGGGTAGCATAAGTAACAAAGTGCAGAGTTTAGAGCTAAATGGAAAGAACAATAGGGACCCATCGGGGGCACTTGTCATCATATCGACGTCGCTGGATCGGCTATCCAGGCTAAAGCATCGGGGACTTCCCCTCATCTGAGATGTCATCACCACTTTTCTTGGTGTGATCGGGTACCAGCTTTACGGGCGCGAGGACACGCTCAACAGAAAATGCCACCGCAAGCGCCACAAGCGTTCAAAGCTGCGAACGTAGGGTGTGGTCCAACGACCTTCCAAGTGAAAGCCTTGAAGATTGCTGAAGACTCAAGAACCAGCGTTCGAAGATGCAGCAGCACTGGATATGTCCCCACTCGCAGGCAGCTGTAAGTGGTAGGACTGATCCAGCTGCATCATCCGAGTGGCGAGGCTGCTTTCCTTCCCGACGGCGCTACTGCGGGCATCCTTGTGGACTTTTGGAAACTAGCGCCGTGTACGGTATTGTCAGAGGGGCGACTAGTGTATATTAATCCGTAGTATTGACCGGAATGATGTACAAACGGTACGGAGATCCCGTACCATCAGGGCAAAAATGTTCATCTGGACTGTTCGTTGATACTTCGGCCAGGGACCCACCTATGGAGTCAACGGTGACGCTAGGGATCTTTTTTGGGAATCGGTGTTTTCGCCCGGAGACCTCGGGTGCTCTCCTGGTCGGCAGAAGAGGAAGAGGAGGAAGGAGATGATGAGAGATAGGACGTCCAATGGTATACAGGCCATGGAGTATTTCCGGTACGTTGTGTTTTCAACATAGAAATGACAAAGAATATGTACAGTGGATTTCCTCGTACATCACATCAATACGGAGCATCCGATTCGCTGGTAGCTTTGTGGCTAGGTACATAGCTAAGCATAAACATACTGTCGGGTTCTCTGTCCAGAAGATTCAAGAGCAGCGGTCAACCTCGATCAAAACGACTGGTCACCTAGCAACCAGTCTATACTGATTTAGAGTACGGATGCAGCTTTCTTGAAATCTCGACAGATCGCATCCCACTATCATGGTCTGTCCGGTCTGTGTCTGAACGCTATGGATGTGCATACGACACTATCCACTAGTGGCTAAAACAAGACATCATGTTGGACTTTGCCCTCGGGATGCGTTCCTTCAGCTGGACTGAACCAAACAACTAAGGACGTCCGGAGAGTCCCTAATCCAATCAGGCGATCGAAAGAGCATCTGATTAATCATAGGCCACCACCATGATTAGCCAACATGGATATGTCGACGGGGCGACGCAACAAATAACATGAAAATTGGAGTCGCGGAGACCGTAGGGCCATTTCGGGTTACAGGACACATGGTGTGGCCCACCTACTCTTTTTTTTTTTGCCTCCTTCCCTTCCACCGGTATGCACTACGGCCGAGGATGGAATGGAGCGGTGGAGCTCGGCCATAAGTGGGCTAAAGGTATGGAGTCGTCAGCTCCTTTTTGTTTGGACAGAATTATGAACGACGGGAAATATGAACTCCCAGCTCCACTGACCGCTTGGAATTTTGGGATCCAGAAAAATTCTCGTTTCTGTTTAGATCTTGCTGTTTGTGTTGATGCATGTCGCATCCCTGTAGGATTTTGAGTTGCCTGGTTTGCCGCTGGATATGCAAACGAGTAAATTAGGTGGTTAGGTGGTGTGTAATGAAGATGAAAATCTGTAGATATTTGCCGCCGAGGTTCAGTCTGTTTGATAACCACTGAAGGCAAAAATGTCCATAGCCAGCTGTACACATCAGCTCTGTCTTGCCGGAAAGTCGCGAGAGAGAGCCATGGATGGAAGGATTTTGGCCAGTCGACATTCCGTAAGAAGATCCATCAGAAAACTCGACAAGCCGAGTTGGCAGAAAAGTGCCTTCCCCGACCAATCAGAATCTTCCGATTTCCCGTGCGGTCACGGACTAGTGGTAACGGTCTCCTGGAGATGGTAATTAATTGGTAATTACCGTCACAAGGAAAAAAAGGAGCCAAGTAAAAGTGGAGGAGGAAAAAAAAATAAAAAAAAAAGAAAAAAAAAAGAGGAAATCCACCCGTTCCAACGACAGATTCCTCAGGCCCGTTGGACGAAGCAAAAGAGCTCGTCGCATCGTCGATGACCCTTCTTCCCTCGATCTTTCCGGACCCCCCCCCATTCCCTTACCATCTACCATAATCCTCCCCCCTTCCCTTTTTATCCTCCCCATCTCTATCCTCAATCTTGTGTATTGTTATTATCTATTCCAACCTATTCTCCAGTTCTTTTCTGATTAGTTTTTGTTCTACTGTTTTTATTTTGCTCCCAACCTTGACTCTCCTTTCCCTATTCTTTGCCCCTTCCTCGACACTCCTTCTCGCCTCCCCAACTTCTCGCGCCGCTTCCACCACCACCCAAAATAATATCATCATGCCTTACAACACCCGTCGCAAGTCACTATCTCTTCCTTCACTCGGCATTCACCTCCCCAACTCGTCGCGCCGCTCTCCCTCCATCTCAAAATCTGCTGCGACCGACGATGTTCCGCCTACCAAAAAAGTGAAGAGGTCGCACACCTCATTATCACCCGAGCCTTCCACGGACCGCCGGGAATCTGTCGTGCGCGCTGGTCGGCACGGAGCGTTCGAGCACACACCGCCACCTTCCCCAATGGATGGGGGCGTCGCTCCGAAAATTGATACCCAAGGCATTAACGATGATATCGTCGTCGCGGTCATCGAACAATTGGAGAAGACTGGAAATCGCCCTCACCTTGTGAAGGAGTTGGCTGCAGTGCTCGTGACGTTGAACTCGACTGTCGCAAAGTAGGCTTCCCCCTTCGTTTCTCGTCTTCTATATACAGACATCGATGCTGACTACCTTGCCTTTTCTACAGTTCTGCGAATCCTGCTGCCCTCCTCTCCTCGCGGCTAGCGGCTTATATGAAGCGTCCCTGGACGGCTCTTTCGCCATGCCCCATGGCCAAAGAGTTGATTCTCATTCACCCGCGCAAAGTGTATTATTATCTGACAACCTTCCCTCGTCAGCCCATTCCCGATCCCTCCGATGATCTTATCTTGGGTGTCGATGGCAAACAAATTACGCCCAGCGTTTCAAGTCTGGATCAAGACGACGTAGACATGATCGCGCGCCAGCGCAGTCCTAGTCCCGAAGTGGATCTGTCGTCGCCCGACTTTGAAGAGAACCAAGATGTTGATCTTGACAATCCCGCGGGCCGGGGAACTTCTTCCGACCAGTTCCCAGACCCATCAAGCCATACTCGCCTAATGCACTCGCACCGTGCGGCTTCCCCGCCCCTGGAGGGCGACGAGAAAGAATTTACTCAGACTGCCAGTGCGGTGCGCGAGCGTGCTTCTGAAGAAAAGGCCAACCAATCGGCTCGGAGCCTCTCCGTCCTGTCCGAGGGCCTCAGCTCGATAAACGAGGAGATGAGCATCTCCAATTCTCCCGTGAACGGTGGCTCGCTCTCCCCGGCTGGTGACCGCATGTCCGAACAAGAGTTCAGTGATTACTTTTCTCACATGAGCCCCGCCGATCAAATCGGCGCGGACTTAGACGAGGCCGCTGCCGCCGCATTGTTTGGCACGTCGCCCTCTCCCTCACTTACCTCCCTGGCATCGTCAGTCTCGTCTGGCACGAGCGTCGATGTCGGATTGGATGCGGAGGAACGGGCTGGCATACTCCCGGCTGCTCCCCAGATTAGTCTCCCCGACGTGGCTCCCGTCTCAACTCTTAAGCGATCGCTCGATATGTTGAACAGCGGGCTCCCCGATGTGGATTTGAAGATGTCCGATCTGACTGAGTCGCATGAGAAGCTCAGCTTGGGTCCCCGGTCTTTTACCGGCATGGACGTCCCCGAGCCCATTTTTGACTCCTGGAGAGAGCTGCAGAACCCGGAGACTGTGGAAGTAGACGAGCTGGATGAGATGTTTGGCGAAATCTAAACATCACATATCGCATACCATCTTCTTTACCCTGCATCTCCGGTCAGCTTGCGTTGCGTGCCTTCCATTCCTCCCACCATCCTAGTCCTCCAACTTTTGTCTCTCTCTATCTCTCCACTCTCGGTCGGCCTGAGAGCCACCGTCGTCGTTATACCCCCCTCTTTTTTTGGACCCTTGTATATGTCGGCTCTCATCTCCTATGCCGTACTCTTTTACTCCTTTTGGCTAATTCCTTCTCACTGTATATATACATTTTTGTTGACTTTTTGGGAACTTTTTGATCTTGCCCTGGATGGGTAGAAGGAAGATTTACGGAAATTATATCGGGATCTACTGGGGTCTTTTTATATAAAAGAAGGACAAAAAGCGACTTGATTTCTTGTATGCTTTAGGCGTCATGCAAAACCAAAACTCGCGAAGTTTTCTTCGCATTTTGATTATTGTCTCGTGAAATGCTCCCATCCTTTTCCCAGTAAAAAGTAATTTAATGTGATATACTCGGATCTTTGAATCTCAAAAATCTGACCATGCACTCGGCACAAATTAAGAACGAGTTGTTCCCCCCCGAGCCATTCTACTATTGGGTGGGTCGCTTGGCAGCTGCAGGGCCGCCACTTACTTCAGCAAATCCCGTCGAACTTAGGCCCGTAGACCCGTAGAGCCCGGGCCATCTTCTCTCCGCCACTTCCACGTCTTCAACTTCGTTCAAATTTTGCCAGCTTCATCGACAAGGGCCATGCTCCTACAGACAAGCTGCATGGACTTGTACATACGGTAGGCCAACCGATCGGCTTACATTCATCTCCATCCCGGTCGCCGCGCCAATTCGCCGCGAGGGGAGATCGCATTAGCGCCGTACATGCTCGATAACCCCCTCCGCGAGATAAGCCTATATCCTACGCTACCCCTCCGCCTATTCCGACCGCGAAATATTCTATTAACGATCACCCCGAGAAACTCACGACCACCCGACCGCGATCATGACGATGGAGGAGCCGCTTCCAAACCCACCGGGCGAAGGCCTCGCGCCTGGCCTCGCGCCTCAAAATGGAACCGCAAAGCCCGAAGTGGAGCAAGATAACGTGCCACCTCCCAAGCCAGCGTCTTCGGTCGCGGAGTCGTTAGGATCGAGGAGTCAGGCTAAGGTTGCGATTCCGAGATCCCGTGGGGGTATTATACCGAGATATAATCGCCGGGTTCCGCGGGCTTGTGAGTCGTGTCGTGCGCGCAAGACGAAGTGTAGTGGTGATACGCCGGTTTGTCGCCAGTGTCGGGAGTTGAGGATCACTTGCAATTATCCGGTTGGATGGAAGGAGAGAACTAAAAGGTACGGACCTATACTTCCGAACTGTTGTGCGATATAAGTGCTCGAGCTTCTGGGTTGAGAACCCATCGCGAGGGTACTGCGAAAACTGATGCTAATCATGGTCCTTATCAAACAGACAAGTGGATAATCTTTCAGAAAAAGCGCAAGAATATGAAAATCTTCTCAAGGAGTTGGGCCATTTGGTGGAGAGTCGTACTGCAGACCGAATCAGGAGCTTGCTGGACAAGGTTCGTCGTCATATGATATATTGCAGGAAACGCGCCGTTACTAACATCTCTCTGTCTATGTGAAGCATGGTACGGAAGTCGACTACAGCTCCAATAGTAACAGCAATCAATCTCATTCGGTTACGCCCCAAGATTATCCTCCAGAGGACGATATCGATGAAATGAGCTCGCCTTCATCGATTGGATCACTCGAAGCGATTGATCGCGTGGAGGAAGACCTGAATCGAAACGAAAAATCAAGGGCGACTGGGTTTATGGGAAAGAACTCTGAAGTTACGTGGATGCAACGGCTTCAACGAGAGGCTGAGCACAGGTCAAGGGGCTTACCGGGGTCTTTGGAGCCGGGGCAGAGTAAGCGGCAGGACGATGATCTTGCTCTACATGCTGTCAGCTACCATCTCGACGATCTCGACATCTCCGTGCCCGGACCGATCGAACTTTACTCCATGCCTCCTCGAAATGTGGCCGATAAACTTTTCGATGACTATTTGAGGACCGTACATCCATTTTTCCCTATCATCAACCGACCTCTGTTCGCCGCACAGTACCGAACATTCTTCGACAGCAATGCACGGCCTGGTGACAAGTGGCTCGCTATATTGAATATGATCTTCGCCATTGCGGCGAAACATGCTCATATTATAGAGGCACCGTGGCAAGGAGATGATAGGGATCATCTGGTGTACCTGACGCGAGCCAGAATTCTCAGTATGAATGGCGATGTCCTGTTCAGCCACCCTGATCTCCAACAGGTCCAGGTTGAGGGCTTGATCGCTTTCTACCTGCTCGCATCCGACCAGATCAATCGAGCGTGGCGAATCTCCTCCTTGGCAGTGCGATCTGCTATCACGTTGGGCATCAACATGAAAAGTAGTAGTGCCACAACCCCGAACATCTCCAAAGAGGCCCGTTACCGGGTATGGTGGTGTCTCTACACGTTCGAGCATATGCTAGGTGTCATGACTGGCCGGGCTACTTGTATTCTCGATGGTATCTGCACCACGCCCCTGCCGCTCCCCTTTGAGGAAGAACAGTTACAGGAGCCCCAAGCTGCAGAGGTCCTCAACAACACTCATATCCGAGATGAGCGCATCAATGCGGTAATGGCCAGCGCTTGGGTTCGACACATACCGTTGAATCCTACCGGCGGCAAGCCAGCCACCCACTTATCACGAAAACGCGACAACTCGTGGGTGAGGAGTATTCCTTTCAACTCCGGCCTCTGCCATTTGTACTATTGCGATCTGGCCGTTGTTGTGCAAGAGATTGTGAATAAGGTGTACTCAGTGGACTGCGTAGTAGTACCTTGGAAACACATTGAGAATCGAATCGGCGAGCTGCGCTCTCGAATCGACCTCTGGTTCCAGAGCATCCCCACGTTCCTCGATTTCACACGCAAGGAGGATGAGGGCCCGGAACTACTCCGCTGCAAACTCGCCCTCGCATTCCACTACTACAGTGCGCGGATCACTCTTGGTAGGCCCTGTCTCTGTCGGCGTGACGCACAGAAGAAAAACCCCGCCGACAGAACGAGCTTTAGCCACGAAATGGCCATTTTGACTCTCGAGTCCGCCGAGCGCATGCTAGACCTGATCCCAGATGAGCCGAACGCAGTTCAACTCTACGAGATCTCCCCTTGGTGGTGCATCCTGCACTATCTCATGCAAGCGGTAACGGTGCTGCTCCTCGAGCTCTCTTTTGGCACTGTGCATGCGCCCGACTCAGAAAAGCAATTCCTCTTGCTAGCCAAGAAAGGCATTCGCTGGCTCTACTCCATGTCCGAGCACAGCATCGCCTCGCGCCGCGCCTGGCAACTCTGCGATATTAGCCTGCGCCGTCTCGCGTCTGGCATGAGCTTCGATGTCAGCGACATACCCACCAACACATACCACCCTACACCTACATCAACCCTCTCTCACCCCGAAAACCAAAACATGAGTCAAGACACTACACAAGAAACAAACGATTATTGGGGCCCCGCTCTTGAGCACCTCTCCTTGAGCAACCACACCCAAGAAACAAACCAGCACTCAAATATCGATCATCATTACTCGTCCTTCCCGTCATTCTCGAATATGTCTACCACCGACCCGATGGCTGTTCTCCAGACCGCGGCCCCAGCCACGGATGATTTGTATTTCCCGTATGATCCTATCAGCGGTGAATTCATCCGCTCGTTCTTCCCGAATTCCAATGAGGAAGGGAATTGGGATATAAATTGATAATCGGATTTGGTTCTACCAAGGACGAAGAAATTCTGAAATGATTATATGCATATTGATGAGTCAAGAAACACGAAAAAAGACATACCCCATTCTATCCCTCCTTCAATCGACTCCTTTCCCGCTTCTATTTCGTTCCTTCTACCTTCTCCTTCTCCTTCAACCTTAACCTTCCATAATCTTCCTTTTTACCTCCCCCTTTCCATTTTATCTCTCTCAACGACCTGGCCCTCTATACTTGGTATCTGGTATATCTTCCTTTACACACAAACCTATCACACTAACCTCTCCCCTACCTTCTGGGCCATTTTACTAATGACTCAACATCATCCCTCGCCATCACACATAACCTATTCACTTCCCGTGATTTCTTCTTAGCCGCCCCTATTTGAAGTCTCATCGTCTATTTTCGGTCATACTCTCTATCATTCTTACCTCTTGGTTTATTCAATTTCTATCAGTGTCATCATTGATATGTGAAGGCCTTGATTTTTCTTTCCTCGCGATATGCTTTTTAATCTTTCCCCTTCACCAGCTCTATACCAAATTATCTCAACACATATTGTATACTGGGGGAATGTCGTTTGGCGTGCTTTACACTTGAGGATTATATTGGGATTTGGGCTCTGGATGGATGATTTGGAATTTGATTTCTATAAAAAGCGGCGTGAACGGTTGGCTAGGCTGGTAGGCAAGGGTTTGGTTTGGTGGGGGTCTCTTCGTTTTTCTTTTGGTCCCCTTCTACGGAGTTTTGGTGTTGGTGGCTATTCTTTGTTTTCTTGGATGGAGGCCAGGTTTTTGAAAGTGGTCAGGCCCTCATGGCCTTTTCGTGGCAGATGGACATACTTCAATTGCAGACTGGTCGACCTTTTCGTTCTTAATATGCTGAGATGTAAGGAATTTGCTCCTCAGTACGCCCACACGTGATCTCAGTACGTGATTTATAGACAAAGTCCCAGGGCAACTTGGACGAGATCAGCCTCATTGTTAGGATGAGTCTATTCTCGGCCCTTCTTTCCCGTAAAATGTCAAGGTCAAAAGTACAAGCAATTTCGATGACGCTTCATTTATGTTGGATATCAACTCTATATTACAATCATGGATTCAGATAATATACACAACAGAATCATTCTTGATTCTGGGATTCCGGCAAGGTCGTGCCCGTTGAACCGCCTTTACGCCTGGGACGCATCATCGTCCAAGACGGACCCGATTGCATAAAAGGGTCTCGCCGAGTTTCCCAGATACGGTCCCGTGTGCGCTTCTCCGGGTTATGAAAGACACCACGGCTGCACATGCGCGATATGTAACCAGGTAGTTCCAGCTCAATCTGGTCCTGCGGCATGCCATGGCGTAGGAACATCCAGACGGCGAAGTCCAGAGAGGCCTCTGGGGGGGATTGAGGTGGTTTGCCGCTACTAATGGGAAGCCCTTGGAATTCGAAGCGGGAGATTAGGGGTTTGTATATGCGGCCTCGGGCAAAGAAGGGGAGTTGTTGGTGTTGTGGGATAGGTAAGGATGAGGGTGAAGGTTCGGATTGGAATGTTTTCGGATGCCGCTCCATCTCGAACTCTCGCATGGCGGCTTGAGCGATGATGCGGATGGTGTTGTAGTTGGGGACCACGGCTCGCTTTTGTGTGTGTTGGAGCCATTGCATGCTGAAGGTTGGGTCGCCTTGAGACCAGGACATTTCCTTGCGAGCAGGAAGGCGAGTGAGCCCACCTTCACGCTGACGGACACGGTCCGGTGGAAGACGATGGATGCACCATTTGAACCACATATTCAAGCCGAATGTGCTGCCATATGTGTCCACAACGGCGGACAGGAGGTTATGGAAAGAGACCGCGGGGATGTATTTGAGCTTGAGATGGCTTGGTGGGGGAACCTTGAGGTCGACCTGCTTGGCGAGATCTGAAATGTGGCCAGGAAGGGTTCGGAATACGGAGAGCAGACGCAACAAGACATTTTGTTGGAAGGCTGTAACTCGCCGGTTTCTGCTGACTGGCGTGTTGAATTCCATGCGGTAAAAGCGCAGAAACATGTCGTTGGCACGCTCAAGGCTTGTGATCAACCTCTCGTCCACAGGGCCTCCGATGGTCTTTTGGTGTTTGATAGTCGCATCAAGCCGTATAATCTTGGCTCCAAGTGCTGTGAGATTACTAAAGCCCCACGATTTCAGCCTAAAATCACGGAGATACTCGAGCGTGACAACCGCACGATCCCAATTTTCCATGTCGATGTAAGAATTGACTAGGGCTTTAAGCATGTTGACAGAGAGTGGCATGCCGAGCGAGGAAATGACCTTTTCACAGAGTTCGGTATTTTGTGTAGCAGAGGCAAACCGGAGGATTGATGGTGCGATGACCTGGTCGCCATAGACAGAGGCTGGAATCGCAGGACCGTCAATGCCGTTATTGAAAAGCAACCAGTTGCCAAAGTCATAAGCGCGGTTGACAGCGGCCAAGTCGAGAAGTTCAGCCAATGTCACATTCGAGACCTGCGGCAAGGAAGATAGGTCGCGTTCGTGGGCGTCGAATCGCTGAGAGTCGAAGAAAGGAAGGTTTTCTGACTTGGCAAGGGTGAGCTGTTTAAAGAATGCTTGGATGTGATAGGCCTTGCTAGCATCGACAATGTTTTGTAGCCAAGCGTACTCATAGAAAGCGCGGCTAGCTTGGCGTTTATAGGCATAGGCCTTGACATTGAGTTCCACCAACCCGGCGATTGCAGCACTTTCGTCATAGAGCTGCGCTCTCGTCACCTCGCTCAGGTCTTGGTCTGACGCAGAGCCGTATCCTCCCCACGGTGGCACCACGTGTTGAGTAGACCGTAATAGCCGCTCAAATAAAGTTGGATCTTCATATGGATTCAGACAGCCTGACTCCAGAACTCTAACAAGGTGCCAGTTGGTGGCCTTGTTCGTTGGCCGGAGATCATCCAAGGCATTGGTTGGTTCGAGTAGTGCATTCAAAGACGCCGATTGTTGAAGAATGTCCGAGGGTGTTGCACCATGGAATCCGACACCATTATAGGCCTTGTTGACCAATCCACTTCGCAGACTTGCGACTACTTCTGTGCTGATTGTTCGTTTTCCGAGACCATTGAACGGAGGCTTGTCGAGGCGCTTGAACGTCTGAGGTGGGTTGGTATCATCTGGGCGACGCCAGACAGTCTCGGTGCTGACATTGGTTTGTTGCACGACGTCAAGATTCCGGAGTAAAGGTGCCCAACTGTCGATCTTCCAAGCCTTGTCACCAATCCGCTGGCTCATCTCCTTGACCAGAGATGCGCCTTGCTTAGTGAATCCATGCTCGACACAGCACCACAGAACCAGCTCGAACCAGATCTCAGGGCCAAGCTCGCGGACTCCAACCTTAAATGGCAAAAAAGGTGGCTCCTCACCCGCCTCGGTGGCGGCCGTTGCAAGTGCGGCTTCATGTTCAAGCCACGCAGCGTCGGACAAGACACTCATGATATTGCTTGATAGCAGATTGAGACCGGGAGGACGGAATGAAACTTGGCTGGGATCGTTCTTTGGATACTGGTAAACCCTGTCGGAGATCAAATCCAGGTGATGCAGGCGAGCAAGGACGCGGAAGACATGAGACATGGCGAGATTTGCTTCTTGTTTTGAAGCATCGGCAGCTCTTAGCACGATCAAGCCTAGGTTTAGCAAGACTTCACCCAGAAACCTATCACCCAAATCCAGCGCCGCAGGCCGCTCAGTGAGAAGATCGAGAGAAACTATATCGGCAGGCGGAAGCGGTTTCATTGACTGGCTCGGACGCCGGACATCCCTAGCCGTCAGCTTCTCCAACGAAAGACCCGCCACGTTCCAATCAAACCCTTTGAAAGCGTTATCTGAGGCCATGTACGGAACGAGAGTTTCGTATGCATCGATTAGCTGGGTTAAGTAGGCATGCACCGCAGACCACTGGTTGAGCTCAAACCCCAAATGTCCCAATAAATCCAAATTTGAATGTGTTCTCGCCAGCCACAGATATCCCATCAGCCTATGCGCTTGATCGAGCTCATGTTCGTGCTCGAACAGAGACCTAACCTGCCCATCATCTTGTGTCGGTTCCGTCTTTTTCTTCGTCTGCGTATTGCGTGCCGGTGCACATTTTTCTAGTATTGGTATCCAACTATCGGGATTGGATTTCTGCGATGACTCGAGGGGTATAGACGGAGGTCCATTGTATGAGAAGAGAAGTTGATACTCGTCGCCGGTGAGCGTTCTCCGGTCTAGGGTCGAGGCGAAACGAGTCTGGAGACGGGATGCCAAAGAGAACGAGAGAGCAGGCCGGCCAGGCACAATTGGCATGCGACTGATTCGCAGAAGCCGGCCGGGGCTCAAGCACCTCCTCATGACACGGCAATCAGCCTCGCCGAGGGCGCCTGCGGAGGAAACACGGTCTCGATGGGCACGGGTGTAATGTGGCGCATTTCGGAGCCGATCACGATGTGCACATGTCGCAGAGGTCCCCGAAATCGCACCTCTGACACACGATCAAGTTCAGGTCAAGTAACGATTGGTATTCCTGTCGCGATGGGAACCGTTAATCGTTAATCGATTGCGGAGGAAATCGTGAAGCTGGAAATTTGGCCGGGTGGACCCAGCGCGCTGACTCAGCAGAAGCTGTCGCAGCCAATAAGAGTCGCCGTATTTACTTCACATCGACAGGGCGAGGATAACTTGGTTGATACAGGTGAACCAAGGGAATGCATACACTCAGAGATCAAGCTATAAGTCCCGACCTACAATTAGATGGAAGGGTCACACAAAGTTGCACAAGACGGGCTGCGAGAAGGTTGCAACGTTGCCAGCGATGCCCTAAAGAAGAAACCCGGTACGCCCAGAACGCTTGCTTCTTTAAGTAACTTGACATCAAATAGACAAGAGAACCCGAGCCTGGAACATTGCCAAAAGTCTACGTCTTGAATTCTATACCCATAGCGCATTTTTCTCTATGCCTCCTACTCCAATGTGCGGAACAGTACCAACCCACGTCTGCGCCAATCTAGCGCTTGAACACAACCTATCAGAGGAAATCCAGGCTATTATTGCGGTCACTCAAGGGTTCCTTACAGCACTAAATAGAAAATCTCGGGTAGACTTTGAGAAACACTGCGTTCGGGCTGGGGGCATGGCCCTCGCACCTCCGTCACCTACTGCCTTACGCTTCTGCACAATCGGCTCTTTCATTGAGCATGTGGCTACGCTGAAAGATAATATTGATGAGCGCATCTGGGATCCTGAAGTCAAAGTTTACGAAACTGGTAACCTTGCTACAGTATGGGCTCCTTTTCGGGCTAAGATTAATGGGGTTGTGGATCATGTCGGGGTGGAACTATTTGTACTGCACAAGCTGAATGGGGAGTGGAAAGTGACTGGGCTGGCAGACTCTTGTCGATTGCCAACTGAGGAAGAAACGAATATGGAATAGTCGAGATATTGCCAAGTACTCCTCAGAGACTGTTCTCATAGCTACGCACTATCTTTACAATTAAGCACTTGATTTTCATAGGAGCCAAAGGATGCTCGTTTGCATGGATTGCAGGCTATGATACAAAACACTTTCTCTCTATGACTGAGCCAGCAGTCACAGTGACACAACCTTGACCTAATTCACATGAGACAACGTGATTTCTGGAAAGAACGAATGGCCCATAAGAGGTCTATATTTAGAATGGGCGGATCTGGCGGGCATGGACGCGCTCAAACTGCTGGTTGCTCTCGGAGGAGCTGCCAGACTCGGCAGTGGCCGAGCCAGTAGGGAGAGCGCCGGAGACAGTGATGAAGCCTGACTCTTGGCCGCTGGAGCCACCAAAAGTACCGGAGGGGGCAGTAGTAGGGGCAGCACCGCCCTCGCCACCCTGGCCGGAGCCACCGAAGCTACCAGAGGGCTGAGCGCCTCCTGAAGGGAAACCGCCTTGGCCACCGTGACCGTGGTGACCGCCCTGGCCGAAGCTACCGCTGGGCTGGGAGCCGCTAGAAACGCCAGAGGGAACGGCACCGGAGGCCTGGGGACGACCAGACTCCTGGGCACCACCACCGAAACCACCACCGAAACCACCCTCGGATCCACTGCTGGAGCCCTGGGGGAGACCGCTGGGCACAGTGCCGGAGGGCTGAGCACCGGAGGTGGGAGTGGCATCCTGCCGGGCGCCGAACTAATATAGTACGTCAGTATCTCATCTGATCAAAAGTCTCGAAGATATTGGCTGATCTATGAGCATACCAGGTTCAAGGCGACGGCATTGGGAGCCAGAGCGAGAGCGGCAGCCAGGCCGAAGACAACGTTGAACTTCATGGTGAAGAAGTGTGTTTGTTTGGAAAATGAAAGTGGGTTTAAAAAAGAAGGACTGAGTCACTCGGTGACGATTGATCTCAAGAATGTAGAAGTGAAAGGAAAGCGCACAGCACTGTGATTCAAAAAAGTTCTTGATGGAGGATTTCGAGGGCCTTATATAGCTCGTATCCAGAGCCTTCGTTTGCATTTCCCGTCATGGTCTCAGTATCCCGTCTGTCTCGGCTTGCGAGCCTGTCAGGGCTAGCAATGAGTGGACCAGTTCCGCTGTCAGGAATACCCGAGACATCTAGACCGACTGCTCAGGCTAGGGAACTGTTGAGATCGGCATTGATAGTCTGCAGCTGGTGGTTTCTCATAAGGTCCATCCATGATCAATATGTCGAATCAGGGTTAATCGTAGGAGGTAGAGGGATAACCCTATAGACAGCAGGTCCGTATTGGTGCAATATAGTTTCATAGTTCCAGGGTGGAGCCGACGCAGGAGTCCATCATGAAGGCGAGATTGGGCCACTTCCAGGGAAGGCGCTCACTAAGAGGAGGCTCGACACTGAACAGGGCTGTTAAGAGTCCCTCAGGGCCACCAGGGGCAAGTTTTGAAGGAGATGGCGCCACGGTGAGCTGCGGATCTGTCCCAATGACACATTCAAGCTGCATTTGGCATCACGTCAAGCGCCGTGCGGCGTTTCCGTTCGTGGAGAAGTTTAACGTGAAACTGGCGAGTCATAAGGTGGCTGGCATTGGAGAAGTCTCCCCCACATGGAGCTTACACGTCGTCTGCCGATCGGCTGGCTGACCTGCTTCAGATTGAGACTCAAGAGGGGGCGAGAGCGGGGCTAGTAGTTATCAGCAGAGTGAAACAATTGGATGAAATCCGGACAAAGTAGTGATCAAGAAACACGCTAAGGCGGCGGTTCTGGAGACGACAAAACAATATTCAACACAGCGAAAAACACAATTCAAAGTCATCACCAATGACTATACATATACTATATGCCCTCCCTTGTGCCGTACTGATTAAGCGACGGAGCTTGCATGATGTGGAAACCATCTCGTTTCTTGGAAACGCCGACAAGAGCAAAGTCAGCAGTAAAAGTAAGCAAACCGCCACAAGTATCACCCTAAGGACCTGCTTCACGCCGGGCCCACCGAGCATTACGCGTCCTCACTCTAAATTAGCATCACCGCATCCTAGTACAACTGCAATTGCGAGGGTATTAAACATGTACACATCAGATAATGTAAGGGGCTCAATTAACGTGATACCAGAAACAACCGTAGAATCAACTCCCGGCGCCAAATCTTCATCATCACTTCGTGAAACACAATACTCCGTACAGGGGGACCATATGGTTAGAACCAAAGATCTCATAGCTCCTCGTCCTCGTCTGCAGGCAAATCGCCACCCAACTCTTGCTCCACTTCATCTACCACGAAGCTCTCGTAGTCCTCCAAGCCTTTTTGTACATGGACCTTGAAGCGAATAACATCGTTGAGCATCGTCTCAACGTTGGTATGTAACTCTTCTCGTAGCGCATTGGCTCGAAGTGTCAACTGTTCATACTCAATGTTGGTATTCATCTCGCGCTGCTCCATCAGCTGGACACTGTCGCTGAGGGTCGCCCGCATCTTGGCGAGTTCCTTCTCCATCTTCTCAATCTGGGCGTCTGATGCCGTCTTCTGAGTGGTGGTGATTTCCTTGGTGCGTTCAAACTCCTCTTCCGCCGCCCGGCGCCGGTGCTCCAGGGCCTCAACCTCGCTGCGCTTTTCATCCATCGCCTCCTTAATATTGTCAAGTAGATTGCGACGATCAAGGTCGTCATCAATTGCTTTTTTCCGTCGCTCGTTGATCTCCTTGCGCAATGATTGTAGACTATTGCGGACGGAGCCCCGAAGGTCCAAATTCAGCAAATGAGCTGGGTGATAGCCCGTATAAGGCTCGGCCAAGAGGCGATCGCCCTCTGACGACATCCGGTTGGGCGCACCTCCGATCTGGCTCGCGGAGAAATTGTTCTCATTGACATTCAGAGTAAGCTCAAAGTCTTGACCCTTGGCATTCTCGGCAGAGGAGGGGATCAGGCTTGTTTGATAGCCAAGAGTGTTGTAGGCCTTGACAATCTGCTCCAGGTCTTCCAATTTCTGGCTTGCTTCGGCCTCCTTCTCCATGACGCGGGCGTGGGTCTCCTCCAAGCGAGCCATACTATCTTCAAGACTCTTCTGAAGCCGTTCTCGTTCCGTGTTCATGCGATCAATATCTTGAATGGTGATTCCTTGGCGGTCGACGCTCGCCTGAAGCTCGGCACGCTCACTCTCCGTGATTTGAAGCTCGGCGTCGGTCTTTTGGATCTCTGCATCCAGGAACTTGATGCGAGTTTCGTATTTTTCAATCTTGCCCTTGACGTTCTGGTTATAGTCCTCGAACTTCCTCGTATCATCCTCTAGGATTCGGAAGTGCTGGTCCAGCTTGGCCATGTCTGGCGCATTCTTCTCCATTTCCAGAATTTGATCGCGAAGAGCCTGATTCTCTGCCTCTAGCGATTCCATCTGCTGTACATATCGTTCGTTGCCGCGGGCAAACTCCTGCGACATTGCCTCAATATGGGGGACCAATCGTTGCTCTGCCGTCTCGTCATCCTCATCTTCGCCACCTTGAAGCCAGTCATGATAGGCGCCGGTAAGGAAGCGGTAGATAATGCGATCCCCGGTGACATCGACTCCTGCTTCCGCACAAGCCTCATCATACTCTCCGCTATCAAATCGTTGCATCAATTGTGCCAATTGCATCAACCAGTGTAGCATGCCGAGGAAAGTGGACCAATTCTGGCCACCCACGGCCGAAATCTGTGACTTGGTGATACCCTTTTCAAAGGGATATCGCAGCTGCTTAAGAATAGGAGGAACTTCCGCATCCATCGCTTTCTGGAACTTGTAGCCCGGGTCAATGCGGTGATAAAGGAATTGGAAGATGTAGTTGAAGTCCTTTTGTGTCGGCGAGCGTAGTGTGTTTTGTCCAAGAGAGTGCTTCATCTCTAACTCAAAATTGTTGTGCGTCAAATACTCCAGTAGCTCCTGCCCAATGCGCGCTTGGAATGATCGGTCACGAAGCGGTCGAGGGTCCCTAGGCACACCCGCCACAGCTGGAACCGAGTTGAAAAAGGATTGATGGCCCATGGGTCCACCCACGGATGGTCGTGAAAAGACACTGCTGCGACGTTGCAAGTTCTGCTGCGAGGCAGAATTGGACGAAAGTGAACCCGGCGCAAAACTTTGTCTACCAGCACTCGTACCATGAAACATATTACTCGAAACGGATCGGCGTACAGATGAGAGACCAGCCTCGGGGCCAGCCATGGACATGCGCGTAAAGTTGGGCTGTTGAGGTCGACTCGTTGAGTTCAGTAGGGAGTTCGAGCGGGCGTGCTGGGAGGTAAATGGGGGATTGTTGAAGCCAATGGAGCTTGTGCGCTTCATAGCCGACGACGGCTGGGGAATTGAAGAATGGTTTTGTACACTCCCGAGGGTCTAGATTGCATTATTAGTATCTAAATATCTTTGCGACAGCTTGTAAAGCCTTCATCATCATACCTCTCGGGGGCGCCTGATACTGAACAACCCAGTATCTTGCGACATGGTGACAACAAAGCCACAGTCGCGGCAGGGAGTAAAATCGACCCGTGCAAAGTTGAAAAAAAGTATGTTCAACGTCCAAGTATTGACAGTTCAAATCTGGACTCGCGGCGCAAATTTCTGGATGAGGGGGGGCTTGTTTTGTCGTGCAGGTAGGTTTGGGCGGGAAGATGTAAACAAGAGTGGTGCCGCTTCCGGAAGCGGAAAGCGGTGGAGTCGCACTGGAAGAACAGTTGCGCCGGCAAAGAATCACGAGACCTTCGGTCTGGGGAAGTGAGGCTTGGCGGTCCTAAGTTCCGAGGTCCACGGCCAGTGCCGATGACGGTCGCATCCCCTGCCTCTGGACTTTCTCCTCTTCCATCGTCCTTGTGAGTGATTGACAGCACATATTCACCATGGCTCCTCGAGAGGAGCTTATTGCCTCTGCGGTAAGTATTTTGCGATCATATCTCTTCTTCCACTCTCAGTCGCTAATCAATGCTCTCTAGGTGACCTGTATGATTAATCCTCATTCCCCACGATATGGCGAGGTAGAGAAGTTGCGTGCTAACCCTCATGCAGTCTTACAGGATCCTTCGGTGGCTTCATCGCCTATTGAGAAACGAGTCGCATTCCTGCAATCAAAAAATCTCACGCAAGAGGAGGTTGATCTCGCCTTATCGCGAGTCGGCGAAGACCCGGCCGCCGCCGCCGCCGCCGCCGCTGGGACCGTATCGGCGCCGTCTCAGGGCTACAACTCACAACAGGTTGCTTACCGACCACCTCCACAATCGCCACAGGGTTATGGTTATCCTCCATATAATCAATGGCAGCCGCCTCCAGAGTATGTGCAATTCACTGTTTAGATACCAGCTGAACCCGAAGACTGATCGCATGACAGGCCGCCCAAGAGAGACTGGCGGGACTGGTTTATCATGGCAACGGTGATGGGTGGTGTGGGTTATGGATTGTATTTCGTTGGCAAGGTAGGAGACAATAAACCCGGTTATACTGCCATGTCATCCCCGGCTAACACTTCCGCGTTAGCGCTACATTGCTCCATTGATAGCCCCGCCGACTCCCCCTCAGTTGGAACAAGACAAGGAGAATATCGACGAGCAATTTTCGCGTGCGTTTGATTTGATTGATCAGCTTTCGACCGATACCGCAGCCTTGAAGGCCGCAGAGGATGCTCGCACTGAGCGTCTGGACTCGGCTCTGAAGGATGTGGAGAATCTGGTTACAGACCTGAAGAATGCGTCGCGACGGAGAGATGACGAGACTCGCCGGATCAGCGATGAGGTCAAGTCGTTGAAGGATGCGATCCCTAAGGCCTTGGAAGGGGCTCGGGAGGGCAATGAGAACCGTCTGAAGGAGCTGGGTTCTGAGTTGAAGAGCTTGAAGGTCTTGCTGGGTAACCGACTGGGCGGCAGCGGCGCTGCTCCCACCGTTGGTCGTACCCTCAGCAGCTCTACAATTACTCCTTCCGTGACTCCTCAGCCGGCCCCCGAGTCCATCCCTGCTGCTATCCCCGCCACCAATGGCCTACAGGCCACCGTGACCCCAGCTGAGCAGGAGCCGCAGCCCGCTGCTGCTGCGCCCGCACCCGCGCCTACTCCCGCGGCCGATAGCCCTCTCGCCAAATTAGGTCGCTCTGCCTCCATCCCGGCCTGGCAGATGGCTGCTTCTGGTCGATCCAAGGGCTCTTCTCAGTCGGCCCCTGCCCCGGCGGGTGATAAGCCCGCTGGCTCGAGCAGTGAGCAGAGTGCCCCTCCCAGCTAAGTCCAGGACTAAGCCTGAACTGAAATTGTATACCTCTTCGGTTAGATGTATTTACTACTACAGACTCTTATTATCATTCTGGCTTGAACAGTATTTAAACATTTTCTTTTTTCTAAGAGTTCCTATACCTTTCGTAGTTGTGATAAATACAACAAGCCTAAACTACAAAGATGGAGTGGATGGGGTTTAGACATTCCCGATAAGATAAGGAGCGCAAGCTTTACCTCGGATCCTCAAATCCTGACAGTTCTTTTGATCAACCAAACTACTACAGCTTCAGCATAGCAACAATGCCGTCCCCGGAGCGATCCTCAAAACGACCATCGCCACCAGCAGAAGGCGATTCAGACCGCCGGCACCACCGCAGCCGCCGCAGCCATGGCGAATCGCATTCGCATTCGCATTCCCACCGACACCGACACCGACACCGCGATCACCCGCGCTCTCGGTCTCCCCACCGATCAGACCGTCACCGATCCGAGCGTCACCGTCGACATGATCGAGAACGAGATGAGAATGCAGAACGAACAGACCGGGACCGTCGTGACCAGCGAAGCCGAGACGCTCCAGCGCAGCCCGTGGTCCTCCCGCTCCAGGCACGAGAGCTCACACGACGCGATTTGGCGGCCTATGAGCCGATGTTCGCAATGTACTTGGATATTCAAAAAGGGATCCTCATTGAAGATTTGTCAGAAGAAGAGGTAAAGGGGCGATGGAAGAGTTTCATTCGAAAGTGGTATGTACTCGAACTCTTCCTGCTTGGGGGACCATTGCTGATCGAATAGGAACCATGGTGAACTTGCCGAGGGATGGTATGACCCTGCTACACTAGAAAGAGCGCGCCAGAATGCGGCGGAATACCAGCCCGGTCCGACGGAGAGAGCATCGCCGGAGTATGGACGAGGGGAATCTTCCCGGAATACGGGTGCGGCGGCACAACCAGCGGGAGAGGATGACGAAGATGATGAGGAATACGGGCCAACACTACCGGTTCCCGGGTCTATAAGAGATGTCACACATTCTGGGCCAACGATACCAAACATGCAGGATCTCGAACTTAAGCGCGGTAAGCTCCAAGCAATCTAACAAGCCCGGTCAATCTAAGCGGCGCCAAGCTAATGTTCTGCGCTGTAGAATCCGCGATTGAAGACGCAATCGCCGCCCGCGAAGACTCACGACAACAATACCGCTCCGAACTGCACTCTCACAAGGCCGAGGTTCGCCATCTCGAAGACGAAGTCGCCCCGCGAGCCGAGCCTGGTACCCGGGAGCGACAGCTAGAAAAACGCCGCGAAGCTGCTGCGGCCAACCGTGCCTTTGCCGACGCGCGTGGAGCCTCTCCGGAAGCAGCCCCCGACGCAGAGCTCATGGGGAACGACGACTTTGCATCTCTCAAGAAGGAAAAGGACAGGGAGCAGCGGAAGAAGAACGAGCGGGAGATTCGACGAGAGGAAATCATGCGAGCTCGGGCAGCGGAGCGAGAGGAGCGGGTTCAGAAGTACCGTGAGAAGGAGGATGAGACTATTGGATGGTTGCAGGCATTGGCAAAGCAGCGGTTTGGCTAGATGATGATTATCCTCGCGTAACTTGCCCTCTATATAACTACCCTCTTTTCCTGCCTGAGAACCCGTTTTACTAGCGTCCATCATCTTGTACCAAATCTATCGCATTTATCTCATCTCTTGGTCGGCATATCCTGTGTCTTGAAATGCACCGGATCCCTAGTTCTCTAATACATCAAACACCCCTCAGCTCAACCAAAGAACGCACCTGCTTGCCGTCAGCGTCGAAATTGCCCGGCTCCAACCACTTCTGAAACGCCGCCTTCACGACCGGCCATTCCGAGTCCAAGATCGAAAACCAAGCCGTATCCCGGTTCCGTCCCTTGACAATCAAATGTTGACGAAACACCCCCTCCGCCGTAAACCCAAACCGCCCCGCCGCCTTTTTAGAAGGCGCATTAAGATTATCGCATTTCCACTCAAACCGGCGATAACCTAGATCCTCAAAGACCGTTTTCGCAAGGAGATACACGGCCTCGGTGGCCGCGGTCGTGCGCTGCAGAAGAGGGGAGAAAATGATGAAGCCGATCTCGATGACGCGGTTGGTGAGGTCGATGCGGAGGAGGCTGAAGAAGCCGATTGGCTTTTGGGTGGATTTGTTGATTATGGCGTAGAAGAAGGGGTCGGTGGATTCGGAGAAGGCTGTGATGGCTTCTGCGAAGGAGGTCTTGTCGGTGAAGGGGCCTTTGGGGATGTATGTCCAGAGACTGGCATGCTCGGCTAGTCCGATGAGGGGGTACAAGCCGTCGATGTGTTTGGGGTCCAATGGTTCCAGCTGGACAGCGTGACCGGTAATTGTGGTCGAGGGTGGTGGCAAGGCCTGTCTTACTTCAACGGGAGGGCCAACTGGACGATCCATCTTGAATATGACCTGAAATCGTTGTGGTTGTGAAGATGTGTTGATAGCACCCGATCTGATGACCCCCACAGAGATGTGAAGTGGATTGATGGCGAATAGTTGAGTCAATTGCTAGAACTCGAATGAGAAGACTCTCTCTTTACAAAAAGGATCACAACGGTCAATTGATATGGTCGACAACCACCGTCAATGGCAAGTTGTTTGCAAAATAGGTGGCCGTGACTCATTAAGGCGTGATTCGTAAACTCGGGACTGGCCCTTGGGTAGTATTCCGTGCGGGGCAACGGTCACCACCATTGTACTGATGGGTGTTCTGCAAATCGACCAATACAATTTGATTAAAGCTGCCTAGCCTATTACTGCGATATTCACTCACCGGACAAAAATTGTATATGCCAGATGTCCCTTTTGACCGAGTGCGAGTGCCAACAGCTCCCATGACTGGTACGCAGTTGTCAGCAGATCTACAGTATTTCTTCGGAGGCATTTACGAAGAGGCATAGTAATACACGCCTCATATATGGAGTCATCTATAGTGCAGTCCTATTTCTTGATCCTGAATTGTACAAATAGAATCTCATGCTGCCTCATCTCCACCTCTATTCTGTGAGTTTGTACGATGACTGACAAAAGTGATAGCGTGTTTATATTAGTCAAAGGTGATCTTTGGGTCTATCCGAATGATATTCTCGTTGGCAATGAGAATGGTGCGTCCTTGCCGGAACAGGTAATTGAGAACTGTGCCAGGAGCGGTTTGAGATTGATGAAAAGACTATGCAGGCTTTGCGGGCGGGTGAACCTATGGGGTGCTACGATCAAAAGACCGCGCAAGTAGGGTTTGTACGTTTCGTATAGTTACGCCTCCTCCTCCGCGGACTGGTGAACAACCGTTGTTCTTGTAGGCAGGCGTCAATCACCAAGTCCAGCTCTTTGCAGCTTTCCAGGGCCGATGCTCCTTGTTTCTGACTCATATACTTAAATTTGAATATCCGCCAAGACCCCTTCACGAAGCTTAGATTCATTGCAAGTCATGAATTCTCCGGATTCTCAGCGTAGACCCGCGGCCGGATTCTCCGATTCTCGGCACTCGGGCCCTTTCCGACGACCCTTACGGAGTACTTTAAGCCCGTAGATCAACACGGCCATGCCCAAATTCCTCTACCGCCTCAATGTGAATATGCAATAATCATGTTTACCGTCAGTAATTGCACGCGGTTACCTACCCAGACCATGCTAGCGTCCACAAGGCGACGCTTCCTCGGCACCAAGCAAAACTGCCTACCGGCGGCCTACTACCGCGGCGGCACATCAAGAGCCGTCTTCTTCAAAGAAGAGGATCTCCCCACCGACCGCAAAGACTGGGCTCCCATCTTCCGCGGCGTCATCGGCAGTCCTGATCCATACGGTCGACAACTTGATGGACTAGGCGGCGGTATCTCCAGTCTCTCCAAGGTATGCGTAGTGGGCAAGTCCACGCACCGCAACGCGGATGTAGACTATACATTCGTGTCCCTGGGGATCAAAAACACCGACGTCGATTACTCGAGTAACTGCGGCAACATGATTAGTGCCGTGGGGCCATTTGCCGTGGATTCACAGCTATTTCGTTTACCACGGGCAGACATTGAATCTGCCTCGGTGCGGATTCACAATACCAACACCGGGAAGATTATTCACTCCTCGTTTCCCGTGGTAGACGGGGAAGCAGCTTCGAGTGGAGACTTTTCTATCGATGGAGTCGCGGGAACTGCGGCCAGAGTGCAGTTGGATTTCATCAATCCTGCTGGTTCCGTGACGGGCAAGTTGCTACCAACGGGGAATCCCACGGATACGCTCGATGGGATTCCTGCGACGTGCATCGATGCAGCGAATCCGTGTGTTTTCGTTCGAGCCAGTGACCTCAAAGTGGATGGAAATTTGACACCAGATGAGATCGCTACTCACCCTACCCTCCTGGCTCGATTGGATTCGATTCGTCGTCAGGCGGGTGTCAAGATGGGTCTTGCTTCCACGACTGACGCCGTGCCCGGCAGTGTACCCAAGATCTGTCTCGTAGCCGTCCCCTCGGCTGCTGGTGGACGAGATGTGGGGCAGAAGCAGACATCGACAGAGATCGACCTTCTGGCTCGTGCGCTTTCCGTTGGTCAGCCGCATAAAGCAGTTCCCATTACGGTGGCGCTTGCACTCGCTGCGGCTGTGAGAGTGCCTGGGAGTACGGTGAACGAGGTCGTGGGGGGAAAGAACCCGGTTGATCATGCAGGCATCACGATCGGTCATGCGAGTGGCAATCTGTTGGTTGGCGCTGATTTCGATGCGGATGGAGTGTTGACTTCGGCGACGGTCTTTCGCACTGCGCGGCGGCTTTTCGAAGGGAAGATCTTCTGGAAGAACGAGGGAGATCTCAATAGCGTGAGTGAGTCCGACTAGTTATGACGACTGTATGTACCATATTTATTTCCTCTAATCGTCCAATGCATTTGTACCTTGAATTGGAGTGTATACAAGCTTTTTGTCGATGGGTATACCATCTCAACCCATAACGCCCATCCTGACTTTATATCCCTACCCAAATGCAATTTCCCAATCTCATCTTGCGTCTACGCATGTCTCCCCAAATCCAAATCAGCGACCAACTTCATATCCCCCTTGCCATCATCCGACCCCAACCCAAAGAATGGCTTCACAGCAACATCAATCGTCTCCTCAAACAACCGCCCAACAACCACCTCCTTCAGATCCTCCCCCGTCTGACCGAAATCAGGGAAAGCATTCAACTCCAATAACCACGCATTCCCATCCGCATCAACCAAGAAATCAACCCCAAATATCTCAAACGCATTCGGCAGCGTCTGGAAATGGACCATCATACCTCGCGCCGCAGCCTCAAAGACCTCGCCCGTTACAGCGCAGATCTGCTCGAAGATCTTTTCCTTCCAGTCTGCGGAAAGGCCGGGGACGTGGTGATCGAGATCCCAGAAGCGGCGAACGCTTCCCTCGTTGGAGCTGCCGCCTTCTTGGAAGCAGGTGTTTGTCAAGTGGCGGGCTAGGTCTTTAACCTCGTCTTCCTCTTCATGAGGGGCGCAATAGGATTTGGCAGCGAAAAGGGCGAGCATCTCCTTGAAGACGTAGACCTTTAGGGCGCCCGTTGCAAGGACGTACGTGCGGATATGGAATTTGCGGTTTGAGGAAGAGGGTAGAAGGAGTGGAGGGTCGATGTATGGCTGGGCCATGAAGTGGCGGAGTTGGGAAGTGACGAGACCCTCATCGTGTGCGGCGGGAGAAGCGCTCTGAGGGATGGCGGTTTCGGAATCGCTCTCGTCTTCAATGTCGGAGGGTTCGTCCCATTCTTCGAAGATCTCGCGGAGTTGGTCCTCGGTGCTGAAGAGTCGAATACCTTGGCCACGATCACTCATACCGGGTTTCAGGATCCACCATTCTTTCTCGGAATCAGGCCGCTCTTCATTCTTCTCCAGACTCTCACGCAATTCGTATGCCTCCAGGAGAGCCTCGTCGAGGAACTCGGAGTAGTCGAGTTCGAAATCAAACGCAGGCTTGAAATGGTTTCGCAGAATGCTGTCCGGATGCTTGGAGACCCAATTGGCCACCGTGTTGGACAGGTAATGCTTGCGGATCAGGGCCTTGCGGATGATGTATGCATTTGCAAGGGAAGTCGAGGGGCGTGACATGACGTGCTCAAAGTCCAGTCGTTCGTACTCGCGATACTGGAATACGGGTGCCGAGGTATCGGGGAGTTCGGATAGCTCCGAGATGCGCTGGCTGCGTGCAGCATCTCCGAGACGACGGGTCAATGCTCGCTTGACGAGAGATTGCACGTAGGGATCGTCACAGTCAACAACTGAGAATATCGTTGACTTTTTATCTGATCTACAGAGACCACCTCTATCAGAACCAGCCCAAGCGTATCAAGTAACATTGCAGAACAGGAAATAACAGAAAACTCAAAATAAATCAGATGGGAACAAGGGAGCATGAGGTCTATCAGCTAGGCCAGATATCTAAAGCGCACTGTAGTATATGTATCTGAAACGAAACCTTCAAAACCATCATGCCTAAAAATTCCACTCACAGCTTGATCTCTCCCGTGAGACCGGGCATATGCTTAAAGCTCGCTTTAAGAGGCGTGACACTAGAAGATAGATGTTAGCAAATACCTTCTCGACGGGACAAGAACAGAACGAAACACACCTAGTCATCTGCTCCTTGACGACCCAGCCGTCATTGCCAGCAGGCCCCTCTTCCACGCTTCGATACACATCCTGGAAGTTAGGCGCCCATTTAAAGTGTTTGTGCTTGATCCTAGGCTGTCCAGTGGGTTCATCAGTCGTGATCTCCGGTTCGGGCTTCTTTCCCGTCATCTCGCCCACGTCACGCAGTCGCTGCTCTTCAAGTTCGGGATCATCGCCGGTGGCCGGGTCAGCAGGCTCGAAGCAACTGCCAGAAGTCCACTTGTTTTCCAGCATCTCCGTGTAGAGAACCTGGTTCTGGCTCACACCAGGCTCAAGAGGAACATTGACGCTATAAAGGTCTACTCCATCCGTCCAGTTGGCGCAGAGGTACTCGATCACCCTGACAGAGTGCTGAGAAGCCTCGGCGATGATGACGGGGTCATGATTTCGAGAGCTGAAGGCATAAGATAAAGCAATCGAGCGCTTCCCACACACGGCACCCTCCATGGCACCGCCAATGGTTCCACTTGACAGGGCAAAGAGTGCCGTGGTGTTGCGGCCATAGTTTGGACCGGACACCACGACGTCGATCGGGCCCCTTTCCTGGAAATAATGGTAGAGTCCGATCTGGACACAGCTTGCAGGAGTCGAGTCGATCAGAATCCATTCGTCGCCACCGTCATCGGGCTCACCGTTGCTTCCCCTCGGCAAGTGGTGTATCGTCCCATCTTCTTGATGCAGGGTGCCCGGGCGGAAATACGTAGGCTTCACGGACGCGCCGACAATATGCGCCTTACCGATCCATGAGCGCTGTTGGTGAGGGAGAACGACGGAGACTGTGTGGCCAGCCGCTTGGAGCGAGTGGACGAGGGAATGAACGTAGGGCGACGACTGGTTCGACGGCGGACCGTCGTCGTTGGTAACCTGAGCCCGGATCAGTCAAATGCTTGACGAGAATTAGAGATGTTACTACATAGTACTGACCAGGATGTGCATGTTGGGTTGGGCAATTGGGGGGCAAGATGGAGGGGAAGAGAGAAATCGGGAAAAGTGTGGAGAACTTGAGAAACAGTGAAGATCGACAGAGGAAGGTACGAGAGTGGGGTACGATGTACCGTCTTCCGTGCTTTTACCGCAGAACCGCTCTGTATCGGATCGGACCTCCAAATCACATCATGACACCAGCCCTCGGTAGACATCATGCATAGTTATTCATAGGTGAGTAATTAAGGGTATACTAAGATTTGGACATTAATCCTCATGACTATCACTTTCAATGATCACCCCCAGTCGAATGACTCCTTCGTCTCTGCACCCCTCGTGCTTCTGCACTTTCCCGTCCGGAACCCAGACCTGCATGATCGCCCTCGGCCGGATGACTTTGAAGCAAGCGGGTCTCGGTTTCCTCCTTCTTGACCTTGACGGGCTCACTGGATGAGCCACTATCTTCGAACTCGTCTTTGATTGCCTTGGAGAAATCTTCTTCTTCTTCCTCCTCCTTGATCTCCCCCTTCGGCGTGTCGGATTGCATGATCCAGGTTAGGACGAACCATGTCAGACTTGCAGAAGCCATAGAGACAGTCCAGAAGATTGAACTAAATACCACAAAGGAAGTCAACTTCCAGCGGTACATAAACGACCTAAAACTCTGCATTAGCTAGGACATTCAACCCATATATCATTCAAGAAATGCCTACCGAAGCCCTGTAAATCTGGCACGGAACTCAACGCGCGCAGAGTAGATCTGCATTTTCCTGTCGCTCTGAATCTCAAGCCGCAAGCTCTGAGGTCGATTTTGTGTGCCTCGCGCAAACTCCACCCTTTCCATCATCGACACCTCTAGGGTCTCAGCTTCGCGGCGCCAACCCACCACGTACAGCGGTAGGCGAGCTAGTCTTCGCGCAATATCCACGAGCGGTGAGGCGTATGTCAGGATCGCTGGACGACACGAGTGCGAGATTTTATTCTGTGAGTTGCTCGCCGTCGGAAGCACGGATGCGGTCTCGGGGGCGTAGAGTGTGAGGTCGATCATGAAGTTGCCCACGTCGAGATTCGAAGGCGTGCGGGGTAGGTCGAGCGACACGGAAACATCGTAGGGTTGGGATGAGACAAATTCGGACTCGAAAGATGCAATTCCCCATGGGTTGAGATCACTGTGATAACCACAACAATTAGTACGTCGTTGCGCCCGAGGGAGAATGGTAGCTTTACCCAAACTGCAGGTGAATTTCACGGTCCACCCCGACCGTAGGGATGAACCTCAAGTAGAAGATTGCATATGCAATACCCGAAACGCCTAGAAGCAATAGAGTAGCTCCCGAGAACAGGATTATGCTGAGGTATATGCGAAGTGCAGTCTTGGATACCAGTGCGCGGAATGGCGTCAGGAGCGCGTCCTGTCACATGTTAGACCTGGTTACCACGATGAGAGAGCCAGACTGACCATGAGGACCGCTTGTGAGTGGGAGGGTCCGCCATATTCTGTCTCGTCATCGGTATATTCCGAGTCGGCCATTTTAAGGAGGTCGATGGAGGTGGAGGGGTGTTTGTTGAAAGCAAGTTCCTCGGCAAGTGGTAGCGCCGGCTCTCCTGCTTATCGGAGCTGTCTCCATCCACAAAGCTCTCCACAGTTGCGCTGCCACCAAATCTGTATGGAGTACGTCCGAAGGGCAATCCTCATACAATTTGAAACATAAATTTGAATACATGGTATATTCGAGCTCTAATAACATTATGAAAACCAGATCCCGCGCCCAAGACACGAACGTAAATGACAGACTGCATTAGGCACCCCCCGCCGTTGATGCAGAGAAACAGATAAGAAACCAAGAGAGGACAAAAGAGAGGAACCATCAACTCCAGCTTTTACAATCTTATCATTACAGGTCGCGTCTTTGGAGCGGAAAAAAAAAGAATTATCATAGGATCTCAGGTCATGCGAACATCGTGAGACGAATAGGAAAAAATGCAAGCCATCCCCACGGCATATCCGGGCCGTAACATGAGACGTAAAAATATTGGAAGCGTGAAAGCAATAAACCCCTTGAAGAATACAATGAGAAGTGAAGCGTAGTCCGGCGGATTTGTAGATTTGCCGACTAGATAATATGCGAAGAGAGGGAGGGAGGGAGGAGGCAAAGCCTAGGCGACGGGCCGGGGGCTTTGCTGTTGGATGTGTTGGACGAGAGCATCGAACAGTCGACCGATCTTTGGGAGGGAGAGATTAGTATGCGTTGGAGAGGCTGGTGAGCACGTTGCGAATTACCTCGGGGGCCGCCTGGATGAAGGGAAGGCGGAAGAAGGAGTAGCTTCGGTTCTGGAGAAGCTCCTGTAGGGTGATGATCAGTCCCCATGGGTGTGGACGGTGGACAATCAGTCGCTCCAGAAGCACACGAATAATCTGCTGGCGAATATCAGAGTCATCGGACTCGGAGAAGTCCACACCGAACAAGCGGAGGATGGTGAAGCTGAAAAAGTAGGTGTGGCTGTTCGGGTAGCGCAGCTGATTGGCCATGGCACTCAGCAGGTAGTAACGAGCTTCGGGCTGCATGGCTTGGGCGAGCTTCTCCAGAAGGGAGGCGTGAGCCGAGGTCTCAAAAGCATTGCGAGTGTTGGCCTTAGAGGCGTGCTCCTCAACACCTTGCTGGCCAATGTAAAGCACCATGGCATTCACGAGGACGACGTCCACGTTGATGGGCACGTAGAAAAGGGAAGTCTCTCTGGGCTCCGGGGTGATGATCGCGTCACAAATTTGCTGCACCACGGCATCGGAAGCTTGATCGCTTTGCAAAGCGGTATCAATTACCTGCTTGATATTTGCTTGCTGCAAAGGGGCAGCAGTATCACCAGCGATCTTGGGAATTTCCCGCATCTCCTCGAGTCGCTCAACCTTGAGTCCTTCGCGGAAAGGATCCGGGAGTTTCTGGAAGGACGATGGGTAGGCACTGAGAACCAAGTTGCGAAGCTGAGCACAGTGTGCAGGAATCACATTGCAAAATTGGAAGTGGTTCTCGGCAACGAATTCTGGGAAGTCGTGGTGAAGGATCAACAGGATTCGAAGCACACCCTTGTACAAGTCCTTGGCGACATAGTGGATCTCAGCTGCCTTGAGCTGCTCACCAATGTAGGAAAGCAACGCTTGCATGATCTCGCAGTAGGGCGCCCACCCGATGCGCTCTGGCATGTTCAGCATGTCAGACATGAAAACACGGTGGGAGACGAGAGACAGCCATCCGTAAACGAAGCCTGGCACGTAGCGAGGCTGGAGGGACAGGAACTTGTTGGCCATGGCAAATATCATGCCTTGGTGTTGCTCATGGTGTTGAAGGCCCGCGACCGAATACTCGCACAAGATGCTGGAGAACAGTCGGAAAAACACACGCTGATTGAATGCCTCCCCTCGCATGACCTGATGATTATTAAGGACCAAGACCAGAGCAGACAGGATGGAGTGGAAGTAAGCTGGCTTGTCGGCCTTGACAGAGGCCGTGCTTTCTCCTTGGAACTTAACCAAGAGAACGACGAGCTTCGCGAGAGCGTCAATGTACAGGAATGCTTCGTCGAGGCTGCCGTTCGGATTCTGAGACTCATGCTCGAACATAGCCACCGAAATGTCGATGCTGAGGCGGAAGAACAAGGCGGAGTCTTCTTGGGAGTTCATCACCTGGCGGTTATGCATGTCCTGGAGGAAGGACAGGTAGGTGCGCTCACTGGCACCGGAGGCCTTGTAGACGCCAATCCACTCGCTGAAAATGTACTCCATCTGGTCACGCTTCGACCGGGCCTGATCGGTAAGAAGTGGGTTGACAACCTCGGGGATGCCGACATCGCGCAGCTTGCGGACGATCTCCAGCGCAGGAGCAACGGTTCCATCTTCGGCAAGCCATTGACTCATGGCTTCCAGACTTCCAGAGAAGTCTGACCGCAGAGCTGATGGCTCGTCGTTAAACAGGACACGGTTCATCAGGTTCAAGAGAAGTTCCAAGGCGCTGACATTCTTTTGTGAAATAAGACGGGTCAGGACCATGTCGACCCGGCGGATGTCCAGCAAGCCGGCGTCAATGAGAGCAACGGTGACAGGCACGTTGAACATGTGCTCATCATCAACCTCTGACAGAAGAGCCCAGGTGTAGCGTGCAATGAGGGATGACATGTCGCAGAGCTTGGCGAGAAGGTGGACAAGAACCTCGATTTCCAGGGATCCAGAGGATTGAGAGTAGAGGGTGGTGCAGATCTTCAGGGAGGTTAAACGGGCCAGCTCCTCCCCGTTGGGTGAAGCCAGAATGGCGCGCAACGCCTGGTTATATTCCTGGAGAACTGTACTTTCCCGACCGAGATCCTTGACGTGATCCTCAGGCGCATTTCGGGCAGAAAGCTGGAGCTCAGAGATCAGAGACTCCACCCGCTCCCGTGGACTTTGGGCCTCAAGGAAGCCGTTGGTGGGGACGCCCATCTGAGCGGCAGCATTCTGCGCTTGCGGGGTGCGGTGAGGAACAGCCGGCTGTTCAGCGGGAGTCGAGAGGTTGGGGATTGGAGGAGGGAAAGCCTCCTGGAGAACGTCGGGAATCTGACGACCGGAATCCGTAGAAACGTTCTGGGGATGAGCAGTCACAGGGCCTCGGGATTGGCGTGCAAACTCCTCGTAGATCGCCAACTGCTCCTTATTCAGACCCCCGGGCATTTGGCGATACGGCTCGGGAATGAAGAGGCCCCAGCGGTTCATCGAAGGATCCACAAAGGGTTCGTTCGGACGCGTAGCCAAGTGGCGCCGGCGTGCCTCCAGCTGTGGCTCAATGACCTTCTCAATCTCAGGCAGCGACTTCTCCTCGGCGGCCTTCTCCACAATACCGCAGGCAGCATCCAAGTTATCATTCACGCACATAAGAATCAACCCTTCGGGCATGGGCTGATCAGAGTACTCTTGTTGAATCATCCGGATGTAGTTGGTCATGCTGACCTTGAGCGGCTCCTTGCAGGTAACCAGGGCAAGGCTTCCAGCCAGTTGCCGGACCATGATACCAGCAGACTGTCGTACTTTTTCCTCATCAGGCTCCGTAGCAAAGTCCTTGGAGACAAGCTGAACGGTGGATATGGAGGCAATAGTCACAGAGCGTTCCACAACAGGAGTAATGATCTCCGCAATGGCACGCTCTACTGCGGTGTGCACGATCTGTCGAAGAACGCTGGGATCCACCATGCTGCTAGCTGAGGGAGGCAGCACAAGAATCTTATCAAGGCTAGGTAGTGTTGACATGATCGCAGCTGGCGACAAACGCTCATTCTGGATCCCTGGGGCAAGAGGACCGATAGCGAGATCATTGAAAGGCTCCAATCCTTCCGGGATACTGGCAGCCGCTGGTGGCAGACCTTCTTCACCGACATGGGCGGTACGGTCACGAATGATGATGGCCGGTGCAATAGTCTTGTGATCAAGGTCAAGATCCTTGCACAAAACCTCAATCTCAAACTTCAGATTCAGCTTGAGTTCAGCGTAATGGTACAGTTCGAGCAAGAGACCCAGAATGTCCATCAACCATGGGTTGGGAGGCCTAAAGACCCGAGACTTGGTGGCCTGGACAAGCACCTTGCAGGTGAAAGGAATAGTGACCATCAACCGCTGGGTATCATAGCCCTCCAAGAGCAGTCCCTTGAAGTACACATTCTTGTGCTTGATGGGCTTGTCCTTCGCAATCGTCAACGAACCAAGCCAGGCGCCAAGATTCTTGAGATGACCACGATCGGTGGAAGAGGTGAGAGTAGCTTCGGAGTTAAGAAGCTTTGAGAGGCTAACATAGGTCTCTCTGAGGACCTCGGCCCAGAGGATCTTGTCGCCAATGCGGTCCAGAAGATCGAGATAGAGCTGTTGGAAATTGGGTTGCAACTTGGCACGCTCCTCTACCAGGTACGCGGCGAACCACTGGTGATGCTGGTCGCGCAAGACTTCGCGCAAATCCCGAAGCTTCTCATCAATGTTCTGCTCTGAAACGTTGTTCAAAACAAAGAGAATCTTGTCTTGAATGTCCTCATCGGGGTCGTGGTAGATGTCCGAACGGAGTGGTGGATCAACCTGAATTGCACGGAATTTTCTAGACCCGCCGTCGGTCGCGGAGGCATCGTCGTTGGTGCCATTGGGCAAGGTAGTGGGACCAAAATCATCAAAACGCTCACCTTCACCAAGCTGGGGCCCCTGTTCACGAAGCACTTCCTCTGCTTTTTGGAAAATCGGCGTGCCTTGCAGAGTGGGAATCTGGAGGAGAAGATGGCAGAATCCAGCCCACTCAGTGAGACGGTTGATAAGCTGCTCAATGGCCTCCACACCAAATTTGTACATTGGGTCATGCACTTCATGTTCTCGGACAGCCTCGAGAATCATGCCGAGGCCAACTTTAAGCGTAATTCCATCCACCAGCCTGAAGTTGATGATACCACCGAACATAACGGCAGTCTTGGTCAGAGCTTCAAGAGGGTACTCATGGTAGCAGTGGTACTCGTCAATCAAGCCGTGCACCATGCAGGCAAAGAGATCTTGTTCGGTGGGGTCACGAGACGACTTGTACTGCCGCATCAACTCCAGCATTTCACGTAGAGAAAGCTCCTCGTGATACATCTTACCAAACAGATCCTGCATCTGCTTGTCGATTGCGTCAGGGAGCGAGTTACCATTCTCGCCATTGGCATCAATGATGTCGTCAAACCCTTCGCCATAATTGATCAATCGAGGGTAAGTCTGGATGCAGATACGTTGAACAGGAGTGAGGTTTTCACGATCACCGACGTACTCCTCCAAGACAGACAAAAGGGTGTATACCGTCTTCACAGCAAGGCTAACCATCCGCGGGACTGGCTGTTCCTTTCGCTGGACATGTAACTCATCCTCGGCCTTGATGCGGAGGAATTTGGAGAGAAGGTCGCCCATGTTCGTGTGGCCCTTCTGAGAAGCCTTGCGAACCCATTCCTCAAGGTCCATGTTGGTCTTGCGATGACAGTAACAGGCGAGATCCAGAGCCAAGCCAGTGGTAAATTCGAGAAGACAGTCAAGCCACCCATGTTCGGCAGCGGTCTCATAGATCATTGCGGTTGACGTTGGATCCTGGTTGAAAGCATCGAAGAGCTTTCCGGTCACCCAATCGCGGTCCTGAAGCCAAGCGCCATGAAGGGCCAGCTGGTAGCCTTCTTCTTGCTTAGAAAGGAACAAGACAAAGGTACGAAGAACAAAGTTGGTTTGAACGTCAGTCCATGGCTGTTTGATTGCGAGAGCCGAAATCAGGAAGACCGGAAGATCAAATTGAACGATAGTCTTGATGAGAAGCTGGCTCTCCGCTGTGGCCCATGAAGATTGTGAGAACAGCGCGACATCGAATATCGCCTTCATCGCATCCATGGAGCGAAGGGGGGACTGGACAGCCCGTTCACCTTGCAGTTTAAGGTTTTCCGGGGCTTCTTCGAAGAAATCTGCGGGGAACGCCGCACGCAGGTTAGGAATGAGCGATAGATCGGGGCGTGAGGCAATGAACGCTGTCAGAAGTGACATCTGTGAATCGCGATGCTCCCAGTCTCCGCCCCAGAGCTTTTGAAGATCAAGGGAAGAGTCACTAGCAGCAATGCTGGCGAACGCATCGAACAACCGCGAGAATTGCTTAGAATCCACTCGTACCCCGTCCCGATCAAAGTTCTGGAGAACCAATGCCCAGTTGATTTGCTTCCCCGCGTATGCGCTCAGAAGAGTCTCCAGCGAGAACTGTTGCGAGTACTGTGACGATATCATGAACAGAATCGCAGTGGCCAAGTTTTCCTCACTCCAACCGTCCGGTCCAGCAGCATTGATAGCTTCCGTGGCAGCCTCTGCATTTGCCGTAGCACGAGGCCCCTTAGCGTGAAGCTGCCGCACAAGAGTATGTTCGGGATCGACAAACATGAACATTTGCAGGGCCGAACTAACCTCGACTGGAGTGTCGACGGCTAGCTTTTGGAATCGTAGATTGATTGCATAAACCAACTTCGCCTTGACCTCGTTGGTAAAATTGCGCGGGGGGTATAAGATGAATCGTTCAATGGTCATTCCAAGGAAAGAGTTTGGGAAATCTTTGGTCGCTTCGGAAGGATTCGCCAAGCTAGAGAGGAAGGGGGTGATGGAGTTTGAAAGGATGGCATCAGCTGGTGAGAGTAAGATAATGTTAGCGATGCGTCACTTCCTCAAGGTAGTGCAACGTAAAGCAAAGGAGCTTACCCTTAGCCCGCAGATCAGACTTGCTCGTCAGCTTGAAGGCCAACGCAAGAGAGACCTTCAAAAGAGGGTCGAGGCGGAAGTGATCCAAGAAGGTGGAGAGGTCAAAATCACGGAAGATGTCTCCCTCGGAGGTGTCTACCGTCTCAGCAATCTTCTGCGCCTGCTCGATATCCGAGGCGACTTTCTGCATTTCCTGTACGAGGAGGGGGTAGTTGCCCGCATTCTCGACGGACTTGTTCACGCCAGGGAAGATTTGCGGGGCATTGCCTGTCAGCAGGCGACGGAAATACTTTGAAAAGACCTCCATTCCGTTGGATGATACAAGCTTTTCAATTGCGTCGTTAGCATTCATGAATAGGAGAGTATGGCTCGAGCTCCAGCTGAACATACTTTATGGATTTGGGCAGCTTTAGTCTCCCACTTTTCTTTACCTTCCTTCTCTGTGATCGAGTCCAACAGGAGGAAAACTTGCGCAATCGAAATCTTCGTGAGAGATGACTGACTCGAGTGGGCAGCCGCAGAGCCTGGCTTATCAGAAGCAAAACCCGTAGGCGAATTCACGGTTGTGCCGGACGAGAGTGGTGAAAATGCCACACCTCTAGTTGATCCGGGTCCACCACCGCCCCCGGTTCCCCCAGTTCCTGGGATGGAACCTGTTGCGGAGGGGAAATGGGACACTGAGGAAGGGGTGTGTGTGCGGAACTTGGGTGAGGAAAGCGATTGGGCCTGTTGCTGTGAAGCCGACTGCAGTGAAGTGAACGGAGAGGGTGTGGGCTTCGGGCTACCGCCGGAAAGACCCCTGGCGGAGCTCAGAACAGCCGAAAATGAAGAAGGCGTTGAAACCCCAGGGCCTGCGTCCAAGCCCCGGGTAGATGTGGAGGGAGCGGCGGAGGAAGAAAGATTGGTCGCGAGAGGAGTCAACCCACGACGAATTCCAGACTGTGATGAGGACCGACCCCAGGCACCAATCTCGGTCCTGAACGAAGAGGATTTACCGGTGCCAGAAGCAATCGACGATTGGGCGGAAGGGTGAGGGGGAGGGAAGGTCATCTAGGAGACGCGATCATTTGATCTGGAGGGTCCACAGACAGATTTTTAAAGATGGGGACGTAGACGAGACCGATGCAGCTGAGAGAAAAATGAGGGTGAATATGCGATATTCGGAGCTCGAGTGAAATGGTGTGAAAGGATAGGGGTGGGGTTGTGGAAGAGGATTGGGATGGGCTATGAGGAGAGGTTGGAGGATTGGTGTGCAAGGTGCGAGGTGTCGGAAGTGTGGGTGCCTTAGGTGTCACAGGACGAACGTGAGCTTTAGGCTGTCGGGCAGGAGTTGGTGAGGAGAGAAGTAGCAAGAGAACTGAGGTGGATGCTGTCCTCGCCCAGCGCGCACTCTTAGCTACCACGGTACGAAAGCCTGTCGAGCTTCACAATCACAACTTTGGCGTTTCAGTTAGCATTACAAGGGAAATTCTTGTCGCGTGTTCTGGTCTACGAATTCCAGGCCAAGTCACCTGATATGTGCTTAGTCATTGTTCGGCAGCGGGGGCCAGCGAACCGAGACAGCCCCAGATACCAACCTAGAGACATACAATAGTTCCAACGGACCATTGTACTAGGCTGCAGTCAAATATGCTATTAAATACACCCATCTGGCTCCTCAACATACCTTGCCGCTGAGTTAACTCGGTCACTGATCTCTTTTCAAAGCTCAAACTTCCGACAGGAGACTATGGATATTCAAAGGGAAACATGCCGGCACACTTGTAGTCAGTCAAGACAATCTCTAAGTGACCTGAGGCAAGAGATATGGAGCCTTCGCAAAAAATCATGTGGACTCAATGATGGAGCAAGGTATTCTAGTCCATACCTCAGAGCGGCGAGGATATTCTATGGCGTGGCTATTTTACTTCAGATACGAGAGATGTCCCTTAATTCGCTATAGTTTGTAATATAACTAAAGGAAACGGTGGTGGCAACGCCACCATATCATTAGATGCTCCAGCAGGACGAAAAGATTCGGTTCCCGTTGGCCCCAAAGGAAACAGGGGGGGGAAAGAACGGGGGGGGGCAGCACTCGCAGGCAGAGAGGACTGAATACCCCAAATTGCATCACATGCATCACATCCGATGGACGCCAAAAGTAATCCAATATCACGCAACGATCAAAATGGGAACAAAAACATTATATAATCCAAGAAGAGAGATGAAGGTACGCATGAAGGTGGACGATTGTATCATGTCACAAACCGAATAGACGGAATCCAAGGACGTAATGTAAATGTCAAAGACGTGATGAAGAAAGGTGAGATCAAAAAGACTTCAAGATATCGTTTGCGAAGCCGTCGGGCTCAAAGGGACGGGCTCAAGTAAAGAGGTAGTAAAATGACACAAAAGAGATAGAACAGGACAATCGTGTGCACATAAGCCGATGCTAGTAGATAGTTCCCACGGCTATTCAACGCCAACGCCGGAGGTTTTCAGGCCGAAAACCCATGATGAAAATGGACAAACTCGCTCGAACGTCAAGGAGAAGAGATTAACACTAATCAGTCGTAGAAAGACAATAACACGGTGTTGCATACTGTGCTTTTGCCGTGTACGTCTGCTGGGAGCCACCACTCGTGTTGATGTAGGTGGTTGTTGGTGTGGGCTCCAGCTCCTTGATGTTGATGACCTGGCTTTGAATAGGTCCAACGATATTGCCATCAGATCCGACTTGCATCTGCTGGCAGTAAGGTGCTTGAGCTCCGGCGAAGTCGCGTCGTTCTTCGATCTTGATTTTTCGTGGATAGTCAAAAATAGTATCTCCGCGTTTATAGGCTTGGGCACTGGCCGTGCTGGCTGCCGTATCGGTTTCAGTTGAAGCGGTGGTGCTAGAGTCCGCCGCTATCGTCTGATTGACATAGATGAAAAACTCCATCATTGTTTGGTTCCAATAGCAGAACCAAGGCTTGTCGCCGGGTTGAGCTGTTTGCATGCGATGAAGCTTCGCCAGGAAGGAATCATCTCCAATGAATGACCGCGATGAAACAGAGCTCGACGACTCGAATTGCGATTCGGGAACGATCACCAGCTTGTCAAATTTGGCAAAGAAAAATAGTGCCGGGCCCATGCCGGTATCGCTAGTGTCGATCGCGAAACCCAGAGATTGAGTAGGGGTGGGGAGAATTGGAGGCTGAGCACCGTATGTAAACGTGGAAGTAGGGCCAGTGCTACTGAAGATGATGGAGTGATGGCCATGATCCTCGCCAACAACGACGTCGAAATTGGTGGGATTGTCCATGCAGCCCCAAGCATGTCTGAATTGACTATCCTCGACACACATCCGCGAAGAGTTTTGCAACTGGGCCGGGACAAGATAATGGCCCGTAGGCACCGACTTGAGATTCGTTGGAGTACTGGTCATTGTCGAGTAATCCATTTGCGGCGTCGCAGTCACAGTCACAATGTGGGGGCCGCTCGACTGAGCTGCCGCTTGTCGATCATGCTCGGCTGCCCTCTTACCGCCAATCACACCCCCAATAGCGCCTCCAATGGATCCGCCGATCAACATTACGGTAGCGACAAGAACAATGGTCCAAACGGGCAGACCGCAACATGCAGTCTTTTTGCCCTTCTGTTTGAGCTTCTCCTCAAACGCCATGATGCCCGTAAGGGGAACCCTGCGCTCTCTGAAGGCATCGCCGTCATCAATATCCACAGCCGTAGTACCTCCAGAAGACAGAGGGACCAGAGCCCGCGTGGACGTTTCCGAAATTGGTTGATGTTGGTCTCTAGCAACTGAATGGAGTTCTTGCGTCTCTGGGTGGGCGTTCATATCGGCCATCATCTCGAAGCCTGGGGGTTTCGGGACCTCCCCAGTTGGGTAGCGTGAATAGGGTGGTAAGGGCTCCGCATGGCCATCTGCTCCAATGATATCACCCACATCGTTATCCTGACGGCCTGGAGGTGGTTGGTAAGGTGGGTTATGACCCGGAAATCCAACCGGTATCGCATCGTCGTCCATTCCTTCTTCAACAACGTTTTGCGGGTACATAGCGTAAGGATGTTGAGGTCCACTCGATTCCCCCAACGGGCGATCGTGCTGGCGAATGGTCGAGGTGCTTACGACACTTGGCGAGCGACTTACTCCAACTTGAGGGTACATTGCGTAGGGATGACTCGGTCCGGTCGCTCCGGTGTAGGGACTCATGGCGCGCGGCATCGAGAAACGGGACGAAACGCTTTGATTTCGCTGCATGGCGAAGGGGCTGTTGCTAAACGAAGCTACAGAGCCACGATTCGTGGAGAAGCCGCCCATTCCCTTCTGAGGAAGACTTGATCGACGTGCTTCCTCAAGGGAGACTCGGGCGTCATCGCCAAATGGATTCTCATTGTCGGGTGTGGCCTGGCTGACGGCTTTTTGTGGGTGATGGATAGAGCGAAGGGTGGTAGAGGAAGAGACAGAGGCGGGAGAGGGAGCACGTTCGATCTGGTTGTCGGTATCGATTGGTTCTAATGAGTATTCGTCGGAGAAGACATTGGGATTAGGAACGCGTGAGTTGCGCCCGAAGGACTGGCGAGACATCGGCTCAAAAGCCTGTCCCTGGGATAGACGAGGGGTTTGTGATGATCGTGAGGCCGAGCGAGAATGATCGGATGAAATGTGTCCAGACATTTCCCCTTGTTAACGGTAGCCCTGTCGGGCCACCTCTTTGGTTCGGTTCAATCTGTCTCACGGTTCGCCCCCAGAAAGAATGGGTGGCGGGGAAGAGGAAGAAGGCGACAGGCAGAGAGGTCGTCGACGCGGTCGTTGAAGGTCGGCGATCGGGTGGTTCTTGGGTGGTGTCCGTAGATGAGGGTGGTGATGGGGTGGGTGAAGACTGATCGGGAGGAGGGCGAGGGTGAGAGTGAGGATTGAGGGATGGGGGCGGCCCGGGGGGGGGAACAAGTCTGAGACTTAGTGTGACGGTGGTAATACCTCGGGGGAGGGGGGCATTGCTATGCTGCGACCGGTGTCTTGTACGAACCGCCTGAAATGACGCGGTAATCACTGATACAGACATATCACGGGACGTTCGTAGCCGCTACTTTCATTACGGCCCGTACGAGAAAATCGATCTCGATATCACGAATTATCTTCCTGTCCTTTCTCACCCTCCGTCCACCATTCTCTGTTTTTTACCAAGACCCTCTCTAAATCCAGCCCTGGAAAGGGACAAAACGGACCCTTGTGACTGGATATGATCGACTGGGACTCCTCCGTGTGCGCTACGGCCTCTAGGGCGACCAGACTAGCGACTAGACTCACCTCTGATTAGACAGTGTGGGTCTGGACTTCGCCACCCCCCAAGCCTGGAAAATCGACTGGTGTCGACGTGCAGCCGCTTCTCATTCCTTCGAGTCTAGAATCTGATTCCTGCCATCAGCCAACAAGCTATGCTCACCTATCTTAAAGGCTAGAACCACCGTGCGCGTCTGGTATCTACCAGGAGAGCTGGCTGTTCGCTTTCTGGCATACTCCATCGTTGTCATGCAGCCCATGGGACTTTTTCCGATCGAAGCCCAGGGCGTCGACATGCTGGCTCACAAATTCACCGTGTGGTTGGTTATTGTGGACCTTTCGACTGCGAGCAAAGGAAATTGCCTAGAACCAGTCGTGCTCGGGTACGGAGTATGTCTGTACTGTAGGAAGACCCAGCCAACTGCCGGCGGGTACGAACGAACGACGATCTAATGGGCAATTTCCAGCCTTAACAATCTTGGAAAACGGATATCTCATGCAAAACCTGGCACATCCACTGGCCTGAGAAAACTCAATTTGACCAAACCCGTTCCAAAAGGCTGAAGATTGGCTAGCGGATCTCTCGGACCATGCATCGGATGTCTTAAAAGCGGACTAACCGTTACCCGTGCCAGTCAGAAAGAGCCACCACTTTGTTCATGCCGCTTTTCAAGTCGGGCGCACTTCCGGAGAACTGGAGGCTCTTTCAAAAGCTCGATGGTGATGGCTAGTTTCACACTTATAGAGGCAGACATATTTCGCGTATATACGTTTGGCTAGCCCTTTTTCTTCCGGAGAGGCGGCTCATTGATGGTCCATCACGTCGGGAACAGAAGCCGCAACAAAGTCACATCAACCTTCGTTTCCATGGGTCCTCCTTCGAAGGCATTTGGAAAGAAACGGGGCCACTGCCATTAAGGCTAAACTGTACACAGGGCATTCCGATTACCCCCGTTGTGTTGTGGGAAGAATATAACACCGTAAAAACGGCCAGATAATAGCTAGACGATCTTCTCTGAACAACATTGATGCAGCGTGCCATGCATCCTCTTCTTTAGCCAAATCCAAATTTACATGCATCAATCAACCACCTTGAAACTTGGGCGGATAGCGGCGTTTCAGCCCCTTCGAGGTTGATAATGGACCAGCCCAGCCTCTTGACGCGGGGTGCCAGCCACGCGTTCATAGCCCGATCCCAGTCAGGCACCTCCCTAGGGTAATAGGACCGTACTTTTCCCATCAGGGTTCCTTTACTGAACCCATGGGTGAGGACATGCACCTGGACCTAGACCGTATGTCCACTCATATTCTTTCTACAACGGTGGGGCATGAAGCGGACCGGCCTGTGCAATGAGATCACCCGAAGACCAGGTGCAGTACACATCGACTACCTCCCCGGGCGTGAGTATGAGTGTCCTCTGCTGAATGGCTAGACCGGGGGCCATTCGAGGAAACCAGTTCTATGGGATACTGTAATTATGGATTGTCTTCCTATTAATGCCTCTATATTTCGGACAATTTCTCGGCTACCCTAAACTGACGCAGGATCAAGCAAACACGCCTCATTGCCCTCAACAAGGCATCCGAGACAGGTACGATGTCTTTGAATTTTGAGTCAAGCCCTGCCTTCATGGAAATGTCTGCATTCCTCTTTGGGCATCGATCGTAGACCATTATGTTGCAAGTTGCTGTGGTTCACGGGTGGCCCCAATTCTTCTCCCTCGCTAATAATGAGCGTCCTGGTCAACCCTTTTAATATATGTTTGAGGCAAAGGGTTATTTCTACATCAATACATTATGACATGTTAGTGTTAATATTTCACCCAATCAACTCTGCTTGTTTCACATAAATAGTCACCTCGTGTCGAGATATATGTTTCCGCGAACTCACGCACTGCAGGCCTTGATCCCTCCCATCTGAGAATTCGGGTTTCTCCTACTCCCAGCAAAAAGCTTACCAGGCCCCGCCGTCACTCTGAATGGAAACCACTGGTTATTCCCGTTTGCTGCTATCGTATATCTTGCTGGCCTCATCATGCCGGTCTCGAATAAAGAGCAGTAAAATCAACGTCATCGATGTTCTGCGGTTATATAAGTACCATCTCTTCCAAGGTAGATCCATCTGCCTGATTAATGACCGGAGAGTTGCATCAGTCCATGCAGGAATATCGTTCAGCGAGGATCTGTTTTGACCCCTGGTTTAAACTTTTAAAAGCTCGAATCCAAGGCCCGTAAGAATGTCTGATCGAGAGCAATCGGGTAAATACTGCAGATCTATTGAAGCAGATCATGTGGTGAGGCCGACCATTCCGTGCTTTTGTTTTACTTAGTACGATGGACTGTGGATACTGGCAGAGACCCAAAAGAATGTTGAATGGCCTCGGATATTCCGAGTAAACAAGGAGAATAAGTGCTTGGTCACTCGTAACTTACCTGAGTGTTCTTTTTAAGACTTGGTTCAATGCCCACACCGCCATGGCTATTCCTATGATGGGTTGCATCTTTTCTCTTGTCTTCCCCATCGACGTGATAATATACAAGAAGGATAGCATGAATCTTCATCGCAATACCGAAATTAATGTGAAGATACCAAGTGCCAAGGAGCTGGAGCTGGAGGGAGGTGGCCACGGCAAACCTGCTGCCACCAGTGTGGAGGCAGTGGTACTCTGAGAAATTGGAGTGGCATAAGACACAGAGCTCAATGTGATAATCGACGCCAAACCAGTGGTGTGATTCATCGAACATTATGGAAATAACTATGGGTTGGAGAATATACTGGCCCGAATGGATCAGGGAGTTTATTTGAAGTTGATGACGAACGGCCTCACGGTATCGAGCTCATGGTATGACTGATAGCAAGACTCAAGTAGTCTTTACTAGATTTCCTACCAACTTAACCAAATGTTCTCTCGATATAGATAGGAATTAACCAGATTGTATACTTGTCTTCGCAGATGCCCGGTTGGTTTTGGATTACGTTACGGGCTCAGCTTCCACCGGCCAATCAGAGCACCGAGAACACTGACCTGCTGCACCCTCGGCGCATCGATACGGACATCCAACTTTGCCTGTCACACCACATCCACACAATTCGAGCATGTCACAAATGCACCCGCTTATCAAAATAAGTTAAATTAATGGGCCATACGCTATGGTGTACCCGCTAGAGTCATGGTCAATGTTCCAGGTAGAAGCAAAGGCTGCGTAACGTGCCGCAGGCGCAAAATCAAGGTCCGGTCGAAATCGAAATCATGACAGGATCTGCCATCTAACACCACCTACAGTGTGATGCATCACTACCAGCATGCTCCCAGTGTTTGAGGATGGGGCTGTACTGCCCTGGAGCTCGAACAGGGGCATTTTTCGTACACGCCTTACCAGACTCGACATCAAGCAAGCCAATTGCGAGGCAAATATCAACCAATTTGAAGGGCCCAACATTTGCTGGCGCGGTTCAGGGGTGGAGCTGTGATCGATACTGGGATCCTCGGCTACCGTCTTATCAACAGCCCTGCCGGGCAGATCTCTTTGACCAGCTCTTTGTCTCCCATTTCATTGAGTCGTTTGGCTTCAAGGCATCTAGAGCAAATGACCCGTCGTCGATCTGGCTAAACAAGCTAGCTGTCTTCATTACCCAGCCATCTCCAACACTAGTAAGAAGCTCTATCAGAGCCGGGTCGATGTTTTTCTATGGCTCACCAGTGGATGATGTTTCAATTCGCACCGAAGCCAATAAATGGTATCTCAGGGCTCTTCATGGGCTGCGATGTCTACTAGAACAGCAAGCTGGCGCTTTTACTGGTGATATAATTTGCTCTGTTGTGATGCTTGCTCACTTTGAGACTACTGCAGGAACTTCTGGCGAGGCATGGTTCCAGCATGTGCAAGGCGCAGCACAGATGCTCCAACCGGGCGGTCCAGCAAGCTGTCGAGATGGGTTCTTGCACCAGCTATTCAGGCATCTAAGGCTTTTAGTCGTAAGTATCTGCGATGTACTTTGAGTGTGTGTGTGACCGAAGTTGCTGACGCCACGTCGAACTTAGTTCACCGCTGCACTGTTCAAAAACCAGCAACATTACTTCTCCTCCCAGGAATGGTTAACTATTCCATTCGAAACCCACTCAAAGACTGCATTTGACGAGTTTGTAGATATTCTACTCTCTTTGTTACCGTGCTTGGGCGTGGCAAGAGAGATGATAGACTTGAGAGGAGAGAGGGCCAGCTGTCTCAAGACCAAGCTGGATAAGCTTCTTCGAGAGTCAATATCGCAACTACACTCTTGGTGGACAAAATGCACCCTCTCAACGAACTTTATCGAAGCAAATTCTGAACAGTGGACGGGAACTTCAACCAGCGGATTCGAAGACCTTCCCGGGGATTCCGAGCATTACCCGCTAATCCCTTACTCGGACATGCCTTCCGCTTCACTATCAGCACTATACGATGCGGTCAATGTCATCGTGTTGCGCTTGGCGTTTCTGATCTCGTCATCTGCGCATTTATATGAAACCAGAATCCAGCTACATGTCAAATCAATTCTGTTAGCTAAGGAGTTCGTCGCAACATTTCCCGGACCTGCTTCTAGTCGTGGGTCAGTGATGGTGGGATTACCGCTCAAGATTATCAGTATTTGGAGTCCATCCAACATGCTGCTCAATGCTATGAATCCTTTGCCGGGGCTTGATTCCCAGTACGAAGACCGCGGGACTTCTTCAAATCCCTCAAGAGAGCTCTTTGGAGAGGTGGCTCATCATGTGCTACAACTGTACAGTCCAGAGGTTTTCACTTGATGACTCATGCGATGTCAATTGATTCTTTATCACTGGCTGTTTAGGCTCCCAAAATATTGAGATCGAGTAGATTGACTACCCTGTCCTCTGAAATCGAATTTGGGATCTCTGGCATTAACCAGGAAGGCACCAACAAATTGGTACTCTCTAAGCTGTTTGTGGCAAAGTAACCTCATTAAACTGCTGCCTATGGTCTGTTGACTCAATTTTAGAGCTGATCTGCCCAAAGCACAAATAATTCTTTTTATGTGTATTTCCGGCACATGAGGAGTGCAGAGATCGAAAGATACGAGAGACCCACTGCGATTTAAGCCACAACGCTATACCTGATTTGGTTAGCTTTGCGACAGTTCTCCCACGTGACCAGCGATGTATACTACCCATGGTAGGCACTAGCCAGGTATTTAATCATTGGGATTCCAGCGTCCTCGGTCGTTACTGCCTAGCGTTAAGCTTGTCAGATATAATAAATAGTTCTTTGCAGGCTCAATGAAGATTGTCATCATCGGCGCTGGCATCGCTGGATGCGCAGCATACCTGGAATTGCGCAAGCACCTTCCACCCCCTTCTGACTCGGAGGTAAATCATGAGATCATTATTTACGAAGCATACAGTACCGATGTGCATGTGACTCCAAAAGAGAGGGAACAGAAACAAGAAGACAACACTCATTCCTCGACACTCCTTGTGGGCGGTGGTCTCGGCATTGCCGCAAATGGTCTCAACGTTCTACGACGCCTAGATGAGGATCTAGTGAAGGACGTCGTGCGTAGCGGATACGCTGCTTCAACATTCAATATGAAGAGCAAGAATGGGTGGTCCCTTGTGTCCATGGATGCTACTGGTCATACCTCTTCAGAGAAGCAACGCATGCATATGATAGCCGCAAGTCGCCATTCTTTTTGGCAAGCCCTGCGCTCACGAATCCCGGGTGAACATACCATCAACAAGCGTGTTTTGGAAGTGATTGCTAAACCATATGGCAAGAACGTAATACACTTTGTTGATGGCAGCCCCTCGGTAGAGGCAGACCTGATCATCGGTGCGGATGGCGTTCGAAGCACGGTCAAGCGGGCAATTTTCCCGGACGCGAAGGAAGACCCTTACCCGCCGAATTACGAGTGAGTTACCTCCTTGGAATCAAGTACCTTTTGAGAACAAGATACTGATAGGTCTGGTTTTACTAGGGGTCTTGTAGGCGTTGGAGGGTTCATTCCAGCTGCAGATGTGAAAGGGCTTGTGGAGAAAGGTTCTATGAACTTCATTTTTGGCGGAAATGGATTCTTTGGATACTTTTATTCAGAAAGTGACCCCTCTGATCCCAATCGTGATTCTCCATACCACATCTCTGAGCCAGGCAATTCGTTGGCATGGTGGTCCACTTATGAGATCGAGAACTGTCCGGATCGCAAGACGCTCGACATGGACGACGTCACTCGTCAATTACGCGAGAGGCACTCGCAATGGAAAGATCCCGTCGTTCAAAAGGTCATCCAATCTCTCAAAGTTGAGAGCATGTATCCAACATGGACTATTCCTCCCCTTCCGACATGGGAACGAGACGGCATTGTTCTGGTAGGAGATGCAGCCCATGCACTTCCTCCAAGCTCGGGACAAGGCTCCTCGCAAGCTTTGGAAGATGTCGAGGCCTTTGTCCTTCTTTTGTCGCATCATCTTCGCCAACACGATCAACTGGAGGATCTGGCGGCAAACAATACCCAGAAAAAGATCATCAAGAGAGCGGCTAGTCAGTATATGGCTTTGCGAAAGCCGCACGTCACCAAAATCTTGAAGCACGCTCAGCAGACTCAGAGCAAGAAACGTGAAATGGGCGTCATCCAAGAGTATTCAATGTATACTTTCTTGAAGATAATGGGTGAGCGTGATCATGTTTGAAGTCTTTCAAATCACAAAACTAACATGTTCCAGGACTCTTCCCGAGTCTCATGGGTAGTCAGCTGCAAAAGGTGATAAATTACAACATCGCCGAAGAGGTGGCCAAAATTACTGGCTCTAGTCTTTGAAAGTTAGCCTTCTCTATTAACTGCTGTTGTGAATGGCAGCTATATGCGATATAGTTCCATGAAGCACATACTCCTCTCAATCAATATTAATCTTGGTTGCCAAGAGTTCCTTTCTTTTATTGCAGTAGAGAACCCACGACACTCAAGGTTAAGACGTAGCATCAAGAGTTATTTCGCAGAGCAAGAATGTCTGATAAATTCACTTGCCCCTTCTGTCCCCAGCCTTGAACTCCGCTCTGGACATCTGGTCGGACCTTGAGGTACCACGCCCACGCGCGCCTGTCCAATTCGTCCTTATTCAAAGTTGTGGCCCACGATTTGCAGACGGAGTCGATGACAGATAGAAGACAAGCAACAGACTCTTCTTTTTCTTGGACCGTGGCCATATTTGACTTGGTTTTAGAAGGTGCTGCGGATGTTTGCACATTTGATATAGATCGCAGGAGATATGACCGTGCAGATTGAGCCGTGTATATTGGCAAGCCCCCGGTCCGTTTTTGCGAGTTCGTATTACTTTGAGAGCTTCGAGCAGCCTCCAAATCAACGCCCCAAAGGGGAGGCATCTTATCAGCGTCGTCAATGTTACCGTTGCCTAGAAAGTCGTCGGCGAGGGCTGTATTTGAGTCTGGGTCTTTTGAAGCTGATGGTGTAGTTGGCTGTCCTTCGCGAGGATTATAGTCCCAGCGTTTCAAAACTCTAATCTCTCTTCCAAGGACCTTAACAACGGGCTGGCCTTCGCCCCAGCCTTCTTCCTCCGCCGATTGGCCATTCTCTATACCTAGACTCACGGCCTTGGACCGACTATTGGCACTTACTACTGCCTGGGCAAGACTCAGTCGGCTCGATATAGGCTGTTCTGGCATGGTATATTTCAGGACACAGACAGCGAAAGCAAGCACCAAAGGTGCTCGGTTGGCCACGACAATCCTGTCACCAAGTTCGTGATTAGGGATCGACGAAGTGGGCAGCCTGAGTGACGATTCAATATCAAATGGAGCTGAGTCTTTCGCTACGCTGATATTCTTCTTTTTCTTTTGCGGTGACGTCGATGTATTCTCAGCCGGGGCTCCGCGTTTCTTGGAGACTCGTTTACCAGCATTGAGTATTTGCTTGGCAACCTTTTGATCCTTGAATATGTCTTGAAGAACTTGGACATCTGCTTTGGCTATTTCATCTGCGCTAATTGGCCGTAAGTCGGAGTCATGCTGACCATGTTAGTGGACGCTCACCTGGTCAGGTTAGCTTTCTGTAGCTCTGGTGTTTTGCCTATCGCAACAGCCAGCGGGACCCTAGCATCCTGAGTCAAGAAGCGCAAAAGAGTCGAAATTTGTGCAGTTGACATGATTGGTACCAATCCTCAATTCAAAATGTCTTTTGCTCTTTTCGTACACACCAATGAGATGGCGATGCTCAAGAAAAGCAGACTGAATTGATATGACGCCCGTAAGAGAGGGTGATAGGGGACCGCCTTTCTCACCGCCCGCGCATTGATGCGGGTTCCTGATTGGGAAGGAGATACAAGGACCACGAGGTCTTTCCAGCTCTTCGCTTCGGCATTATTTGATACCAGCAGGCTGGTTCGCTATTTCTGCTGCAGCAGCTCCTTCAACAATATGCCCGACGACTCAAAGGGGAAGGGTTTATTTGATATGGACGCCAAAACCTCCGCATTACCCAAGAAGTCGCCATTCGAGAAAGCGAAAGCCGAAGCCGAAGCTAAACGCGCCCGGGAAAAAGCCGAAACCGCCGCTGTCTATGAAGATTTCGTCAAGTCATTCGAAGAGGATACTACAACTGCCTCCCGAGCCTCAGATGGACGATTAGGCACATTTGGCAACAGAGGTGGTGGCTTTGGAGGAGCGCGGCCGTCGCGACACTTCTCAAGCTCCGGGACACGGACCAGTGGGCCAGGGAGTCTACCACCTCCTCCTGGACCTTTCGCACCGCGTGGGAACCAAAGAGGATTTGGAGCTTTGCCGCGCAACCGAGACTCGACACAAGGTATTTTGGGATACGACCAGCCAGGTCCAACAGGCCCACGATCAGCATTCCGCAACGATCCTGAAGACGAAGACGATCGCCGCACAGATGCGAGAGAGGCAGAAAAAGCAGCGGCTAGATACACTCTGTGTTTAGAATCGCTGCCGCTAGGAACATCTCCCTCTGTGCTAAAGTCTCTGATACCATCTTTCCTAACCGTGGACAATGTCAACATCCTCCGACCAACCAATCAACCACCCACCGAGCGCAAGTCCGCAGCCGCTATTATTACCCTTGCCAGTGATACTCCACTCTCTGATGTAAATAGCGCCATCAGCATGCTCGACAAGAAGTATCTTGGCCGGGGTCACTACCTATCTATTCACAAAGGCCATTCCTCTGCTGCCATTAACTCAACTCTACCAACCACCATTGGCACAACTACGACCAAGTCACTTCCATTCGGTGCAAAGGCTATCCAACCTACCTTTGGTGGAAGCCTGAACCGAGCTCCACCTCCAGGGCCTCATCGAGGGTTTGCGCCCCCAGAGTCGTATGGGCCTAATCTTGGGAGAGCTGGAGGCTCTACACAGGTTGAGGTACAAGCACCATCAGATATCAAGCAATTGAGACTGATTCATAAGACGCTGGAGAACCTTCTCAGCTACGGACCTGAATTCGAGGCGTTACTCATGAGTCGACCAGAGGTACAAAAGGAAGAGAGATGGGCTTGGATCTGGGATGCCCGAAGTCCCGGCGGTGTCTACTATCGGTGGAAGCTGTGGCAAATCATCACCAACCCTCGGGCGCACAGCAAAAGGAAAATTGGCGGCCCAAAGTCAGCTTTCATCTTCGAAGGTGGGCCGACCTGGGCTCCACCGGAGACGGAAATCAAGTTTGAGTATACCACGCGTCTGGATGAATTCGTATCGGAAGATGACTACAATTCTTCCGAGGAGGAGATGTCTGATGGCGAGGAAGAGAGGCGAAACCTCGGAGGAGGGCCTCCTCCAGAGGGCAGCACTACACAGAATGATAGCCTGGGCTACATGAACCCCCTACAAAAAGCGAAACTTACGCATCTTCTAGCCCGTCTTCCAACCACACAGGCAAAGCTTCGGCGGGGTGATGTCGCACGGGTCACAGCTTTTGCAATCAAACATGCAGGCACGGGCGCGCGTGAGGTTGTCGACATGATCGTGCTTAATATTCTTCATCCATTGGCGTACACAGGGGCCAATCCCAAGCGAGAAACGGAGAAAGATGCAGCAAGGCAGGAGGAGGGGGACAAGGACAAGTCAAACTCATCGAAGCAGAAAATGGACATGTCCTCGGCCAAGCTGGTGGGGCTCTACCTCATTTCCGATATTCTCGCGTCGTCTGCCACCAGTGGTGTTCCCAAGGGATGGCGATATCGGTCCCTGTTTGAGACTGCACTTAGGTCCCACAAGGTCTTTGAACACCTTGGCAGGCTCGAGAAAGATTTGAATTGGGGCAGACTCCGCGCGGAGAAATGGAAGCGCAGCGTGGGCAGCCTCCTGCACCAATGGGAAGGCTGGAGTATTTTCCAGCCCGCAAACCAGGAACATTTCCTAAAGGTTCTTGAACAGCCACCACTCACCGAAGAAGAGTTACTGAAGGAGTCGCAAAAGGCTGAGGCTGAACGAGCCGCTCTTCTGGCTTCCAAGAGCAAGAGCCGGTGGAAGACCGTTGAAGACGATCCCGCATCTGAGAAAGTCGACTTTGATAGGCCTGTGGATGCCGAGAGCCAGGCGCGTGCTGTGTCTGAGGCAGCTGCCATGGCGGAGGACGAATCCATGAGTGATCTCGATGGCGTTCCTCTGGAAGATAGCGACCTGGAAATGCTGGATGATGATGATGGCGAACCCATGGACGAAGATGCGCCTCCGCTGGATGAAGGCGATGATGCACCGCCGTCGCTACCCGATCAGCCTTCACAGCCCGAGCAGGAGGATGGGCACCAAGAAGAAGGATCTCGGCGGGCACGCAGACCACGCCCAAAAGCTGAGGACATGTTTGCATCAGAATCAGAGTGAGCTGGCCAGCTATCACTGGCTTAGATAGAGACGACTGTAACGATATCGGATTTTCCTTTGGTGAATCAATTGGGTTCATGGGTATACAACAGTAGAGAATTTATTTGAGGCTATCGCCCAAAGTCTCCCATTTGATACTCGACTTGGGCAAGCATAAGGCAGCCAGGCACCAACGGCAGAATTCGTGCCCCACCCATCCCCCTCTTCACTCTTCCTCTTCATCTTTCCGCGTCAACAAATACCCCCTCGTCCGCCTCTCTTTCCTCCCCATACAGTCGCATCCCTCCGGTTTGTTCAACTTTTCTTCTCAAAATGACCGGTAAGTTCTCGATTGCATTCACTCTTCATTCTCTGAAGCTGCATCGGCAACTCTCGCTCGGTGGGGTGGGTTCTGCATCAGAATCAACCCACCTGGAATACGTTGCGCCGTTCAGTATCAGATCATAATCATCTCAATCCAACCTCATTCGAGTCTTACCACTTGTTTTGCAATGCTAATTGTTCCCTGCGCCTTAGACTTCACCAGCATCGCTCGTATGTTATCCCTCTAAACCCCCGATCCTCAATGCGCCGTGCCCAAGAACAGCCCCGCGTGGACTCGAATCCGTGCCCCCACGAGAACTCTCTGCTAGAAGCCAACCATCAACTATACCTCTAGATTACAGAACTAACCCATGATGCTCTCATACAACAGAACAATTTGTTGAATTCTACTACAACACCTTCGACAGCAACCGCAGCGGTCTGGCCGGTCTCTACGTAAGCTTGCGCCGTCTCCTGGTTTCCTAACCAATGGAATTGAAAAATAAACCCACCGCGGAATTATCGAAACTGACCTCAGCAATTGGGCATGAATAGCGCGATGAGTCGATGCTTACCTTCGAGACCAGCTCCGTCCAGGGTGCCACCGCTATCACCGAGAAGCTGACTGTACGTACACCCAAACGGATTGCCAGAGCCGCCAAGTTTTCCCAATGAGATCATGCGTTCAACACTAATCTGGTTTCAATGAACAGGGCTTGCCCTTCCAGCAGGTGCGCCACCAGCTGGCCACTCTCGATGCCCAGCCCTCCGGAGACAGCATCATCGTCCTGGTTACCGGCGCTCTCCTAGTACGTTCTTGAAACTCCCCTCCTACATCTATTCTCTTCTATGTTCTCTAATACCTTCTGCACAACCAGGTCGATGAGGAGCAGAAGCCCATGAACTATACCCAGCTCTTCACGCTGAAGCCCGACGGTGCCGGCAGCTTCTTCGTGCTGAACGATGTCTTCCGCCTGATCTACGCTGCTGCTTAAATTGCCAGCAATAGGCACAGATTCAATGCTACGATGCGATGACGGCGGAGATTATCTTTATGTAAGGTGGGACTTTCATGTTGTCCCCGGAACGGCATGTCGGAGGATATAAGTCATTCGGGTTCAAGAAGACACAGGCCCGGCTTGGTCCGTGAGACAAAATCTAAACTATTCTCATTTGAACATGTACTCCATTGAACAAGTGTGGGGGAAGAAGATCTCCCTTCTTACGTGTACAAAGAAGGTAGACCATGTCGGGAACACGCTAATCGGTAATGCACTCGTGGACTGGCCATTACTGGCTTTGAAGCAGTGGGGTCTCCTCCGAAGGACGCTCTGCATGTATCGGTTCTCGCGCAGAAGCGTGTCCGTCCGACCTCTCCGCCCCAGTGCCGTTAGGATAGCCATCCTGATCAGCCCGGTGCACGACTTTCCGCTTGCTATCAGGCCCAAAGTATTCAAAGTAAATCGCCATCACCAAGAGTGTCCCTTGCAAGGATGCCGTGACCAACAACACACCCCAGATACTCCAGCCCTTGGCGCCTTCACGAGCAGCTAAGCTCGCTGCCCACACTAAGCTCCCGGGTGTTTGAATGCACATCATAGGGATACTCAGGCTGCCAACACAGCGGAGTCGGTAGGTAGTGTAAATTTGGGGAAAGTACTGGATCGATGCCAGAATTGCAGCGACGATTCCGAGGAAGTTGGCCCAGGAATGGAGGGCGGAGGGTCGACGGATGGCAAAGGCGACGGAGATTATGACCGTCACCAGGGCATGGAGAAGACAGATGGCGGTGATGGCAAGTGCGGTTCGATATGTCGGGCCGTTCGATGTCGAGGATACCGAGTGTGTGGGATCGGTCGGTGAGGTCGCGCGGGGGAAGTAGATCACGAAGAGGAGGAGGCTGGGCTGTGCATTAGCGAATGAACGTAACCGTCAAGTAGTGTTTAGCCCAACTTACATAGAGAAGAAGCATAGCCATTGCATGCCCATTTGGAATACACCCAGTAACCCAGCAAAACAAGCGAGCCCGCTGATCTCCTGACAACAGGTGACATCTGCGGCGGTCTTGGGGAAGACGAGGATGTTGACAAAGGCGGAGGTGCCGGACGTCGTACCCAGGAGGACAAAGTAGGGAGATATGCCGAAGGAACTCCGTCGGGAAATGATGCGGATGTGTTGAGGGAGGTAGGAGATTAGGATGCCAAGGATGATCAACCTGCCAGAGTCACGTCAGTTTCAGAATACTCCCCGAGGGGGTTGATGCTCAAAGAGGATTCGTACGTAGAGAGTACAGGCTGAAACCAGCCTGGCGAGGCCAGCTCATCGCAATATGTTGTTGAAGGGTCGATCATGCTGATGGTGTGATTTCTCGGGCTGTACTTATATATGACGCGGAGGTTTGTCGAGGGATTCAGCGTCGACGGATGACGTTGGCGTTAGCTGACGGTGGAGCTTCCGGTCGGGTTGAAACTCTTGTGGCAAGCGAGCAGGTGACCAGCACAGGCACGATCAACAGTCTATATGTTCGAGAGGAGAGTGCTATAGTTGCATGCGATGGCGATCGTTGGCGGATTTGACCAGGACTGGAAGAGCAGAAGTCCAGAGAAGAAGGAGGTTTCAAGGTTGGCAAGGATAACCCCCGCATGATCCACGGCAAGCGGGTTTGGGTTCCTGGCTCGGGCGCTAGACGGGGCTGACTGGCTCCACTGACCCGACCATCGATCCGGATCCTAGCCACAACCACTCGACAAGCTCGTGCTTGTACAGCAGCGATCAAGAGCCCTTGGGAGTAGCTCTTGATCTGGAGAAGATACAAATTGAACGGGCAAGGGCACGCCGATACCCTTATGTATACTCTCTCACGAAAGACTGTGTCGGGGTCGTTGGCGAGTAGACATTGAAGGAGGATCTGCCAACTGGCGGCCGCCACATGGTGCAGAGTCTCATCTTGACTGTCAGTGAGCTGGGTGTTGGCACCAAATTCGACAAGGATCCGTGCCATCTGCAGGCTTTGCGCAAGAGCTGTGAAGTGCAACGCAGTCCGCCCAAGCTGGTCTTGCCGGTCCGGATCCACACCTTCCTCTAGGAGTACTTGCAACATCCTTGGCCTGTTGAGTTGCATCGCCACATGGAGTACACTAGATCCCTTCAAATTAATAGCAAAGGAACTGTACACCCCATCTTTGAGCAAGACGTGGAGGATATCCTCGTCTTGACAGTGCAGTGCGACTGTCAACGGGTCGTCTTCGAGGTTGGCGGGCCCGGTCATAGTGCGAGATAAGTGAGAGGAGCTGGACCAACCTACGAGCTTGGCTGAGAAAAGCATGAGTGCATTGTTTCATTCAAAGCATGACTACTACTAGAACTGGAGGGATTCTTGCCCCAGGTATAGTAGAGGAAGGTCAAGATTTACAGTTGGCAGTTTCTTTACTCGCTGCAGAGAGGTTCTCAAACGCCTTGATGGTACGTACTTGAACAGCTTCGCAAATCGAGTTTGAAATTTGAAACTAGCATAGAATAATCAAAGTGGTATGCCTCCCTGGTGAAAACAAGACAAAAAAATCGATATCAGATTGCCACCGCGCACTGCTTTCTATCAAAGACTAGGGCTTGGCCTTTCGGCCCATCCAATATCCCTCCATTTCCCACCTACGAGCAAAAGCAAACTCCTCCACGGATTCGCTAGAAAGGGACGGATCCTGATCCCACCATTTGGCATGTAACAGAGCCATACCACCTTGCACATCATTTTTATTAGGCAAATTGATATACCAGGACCAGTTGAGGCGCTTCCACGACATCGGCCCGCCCCAGCGATGTGCGTAGTTGAGGAGATCTTGGTCTGGGATGCCGGTATAGTAGAGATCAGGATGGTCGATAAGCCGCATATAGTACTGATATAGCTCCACGGAGGGAGAGTACATGAATAGCCCGCTGTCGAAAGTGCTGACTGTGTGATCAGAATCGAGGAACGGGTATGTATGGTCCCTCTGGTGCGACTCGGGCGAGGCGGCTAGAATGTATTGCTCGGGCAGAGGACCGAGTTCAGCGTCGACCTGGGTAGCATTGGTAATTGGGCCAATTTCGGTGCTTAATTCTTGGAAAATTTTGTCGATGGGACGGGTCAGGACCATGTCCACGTCCATGAAGAGGACTTTTTCGTAAGGCACGAGGGCGGGATCGAAAACGTGCAGCTTCGTCGCCATGGATGTCCACCGTTCGGCAATAATTGGCGTGCTGTGTGTAACGTCCTCAACTTCGACAACAATTGCACCGTCATGTTGAAGAGTTTGACGCTTGCTCTCCTCAACATCCTTGGTGACGAGCACCACCACGGGGACTGGGTGTTGAAGCTTGGTGGTGGGCGAATGGAGCAACTGGTATACGAGTGTCCGCGCGCTCACAAAGTAGCTATCATCGTTGTCATCATTTTCGGCCTTCTTGTTAGATTTCGAAGCTAGGAATGTGCTGATAGCTTGGCGGCCTTTATATGTCGGTGGGCGATCTTGGTCTGAGACAGAAGTGTCATTGAGCTCGTCCGGGGATGGTGGAGCTGGAGAGCCAAAGAGCAGGAATATGGTATATCCAATTGAAAAGAGACAAAAAGCGAAAAGCTTCTTGCTCATGAAGTCTTCTGGGCGCCCAGTTTGGATCATGGCGGCTGATTAGATAGATGCCATGAATGTCTCTTCTTTAAAGATTATATATATATTCGTGGTGGTGACTGCTTTCAAAGGCAGGTGGACTTGGATCAAAAGCTGGGGTCTGACTTTTCTTAAGGAACTTTTCTTCCTTCATGTAACATCATGGTGTGGAGTTGCTCTTGGCAGGGATCGACTCAAGCCATTGCGGTTATACTGCGACGTGGGCTGCTTTCGGTGATATTTTCCCGCACGGGGATAATGCTTGCTTACTCAGTGATGCATTTCATAACTAGTTAACGGGTGAGTGCTGATTGGCTGGGCCACAAGTATACATCATGGCCTCAGGCCACAAGTGTTCTAGACCGATACAAGTTGGGGAATCACTAGAGTGCAAATCACAGTGAAGGGCATGGTCCCTTGCCTCAAAAATTATTCCACAGGATACTTGACAGATCCTTGGAATAGATAGAGGCTCACCAGTGATTGTGGGGGATGCACAGGGCCATACTTGGATATTAGGTTGACGGCTGGGAACTCCACACATTCCAGGCACATTATTGACAGCCACGGACGTGTCTTCTTCAAACTAGGCATCAGAAAGTCATGTTGCACATTGTATTTATCCACCAGAGTAACTAGTGAGGTAAATGCAATTCTGAAGAAAGACAAGTGTGATTCGCTCGCTTCACGAAGCCTACAATTCGGGATAGTGATTGCGTGCCGAGCCGGTCGTAGCTGAAGAGACGCGATGAGCAAGGACTCGTTGACCTGCATAGCACGACCTAGAACCAGCCACAATCGTGTAATAAGCAAGAAGAAGCAGGTAAGATCTTCAGGATGACGCCAACCTGCCCAGCAAAAGAATGGGCCACTTGATGAATCATGCACTCATGGGAACCAGGTAAATTCCCCAACTACGTCACTGCGCGATCATCCCTGCGGCTTGCTATTTCCCTGTCTGCAACCGCCTTTTGTCGCGATCGGAGCCCACCTTATTTAATAAAACAATCGCCTCATCTTCTCTCCACCTCCAATAATATCTTTTAACTGCTAGTGGTTTGTCTTTCCCGTCTCCCTTTTCACAACTCAGTGCCAGCTCATACTGACGATCGACTCTTCAATATTCGAAGCTCTCTACCACAACACTGAAACACGAAGCGTCAAGATGAAGTTCAATCTGGCCACGGGCCTAGTGTGCTTGCTTGCAACCACTGAAGCTGTTGCAGCTTCCAGCTGGTGGAGCAAAGCTGGTGAGTGACGATTCTTAGTACAGATCGGGGATTTCTGGACAAGCTAACGTCATCGGGCGTCTAGTTTACAACAAGTGGCATGAGACTGAGCTTGAGCGATGGCTCTCGGATCATGGTATGGATCAATGACGCGCATCACTATCACTGCTTGTGGAAGGAACTAACACATCCTCATTAGATATCCCCTATCCTACCCCCGCCGACCGTCGGGATCTCGAGAATTTGGTCAAGTCAAATTGGGAGAACCGCGTGCAGAAGCCACTCGGCAACGCTGCGGACAGAGTCACTGATGAATTTTACGAGGCCAAAGAATGGGTCTTCGACTCGTAAGAAGCATGCTCTCTTCTATAATTTCTTTATTCCTCGTTACTGACAGTCTCACTAGTTGGTCCGACTCCCAGCTCAAGGCATTCCTCGATCGCCATGGCATTCCAGCACCTCAACCCCGCAAGCGCGATGTCTTAATTAAGACTGCCCGTGAGAACTACGAGTCCATTGCGAAGAAGGTCGGCGAAACTGCCGCGTACCCTGGTAACTGGCTGTATGAGAACTGGTCCGAGTCTGATCTCAAGACATGGCTTGATGAGCGAGGATGGCCTGCTCCCCAGCCTACAACCCGTGACAAGCTGATTGCCTCTGTGCGCCGCAACTCTCGTCTTGCCAGTCTACAGGCCCAGAGTATCTCTGCGTCCGCGAAGGCCTCCGCCGAAGCTGCCCAGGCCACCTTGAGTGAGGAGCTATTCAACGCCTGGTCCGACTCCAAGCTGAAGGAATTCCTCGATGAGCACGGTGTGAAGGTGCCCCAGGGTTCCAAGCGCAATGAGCTCGTTGCCCTGGCCCGTAAGCACCGCGCCTACCTCGTCGACCAAGCTTCCAGTGCCTCTTCTGCCGCCTCAGAAGCATTCGGTGCCGCCACCACCAAGGCTGGAAACCAGTTCGCCCAAGCCACAGATGATGCCAAGCTGAAATTAGATGATCAATTCGACGCGGCGATCAAAACCTGGTCGGACTCGCGCCTGAAGGCTTTCCTCGATGCTCGCGGTGTTCCCGTTCCTCAGTATGGCAAGCGTGATGAGCTTCTCGCCAAGGTGCGTGCCAACGCGCACCGGGCTTCTGGTGGATGGAATGAGTACAACTTTGATACCTGGGATAAGGAGCATCTTTTGTAAGTTAGGCAATATACATCCTGAGAGAGGCTTGATCTAACAATTGTGATGTCTAGGAAATATCTTTCTGCCATGAACTCCAAGGCCGCAAAGAAGGCCGATGCCTCTCGCGAAGAACTGATTAAGCAGGCCAAGGATTCGTACACCAAGGCCTCTAAGGCCGGCGGCGAGCACTATGCTTCTGCTACCAAGAATCTCGCTGAAGCAACTGGTACCGCTAAGCAGGCTACCTTTGACAACTGGTCACACTCCGACCTCAAGAAGTACCTTGACTCATATGGCATTCCCGTCTATCAGGGATCAAGCATCAACGAGCTGCGCGCCGCTGCTCGTCGTCAAGCGGCCTACTTCCGGTTCGGTACCACAAACCCACAAGACACCATCTACGCCAAGGTGATGGACACCCTGAACTGGGCGTTGGACAAGCTCAAGGTCGGTGCTTCCAGCGGCCGCGCTCAAGGCCAAGAGGCAGCTGAGAAGGTCCGCGAAAAGGCCGCCGAGCAGACCGAGAAGATTCGGAGCGAGCTGTAAACACCGAGTCCTCGCGTTTTTGAATCGAGCGTGTTAGGATGACCGAAACTCTGTTCCGCCATCCATCGTGCTTTGAATACGATGCTTACGACTTCTGGATTTTTTGGCGTTGAAATGAAATATGATTTTCATGCTGTGTCCATAGTATTTAGTGCTTAAAATGAACTGCCCTGGGGTACTTGATGATTTAGTCTACAGCCGAGTAGCCCATCCCCGGACCAATGCTCGAGTTGGAAATGCGTTGATTTATCTTCATGTGCCCGAAAAATATCTGAAAGTGACGAATGATTCAAGCCCGGCAGCATGTAATGCGGAACGGCCCCGCTCAAATAGCCCGACCATCATTCTTAGTTTGGTAACCGATTTCTGAACGTCACGGTCATCCGGCAATATACCCATAGATCATGACTTGGGAGCCTCAGGGTCACCCTCGGCGACCAACTTTCCAACCACCAGGTATTTCTCGGAGAAGCGCTCCTCCCAGGACTGCAGGTTCTCAAGCTGGTCGGCATCCAAATCCTTGAGATCATCCAATGGAGCCGAGAGGTCCTTGGTCAACATCTCCTCATCGAAGCTCTGGTGTGCCAGGCCACGAGAGGCATCGCGCCCAGCAAAGTTCTCGTACGGACCACCCTGTCGCGTCGTCAGCTAAACGTATCCTTTGAATACCCCATAGCATTGCAGAACACGTCATTTCAATGCAAAACACATACCGGACCGTAGAAGTTCCTGCCGGAGGAGACGTCGAAGACTCGGCCTCGCACGGCCAGGAAGACAGGCCGGCCTTCCTCGCCGTTGAACTCGATGAGCGTCTTGGGCGTGTATGTGCGGAATACGACCGGGGGCGGGCCGCGCGGGAGCGTGACGGGCTGTTTGGGGCGGAAGTTCCAGTACAGCAGCACGACGAAGAGGGAGAGGAGGATGAGGTTAATGGGGGAAGCGATTGACATCCTAGCCGGGGGGGTTAATTTGGCTGGCCGGGGGATTGAGCGAGGTGTGTTGACACTAACACTTCAGCTTGTGGCGCGGAGCCCTCTTGAGTATGGAGTTAGCAGGGTTCATCGATGGAGATTGGGCATCTGGCTTACCGGCAGCGGCCATATTGGAATATGTAGAGATATCGGACAGTTGGCAGGACGAAAGTAATCTTCCGGGATGCTTTTCGGGAAGGACGCCGTTGGATGAGGAATCCGGAGGCTGCGGAGAAGAATGACATCGATGCTTCCCCCCACTCCACGTGATGGCTACATTTGGCTAACGTTATTGCTTTACTTTTGTTTGTCATTCGTTGCTTCCAAGCCTTTAGTGACGTTAGACAGGCCGAAAATAACACTCGGAATTATAACTATAAATAACCATAAAAATGGAGTACAGTTTGACTTGAAACCAGAAGGGGACCATCATCTACCCTTATTAATGTACGGAGTAGTATCTCCCCTTCCAATTATACGAGAACCCCCCAAAGGGACAACATGAAACAGGCTCGATTTCCCTTTTTCTCCCCCCAAAACATAGCCTAGTCCCATCAGGTCCCTGGATTCTCCATTCAAACTCACTCCACTTGATCATCGCCCCCATTTTAATTTGTCCCTGCCCACTTAGGAAAGCCTAGTGATGCCATGCTGGCATCGCAGGCGGCACTCGTCGACACTTCTCTTCTCTCCTCCAACAGATCACTCAGCCTCCAGTTCATCTCTGACATCTGACGTGTGCTGTCCCGCCAGCTTCGTTTCCGTGGTAAAAGAGTCGGATCATCCAGCTTCGACATTACATACCTATTGCCTATTGCCTTGATTTCTTGCACCGGCTCTGTCGGAGCTATCTGATCTCATCGCCCACTTGTCTTCTGGTCTTTTTCTCACCTCAGCGCAAAGCTAGAAGGCTAAGCGCCCTTTGATCGCATTGCATTGCTGATCGACAACCGCCTCCATCAAAACAAAACACATACTCCTTCGCAGATCAAAATGTGGTCGCGGGGACCGTTCAAATCGCGTCGCCCGATTGGCACCCCCACATTCGCGGATAAAACGTCACAGTCCGCGGATCCCATCCGGCCAGTCGACTATGCCAAGGCTAAGGACCTGCCTGCGCTGCCATAGTATGTGCTTCGGATCTCCCATTTCTGAAATCGGTATTCTAATCCATTCTCCAGCGACTCTACTGTTTCATTGAAGGCTACACAGGCTCACCAGCCTACCACGCCGTTGCCTCCTGCGCGCAATAGCCTTGACAACAAGCAGCTTCCAGATGTATCTCCGGCCGTTTCGCCCGAACTGGGGCCTCGAGTCCGCGATAGTGGAAGCAGCTTCTGCGTGTCGCCGATAGAAGAGAGCGAGATTGATCGCGGGTTCCGCCACGAGCGAATGGGTTCTTGGGGCTATGGAGTCGCTGATCCTGCCCTGTCTCGCGCAATCAATACGGAGCCAGCGCTGTCTGAACCCTCGCAGTCGGCACCTAAGACGGTAAAGTTGACGCCAACCGGCGATGAAAAAACTACTCGCTGGGATGCATACTCGGGCGAGCCGACAAAGAGCAACGCAGGAAGAGCAGGCCAAGTAGAGCCGCGCAACACGGGCTTCCATAAGGTATCGGGGTCACACACTACCAACTTCCTACATTGGGGCCGCGAGCAACTGCAGCCCAAGAAGAAGTTCGAACAGGCACGGAGCCGGATCAGCAGTTTCTCCAAGAACGAGAATCGCGCGCCACAAACCCGCGATCGATCGTCGTCACGTGTGTCGCCATTGGCAGAGCATTCCGTTAATCAAGACGCGATTTCCCCTTCTAAAAATGCTAATTTGGGATTCGTCCCTACGGTCGTGACGACAATTACTGCGGGCAGTCCTAGACCGTTGCCAGAGAGACCGACCACCGAGCATGCCTATAAGGCCCCTCGGCTGGAGCTATCGAACAACAATCTTGACGCAGCAATAGACGACATGGCGCAGTCTGCGCAGCCTCCAAGCCGTTCTGGCGCACCCAGTCCCGCTGGCGTTATGTATACCGGCAGCGTTACTGGGAGCCCAGACGACAGCCCGCGCACAAGTCTGAACCTAGTATCGACATCTACAGAGGACCTCCCGGGTTCTATCATGTCACGTCGGCGCCCGGTCCCCATTTCCATGCCCATCTCAAAGAAGCCAGTAAGAAAGCCCATTCCCTCGGAGGTCGCTCAAGAGCCAACACTGGCAACCCAGTCCGACGACGCCCCCAAGGACACGTTAGGTCGCATCGAGGCCTTCGAGGCCCGACGCGACGAGCTCGCGAAGCGCAGATTTAATCTGGAGACGGTCATTCACGAGTTGACCCGGGTAATTCAGCCGGGGTCTGTCGCGTATGATCTCGCCGCGAAGGCGGAGGTTAAGCGCAGCGTGCAGAGCATCGAAAACGAGATTGCGGAGATCAAGCGTGAGGAGCATGAGCTTGGATTGAAGGTGACCCGCGCGTGGAGACGGTTGGATGAGAGAGAGAATCATGGTGATGGAAGTAACTTGTGGGTCAAGCGCGTCACAAGTTGATGTAGTGATTTTGACCCAAGGGAGACTTGCTCCTCTCCCCTTAATCTGGAAATTTGGAAGGCTTCCTTGATACTCTGATTTACTTTGCCCTGGCGTTTTTGAAGCGTGCCGATTCCCCATGCAGGGCGAGGCTGCCAACGATACCCTCCTTTTCTTTTTGGGGATTTCGTGTTTGATTATGATAAATTGGTCGCGCGTTGATGTTAGATTGTGCTTCCAGAATATGAAAACATGACATACGTTGAAAATATTTCCGTCGCTCTTTGACTCCGGTTGAACGGTTTTCGAGTGGAAATTTGAATATGATACAGCAAAATTAGAGTAAAGCAGTGGGTCATGCTCTCGGAACAACGTCGACTAGCTAGGCGAACTCAACCGCTAGATTAACGAGGTTATCCTGGCACGAAGGAGGCAGTATCATTGCCAAAGGTTGATATAGAGTATTCGAGATTGAGTTACTCAAGTATATGCAGAAGATGTATCAGAAGCGCAGTAGTGGTATGTATTTGCTAATGAGGAAGAATGCCAGTCGTTTCCGCTGTCATTGTGACATGGCTCGTTTGGTTCGTAAAAGGTGGGGAGAATCGCAAAAATGTATAGGCGCATGGCGCTTGTTCATCGTCCCAGACCGATCCCTTATTTCTTGCCAGACTTCTTGATGCCCTGCTGGCCGGTGTTGAGGGGACCCTTCTTGCCCTTGGTGGAATCGAGGAGGGCCTTCTTGGCCGCAGCATCTGCGATGAATCATGAGTCAGAACGTAGTGATCAGCTTTCCCTTTGCACAGGATACTCACCGGCTCTCTGCTTCTCCTTGAAGGCGAGTTCATCCTCATCGAGTTCCTTCTTCTCCTTCTTGGCAGCCTTGAGGGGCTTGGCCTTGCCACCTATGGCAACGGTTAGCGGGGTACTTGCTTGAGACTCTGAGGAACCCTGCAAACCTTCTCTGCTTGCGCCACCCATTTTGAATCGGATTTATATATAAGGGAGGGGATTGATCGAAAGAAGAACGAGAATGAGAGGGGCTCGAAAAGACTTGGATTCGATGGCAAAATGGAAAAAATGATGATCCCCGGAGTGGCTTATCAAGAGGGGCTCTTCACCGCCTGCTGTAACAGGTAAGGCGCAAAATTTGCCTATCGCGGCCAGCTCGACTAGCAGGTGCAACTTGGAATACCATACCTCTCTTCTAACCGAAGTCTTCACTGTCATATCATTGCGTTTACATTATCAACCCATTCAAGACCCTTGCCTCTGGCCAAGTTATGTGCCTGGGATAATCTCTGCTGCAAGGCTTTGGTGTGAAGGCAGGCCTATCAAGCCGGTTGGACTTTCAAACATCCCCGAAGATTCGTTCGTTCCCAGAAGCTCGAGCTAACTGAGACTATCTCATTGAAGCCTCCTCCAAAGGCCGATTGAAGAAAAATACACACTCTCCAAGAGGAGAAGGAAGAAGCGGAAAAGGAGAAGTGAATCTAGAAGACCCCAGTTCACTGAGCGGTGTATTCGACTTTGACAACGTGACGGTCGGAAGTATGGCGGCCCGCAATCGTTCGAGGTCCCTGTCGACCCCTTCTGAGGGTGAGATTATCGAATCAGGCTCAGAGATGAAGGCAACTGCGTCAAAACCTCCTCTTAATGGCACCAGCGTTGACCGTCCCCCCAGAGATAGTACTTCCTCTGCGTTCAGATCGCCACGCCGACGCAGGTCATGGACGAGATCCCGATCACGCTCGCGCTCGCCATATCGTGAAAACAGAGCCTATAAGCGAAGACATGACGATGAGTATGATGGGCAAGAGGGCCGAAATACCCGGCAGGAGCCGTCGCGACGTTTTGGGTCGAGATACGACAATAGACCGTATGATCGAAACGCACCCTCTCGCCGACAGAAATCATACCACGACTATGACCGCGAGGAGGGCTACGGCGGTGGTCTGCAGTATACCGATGACTTTGACCGACGCAGGGACAAGCGACCACGCACTCATAGCCGATCGCCTTACCGCGAAGTCAGAAAGCCAAAGCAGTACGATGACATGAACCCGAGTGCGGATGGCACAAGGCCCCCAGTGGATAGGCACGGGTCGTCTACTGAACAGGTAGTGAGCGAAAGAGGAAAGACCCCAGCTGGCGCTCGGGATCCCAAGCTTGGTGCTGAAACACGACAGAAGCAGGTGCAGCAGGCTCTCCCGAAACGTGCTCGCTTTTCCGATGAGTATGTCTCAAGCTTTGCATCCGTTGTTCTTGATTCAAAGGCTGACAATTTGTCTAGAGCCGATACGCCAATGTCAGAAACGGCGGACGAGTCGCAGCCATCAGAACCCATGGACGAAGCTGCCGCTCTGGAAGCTCGTCGCAAGCGCCGCGAGGCCATTAAGGCGAAGTATCGAAGTCAAGCGACTCCTATGCACCTGAAAGCCCTGCAGGTCCCCGACGCCGAGACAGATTCATCGACACCTGGTACTGAGCCAACGAGTGCTCAAGAGTTGTCCGGTAGGTCTTACTACTCAAGACATAGTGCGCAACGAGCTAACATCCGCGGATCTACCTCAACAGAATCCCCAAGAATATCACCCGTACACACGCCTAGTGAGCAGATTGGAGACGCTTTCTCAGATTTCACGATCGGCAAGGACGCGGATTTGGCCAATCCTAGTGCCCCCGCGGACGCAACCGAGAAGGATGAGCCCTCTGCCGCAGATTACGATCCGATGCTTGACACAAGGAAAGAAAGACTAAAGCTGGACGTTACAAACGGGGATGTCTCATCCGCCGCGTATGACGAGACACAAGCCACTAGGCAGGATATTCTTCTCCCTGATACCCCCGCTCAGCAGCCACCTCCACCCCCAAAAGAGAAAGATCCTTACGATATGTTCGCCGAGGATGACGAGGATGACATGTTCGCCGAGGATACCAAGGATGAACAGCCCGCACATGCCTCGGCAACCGCTGTGCCGCAACCTCAAGAGCTGGATATCAGTATGATGGATAATTGGGATGACCCAGAAGGTTACTACAACGTGCGGCTCGGTGAGTTGATCAACGGCCGCTACCATGTCCAGCAACATCTTGGCAAGGGAATGTTCTCTTCGGTTGTACGAGCCAGCGATTCGGTTACCGAGACTTTGGTCGCTATCAAGATCATCCGTCAAAACGACACGATGCGCAAGGCTGGCATGAAGGAGATTGGGATATTGGAGCAGCTGCGTGAGGCTGACCCAGAGGATAAGAAGCATGTGATCAAATTCGTTCGTTATTTCGAGCACAAGGGCCATTTGTGCATGGTCTTTGAGAATCTGAGCATGAACTTGCGTGAGGTGCTCAAGAAGTTCGGTCGTGACGTCGGATTGAATCTGCGTGCCATCCGTGCCTATGCACAACAGATGTTTTTGGGTCTGAGTCTGCTTCGCAAGTGTAACATCCTGCATGCAGATCTCAAACCCGACAACCTTCTTGTCAACGAGCAACGCAATATCCTAAAGGTCTGTGACTTGGGCTCTGCATCTCCAGCATCGGATAACGAGATCACCCCTTACCTCGTCAGCCGCTTCTACCGTGCCCCCGAAATTATCCTGGGTATTCCTTATGACTATGCTATCGACGTGTGGTCTATCGGCTGCACCCTCTTCGAGTTATACACGGGCAAGATTCTCTTCACCGGCCGCAACAACAACCAAATGCTCAAGTCTATCATGGAATGTCGCGGCAAATACCCGCCCAAGCTTCTCCGCAAGGGATCTCTGGCACATCTGCATTTCGACGACATGCTCAACTTTCACAGCACGGAAGAAGACAAGCTTACTGGCCGCCCTATTACCCGAGTGATGGACTTCAAAAAGCCGACTCGTGACTTGAAGACACGCCTGATGGGCAAGGGGACTAGGGGCATGTCTGATGCCGATGCGAAAGATTTGACGCTTTTCGTGGAATTCCTTGACCGCTGTTTGGCTCTCAACCCTGAGAAGCGCTGTACCCCTGCAGAGGCACTGAAGCATCCCTTTTTGAACCGAAAATAGGCGCGTTGCGAGATGACCTTATGACAGCGTTGTTATTTGGAAGACGCAAATAATCATTTCATGTCTATAACCTGGAGATGTTCATTTAGTTCAATACCAGATTTATTATATCAGCACGGGGGATTTTCATGTAGCTTTAATATTGCATAGTCCGGCTTTCTGTCATTATGTATACTAATCAGCCCTTCTACGGACGCTAGGGCCTCACACTCTCCCTTTCCCTTTTTAGGTGATCGATACGACTTAGAATTTTGCTACCAGGCATTGATTCCACAGCCCCCAAGCCCGCGTCTCCTCCCTCTTTCTAACCTCCTCCAGCTCTCGTATAGAAATTCTTGACATGAGAGACTTGCCATTAGCCTGCGGGTTCAACTTGGCAGAGTCAAATCGTTCTTGCCGTAAAGATTATAAATTGGCATGGCTTTGCGCGTTACCCCTCGAACTAGCTATGGCCAAACCCATTCTTGACGAAATTCATCAGCCCAATCTCGCCTCCAAGCTCCATCAACATCCGAGCCTACCTCCACCTTGATGAACGTATCAGAAAGACCCAAATCGCACGTATACTTGATGTAATTATGAATATCAATTCCTTTTGGACGCCCGTGGCGACCCCGGCAAGCAACTATAGCCGGATAAAGCCAATACTACAATATACATAGGTTACCAAGGCTACCAACTATGAGTCTGCCTGACGCCCTATCAGCCTTCACGGCCCCTCGCCCCTCTCTTCCATGAGTAAGTGGCGCGATCAATCAGCACTACCCCGCTGCGACACATTAAGATCGAGGCGAAGGGCGTTGGGATTAGCGTCTACATAGCCGGGCCTATCAACAACGCTACTGCAAGACGATCAGTTTGGATGCAGCAAAACATATCAACGATAAGAGGTCAAGTTAAGACCGGGGCTGATGGAAAGTACGAGCAGCTAAACTACATCCGGACACTTCTCGTCGAACATCTAGACCAGAATCAAGGCAGAATCCCAGCTTAGTTCCTAGATTTCTAATAGACAACCATGGCACCGGGGGGGTATCTCCAAGAGCTGTTTCAGGTCAGCCGTCAGTAACTCCGCCAACCATAGAGTTTCCGGAGATATGGATCTCGAGGGAAAAGTAAGAGTTGAAAAGCGTATTTACAACCTTCTGCGGTACCTAGCTTGACAACGTTCCGGGGGGGGGGGGGGGTTGTCTGTACGAAGACAGGTTCTGCATAGGGAAAGAGGCAAGGTCGCCGGACCTCGACGCGTTCTAGATCAGCACCATCTGACATCAACGAGCCATGGAACCGCAACCGTCGTGCCGATCGACTGGGTCGGTTTCCGTTGATAATCATTGCTCATAGGCTAATTCAATCCGCCCATGATTTTGAGTCGTACGGGACAAGGTTAGCAATAAATGAGGGGTTGACCCATCACAAATGGCGTTTGGGTAGTTGATGAGCCAACCGGGCGCCCGTTGCTCTCGCGTGGCCTGTGCCGCCCCATATACCCACCAAACTCTCCATCGGCTGGCGTTGCCGGGCAGCGTACTACTGTAGTTGAATGGGGGTGTACGAAGACAAGAAGTTTGAGTTGAAACATGAGGGGCTTAGAGGCTGGGGATAGATTGATTCTTTGACCTGGAAACCCCCGTCCCTGGTAACCCCCCAATTGATGGACGGTCTTAAGATCACGCATCATCAGACCGATACTGAAGAGGTCGGACAAATAGGATACCTACGTATGTGCTCCACTCCAAGCTTCGTGGCCCTTACGCCTTACGGGATATTCTGCCATCGAGCGACGGTGCAGCATAATCATCCATGAATATTGTCATGTCCTGAATAATTTACTAGAGGCATCGCCGCTGGGGGATTTCCAGTCGTGGATGCTAGCCGATTGGCCCGGGGGGATGATAGGATCTTGGGAAGATTGCGTGGCCGCTGGCCAGTCACCATGGTCGATGCACTGGATTGGCCTGAGGACGGATGGCGAACACGAGAGGCGAAGCCGCCAACAAACTTGAACAAAGAAATCAGTGGAACGTGTAATCTGTGAATGGGGGCCCTGCCGAGAGAGCCGGTTGGGTGGATGCGAGATGGAGGTGCGAAAGTGGATGTTCTTTTTTAATTGCATACGTGCATGATTGATTGTGTTATTGTGTTGTCGGAGATTCGGAGGTGTACGGTGGATTTTCATTTACATTTGCTGATGAATGTGGGGGACTGGGAAATTGCTTGCTTCTACGGGAGCATGGATTATTATCAAGTGCTAATAATTGACGAGCTAACTACAAATTGAGGACACGGCAAGTGCAGATGGCAAAAGAAAGCAAGCAATAGTCACAGGACCAGGTGGGCATCACGATGCGGCGAAGAGTTTTCTGGAAGATGTCGATGCCCCCATAGTCCCCAAGATCATCCAATCCCTTCACCCTCCGGATAGTTATCTCACCCGATTTATGATTATCATTATATCATGGCATAAAAGTAAAACGTCGAGTCGATGCCCACATCGAGTTTAGTCTAGGCCCCCCCTGGAAGGGGACCAAAGAGGAGAAAGATTGCCCCATTCGCCACTGGTTAGTGGTAACCATGGTGGCAAGGAACCCCGAGTCGAGCTTGCGAAGAAGTGGTGATGTGATGGTTGCTTTTTTTTCCTAGGATGATGATGTCGAGGTGTGTTTATTTTGTGGGCCTTGGAGGGGGATGGAGTGTTTTGTGAGTTGTAGCTATGCTAGACCTTCATGGTTAACTCTTCTCGCCCCCTGTGACTGGCATTCCGCCACCTGCAGGGCGGGGAGATCATAAAGTGACCGGAATGGAGGAAGCTGTCTGGGATGGATCGCATTTTTGACTTTGGGGCGCACCAAGTGCCGTTGTCCATATTGGGCAGATCAGAAGGGGGGAAGTTGAAGTAGATCTCATTGCTGGACTGGTAGCAATGTAGAGGTTGTACTCGACGATGCAAGTTGACAGGATAGCACATTCTGGACGATCATAGGTTCGATTGCAGGACTATGCAGCGACTATGAAGGATTATGGATTCAATAATGTAGAACTACGTAGAACTATGTCGGTCGGACACCGTAAAATGGTACTGGTAACATGCGCTGGGCGAGTTACGGGGTAGCTACTAGCGGTGAGGGCGCTCGAGTAAAAAGCAACCTCTCAAACTAACCTGCTTGTTTTCGGAGGGCCGCGTGAGTTCAGCTGCAATGGCAATCCTGGGGTACAGCAGGCTATTCCGCCGATTGATGTGACGCATCGATACACTGGTCAGGTGATTCTCACCGCTCGTGGGAGGCGGGTGTTGGGGCAAAGCGGACTCGGAGCTGAGTGGTGGATGGAGGGTGGAATTGTCCTCCATTGTGATCAGCAATGATAGAGAGACACAGGTGTAGGCGTGGCCTGAGGACTGGAGGGAAGGGTGGGGATGCAGTGCAGAGCAGGCAGGCAGGGGGACAGGCGAGAGGCTCCAGCTCATCCACCACCAGCAGGACAAGTGGCCACGGGCTTGGTCACGACCACCATCCACCATCCACCATCCACCATCCAGATCATCCTGTAAGCGCCAGCGGCCAGCCTGGTCGCTGTGCAACTGCGAGATTTGCGACTCCGTCCGTGACTCGGGCAGTGCACCGTGCACCCTGCACCCCCCCCCTTCTCTCTCCCCAATGAGCGACAGCTCAGATGCCAGGGTCCCAGGCCCGTGCGAAGCCGGGAAGATCCACTCGTTCTCGAAAGCGAACTCTCCCCCAGCCCTTTGGACCACTTTGGTTGGTCCAGAGGAGGTCTATTCTCATTGCCTCACTTCCGGTCATGGGCTGGCCACCGATGAACCCCCGCCAGACCAGTCCATGTTTATGTTGGAGAGAGGGTTGGCTTTGGCTCTTGGCCTCTGGTTACTTCCATTCTTATTGTTGACTTTTTTTTTTCCTTTCTCGCTCGAGTGTGCCTTGTGGGGCAGAGAGCTGGACCAAAAGAAAAATGCCAATAGAAATGGAAAGACGGAGGAAGAAGCCAGTTTGAACGGTTGGCTTCGACTCCTGACTGTAGATTCACGATTAGCTCATCCGAACCGAGACGAGGCCAAGTTACGGTGTACATAGCTCAGGCTAACGAGTCCTGCGACCGCAAACGAGCCCCTCTTGGGGGCAGGACCCATGGGATGAAACGGGGCACGGAAGAGGACAGGCTGTTGGGAAGTTGGCTTTTTGGAGCAGGCAAGAAACCCAGACACGCCTCATTCCACGGCCACTAGGGGGCAGGATGATCCACTCACCACGCACCCTGCGGGGCTGGGAAAAGAAAGGTGTGGGCCGTGAACGGTGTGGATTGGCGGTTGTGGACACGGACCAAGATGGAACCAAGATAGGCCAGATGGGCCAGATGGATCATGGTTGAATCCGGCAAGGTGGCGGGAAATCAACATGACAAGGGGGAGAGTAAAGAGAGAAAGAGGGAGATTTTACGGAGAGATGGAGTGGCTGAGTGGTACGAAGTGTACAGTATGTACTGTACTCCCGTACAACTTGTCCAGAAGACGGAGGACTCGAGTTGGAAAGAACTGGAAGGAGTCTCGAGACTAGTGGAAAAGGTGGATCGGCATCGAATGGACGATGTGGCCGTGGTGTTAAGCACTGTTCCCGAAGCGCATCGTGCCTAATGCCACATCCCGACGGTAGTACGGCAGTCCTCTTCTCGTATGCCGTAACTCCCCTTACTATCCCTACTATCCCTACAGTACTATCCAAGGCCAAAAAAAAAAATAAGGGGGGAGCAACGGGCCCAGTCTCTCACGGTCGATCGTTATTCGCGACTTGCCCCCACCCAATCACCACCTGCAGGTGGCGTCTGCGCGACTGACCGCAGGCCCATTGGTGATTGGCCTAGACCTGGGAATGGGAAGCGTTAGTTGCAAGTTGGTCAGAAGTGGAAAGTTTAGTGCACACCGCCAACACTCATGGAAGGAGGCATGGGGAAAGACAAAGTTAACGGAAGTACCAGGGGGGGAAGAACTGTCGTGGAAAGTTTGTACAAGTCGGAGAGGCCATGTGGAACGGGCTGCAGTCAGCCCGAGTCAGCCTAGTGGGAGTTATCTCTTGGGCTTAGGTAGTGCCACCAGGATTCGCATCCTCTACCTCCACGCACATGTCGGCATCATCGATCTTATTTTTATTTTTATCTTTCCCCCCCCTCCTCCCTCGCCCCAAAACAATCATCATTATACTTCCTTCTCCTGATCCCGTCTACCTTTCAAACTTCTTACCTCTCTACCTCTCTACCTCTTACCTCTTCTCTTTCTTACTCTCATTCGATATCTCACCTCCCCCTTCTGCTCTTATATATCGCCCCCCTTCTCTCTCTCTCTCTCTCTCTTTTTTGATCTTGCCCCCCGTTGAACTAAGGATCTCGGTTGGATACCTCCGGTCTACCGATTTATCTTTCTATTCTATCATTATCGCTATCGCCCACTCCCTGGACCCCCCATATTGGACTATCACACACCCTCCTTTCCTGGAATGGATTCCTGTGAATAAACCTGGAGTATTTTGGAAACCCCGTGTGAAACTTTCCAACAGAATTACACAATCCTTGGACTTCCGATTTTATTGCCACTTGAACTCTTGGACCCCGATCCCTTGGACACGACCCGTTCCGTGTATATACACACTTGCCACTCGACCGTCCCCGGAAACATCAACGTGAATTGGAGGACCCGACTATATCCCCAGGAGTAAACCACTTCTTTTTGGATCCTTCCTCTACTAGTCTACATCTTCAACCTTTCTCCCCTCCTCTTCCCCCCTTCCCGTGTCTTCCTCTGGACATACCCCCGTTGGAGATCCTCCGGATACATACCATCATAACATGTATCAGCACGAGCTACCAACGCCTCCCCTCACTCCGATTCCTCGCTGCTATACTCCCGAGGACCGGTTAGGATTGATCTTGGCCAACCGGCTGGAACTCACCGGCATCCTCGGTGTCGGCGCCTATGGAGTGGTATATACTGCCTTGGACATCCACACGCATATTCAATATGCCGTCAAGGCTCTCAACAAGTCCGGGCTGGATCCCCGACAACTCAAGTATCAGCAACGCGAGATTCGTCTCCACCACCGGGCCAGCCAACATCCCAACGTCGTCTCCCTCGTTCGCATCATGGACTCCCTGGATTGTACCTACGTCGTGATGGAGTTTTGCCCCGAGGGCGACTTGTTCTCCAGCATCACCGACAAGGGCCACTTTGTCGGGAATGACCCCTTGGTCAAGCGTGTGTTCCTGCAACTCCTGGATGCCGTACAGTTCTGCCATTCCATTGGGATTTACCACCGGGATCTGAAGCCGGAGAACGTCCTGGTGACGGACCAGGGTATGACCGTTAAGCTCGCCGACTTTGGCCTTGCGACCGAGGATTACTATACCTCGGACTTTGGTTGCGGTTCCACTTTCTACATGTCGCCTGGTAAGTTCTTTTTTGTCTCGACCCGAGACACTTAATGCAGTGTCCCCTTCGTTTCTCTCTTGTTTTTGGAGCTCATTCCGCCATTGGGATTGATTTCCCCTTGCTTCCTTGCTCTTCCCCCCCACTCGTCTCTTCTGAAACGGCCATCCTAATATACCCGAAACGTCACAGAATGTCAACAATCCCACCCCCGCCCCATGTCTTGCTACGCCTCGGCCGCCAATGACGTCTGGAGTCTCGGCGTGATGCTGGTCAACCTGACCTGTGGTCGCAACCCCTGGAAGCGCGCCTCGCTCGAGGATTCCACTTTCCGGGCCTACCTCAAGGATCCTTTCTTCCTCAAGTCCATCTTGCCCCTATCCACGGAGATGGTCTACATTCTGAGCCGTGTCTTCGAACGCGACCCAGCCAAGAGGATCACTATCCCGGAACTGCGCCAGATGATCGTGGACTGCCCCCGGTTCACCGACTCGATGACTACGGCTCCCGCCCCGGTTCCGCCAACCCCAGTCCAAGTCCTTCAGCCCCAGATCCCCGTCCCGGTCCCCACTGCTTGGGATCGCCTTCAGGCTCTTATTCCACCGGCCCATCAGGTTCCGTTCACCATGCCCATGGATTTCAATCACCAGCAGTTGCCTATGCACGCCCAGCCTTCCGGCTCGTCTTCGGATTCCTCGTACTACTCGGACTTTTCCGAGTCTGCGATCTCGGATGCGTCCGCTCTCACCGAGGACTACTCCGATTTCTCCGACTACAATTGCATGTCGCCGGTTGCCTCGGAGCAGGTGCAAGTCCCGGACTGCAAGGTCGTCTTCCCTCATCCGATTTGCGTGGAACAATCCGTTCCCGTGGAAGCTTTCACTGCTGGCGCCCCGATCCAGGTCTGCTGAATTCCCTGAGGACCTCTTTACACTACTCTCGATCTCTCTCTCCACTTTGGACTCCCTTCTACCACTCCCCTTTTCTTAACGCAGCTTCACGATCTCACGTCCCCCCCAACCAACAACTATTCACTCTGGATTTGCTTTTTTCTCTATGCGCCTGGAGTTTTATTCGATCAAGCATCTCGGTTGCTCTACTCTGGATTGATTCCTCATTTTCAAAAGCTGCTGCGCAAAAAAAAAAAGTGTGCTTGCCGAGGATGATCAACCCCCCCCCCCCCCCCCATCCCATTTGGAATCTCGGCCACCAGCTTCTTCACCGTGACTCTTTTTAATTGCCTGGACATATTTCCCCCTTTTTCTTGGATTATACCCCCACAACTTGGCCCAGCGACGTGTGACTTCTGGATCCCACACCGCTGGACTTTTCTATCCTGAACCGTCCCCGCCGGACAGGACAGGATGGAGCTGTTTCCTTTCTACTGTTTTGATATTTTGCCACATAGTGGCCGGATGGATGTTTTGATCGTCTTTTTTTTTCCTTTTCTCTTGACACATTGGCATAATATATTGGGAGGCTCGCTTTGAAGAAAGACAGACGGACCCCTGGGTCGGGCTGCTGTCATCGTCTCTGTCTGGAATTGGAGACCTGAACTTCGTGCACGGGTCGTTCTGGCGTTGGCTATTTCGCTTCCTTGAATTTTCTTCTGTGATAAAGGCTCCTTTTTTACCTTTTTCTGTTTACGATTTCATGGGTGGTGATCAGATATGATCTTCTCGGATTTTTTGTGTTTGCATGTGCATAGACTTGTTTTCGCGGCACAGGCTGGTTTGGTTTCGGATTTGGATCTGGAAGGCTATGGCTGTCTTTGGGATTGGGACTTTTGACTATTTACGATATGATACCTTGAAGACTCTACGGAGCGAATTGAACAAATACATCTCATCTACTACCTATTTGATTCTCGACCTCTCACATTTAGTTCCAACTCAACCATAGCTTGGCTTTCTTACTGTCTATTCGTATCCGATGGTCAATTCATTTTTACTTGTCCATGTTCTTCCCCTTCCTAGCCTCTACCTATCGTGGCAATCTTCTCCATGCCCAGTCTAGTCTCACCACTTCCCTCCCGTGCAACGTTGCTCTTGTCCTACAAACCCTCTCAGATCCCTGAATGCCATACTTGGCCGAAAACGGCGAACGACGGGTATCGCCTCCGCCGCCCGTCTCGTGACCCTATTTTCAACTCGAGGTAAGCTTTCAGGCCTCTAGGTGGCGCTCGTGTCACCGCAAGACGAATATTGTTGCTCTTGGCTGTTGCCGTTAGACAGTTGTGGTCCGTGAGACCAACTACGCACGCTAGCCACCTGCGTTAAGCTAAATAGGTGGCGTGCTATTATGGATGGGTCTGGACCGTGAAAGCTTAACGGCGTGAAGCTAAATAGATTGGGATATATGGGTTTGAAACGTTACTGAAGGCACACAAAAGGTGACAAGTAGCTCAATAGCTGAGCTAGGTTTGACCGTTACACTGAAACAGCAATCCACGTTCTGTGTCAGAGAAGCCATGTAATTCCAGCTTACCCCTTTAGGTATAGATAAGACCCTGTATCTTTTCTATTTCTGGTTTGGACAAGGCATAATATTAACCTCAGGCCTACCAATGAGATAATAATTCATCACCCTACCACACTCCACACTGTACACATCCCCAATTCGTTCTCCCATAATCCTCCCCCCTCCACATATCACACTTACATATTCCGCCCCCCAGTAACCCGAATAGTTTCTCCGTTAACATACGAGAAATACGGACTTGCAACACCCAACACCGCCCGGGCCGCTTCCTCAGGACTCGCCGGCCTGCGCAGCGGAATATCCGGATACACCGCAGCCTCGTCACCCTTCTTCCCATCCAGCTGCTTCCCCGGAATACCGAGGGCAACCTTAGTCCCGTCGGGCGTGGTGATGAAAGCACCAGCCTCCTTGGCTGCTGTCAGACGGGTGGTCACGAAGCCGAAGGCGATGGTGTTGGAGCGTACGCCGAAAGAGGGACCCCATTCTTTGGCGATTGTGCGAGTGAGACCGACGACGCCGGCTTTGGCGACGGCGTAGTTTGCTTGGCCTCTGCAGTGAAGGGGAGGGTGGTGTTAGCATTTGTAGTTCTCGGAGTGTAGTGTAGGATAGAGGAGATGGGTTGGGTTAGGGGGAGTGAAGGGGATAGGCGTACGCGTTTCCGTGGATACCGCTCGTACTGCTAATGTTGATAATCACTCGGGGCTCCTTGTCCTTGACGCGGAAGTACGGGGCTGCGGCGCGGACGAGGCGGAATGGCGCTGTATTGTGGACGGCTAGCATGGTGTCCCATTGCTTATCCGTCATCTGTGTAGTGGGTCAGCCATGCGACTCTGGGCAAAAAGTATATACTGAATATCATTCTTCTCCTAGCGGGATCCAGAACAACCCTCGTCCTCTTCGTATGACCGTATGACGACCCCGAGGAGAGAATTTACCTTGTGAATCACACCATCCCAGGTAAACCCGGCATTATTAACGATAATATGGATCTTGCCACCGCCAAACTCAGCAGTTTGCTTCACTAGCGTCTCGACGTAACTAGAGTCCAGGATATCGCCCACGACGGCTAGTGCGCGACCCGGCTCGACGGCGTTGATAGCATCAGCGACGGCATTTGCCTTTTCTATAGATTACATTAGCGCTGATTTTGATGGAGAGAATTACCGCAAACCCCCTCATCTCCTGCTGGAGGGTACTAGGGTAGGAACGCTAGGATCTAGCTCGGCCAACGCTGATGCTTGCCTGGCCATGTGCGGGGAGGAGGCATCAACCGGTGTTAGTGGTTGGTTGGGGGGTTCACACGTACTGCTGTCAATATCAGCGACGACCACCTTGGCACCTTCATTGGCAAAAAGTCGTGCTGCTTCGGCGCCGATACCCTGGCCTGCACCGGTGATGATGGCTACTTGGCCGGCGAGCATGCCGGCCGGGTAGTTGAGGTGCTTGTTGACCTGGGTGAGACGGTCAGAGGGAGCCATGATTGTCTTCCGTTCTGGGTGTCCTTTTGTGTAGCTTCTTGTTTTTGGTGTTTGCGTTTGATTTTGGTCGACGTGAGGGGAAACAGGACGGTTGGGGTCTTATACAGTCTGGAGTACGGAGTGCAGGGTAACTCGGTCCAGAAATGCCGAGGCTCGCCGTGGCCCGAAAGTGTGGGGTTAAATGGACTCCACGTATGAGTACTGCATATCATTCACAATACGATATTATTCTTTAATGTCTATGCAAATGCATCATATAGGCTATTTAGGTTTAAGGAAATGTTTCAATTCGTGTGACTGATCGATCTGCATGTACTGTTGAGCTCGTGGGAATCAAACGTTCAAGTGACTTTCTGTCCGCAATTGGCCCTCGGTTTGATAAAATACAAATCGCAAAAAACCCCCCATCCATTTCCAATTCATTACTTATTCATAACGATATGTCCAAGCAAGATAACTCAAGAGGTTCATCTTGAAACTTGGATCCACAAATGCACTCGTTCGTCGACACGGCCTGAAGGAATACATCCACAGTTGCTTCGTAACCCGTGACGATCGGCAGCAGGCACTTGCTCTCAGAATCACCATGATTCAACAACGCGGGATCAAGGTCGGGGAATGGGGTACATAGACTACCTGGAGACGACCAGGGCTGGTGTTCGGTTTCTCCAGTAGTTGTCCCGGCCACGGCAGAGTTCTCAACGTCCAGAGAGGAGGTATTGACAGTCGTCGATAGCAGTGAGAGTAACTCTCTACACTGCAGGAGTAGACTCCGTAATAAGAATGTCCGTATCTGTAGGTTCTCCTCGTGATGGACCTCGTAGTATCCGTATCTAATATCGACTCCGTGATCCGCTCGTGGCACTCGAGAAGCCTCCCGCGATATCCAATATTCGAATAGCTGCAGGGTCAAATTGAGAACGGAAATGAGGAGCAGCAGATTGGAACTGTCCTTGGCACATATCCCGCACCGTAGAAAAATTCTGCCGGCGCAAAAAGTCGCTTTGATTGCCTGCAAGCTCTGGTCGAAGCGGAGTGTCTGGGACTCGGCTATGAGTTGGTTCAGTCGGTTCATATGAAACAACTGCATGTCAACACATTCACACGATACTAGTCCTGGGTACGGAGAGGCCACCGAGCCACTAAGTGTTGGGCTTGTTATGTCATCTCCCAGTGGATCCGATGCGAGAAAAGTGGGTGTCACTGGAGTTTGCGGGTATCCCAGACTGATGGAGAAGGGAGGGCAAGCATCCATAAAGTCGGCAAAGGGCGAGCCACCCACCGATGTCATCTGCGAGGGACATATAGGCGTTTCCAGAGATACGGTACTCAGGCCTCGCGGGCTATCCCAAAGACTGGGCGGGCCCGAAATCAAGCAGACCTATACCATCCCAACGAGAAACGGGAGATTAGTATGGATTTCTTTGTATACAAATGCCGAGACTCGCAGGTACATGTATCACCTACATCATCATCTATCAGTCCCTCACCCATTTGCATCTGATAGCCCGCGTTCACCAACGGCTCGTGATCTACAACAGGGTGCCCCAGACGGCCACCACGATATCCCCGAGCAGGGGGCTTTTCCTCCGGTAATTGGCCCAGTTTCCTCAGCGTCGCCCGATTTTTACTTCCCTTGGGTTTACCGGAGCGATTTGCGAATCCATATTGACACTGTAGTCCATTCCGAAGACAGCGAGTGCACACGTTCTTGCCGGACAAATTGCACTTGACCTTGGATTGTCTGCAATTCTCGCATGCGGTTCGGAGTTTCGGTGCGTCGCCTCCCGCAAGCTGGTTTCCAATCGAATCAGCCAGCATCTGGCGTGGCAGTGAAAATCACCGAGAGGAATTCTAGTGGTGTTGAATAAAGCAAGAGGTCCGTTCATTTCCCGCAAACACCGGGTGCACCGAATGCCAGGGCAAGGATGATCGACGGGGAAGAAGCTGGATCAATGCGACTGCGAAGTGGGAAGAAAGCAATGAGGAAGAAAGAAATGCTAGATAGATACCAGGCTCGCAATCTGAGGTAAACACCTTCTCAGCGGATATACAAAGATACCTATCGACCCGTGTAGATCAATAGGTACAAAGTCTTTCCACTCTCTCCTTCGTGCCCGCGGCCTGGCATGTCCTCGTCTATATAAGCCCACTGAGCTCGAATAAGATCCAACCTCCACCCCGGAAATGTCACACTCGCATCTGGGAGTTCCGTACCGACGCCAGCCGCTGTGAAACCCCAGACGTTTCCATCTGATCAACCTCGCATGCGAGCACTTGCTGGCACGTTGAAGAGGGTCTTTCCAACAGCCCCCGGTCGTTGCACGGACTTGGACAATCCCAAAACGTGCGGACTCTGGTGTTGGATATTATTTTGAAGAACAGGTATGGCGACTCGGGTGGAGGCACTGGTTGCTCTGGCCGAGCAAGGTTCGATTTCTGCTTCAACAACTACAATGAGTCTTGACAAGCGTCGGTTGGATTGCAGGGCCACTTCCTGTCCTCTCGTCGTTCCTTGGTTCTCTCGATTCTCTTTGGAAACACCCAGGAGCTCTCTACGTCGTACACTGATGCAACATTGTAAATCGCCATCCAGTCACTTTGACTTTCAGACGTTTCTGCATTTCCCCTTTATCTCATCGTGGGAAGCCCGATGGATGCGGCGCCGTTGGGCCTGTCATAAGCTGCAGCCCATTTGTCACTAGCAAGACCTGACAGTTCGTCCCGTTTTGTTCCTCCAATGATCATCCAAGGACTTTAGAAAAACAATGAGAGCTCTATGTGAATGACACAGGACCCTAGGATTCGTCTCGACTCGGCTGACTGGACACAAAACGCCAAAGGCTGTCCACCGCCCATTCAAGTCGTGGTCATTGTTGCACATCACGAACCGGGTGCTCGTCAGCTGGGAACTCAGGAGATCTTTCCAGACTTGACTCTACTCGAGGCAGAATGTAGAAATGGCTCTCTAGTAAACAACCGGGGTGCACGGTGTCATCCCATCATCCCCATTTGCCATGAGTCCGTTGTCCAACTTTGCCCCCCAAGTTCCAAGCCCTTTGCCTTCTCTAATTGCCTCTCATGTCTGTTCGTCACGACTCAGCCGCGTGGAATCTGACAAACCTCGGCACTCCCGCTGTGGCGATAGTCAAATGCTTTCAGCAATCCTGTCAGATGGGCCACTGCAGCACATACCACCAGCACATGGAAAATCTGATGCGAGTGGCCAAAGAGATCAAACTTGCCCGGCCGCAGCCGTTCCGGCACGCGTGCCGCGTAGATGCTCGCACCGAGAATGTACAAAAAGCCCTGGAGCAACAGCCAGCCAAGACCAATTTGTTGGCGCATGCGCTCCACCCCGAAGAGAGCCACCCCATGGAGCACGGGGAACACGGCCGACAGGCCCATCCCGACAAACATGGCTGCACGGAAGGGCCGCCAACGGGGCGTTCGGAACGAGGGGACAACAGAGACACACACGCAACCTAATCCGATAGTACAAATCATTGTCCAGTATCGATGTTGGAGCGTCGGTACACAGTAGAATCCATAGAAGACACTGGGTACGAAGCTGCCCACAATAAGTCCCACGATACCGATGTAGTCGAGAGCATTGCCAATACGTGCCACGCGGGGGGAATGATTCGAGATTGTGTGGTAAGTGGCGGACATGCCCAGGCAGAAAGCAGCCCCGGCAAAGAAACAGGCAAAAGCCGCGATATCCGAATCGTCTGCAGTCTGATAACGAGGTGCGAGAACTCGGTGAAGCTCATACCCGGCCGGGATGGCCGCTAGACCCGGTAGTAGATGCGTATAGATGTTCACGGACTCATTGTGGAGGTAGCTCAGAGAATGGAACGAGCCTAGGAAGGAAGATGACGCCGGTCGATAACCCGTATGGATGTGATGGTTATCGCGTTGCCAATGCGGCAAATCATCCCAATGAAGCAATTTTTTTACCACCTTGGGCGGTGCATCCAAGACTGTATTGGCCCTTGAAGATGGCTGGGTTTCCGATGCTAACCCTTTCTCCTGAACAGGACGGCGTTGGCGTGACATCTTTTCTCACTTCACATGCAAGTCAGATGCAGGGCTGTATGCTGTGGTATTTTGCAGTTGGCGGATCAGCCACGAATCATGCAAGACAGGTAAGCAGACCAACAGTGTGCTGTGGACCTATAGATTATCGAAATTTCAACGAGAGATTGACAGAAAAGAAAAAAAAGTGGAAAACTATATACAAAAGGGAGCGTTGAATAGTTGGGGACACCACAAGATCGCCCCGTTGGGAACCTCGGTGCAAACAAGTCAAACATGATTGGCAGCTGATAGCGACCATATGTGAAGAGTATGAAGTACTAGAAATTAGAGGGTCAAGGGAGAAATTTTCGGGGATACTTCCTAAAGAAACTGAATCTTTAGCTAAGCTATAAAATTCTATATTTTACTCTATTTTCTATACGACGATATGGTTCTAGGTGTGACAGTGTACTCCGTACGTAGAACAAGAACCATGAAGGCGGTCAGTAACTAAATCAGTTACAATGTTGATCTTCACATGACATAACTGCATTGGCCGCTATGACCATATAGCCTGTGGTAGGAGCGGCCCGCTTCATCCCCGCGAAACTGCCCTCACGCGCGCAATGCAGTCAAGGGCGCAGGGAAGCCGGTTGAAGCCGCTGGCGGACTCTCTTGAACATGTTGGATTCGTGTCCAAAGGTGATAAGAAGTATGGTCGCCGAACAAGAGTCACAATCAGATTGTCATGGTTACTGACGGAGACTATGCAAGGCTTCTCACCTACCAAGCTCAACACGAGTACTATGACAAGATCGTGGCGCGATATATGAAATTCTGCGCAGATCACCATAAAACTCTCGACGCTGCATTTGCATCCCTTCCTACCAGCGCCTCGAACGATGCGACCTCGAACCCCCCAGCCGCCCTGCCTTCCTCGAAACGAAGCCCCGCGGAGAAAAGCATCCCCCCACCTTCGTCCGAACTGTCCACCCTCCTTCTCTCCTTGCGCAAGCTTCGTGAGGCCGTCCTTGCCACGGCTTCGGAAACACCTATCGATTTCACCCAGCGCGTTCATATATTCTCCATCCGCTTGTCCATTCGCGCCCAGCACCCTCCATCATACTTTCCGTCCTTGCGCTACAGCCTCGACAAACTACATTCGCGATCACACCCGCTCCCAGACTCCGAGGTAAAAGAGATAGTCACGTACTTGATTCTTGACTATGCGTGTCGACAGGACGATATGGTCTCGGCGTTTGAGCTACGTGCCCGCGCGCGCAGGGACTTCAAGTTCTCCGATAAAACCATTGACCAGGCCCTCGACGCATTGATGCATGATAACTGGATCGTTTTCTGGCGTGTACGTAAGACGGTCGATTCTTATACACAGGCAGTAATGGACTGGGCGGTGGATCGAGTACGAAGACACGCTCTCAAGGCCGTTGGCAGTGCGTATCTCAATGTCCATGTGAGTTGGATCGTGGGCGGTTGCACGGGCGATGACGAGGGCTGGACGTGGGAGAAGCTAGTTGATGTCGAGAAACTCGGTTGGGAGAAGGAGGGCGAGAAGATTGTCATTAGACGGCCGAAGACGCGGTTACCTGCGAACCCGGAGCCTGCGCAGTCGAGTACAGTGGGTTCCTGACGTCGGATGTACAGCACATTCTCGGGCGTTGGGTGTTCTTTGCATGGAGTCGGATGCATGGTGTTCGGTGTGATCAGGGTTGCACTTTTCATTTATTCTTAAAGGCTTGGCATTCATTCACGGAGTGGGTATTATTCACATTGGCACTCGAGATAGGAAAGAGGTTGGACTCAATCCATTCGGCTTGATGGTCATTTCATGCTTGTTCAGTTGTCTCATAGCTTAAAGTCAGTATTAGGCCGGTCTAGATTGGTCTGGCCGGATACTGGTTGCTCTGCGATGATTGCAGCCAGTTGACCCTTCAATCTCCCAGCGCTGTCGCAGCAAAGCTCATAGACGGTCGACAGGTTGAATATTAGGCTGCCGAACGACTGGTGGGCGGAAACCTGGGCCTCTAAGAGTAGGCGGGCCTAGTGTTTCTGTCAGTGAGTGGATTATAGTAGAGAGGTGGGTTTCTTGACGTACCTCGTCCAGCTTTCCAGAGTAGAGAAGACACACGGCCAGATTCTGACCTACTAGAGCCCCATCTGTCCGTTGCGTATCTTCGTGAAGGGCTCGCCACTCGGTCACTGCTTCTTGATAGCGACCCTCGGACATGCTCAGAAGTGGCTTTAGAAGAGCAGCCTCCTTTGACTCGCGAGAATTCCCGAAAACTCGTTCTGCGGCATCGAGGTCGCCGATTCGCAAGTAAAGAAGCGCTTTTCTCAATTTCATGGCCTCTGTATCCTCATCAGAGGCCCGGAGAGCCTCGAGTGATCGTTTCGCTGCATCTAGGTCTCCCATTTCCACCAGTGCATTAACGCTTCGGATCCCAAGGTCCGCGAGCCGCTCTCTCCAGATCTTCCGTTCGCTTTCGCTGCAACCATTTCTCGTGATGTGCCCTCGCGCTTCCAGCCCAATCTCATACAAGCCACCAATACTCCTGCGAGAGTCCCCAAATCCAATGCTTTGAAGCCGCACCGCTAGCACTCGAAGTGGCCATGGCACAATGTGCCGAGAAAAGTTTGCATGAGCTTTCTCGTGCTGTATATCAGCCTCGGTGTCGTTCAAGCTGGAGTCAATGTAGTAAAAGGTGGAATTGAGATCTTCCAGAGCCTTGGACTCCTGGGCTGCGAGTACCGTGTTGCCAGATAGTTCGAGGCAGGCCAGTCGTGTGTAAAACAAGGAGAATATCACTCTGACGTCCGTAGGTGAAATTAAAGAGGATGTTAGGATAGAGCTGGCGAAGTGTGCGGCGACTAGGAAGCGGCCTTCTGAGAGTAGCCTCTCCAGGAGACCAAGTGAGGACGAGAGGGGTTCGCCAGGGTTGAGGACAACAAATTCTGAGCGAAGCGGTGAATGGATATCAACTTGTGAGAGAGGATGAAATATATTATGGCGCAGGAGGAAGGAAAGATCTTTGCCTAGAGTTTCTGGCAGATCGTCTGGAGCGAGCGGGTCCAGCTCGTGGAAGGAAGGCCCGGAGAAGCCGTCGTTTTGAGATAATTCATGTTTGTCGACACTAGGGGAGATGGATAATGTGGAGAGGGAAAGAGGGCTATTTTCAATGTGTTAGGCCAACTTTTCTATTTGAATAATATCGGTATATTGCTCACTCCTCTGGTACATCTAAAGGACCGCGTGTTGAGCTGCGGGGCCGTGAAGCTAATAAGGTCAGCTAAGTGACCGAGATATTGATATGAACATTCTGACAACACGTCACTTACATCTAGATGCATTGCGTTGATGCAAAGCCGGGGACGCCATGTTCCGGATTCGAGTAGCAAGCAGTGATAGACGAAGAGGCTGAACAAGTCGATCGAAGAAGTCGGGGAAGCTCGTGAGACGCGATAAGCTATCGGATTCTGCCCAAGGCGGTGGACTCCGGATCTGGCGAGTTGGCGCGTCTGAGGAATCCTCCATGAAGCTACAAGCTGTTAGCCATTCGTTCCCTACTCATTTCTTTTCTCTTTTTCTGGATCGCACTTGTCCTGGAGACAAACTCCTGAACTCCAAAATACCTGATTCGTTCGAAAAACAACATGGCCGCCACCAAGAACAAGTACTCGGTCATCCTGCCTACCTACAATGAACGGCGCAACCTCCCTATCATCACCTGGCTGATCCAGAGGACCTTCAACGAGAAGTGCGAATCTCGAATTGCCCGCAATGAAAGCGTTACACAGGACTAACATCCTCATTCAACTGTAGCAAATTGGATTGGGAAATCATTATCGTTGACGATGGTTCCCCTGACGGTACCCTCGAGATCGGCAAGCAGCTCCAGCGCCTTTACGGCCCCGAACACATCATCCTTAAACCCCGCCAGGGTAAGCTCGGCCTGGGAACCGCCTACGTCCACGGCCTGCAGTATGCCACTGGCAACTTCGTCATTATCATGGACGCCGACTTCAGCCACCACCCCAAGTTCATCCCCGAGATGATTCGAATCCAAAAGGAGACCGACGCGGATATTGTCACTGGCACGCGGTATGCGAACCGCGGAGATATCAAGGGCGGAGTTTACGGCTGGGACCTCTTCCGCAAGTTTACCTCGCGCACTGCCAACCTGATCGCCGACGTCATGTTGATGCCCGGCGTCAGCGACCTGACGGGTAGCTTCCGTCTGTACAAGAAGCAGGTGCTGGAGAAGGTCATTACCAGCACTCAGAGCAAGGGTTACAGCTTCCAGATGGAGATGATGGTCCGTGCCAAAGCCATGGGTTATAAGGTCCAGGAGTGCCCTATTACCTTTGTTGATCGCCTCTTTGGCGAGAGCAAGCTTGGCGGATCCGAGATCGTCGAGTACCTCAAGGGTGTTTTCAACCTGTGGCTGAAGGTCTAACGCTTTCCACTGGTGTGTCCTGCGTGAACCGATGGCTTGAAAGGAGCCCCGCGCATCCATTCGGATCCCGTCTAGCGGCAAAGTCGCTCCCCGGATGGGAATCATCCGATTCTCCTGATACCCCATTTCGATCTCTTCTCTCCCCTTATGAATTCCCGTGGCTCCTGGGTGGTGTTTGCACGTCTCGCAACTTCTTATGTATTGATAAAATACAATGTTTCTTGTCCCGTTATGTGGGTTTGTAATACCATCATGATCATTTGACAAAATTCCAGAATTCTAGTATGATCAATCTCACTCGTAGTGCCACTCGCTTTAGATACTCTTGAGATACCGTAAGACACGATCAATCAGATCCTTCTGGCCTTCGTCCTGGACATTGTGACTGGCACCAGGGACGAGGCCGCTGGTTTCGACATCCCATTTGGCACCTCCGGCCTCGGTAGCCTGCTTCCACCTTCCCATCAATTTCTCCTTGTCCACCCACGACGGGCAAAATTCATCGCTTCCAGAGTACAGGACACACAACTTTGACTGCAAAATACCGCTGGACCCAATTGCTCCAAAGGTCTCTTCAAGGCGCTTATCACTCAAATCGGAGCTAAAGAGGTCATCCTCCGATGGGTTTGCTGGGCTGGCCGGGCTGGCCAAACTGAGGAATCTACGAGCACTGAGCGGCGCATCACCTGGCAGACCAGTCAGTGCAACCTTGTTCATGGGGAGAATGGAATCGGTTCCATCTGTGGTCCATGGCTGCGTCTTGGCGGCGTCCACGAGCTGATCATACGCGTCTCGTGCTTCATTCGGATCGTGGGCAGACTTCAAAGCTGCGAGAATAGCTTCTCGGTCGGAGACGGGAGCTTGCATAATTGCACCGTCTAGCTCGGGTCGGACAATGTAGTGAAGTCCCATATCGAAATTCGTCTTGGGAAGTGGATTGGGAGCGTAAAGATAGTGCAGGACATCCTGGCTACCAGTCGAGTGGCCCATGATTGCGATCTTCCCAGACGCCGAGGGTGCCCCGGGTAATCGATCAGCTTTGAGGTCTCGAATGAACTGCACACATTGACCGAGTTCCTCCACATCTCTGTCAAGACTGCTGGTTCCGAACCCATTGTACGATGAAGTCAATAAGATGGAGAAGAGTGACCAGTCTGATTCCTCTAAAGCTTCCGCCAGCTTTGACACATAGGGAACTGTGCAAAACCCATCCGTCAGCCCGCCCACAAAGATCAAGCTGTTTGGCTTGCTGCTCGCTCTGGCGGGCGATGTGAATTCGAAGGCTACGAGCCTGGGCGCCTGAAAGGACGGTTAGCTCATTTGGTTCGCTGGAATAGAGCAGTACGAGGAGTCATACGTATTCATGGAGAACACCACGATGTGACAATCCACGATTGGCGTTAGACGACATTATTTCTGGATAACGACACAAGTGACCGCGATTGTTGAACCAGAGATAGGATTATCGAGGGGCGGCGGGGCAATTGACGATTGACGTACCTGGCCCACCGCGGGGCTCAGGGCCAATCTAATATTCTCGAGAAAGACAAGGCATGACGTTTGGAATTGAGTTGATCTCAAGCTTTTTATTTTAGCTGCTCCTAAGATCTAAAAAACCCCCTCACCCCCTTCACCCCCGACCAAAACCCCTGCTGATGTCAGCTAGTGCTGAGAGGTTCCCTTCTAAGCTTGGGCGCCAATGGGTGCGGGCTTGGTCTTAGCCCGGACCTTATTTGAGTTCGAACGGATGCTTACAGATGCACCTGTTTTCCAAGGTCCTGGCTCGTCTATTCGGGCGACTTGATGCCGATATAGTCTCCATCCACCATGCACGCCGCCACGAGGCTCTTCCCACCCCTGGTTCGCAATCATTGTCGAAACACAATTCGCTATGCTAGCACTACTACTGGACGTGAAAGTCAGATGATGCGCCTGCCAGACGGTCGTACTTTAGGATTTGCTGAGCATGGTCGATCCGGGGATTACCCCAGCTCGCGCCTCGAGACCCTAGGCATCGATGATATAGCCCAGCGCCACAAGATTCACATGTCCGTTGATCTACCTTTTCACGCCTTTTCAAAGGTCTTTTCGAAGGTCTATCTAAAGGTCCGTCCGCCCGCCCCGCGTCCTCTATTATATTTCTCACATACAGCGATCTTCCATAGTTATTCTGAGTGGTATAAGCCAGCTAAGTTTAAGGCTAAGGGAAAGCATAAAAGCTAGAAGAGCGATATTCGTCAGTTATAGCCTAACTAGCCTAGGGAAGATATAGCAGTAAAGGAAGAAAAGTAACATTACTACATAGATTTAGTTAACATATAAGGTGTAGATAGCCTAGAGCCTCCCGATTCCTGTTGATTCGTCCCCCCGCCAAGCGGAAGGATAGGCTAAAGGACTATCTGTTAAGGGGACTGTTCGTTGAAGATAGGAAATGGAAATTTCGAAAACATCGCCCCTATTTCTTAATTAGACTTGTTTCTGATGCAGCACACAGAAAGGTGAACTCTGCTTTCTTTTCGTGGTATGGATGGACTCATCCTAATCGGGTATAGCGCCTTCCGAGCTTCTTGAGGTATCGTCAACCAGAAGCTAACTTCAGGATTCCAACGCTCACGCTTCCTATCCTCCACCACATTTATCCTGCCGATGCTGGCTATCTGTGCGGCCACTCGAGCATTATAATTTGGCTTGAATGGGGCCCTGAATCATTTCAAACATTCACGCTGCCCCAGTCTCAAATCACCGGAAATGACTTCTGCTCGCAGATCGGGCCGTCTCAAGGGCCCAAGGGCGGTCTATACGAATGACCCATTTGAGTCAGCGGGAATTAGCGATGAATCAGACTCCGAGGAGCGGCAGCGCTCTGCAACTCAAAAGGGGAAGCGGCGGCGTGACGATGATTCCGCCTCAGATGACGAATTCGTCGCCAAAGAAGTGAACGAAGAGGAAGAGGAAGACGAGGATGGAGATGTCAGGGAAGCTCAGTATCCTGATGATTTTGACGAAATGGACGTCGATGAATCTGCAGCCACCCCCAGAACTCCAAAAACTCCTCGCGGAAGACCTCGACCGAACACAGTCCAAAGCCAGCAGAAACTCCTTGAGAGCAAAGGAGCTGCCAATCTTAATATCAAACCCTCGACGAGTGAGATACGTGTTCGTGGATGTGTTGATCCCAGGGAGAATGTGTCAAAGCCTATGTACTACATGTCGACCTTTGGTGACGATGACAGAGACCTGCTTGCTGTTCTTTTCACGCGTGATCGATGGGCTCGAGGCGTGGATACTTGCCTTCCCACTCGCCATACTCTGGACATTCAATCAACGGCTAATGACTATGAGTATGGTCCAACTTGGGGCGTTGCTCCAGAGGATTTGGAGAAAGAGCGAACATCCGGCTGGGACTGGTATTACGACAAAAACATTGGGGGGGAGTCCCGGAAGGCTCAGAAAGTTGGTCCAAAGCTCAAGGAAGCGGAGGCGCGTCGAGAATATTTACCCAGGGCGAAGAAGGGCAAGCATACCATTCTCATGGGTGCTGCCAACGATCAGAAAGCTTTCCACTTGGGCTACCACGAGTTTTTAAATCTTGGACAGGCCTGGAAAGAGACCAAAGCCCAGAAGAGCGACCGGGCTAGTGCGACCGTTCGAGAGGGCTGGTTAATCAGCTTCGAGCAAAAGATTCAATGTGTGGGATGGGCGCCGAACCAGGATGGCTTTTCCCAATACCTGGCCCTGGTCACTCCAATCACGCCTGAGCAGAAGGAAAAACATGCTTCCCATGGGAGTGAGCCTTTCTCACCGTTCCGACCAGCGCCCTCTTACCCTTGTGCTGTGCAGCTATGGGAATTCGGGGGTAAAAGGGCAGGTCCTATTACCAGTACGCTTGATATGGAGACCAAGCCACTCCTTCGGCTGGTTTTATGCACTGACTGGGGAGATGTACGTCGCATAGCCTGGTGCCCGATGGCCCGGCAAAAGCGAGAGGAGGACGATCAAAATGGTATGAAAACCATTGGTCTGCTGGCTGGGATCTGGGGAGATGGAAAGATCAGGGTTTTGGACGTCAAGTTGGGACCTGGAAAGAAGACGGAATTCGGTACGTGCAAATGGCGATTCTAATCATTCAGGCAAGCAAGTCTGATACACTCGACCTCTAGTCAAAATCCAGTCCCCCTTCTTCGAGGCCAAATCGCCCTCCAATGTCTCCTCATGTTTAACATGGCTCTCCCCCACTGACATTGCTGTGGGATGCTCTGACGGATTTGTGGCGATCTGGAGTATATTGCCCACATCCGATATCGAGCCCATTCCCTATTTCTACAAGCCCATTCATGCGTCTTATGTGCTCAGCATCACATCAGCATACCCAACCAACCCACATCTCATTGCAACCACATCCATTGACGGTGAAACAAGGCTCTGGTCCATGATCAATCCCGAAAGCGAGAACACGACCCCTGTGCGACAGCGCCAGGCTCCTGGCCATCTGAGCTACTCTCCCATCCTCCAGTCGGTATACTCCTATGATGAGAACGATTTTGGTCGGTTGATGCCAATTCACAAGTTTTTTGCGACCCAATCAGCCGGCAGGATGCCTAGCTCGGTGATCAGTCTGGCGCCGTGTAATTTCTACCACCCATCTCTCTTATTTGGCACAGCTAGCGGGGAAGTGGTGGCTACCAATCCATTCCGCCGGCTTCTCTACAGCAAAGAGCAACACTGGCAACAGACTTGGTTCTCCCATGACTGGGCGCCCGGCCTTGACAAAGAAAGTTCGGGTGCTAGTCGATTCTATGAGGGTTATCGGGCGGAAACCCAGAGTCTCGCCCGGAACTTGTCGGGCGACAAGCGTCCTCAACTCGGCTCCTCTCTCACTACCGTTCATGATGAGCGAACACACGTCACCGCGCTGGGGTGGAACCCGAATCGCCCGAGTGCAGGCTGGGCTTGTGCTGGTATGGGCTGTGGCCTGTTGCGTGTTGAAGATCTTGCTATCTAATTTACCCTGCCACCGGCCAAGACCTGTCTCGGCACATAGTCGATCCAGGATCAATACAGTCGGTGGATTCCGAGTTGCCGGTCGATCAGAGGCGAACAATCCAATGAAGTCAATGAAAGCAACTTTTTGCTCCCTACGCTAAGAAAAGTAACTAGGCACCAGGTTTTGTGCTCATTACTGCGCTGGGATTGTGCATCGATATGATGTAGTCTAAATACTCCACCAACCTGTCAGTGTGGAACCCCCAGCCACGCCTATTGCTTATGTAAACACGTAATCTCCCCGGCAACGGCTGTTTTGATTGGCCATTTCACTGCTCCCCAACAAGCGCCAACTGCCCAGGCACGTTTTGCAACGTGCAGGTGGCGTTTCCTCGTGGAGCCGTGCTGGAGCTCATTGAGGCAAGAAGGTGGCTGGGATTGATGATTGTGGAGTCTCTTCGAATCCCCAGCCACGCCGATCCCAGCCTGCCGAATTTCTAGAACCAATCGCGAGATTGCCATGTGGATCACATATACTTCATGCTGTCCAACATCATGATCGCGATCGCGATGATTCTCATTCTTAAATTCGTCCTCTTTCATCCTCGTCCTTTTTATATTCTAACATACTTCAATCCAAACTGCGACTACACCAAACTCCACTCCTGATCGTTCTGTCGATTCCAGCGATATTCCACGATTCCAGTTGCATTGTTACCATACCTCGAATCTTCTTCACCTCCATACATACTTCGACAACCTTACCCTCAAAAACTCGCCATTATGCATTTTTCCTCCGCCGCAGCTCTCGTTGCCCTCTCCTCGGTCGGCCTCACATATGCTGCGCCATTCGCCAATCCCCAGGAAGAGATCGTTCGCCGCAAAGTCACTTACCAAGTGGTCAATGTCGATGGAGACCCGGCCAGCTCTGCTGCTCCAGAAATTGAGACCGTGACCGAAACCGTCAATTCCTTCACCACGGTAGTGGGCCCCGCTATTTCACCTCTGACCGTGACCGTCACTGCTCCCAGCAGCACTCCGACCCCAAGCTCGACTCCCCACTCTCATGTCGCCCCTCCCCCTGGCGCTTCTTTCTTCCCTGCCCCCAGTTCTGGCTCGGGCTTTTTCCGCCGTGGCTTGATGGCCGCTGGTCATCCTCTTCAGTTCGCTCGCGGCTATGAGTCCTCGGCCGCTAGTGTCACTGCGACCCCTCTCGCTGCTCGTGGCTGGTACCCTTCGTCGGTCGCGACTCCCACTTCCAGCTCCACCAGCACTCCTGGCATCATTGTTCGTCAATTCGGTGTCTGGAGCTCGTCTGCAGTTGCTTCTTCTTCGTCGGTTGCTACGTCTTCTGCTTCTTTGGTTGCGCGCCAGTTTGGTGGCTGGGCTTCCTCTTCTATCGCTTTTCCTTCCGCAAGCGTAAGCTCTAACTCTTTGGCTGCTCGTCAACTTGGCAGCTGGGGCTCTAGCGGTTCTCTGTCTGCCACTCCCAGCTCGACTACGCCTGTCTCTGCTACTCCCTTTATCGCTCGGGACTTCCACAACCACTACTACCCCAGCGTTTCCAGCTCGGCCGCTCCCAGCTCGAGCTTCACTCCTTTCCCTTCTGCCAATGCTCTGCTTTAAGAAGCGGAGACTGTTTTATTTTACGACGACCATCCTTCAAAGGATTTGAAGCATCATGAAAAACGTGACCTATTATGAAACGAGGAGGTCCTCTGCCAAATGAATCCGAGGAAATTGATGCGAAGATGACATACGACACATGCTGATGATTTTTGCTGCCATTTGCTGCTCTTTTTTGGTTCTTCCACAGTTCGCATTATTGTCAGACCCGACAGTAGGGTCGAAAACGGCGTTTTCTATGTTTTTGCGAAAGGGGTTACTTAATATGTATTATTCTTCTATTTTCATGGACATGGGTTTTGGTTTCGTGTTGTTGATTTGGGGCGCTTGACATAGAATGCATTTGAACATACTGCTTCGTCAGGCTTAGATAGACCACAAATAGAATGAGATCATCTTTCGAAATGTATTATCATCAAGAAAAATCGTAGTTTTCTCTCAGGCGTGACGCGTCACAATTTAGTTCCAGGATTGGGCAGCACGATGTCACATTACGTAAGCGGGTTATGGAACTAAAGATGCATGAGCGCCGTTGCCTGAGTGACGCGCTGTAAACATGTCCAAGCCTCATCCCTCTGATCAACTACCTGAACATTCAGCGACCGCTTGGTCTCTTGTGCATTTGAATCTTATCATACCCCCTCTGTTACATTTTGCTTTTCGTTCATTTATTGTACCTGTTCTGTTTTCTCTATCATTGAGCAAAGGCTGGCCGAGGCTCGACACCGATAACAATGCCTGGGACCGTGGCTGAGGGACCGTCGGTCTCCATGTCCTGTAAGAGAAAAATGCTGGTTGGCACGCGACAATCGTTTGATCTAACTCTGTATTAGTTGCCAACAATTTCTGGGGCAAGGATGATGCTGGACTGCAACCTATGCTTGACCGCATGCACGCATCTAAGGTTACTAGCGATGAATTGAAGGTTTTCTACAGCGGTACGCCGATTGTGACCGTGAAGGAATGGCTTTATCCGGGGCTAACAGATGAAAAGTACGTGCTGCGATTGAAGATGAATACGCCCGAAAACTACAGGCACTCTGCCGCAAATCCCTCGGTTCCGCCGAATCGGGATCCCTTCGCTCGTCGCTGGACGTGGTCCGCGGGGAAACCGAGTCCATCGCGAAGGCACACGCCGCGATCGCGGCACAGATGAAGACCGAGCTTGAGGAGCCACTACATGCGTTTTCGAAGGGTATCAAGGAGAGGCGGAAAATTATCCAGGATGGCATTGAGCGCCTTCACAAGAATAAGGTGCAACAAACGCAACTGGTCAACAAGGTCTGTTTCTAGTTCTGAAGTTATTTCCATGGATAACATGCTGACTTCGTTTTCTCTTAAGACTCGCGATCGCTTCGAGCAAGACTGCCTACGGATCAAAGGATACCTTGCGCAAGGACACATGGTGATGGGTCAAGAGGAACGCAAGAACAAGGCGAAGCTTGAGAAGACACAAATTCAACTGGCCTCGAACAGCAACGAATATGAAGCCGCCGTCAAGACCCTTGAGGAGACCACTGGGCGTTGGAACAAGGAGTGGAAGGCTGCTTGCGACGTATGTGATGCTTTTTTGATGGATAACTCGAAGGTTCCCACACTAATCCTCCTTCGCAGAAATTCCAAGACTTGGAAGAAGAGCGCCTCGACTTTACAAAGAGCAGCCTTTGGACTTACGCAAACATTGCCTCTACCGTCTGCGTGAGCGACGATGCAGTATGTTCATTGCCAACTTCTTTGGGTCTTACATGCTAACCCATTGTTTAGTCCTGTGAAAAAATTCGCCTGTCTCTTGAGAATTGCGAAGTTGAAAAGGACATTGTCTTCTTCATCAAGGAACGAGGGACCGGCCAGGAAATCCCCGATGCCCCTCGGTTTATCAACTTCTGTAAGGAGGACGATGATGTATCGGATATCGAAGACGGGGAAGGCTATTCAGTCGCCCAATTCCAGCGAGCTATGAATCCGGCTTTCCGCACGTCGTCACCTCAGCCATCCACTTTTGAGTCCCACCATGACCCGGATTCTGAACTTGCTGCACAAATGGGCCACCCGGCACCAGCTCAAGCTCCAATTCAAGCTCCCATTCAAGCTCCCATTCAAGCTCCCATTCAAGCTCCCATTCAACCCCCAGCTCCGGCGCCAGCTCAAGCTCCAGCTCTAGCGCCTATTGCCCAGCCACCAGCCCCACTGGACCTTCGCAGAGGTGGCTATCTGCCGCCCAACTACGACCCTCAGCAGCACGGCGAGATCAATGCAATTCCCCATAATGCTTACCCGACTGATGGCATGACCATGTTCTGCCGCACTGGGCCACCTTCGGAACGCAGCTCAGCCAGCGCGTACCGCCCCTCTAGCCGGGATTCTCAAAGCGAAGTGTCAAACCCTACTTCCATGTCAAGCGTCGAGGCCCCTACCACAATCCACAAGTCTCCGCCCAAGCCGACCAATAGTGCACCCCTCCCGAGTCAAAGTGAGGACACGTCTGTCCAAAAGAAGAAGAGTGCCTTCTTTAGCAACAGTCCCTTCCGACGCAAGAGCCGTCACGACAAGGAGAGACCAGCGATTGGAGGTCAATCTTCCTCTCGCAGCAGCCCTTGGGGCTCTCCCACCAAGCAGGCCAGTCCTACCAAGCCTGCTTCCCAAGCTCAGCCTGAACGCCATAGTCCCGAGCCCGTTGATCCTCGCGCCAACTTCCAGCTCAATGTCGGCAACAACGTCTTTGACGTTGCTTCGCCCGATAAGAATGCTAAGGCTGGAGCACAGCAAGCTAGGGCGGCCGAAGACAATGTGGATCCTATTGCCCGTGCTTTGGCGGATTTGAAGACTGGTGGAAAGCAGTCCACCCTGCGAGTCTCGGCGGATAGATATCACGGCATCCAGACACCCAACCCATCGGCCCCTTCGTCTACCTATGGTGGTAGCTCTTCCGGTGCTCCTCCTGCGTACAATGATCCTTCTGTGAAGCGACTTGACGCCCCAGAGCCGGCTTTCACATCCAAGCAGATGCAAAAGACTACTCAGCGATACACTGGACAGACTCAGAGCATGCTGCGTGGGGGTGCTAACAGTCCGAGCATGGCACCTGCGCCCAGGGAGGTTCCTCGAGCCCGCTCCCCGGCCCCATCCACTCGCCGCAGTGCCAGCCCTCAGGTATCTTCTCCTCGGGTTGATACTCGCATGGCTGGTCAATACAGCGGATCTGCAAGCCCTGCGCAGAGTCCAGCTGCATATCAGTCTAGCAGTATGCGCAGTCGTTACAGCCAATCCCCTACGCCCCATCGTGCACAAGACCCCCCGTATTCGCCCAACGATTATGCTCAACGGGCCTCCCCAGCTGCATCAACTCGTGCAGTTTCTCCTCAGCCTCAGTTCAGACAGCAAGTCCGTCCTTCCAGCGCTGGAGGCATGGAGCTGCAGCTTTCTAGCGGCCAAGTTGAAATGTACGGCGGCGGCTCTCGCGATGGTTATGGCTCGGCGCCTCGTCGCGGTGATGGCCGACCTATGTCGCAGTACGGTGACAATACCAATGCTCCGCCCCTTGTGGGCCGCTCTCGTAGTCGCACTCTTGCTGTTGCTGAGTCCGGAAGAAAATTCAGCCGTGATGGACGTCCCATCCTTCATTTCGGTGAGTATATAGCCGTCGTTCCCCTTCATATTGATCGTTTTCTGACTCTTTTCCATTGTCACAGCTCGCGCTATGTACAGCTACAGTGCAGCTATCCCTGAAGAACTTGGTTTCACCAAGGGTGATGTCCTTGCTGTAATCCGCCTTCAAGACGATGGATGGTGGGAAGCCGAAGTCACCAACGGCCGAGGCCACCCAGGCCTGGTGCCGAGCAACTACCTGCAGATCATCTAGATGCTCAACCCACCTTCTTAACGAACCGCCATGACCCTCGCAATCTCTCGTCCTGACGGAACACCTTTCTTACTTTCACGCTCATGCACTCACGTAGATACCACATGCCTTTCTCCGAAGCCTTTTTGCACATTCACGATCCTTGTCTCAACCCATTCGATTCTTCTCTATTCGGCGCTGTACCTGCGCATTGATTTTATCCACTGTTTTTCTCACTGGGCAAGCTGTTCAATGTTTTCGATGTTCCGTCCAACGGATGATTTTTTTCTGGGGCGTAACGTGCTTGTGGTTTTCAACTAGTGATTTGGTGCTGTCTTCTTTCTTCTGTCTGTACGTTTTTTGTTGGAAGATCCGTTCGAGGGAAATTGCACGACGAACGAACGATCTATGGTCATGTACACTGCTATGACTCTCATGGTCAAGGCCATACGTCTCTTTTCCCATTTCTTTAATTTTATGACGCCTTTCCTCCCTCCGATCAGTTTACTCATCGGTACCAGATACAATAATCCCCCTGCCATCGTAATCTCAGGAAACCAGTCCATGTAGAATTATCTCTGCCCTCAATAGAACCAAGTCTTAACGTGAGTGCATGGTTTCACACCCATGGTCACTCACGTGGCGCAGGCGGAATCCCATCGGCCAGGCCGTCGAGCACTGCAGCGGTGCTTGACTAAATGCTTCAATAGACATTTTCCGTATAGGCCGCAAATCGACCACAAAGCTGTGCTTCATCCACTTCTCGCATCCACTGTCGTATCTCTCTGTAAACCCTTCGGATATCAGTATCCAGTCATACTTTTCATTACAAGCAATTACATATTGAGTGACTTTGCCTGTTTCCATATCACCCAAGAGCGGATGGTGTCAAAACTGCCGCCCACTGATCTATCCAGTCGACTTGCCAACTCGGCGCATCGCTCCAAGATTGGACTGATAATCTAGCACCTCGTATACAATGGCTTGAGGAAAACTACAAACCTACAAATCCCATTTGAGATCGGCGTCAAGATCGCAAGTACGGTGCAGGATCTCTAGTCACCGAAGGTGTGGCAGGCACTTGTGATCCTCGATCTCGATTCCAGTTATACATTTATAGATGAAGGGTGATTCGGAAGCGCTGTGGGTGGGTGGCACAATGTCTGGCAATCAAACATTGCAGACCATAAGGTCCAAATATCCATTAAAGTAGCCACAGAGCTAGCACTCATTGCCACGAAGGTGAAAATCAAACAAGTATCAAAAGTATGAACAGAAGTAGTAGCAGCAAGAGTATCCATCGAACTTATTAAGTAGTGGTAGACGAGGGGTATATTGAAAAGGAGCACGCTTCTCCTCGGCGAAAATTTCAATTACACGCAAAGTCCAGAGAGATAACGGCCGGCATTGTTTATTCATTATCTACGAATGAATTAGCCAAGCGACCGAAGAATGGGACTTCGAAGTGGTCGAGCGTGTCAACTGTAGACGTAAAATATCAGCTATAAGAGTCGTGATTGATGGTAGTTCGCAGCATATGGTGTACGACTCACCGTCTAGATAAGCACGCATACTAAGACTTCCCATGAGGGCCAGGTCAATGATAAAGAGAGTCCAGGAGATGTAACTACTCCAGGCAAAGATGAGGTGAATTATCTATGTTGCATTAGTCGAAGATCCCTCTTGGTGTATCGAACAGTTGACTCACGAAGATGACCGCAAATAGCATGCTTGACTGCCATGCGTGGAATCTGTAGCGGAGCATTAATCATTCCATGTCCCTCAATCGACGCAGGGTGTCTAAAGTCAGGTACATACCGCACATAGTCACTCTTGTGTTCAGCCAGCAGCAAAAACAAGCCTCCCGCTGGAGGTAGAAGCAAGTATGCCAGGGCAGCTTCCACATCCATGCGGATAGGGAGGCTAGTCTCAAAGGCACCCAAGCTCGCGCGACCGCCCTCCAAATCACGTCCATAGCCTCCGTTGCCATGTCCACCTCCAGCAAAGTGGCTTGGGGATGGCAAGTCGGCCGACGCCCGCGGCGACCGGAGGGCGGGAGATTTGACGCGACCATCCAAAGTCGGAGGGGACAGCGCCCGCTCAATCTCAGGAGATTCGTCCTGGTAAGGGGCGAAGTTCATGATGAGGGCTGGGCGAAGAGTTGAGCCGACGAGAGCTAAGCCGGGGAAACTTGTCGACTATTTGGGGGAAGCTCCTTATCCTCGTTATCGTCCGTTCCTTATCGTGCGGGTCGCGTGTCCGCGCCTTTCTGCCTCAGGCATTAATTTATTTATATTCGCGATATTTAGTTGAGATTTGATATGCAAGTACTTCAGTATTTGGGTATCATCTTCATTGGGCGCGTGGTGTTTCTATTCTCCAAAGTGAAAAGAGTATCATACATAGAGATCTCATGAATTCAAGCCTTGCCCCGGCCTCGTGCAATCCCACTTCCACGTGCGATCCCACTGGCCGGTCGTCGAGTGGTTGTAGTGGATGACCCTCTCGTAGCTGCTGTGCGGCTGGTGCTCACACTCGGAGTCCTGCCCAGTCCAGTACTGCGCACCGTGCCACGACTAGTACCACGACCTCCACGACCAGTGGCAATCCGTCGCCTTTCTTCCTCCTCGGCCTTTCGAAGTGCTGCTTCCCGCTGCTGCTGAAGTGCTTGCTCACGCCGCTCGGCCGCTTGCTGTCTCTGAATCGCCTCGTTCTCCATGTCGGCGACGTCTTGTGTGGCACCTTGCCAGTTTGGATTTAGGATGAGGCGCTGATTATGCTCGGTTTGGGACAGGATTCGGGTCCAAGTGTTTAGAAGTGTCGATGCAGATGCGACTGTCTTCGACACGGTCTGTAGAGAGGACTTGTCAGTTTTTCTGCAGCTCAGTGCACGCGCGTGCCGGGTGGCCAAGACAGACCTCCATGTTACCCTTCGCCTTGTCAATGCTGTTGAGCAGGCCTTCAATGACCTCATTGATGTTCCGCACGGCATGTAGCTCATGCTGTAAGGCTGCCTCGCGGGCCTCTTGGCGATCAAAAAGAGTGTCGCCCCCCTCATGGGCTTGTTGAGGCTCCGGTGCAGGCATCTCATCGGACATTCGAGGTTGGACTCGTTTATGTGATGCTCGCTTTGATGGGGAGTTCCAGAGATCTTCCGTGTCTTCGTCTGAAAGCTGGAGTCGCTCCATTTCTTCGGCGGTGTTTCGAACAGCCATTGCGTCGAGGTGGGTGGCGTTAATCGTGGTCTCGGCACATATAATGCAGACAATGTCCGGTACTCCCTATACAAGCAACCGACCCATATAAGTGCACCCAAATCCGGGGCGATCAAATCAGGAAGTGCGTCAACAAACGATACGCGGAACTAGCGAACCGCGGGGCGGGAAGTCTAATCGCCAACGCGGTACCGACTGGGGGGCGGTGAAACATTTGAGGTGGCTGGGCTCCAGGCATGCCGCCCTTCCAAGGGACCTCACCCTTCTTTCACTTCTTCCTCTCTGCATCGCGTTGCAACTGATTGCTTCGATAATTGTGTTGAAAGAACCGCTATCTCCCAACTGTTATTGATCCGTTCTCTTCGACTGGATTTGTTTTGCTCGTCTTCCGATCAAGTACCTTTGCGCCCTTGTTTCGCCCAGTGTCAAGCCAATCGACAACCAAAGCTGTTTCGATTGCCAAACAGCATCGCTTCTCTTGAAGGTCCTCAAAGGCTGGACATTTGAATCGCCATAAAGCTCTGAATCTTCTCGTCAAGCGCGATCAATCATAATGGCGACGACTCCCCCGCCGCGCCTGCAGACTCCCCCGCCAGACTCGCCGTCTAACCTGCGAGTCCCCTCTGCGCCACTCCATGGGGCCAAATACGACCACTATGAAGCATATGCGCCTCGATTTTCAGCTAGAATAGCAAGTCAGCGTGCGGCCAGGTCAATGGAAAGAACGCCTGAACCAGTCTGCCCGGGCTCGCCCAGCAAGATGCGATCTCGAGGGTCACCGAGGAAGTACCCAAGAGTTGATGGGGAGACAGATCAGAGTTGGAAGTCAATTGGAAAAGAAGCCTTTGGACAGCAATCCGACTCTTCGCTATCGACAAGCGAGCCTAACTCTGAATTTTCCAGATATGCTCAACGTCTGCCTACTTCTGCCTCTCATCGTCACCCTTCTTCGTTCTCTCACCCTCGCCCCGCCGCGACTCAGGCCTTGCCGACCCCTGCTAAAACCCCGTCTAAGCGAACGATTCAAGGTGATTTAACATCTACCTCTCGCACTCTCTTCCCATCAACCGGCAAGATGTCATCCAAGAAGCCATCACCATTCTCGCTGGAGAGCTTTGAGACCTCTTCCTCTAACGAGATTCAAATCTTCACCGACTCCCGTGATCGTATCCCCACTTCTGGTCCTACAACCGGCAACCCATTTTCTTCACAGGCGGACTCTGTCAAGGCCTCCAGTCCTATTAAGAAGGGTAAGAAGGCTACTGCTCGAACGCCTGGAAATGTCGAAAGTATCAGCTCGCAGCGTACCTCGGTAATCACTCCCAGGTGAGTTTATTGAATTCCCCCTCCCTCTGTGAATATCTATGGATCTAACTTTTTCCCTCCAGACGCCGCCACCAGAGTTCTACAAATGAGGATGACCCCTCGCCCAATTTGGAGGAAGGGATTACCATGATCTTGTAAGTATTTTCACTTACCTCACTCCTTCCCACTCTGAACTTTCTCTAACGACGTTATATGTAGCCGTGGTAAGAAGGTCTTCACCAAGTTCACAGACCTGGATGAGGAGGACGACGATGAGGATGAACTGGGTCTGTTCGCTTCCCGACCGGACCTTCTAGCAGCCAACCCAGACATCCTGCAACGGACCAAGCCTCTCACTCGCAGCTCCATCAAGCCCCGTGTCCTCTTCCCGGCTGCAACCAAGCACAGTGCCCCCATTGAGGAAGAGGATGCTACCGACGAGGAAGATGCCGAGGTGGCCGAGGCCCAGATTCCTGAGGCCCAGATCCCTCTTACTACCACCGAGACACCCGCAGTCACGCCAAAGTCGCCGCAAGCGCCTCAAGCTCCTGGCTCGTCCCGTCTTCTGCGATCCAACGCTCGTTTCGCCCAGGATGAGCAGACCCCGACAGGTACGAATGCTGCCGCCAAGCGGAAGCGTATCAGCCCATTTGATCAGTGGCTGCGAAAGAAGCAGGCTATTGAGGAATCATCCTCCCCTGCCCCATCTACAAAGCGTGAGGCTGATATTTCGGGTGAATCCCCGTTGACCCCACCGTCTGCCAAGAAGACTCGGACCACTCGGGCAGGCCCTTCAACTGCATCTTCGACTTAGTCTTCTTTCTGTCCTCACTACTACACTCACAATAGTCAAAGTGATGACCCCGTTGTCTTGCAACGATTTTCCATTGGCATGGTGCCTCGGTCAGCGACTTATTGCGTCGTCGTTTTCTCTCTCCCGGCCTGCTGCTTTGAATGCTGGATGCACGACAATTCTTTTTCAAGCAGCTGCCATCCTGCTTATTGCCATCCACATTCTCTGTGGCGTCATTGTCTTTTTCCTTTGGCTCTCCCTTTTTCATTATTTTTATTCCCCTTTTCTAGCGATTTAATGTTCACCCTGGCCATGACATGCGTATCTTTCCGAGCACTGGACTCTTCTGCTTCGACTTGGCGCGTGGATTTGAATATGGGGAAATCAGGATACCAGGTCTCGTGTGTTTTCTGAGTATGGGTTTAGGGAGTTTGGATCTGCTTTTTTGGTATTTTGTTTTCGGTTTCTGGTCTTCTTTACTGCATTTTTGTCCTGTCGTTAGCATGTCCTCCCCTGGCTCTATGGGATTGTAATCCGGGCATAAGTGGTTAGAGGAAGAAGCTAGCGGTTCCGCTGACCTGTCGATGAATTGAATGCACTCAAATGATGAACAATTTTGTCTTCGAAATGTAAAGATCAGGCCCCTTGGCGAGTCTAGTAGTGTGGTAGTATAACTTATGACTGATCAAAACGCGACGAGGTCGTATTTCCCCGCTTTTAGGTTAGTGGAAAGATCCACCAGAACACCATCAGCAACTGCGAGTACACCTTCTTTCTTTCACAGATTCTCGAGTATTATGAGACATGGCTACAGAGCAAGCTATCCTCGCTGATCCCAGGCTTGCTGGCCCACCCTCAGTCTCTCGGAGTGACGAGATACCCCTCCCGTCTACCCCAGTAACTCCAAGATCCGAGGATGACACTCCTCCGCTACATGCCGTCAACGCCGCCCTCCGATGGAACGGATCAAAGACTATGGTATGGAGGGTTCTGGCAACATTCTGGTGTGCATTTGTGATGGGCTCCAACGATGCTGCATATGGATCTATCATTCCTTACGTTTGTACTCCGTACTACCTTCATAGATAATTTCACCAGGAAAAATAAACATTACTAATCGGGATTCTCAATCATCGTCTAGCTCGAGCTTTCCTACCAGAAGAACTATACGGTTATTTCACTAGTGTTTTTGTCGCCATTCTTGGGCTACACTGTGTCTGCTATTCTAAGTAACCTGATTCATCAACGTCTCGGCCGTCGAGGGGTGGCATTTATCGGCCCAGCATGCCATGTACTGGCCTTTGCAGTCATATCGACTAACCCGCCATTTCCAGTCCTGGTGATCATGTATATCTTTGTTGGACTGGGAAGTGGTATTCAAAATGCAGGGTGGAACGTGTGGATCAGTAGTCTGGCAAACTCCCACGAGGTTCTTGGATGTTTCCACGGGTTTTACGGAGTGGGTGCTACAGTTAGTCCTCTCGTTGCGACAACCCTAATCACGAAAGCCGGCTGGGAGTGGAACGCGTACTATTATCTGCTGGTACGTATCACGGCCTTCGATCGTGGGCCATGTAGTTTCTGGATATTGCAATAGCTGATGAGAATCCCAAGACTGGAGCCGCGGTGCTTGAACTCATCAATGCCATCAGCGCCTTCTGGACGGAAACAGGCTCAAAGTATCAACAGGATCATCCATCTGCCCCAGGCAGAGAAGGAGGTGGATCTCTCAACCAGACCAGAGTGTCGCTCACCTACAGAGTTACCTGGGTATGCGCCATCTTCCTCTTCCTCTACGGGGGCTGCGAAGTTGCCATCGGGGGATGGATCGTCGTGTTCATGACAAACGTTCGCCACGGTAGTCCCTTTGCGTCCGGTATGGCTGAAACAGGCTTCTGGCTCGGTGTCACGGTTGGCCGGTTCGTGCTGGGATTTGTCTCTCCTCGCATTGGAGAGAAACTCTCCATTATCGTATACATTGTTCTTGCTATCGCCCTGGAATTGATTTTCTGGCTGGTTCCTGATTTCAGCGTATCGGCGGTAGCAGTTGCACTGGTTGGGTTTTTCCTGGGGACTATTTTCCCAGGCGTTGTGGTCGTTGCTACTCGGATGTTGCCCAAACATCTGCATGTGGCGGCTATTGGATTTGCGGCTGCGTTTTCTATGGGTGGAGGAGCTGTCTTTCCTTTCATGATCGGTGCCATCGCACAGGCCAAGGGCGTATCTGTGTTGCAACCCATTTTGCTAGCGATGTTGGCCGTGGCTCTGATGATTTGGGGAACGCTGCTTCGGGCTCCATCGCAACAGTTACAGCATCAAGTTTGATCAGCGATTAGCAATATAAACATGTGTGAAAGAGAAGGGAGGGTGAGGTTGGGTGCCATGGTAGATTGAAGGGGCCAATGTTTGCACACAACGTAGAATATTAGATATCTGTAAAGGCGCTGTTGGTCAAGTGAAAAGCGCCAAGAAATTTCAAGGCATGCTGGTTTTATTGATCTATGCCTAGTGGAGTGCGAGTCAGATACCTGCTCGAATAGCATAACAAAGGAAATTCGTATCATGCAAGGTGACTTTTTTGTTGTGTCGTAAAAACCATCATAGAACAACCGGTCCAGGGGACTGGGTGCCGGTAAGACCAACACCAGGTGGTATCTCAAACAATGCAATTAAATCAATTCCAAGTCATCTTCTTCATCATCGTCCGACAGTATTCGTCGCCCGGGTGTAGCATCCCCACCCAAGCTATCTCGACCGGCTTCTCTGATTCCTTTAGAGGTGATAAACCGGGTCTTCTTGACACCACTGCCATGAGGTTTGTCACCATCATGAGCTCGTTTCATAGGGCTGAGGCGAACATTGTTAGCCTTGCCATAGGTGACAAAGTTCAAACTCTGACTCGAGGGTAATGCCTTCGGGGTTGATGGAGTCCCCGGTATTTTCTCCTTGCTTTCACCATCGGCTGGGTTTTCATTGGCAGTGCGCGTCCGGAGATAATCTGCACCGACACCACCCGAGCGGCCAGCAACAAGTTTTCGAGTGATATCACGCTCACGCTGCTGAGCTGCCAGGCGTCTTCTCATTCGTTCTTCCTTGTTCTCCATGCCACGGCCCATCATGCCAGCCGCAATGAAAGGATCGTCGTTGGCATCCAACAGCCTTGCGGCCGAGTGTCCTGCAGCGGGATTGAATGAGACGCGATCGGCTCCCCCATTCCTGGGTCCAGGAGCGACGTAGTAGACAGATTGGGTGCCCATGTGATACTGGGCACCCTCTGCCTTCAATTTGCCATCTGACCTGGATCCATCTGAGCCTTCAAAGCGCGAACCTCGACCACGGCCTTTCGACTCTTGCCAAACGCCAGTACGGGAGCCCAATTTGCCGCCTGCACCGAACATACCCGTACCGCTGTTGACACCAGAACGCGCACCCTGAGTGCGGCGCACTTGAAGATCCACATGGAAATCACAAAATTCGGTCTTTCGAGCATCCACCCAAGACTCGCATGTTTTCCCATCCTTTCTGACAGACTTGCAAAAGCCAATATCTTGGGATTTTCCTATCTCGAGAACCTTGTCATCCGACGAGGACAAAGCCAAACTGAACCGATTGGTATCAAGCTTATGCCTGGGGGGAGGCATGATAGTTGGGTTCAAGATCGCGACGAGAGTGCCCTCTGATATTTTGTAGTATCGAGGAAATGCTGTATCGAAAAGGAACAAGTCAATGGTCCACTCAAGATCGGTCAATGTCATGACCATGTAGCTGTTGGTATTATTCATCCCATCATCATAAGGGTCGGCTGTCTTGGTGGTAGTCTTTCCTGAATCCTTGGTCTGCTTGGTATCAGACTTCGACGCGACAATTCCAAATACCACAAAGTCCCCATCTATTTCTTCTGGGAGTTCAAAAGCAGGGGCTTTGACTGTCTTGAGTAGATCAGGGATCTTGAGAGTTGTCTTATCGGCCAGACTGCGGCTCAAGAATGAGTGTGGAAGGATGCGATTCGACAGATGGAGCCCAGAATAAGACTCGAATTTGGACGGGTCTGGTGTGCTTCCTCTTTGTTCAGTTCCGTCAGACGTCTTATCTGATGAGGCTTTGGTAAGGCCTTTACTGTTTTTGACGTTGGGTGTTGTTTGGCTGCGCTTTATCATGCCAGAATGAGATGTTCCCATAGATCTGAGGATATCCTCACGACTGAAACTTGGCGCTTGCGGCGCTCGACTCAGAGAAGACGGGGTCGAAGGCTGTTCTTTTGCAGCCGCCGTCTTGAACGCCTCAATTTCGGAACTATCCACTTGGAAGCCTGAGCTTCGGCCTGCCTTGACTCTCTCCGCCTTCTCAGCCTTCTCCATACGGAGCTTCTCAGCCGCTCGGCCTTCAGCCATTCGCTCGCTGAAACTTTTGATCCGATTCAAACCTCCACTGCTCGGTGAGGTCTGGGGTCTTCCTGAGAACACATCACTTGATCGCAACATGGCATTGCTTCGAGTTCCGAGTTGACTCGTTGGTCGCGGGGGCCGTTTGAGAGAGACATCGGCAGCTGTCCAACCCTTGTCAATGCCCATCTTGTATCTCTGTGGGGACCATGGTGCCGGAGCGGGATCTTCTCGTCGCGTTGGCGATAATGGTACTTGAACACTATCCGTTGGTGCCTTGCGTGACACTGCTTGGGGGCTTTTAGGGATCAAGGTGTGACTCTGGGACCGTATGATACCAGAAGAAGGACGCACGCGCCTCTCCTCCCCATCTTCTGTGTGTGAGCTTGCAGTCCCGGATCTACCTCGACTCTTTTGTAGCTGCTTCAACTTGAGGCGAGCCTGTATCTCCGCGAGCTTCAGCTGCAGCGTCTCTTCGTCTTCTTCGCTGTCGTCTTCATCTAAGCCCTCGTCCAGAATTTGATCGGCTTTCGATCGGAAGTTGGGTGTTGTGTTGGAGCGTTTCAATGGGGAGGAAAGCAGCTGTCGGCGCTGTTGCATGTCTTCGTATTTCCTTCGTCCTCCCGGCGAGCTGAGGAGGGCATCGCGGGGAGATTTCGGCGGCCATGCAGGGTCCGCCACTAGCGGAGAGATCAGGAATCGCATACCCAGGCCACTGCCATGACAAAAACACTCACTGGTAGCTTGCAATCAAGGGATCAATCAAGAATCGACATCAACATGAGGCGGCATTCCCAGCTGCTTCAGCCGCCCCGCGGGCTGTATGTCAAGACTTGGTCACGGCGAAAAGAGCGGGAGGTTTGTTGATAAAAGAGAAATAAGAAAATAGAAAATCCCCAACGCTGACGATGCAAGAAATGCTACGAATGCGCAACAGTTTCAGGCCGCGAGGACGCAGGTCGCACGGGATGTGAGATGTGAGAGATCACCTGCATGGCTTGGCCCGCACATGATTCCCGCTAGGCGCGTCCAGGCGCGTCCTCGCGATTTCCCTTTTAAATCCACTCGGCTTCACCTGCTTCGCCAGATCACCAATCTGTCGCCAAAATGCCCCGCACTCGCTCTGCTGCTCCCCCGGCGAAGTCTGTATCTGCTCTTGGGCAGCAGACAAAAACATTGACCCCAGCGGAAAAGCCCAGCAAGACCTTTATCCTTCCGTCCAATACCAGCGCCAACGCGCGTCTACTCTCCCTGCCGAACCCGCAGTCCGGCGAGCTATCTCGCTACTTCTTCTGCCCAGAACGTGGGATCTTCGAGTTCACAGTTGTCGCATCGCCCGCATCAGCCCCTCGCAGTATTCTGTTCACCCCTAAGCACCAATTGACCAAGTCCGCGTCAAAAGATGAGAACTCGCCCGCGACGCCGTCAATCGCCAAGAAGGCTGAATTGCTGGTCGCAACACCTATAGATGCAGTCTTCTTCCTGGTCCCCCTTCTTTCATCCTCCTCGAAGACCGGACAGTCGCTTTTTCAGCCGCTGGACGACGTAATTGACTCGAATGATGACCTACACCCACACTTCCGATATGTCCTCTACGACGAAACATTCCGCAAAACACTGCTCGCTCGCGCCGAAGCCGTCTGTGATACTGTGGAGGCTGGTGATGAAAACATGTTCCGCTTCAGCGAGACTAAGCTTCTCAAGGAATTGCTTGCCAAGGCAGAGCAGATGGCCGCACAAGGGCTACCTGCTAGTCTGGAGGAGCGTTTCATCCGTCAGGCATTGGCGGCTCCATTGATGTCAGTCAAGCGTGACGATGCCTTGACAAATCAGGGCTCAAAGGATAGCGAGGTCAGCCCAGGCGAATCGGATGAGCGATCGGACTCGCCGTCAACCATGGCCACTACTGCGACTCCTTCAGTATCGACACCTGCTGGTGAAACTACTCCTATACCTCAGCCTGGCGATGACGAGTCAGATGACATCCGTCGCTTGCAGCGAATTTCTATTTCCTTGTCCTTCATGAAGGAATCTTATCTGTCGTCTTCTCTATCATCTCGAATCGATGAAATGCTCGCCTCCCAGGATTCACCTTTGGATCTCAAGCCTCTGACCGAGCGTCTCAAGGAGCTTGCCACTCTACGGGCCGAAGCCATAGCTTCACGGGGCGTGTCTGATTTCAGCCGCAAGCGTGGGTTGGATGACGAAGACGTTGAGGATCGGGCTGAGAAGAAGCGGCGAAAGGAGGAAGAGGAGAAGAAAGCCAAGGCATCTGAGTCTCGAGGGGTGCGTGACCTGAAGAAGGTGAATACGATTGGTATGAAGAAAATGAGTGACTTCTTCGGAAAGGCTGCCGTTAAGAAGAAGACTTGATGAGTTTTTGGCAAACCGTCAGATTTTCTGACACCCCTTGATCCGATTGAAAGGTTCCAGTAAGGGACGTACAGTTCTCGACAACTCCAGTCCCAATGGCCTGACTCTTCATGGGGCTCCCGAATAAAGCCAAACATTGCTTTCGAGGACCGCTTCAACTTGTTCCTTCTACAAGTGGCCACCTCTACAGGTACCAAGCTCTGTGAGGCTCAGCTGGAAGCCATGCATACTTACCAATATGCAAACGCTCCTGTTTCTACATCGAGTAAATGATGATATCTCATGGGCCGATTGAAGGCACTTTCAGAACTTGAATGTTTCTAGAACATTTATACATGAGGATCCCACCCCATCGGGTTCATTATATCAAGATCTCACAGAGCAAGCTGGTCAATAGCAGCACCGAAAATCCTATAATCAAATTAGCTCAACTTCGTCCCTTCATCATGTTGTAGACATCACGTACACAAAAGAGCCATTCGAGGGCTTGCTAATCACCATGGCCTGCTTCAGCTTCTCCTCGCTCATATCAGGGAACTTCTTGAGGTAGTACTCGTTCCGCAGTGCAGTCGTAACAGCCTCCACCTTACCCTGAGGCAGCATGTGCACAGTGCAGCCACCCCAACCCGCACCAGTCAACCGGCTACCCCATGTACCCGCGCGGCGGGCAATGGCACAAATCTCATCAACTTCGGGAGCACTGCAGTCATAAGAGGTACGGCACGACTCCTGCGACTCGTTCAGCAGCTGGCCAAGGTAGCGAATTCGCTTGTCATCGAGCTGGGACGCCTTGGCCAGGCAGGCCTTGAAGTCCAACACACGGCGAGCCTCCTTGTACACATGCAGCGCACGCTGGCGCAGGAGGAACCGCTCCGCCTGAACGGGGAAAGAAGACAAGAACTTGGACTCTAGCTCGGCGACGCTAATTTCCAGTAGCTTGGCCATCTCCTCGCGAGTGTAGCCCTCTTCCTTGGTGAGTACGTCCTGGACTGCCTGGATGACGGAGTCGATCTGGTACTCCAGCGGGTCGTGCAGGCGCTCTTCCTTGGTCATTAGTTGTTCATGGAAGTTGCGGAGGCTGTAGCCCAGCGAACTGTTGTCCTTGGGCAGGGTCAGACCGAAGCTTGCGGCTAGAATCACCGCGGCCAGGGTGACCTCGGCTACGCGCAGGTTGTAGTGTCGTGGGGCGGTCTCGGCTTTGTTAGAAGTGACGAAGCTCTGGGCCATGAGGAAGGTGATTTCGTCGGTGGCCTTGGGTATCGGGATGTGTTGGGCCCTGAACTGGGGGAAGAATTGGGTGTATAGGAGGAAGCCGCGCTTCGAGAAGATGGAGGCAGCCTGGTCCATACTATGGGTAGAGATGAACATCTTGGCGTTAGCGAGGGTTCGTTGAAAAGGGTTGTGCCATTTATATGTTTGGGGAGGGAAAAGAATAATCACCCGCCAGAGTAGACACCGACAGCACGCTCAGAAACAACGGCGAGATCCAACAGATCCTGCTTCGACACGTTGTGGTTGTTGGCCTTCATGACGGCGAGGGCACTAGCGCACACGAAGGCGGCGCTGCTGGAAATACCACCACCCGGGGGCACATTGCCATCCACCAGGATCTCCATGCTCACAGGGACCAGCGAGCCCGCATTCTCCTTGCGCAAGAACTTCAATGCGCCGAGCAGACCGGCCTTGAAGTAGTTCACCCACTCGTGCTTCTTAGGGTCGATTTCGATATCAGTGTCGTGAGGGACGCTGAACTCGCGCGCGGGGAATTTTTCCGGTGCGACATTGGCAATCTTGACGGTCGTTCCGGAGGGGCCAGCGGGGACGACCTTGACGGCCATGATCACATCAACGCTGACGGCGGTCGGGAGGACATCGTAGAGGGAGTAGTCGATGTGCTCGCCAATGATGTTGACACGGCCGGGGCTGCGCGCCACGAAGTCGGGGCGGTGGTTGTACTCCTTGTCAAACTTGGTAATGAGATTGGTCCAGCGCTGCTGGTGCTCCGGGGCAACCGAGTTCACAGAGGCATCGTCGGTCGCGTAGACCTCCGTGATCGATTCTGTTTGCGGGACGAGCTCCTGCGAGGCAGACATGGCGGGGTGCAGGGTCTTGACTATTTCTTTTTTATGGCGGGGCAGAGAGGGAGGTGGGAGACAGAGAAAATAAAAAGAAAGTTGATGGTAAGAGTGACAATGGATTTGTTAGAGAAAAGAAAAAAAGAAAGTCCAAGTGATGTCAACCAAGCCCCAGGTTTAAGAAATTCCCGTCAACCCCGGGTAAATGCATTTGGTGGGGGCGGCGGAGCTGGCTTTTGCGATGTTTCATGGCCCGGTGTCCCTCCTTTGCAGTGTAGCCTTTGCGAGGGGGTCCTGGCTTGGGCCCCGTGGAGTCCTATCAAAGTTGATGACGAAATATATATCAGGTACGGGCCATTTGCATTCTCCATGATTGCAATGGTCATATTCTGCCAATGTAGTGATCGCTACGTGATCTGCCACATTGTATATGCTACAACCGGGTACAGATAACCCGATGCCCCGCGTCCGCATTTAGGGTAAGAAAGCCCGTGGCCCTCGTGGCGTCTACGGGGACTATAGGGAGGAGAAGGCCGTAACCATTTGTCCGCAATTTAGGAATCGGCAGAATCTCATTGTCAGGCATTCTTTTCCCCATATAATCTACGCATATCCTATATATACCCTTTGTTAAGTGCAATTTCCCGTACCGAAACAATCGAAATCGATTCAGATTATATGACTAATGACTTTACTGGAGCTAGAATGTTGATATAATCGTAATCTGTAACCTGATGTTGAGTCCTCTTACGGCCTAACGTCTTCACCTAGTCCTATTAATTATTACGATCGTAAATAAGATAGAGGAATAGTTTCCTAGACAGCTTCCTAGACAGCTTCCTAGATAGCTTTATAGACAGTTTCCTAGATGGTTTTCTAGACGGTTTCTAAGCGATTTTCTAGACGGGGTTTTAGACGGTTTCCTAGACGCATTTTGGACGATTTCCTAGTTAATCTCTACGTTGATCTCCTAGCGACGTAGCAAGCATGAAAGGTATGTAGGGTGGAAAAAAAGCGGTGAATGGTCTTTGAAGAAATCCAGGGTTATGGCTTATGGCCTTCTCCCCCCTATAGTCCGCCGTAGGCGTCAGTCGCGCTCTGAGAGATGAACCTTCCATTGGCAGGAGAGAATAATTGAAAGCCCAGCCCAGGACGAGAACGGCCCTAGACAACGTCAATTTCGAGGCTTCAGGGATCCTGACATTCGAGTTCAAAGGAAGATAATGATGTCCTATAGAGAAGGGGGATACCAGTTCACGGGCCGATTTGCAAGGGACCCGCCCGGCTTTCCGAGTTGTTCGTGTTCGGGATTTCCTGAGAACTTCGGCAAGAAAAAAATATATCCGCGTCGGCTACTATCGGCTCCCCAATGTTGGGGAGGGCGATCGCAAGGACCCGCAGATATCAGTGGCTAAGAAGCTGGAAGGTAGAGACTACGGGAGAGTTTAAAGTTGTGGGGATAGCTGGGGACAGTCTGTGCTTGTTGAGAACGAAGATGGGATGCAAAGTCGGTAGTTGGTAGTACTGTACGACGGATGAGGTGGAACTTCCCAAGCTGCCCACCAGCCTTTCCCCTGGATCTGTAAGTAGCCTGTAAGTAGCCTGAGAAATCAGAGACCACCGCAATCACATGACGAGTTTCCGGAGAGTCCAAGTGACTCCGAGAGTCGCCGAGGTCGGAGGTGCGGAGGCGATCTCGACCAATCAGCAACGTCGAATTCTTGACTCAGAGCGGTCGGTTGATTTGGGTTTAAGGCGTTTTTCGTCTCCCCCAGAGAGATTTACGGTAAGGGCCCATTGGATTCTTATTTTCCTTTCATTCGCCTCCCTTCTCAAGTGCTCAAGTGCTCAAGTGTTGCTGGGCTTCTGTCGGTCAGGATGATGCCTCTCAGACCGTCAAAGACCGCTCTGCGCGCCATTCACCTCCAGAGGCAGCTTGCCTCTGGTCGTCGGCCCTTCTCGACCTCGTTCGTGGCTTCGGCTGCTTCGCCCCACCGCTCTTCTCCCCAGAAGCGTGCTCAGAGTACCGTCACGGCGACTTCGTGAGTCCCTTTCAGATCTTTTCGTCTCGAATCGGTGTCTAATTGCAATCAACAGTGACACTAGGCCCGTGCCCAGCCCTGCTTTCAACCAAGAACCTCACCGCAATGAAATTTCGCCTCTGCAGAACCGCCAGCTCCCCGAGCTTGATGACTCGTAAGGGCTTCCCTGTTGAAGGATGGGTGACAAGAGATGGAACAAGGCTAATATATATCCAAATATAGGATGGTTGGTATGAGCGGTGGTGAGATCTTCCACGAGATGATGCTCCGCCTCGGCGTGAAGCAGATCTGTAAGTGATATGGGGTTTTTCTACTCTCCCTTTATCCTCCTCCGCTATGTCTATTTAGGTTTAGACGTTGGCTAACACAAGATTCAACTAGTCGGTTACCCCGGTGGTGCCATTCTCCCCGTGTTCGATGCCATCTACAACTCAGAACACTTCAACTTCGTCCTCCCCAAGCACGAACAAGGTGCCGGTCACATGGCCCAGGGTTACGCCCGTGCTTCTGGCAAGCCTGGTGTCGTTCTCGTCACCTCTGGCCCCGGTGCTACCAACGTCATTACTCCTTTGCAGGATGCCCTGTCTGATGGTACTCCCATGGTCGTCTTCTGTGGTCAGGTGCCCACCAGCGCCATTGGTACCGACTCCTTCCAAGAGGCCGATGTTATTGGTATCTCTCGTGCCTGCACCAAGTGGAACGTGATGGTCAAGTCCGTTGGTGAGCTGCCTCGCCGCATCCAGGAGGCCTTTGAGATCGCCACCAGCGGTCGCCCCGGTCCTGTCCTTGTCGATCTGCCCAAGGATGTCACCGCTGGCATTCTGCGCAACCCGATTCCCATGCGCAGCACTATCCCCTCTCTCCCCAGTGCTGCCACCGTGGCTGCTCGTGAGCTGAGCCGGAAGCAGCTCGAGAACACCATCAGCCGTGTGGCTCGTCTCGTCAACATGGCTGAGAAGCCCATTCTCTACGTTGGTCAGGGTCTTCTTGCTCGCCCCGATGGCCCTGAGATCCTCAAGGAGTTTGCTGAGAAGGCGAACATTCCCGTCACCACTACCCTCCAGGGTCTGGGTGGCTTTGACGAGCTGGACCCAAAGGCTCTGCACATGCTCGGCATGCACGGTTCCGCGTACGCCAACATGGCCATGCAGGAGGCCGATCTGATCATCGCCGTTGGTGCCCGTTTCGACGACCGTGTCACCCTTAGCATTCCGAAGTTTGCCCCCCAGGCAAAGGCCGCCGCTGCGGAGGGCCGTGGTGGTATCGTTCACTTCGAGATTATGCCCAAGAACATTAACAAGGTCGTCCAGGCTACTGAGGCTGTCGAGGGTGACTGCGCCGATAACCTCCGTCTGCTCCTGCCCCAGATTAAGGCCGTTGCTGAGCGTCCTGAGTGGTTCGCCCAGATCAACGACTGGAAGTCCCGCTTCCCTCTGTCCCTCTACGAGCGCCAGACCGCGGAGGGCACCATCAAGCCCCAGGCTGTCGTTGAGAAGCTGAGCGAACTCACCGCTCACATGAAGGACAAGACCATCATCACCACCGGTGTCGGTCAGCACCAGATGTGGGCTGCTCAACACTTCCGCTGGCGCCACCCTCGCACCATGATTACCTCTGGCGGTCTTGGTACTATGGGTTTCGGTCTTCCCTCGGCTATTGGTGCCAAGGTTGCCCGTCCAGACTGCCTGGTCATCGATATCGATGGCGACGCCTCCTTCAACATGACTCTGACCGAGCTTTCCACCGCTGCTCAGTTCGACATCGGTGTCAAGGTTCTCCTGCTGAACAACGAGGAGCAGGGCATGGTCACTCAATGGCAGAACCTGTTCTACGAGGACCGTTACTCTCATACCCACCAGCAGAACCCCGACTTCGTTCCCCTTGCCCGTTCCATGCGTGTCGCCGCCGAGCGTGTCTCTAAGCCCGCTGACCTTGAGGCTAAGCTGAAGTGGCTGATTGACCAGCCCGGCCCTGCCCTTCTTGAGGTCATCACTGCCCGCAAGGTCCCTGTCCTTCCCATGGTACCTTCCGGCCGTGGTCTCCACGAGTTCCTGGTTTACGACGAAGGTAAGCACATCCATCCGTCAATACTCGATACAACATACTAATTCTTTCATTAGCCAAGGAGGTTGAGCGCAAGGAGATGATGAAGAAGCGCAATGCCCCCACTGAAGTCAACCTGCGCGAGTAAATCCGCAACACGAGTGGCTGGACGGTATCCTAGCCACACACGAAGCCCATCCATCTTGACCGTCACTTATTTTTACCGTTGATATCCATGGCGTTTTCCTGGCGGGTCCACCAAAAGCGATTGGGAAAAAAAATCAATTAGTTGAACTCGACAATCCTCTTAGCACCAAAAACCACCGCCTTCCCCCTTCCCCTCCCTACAGACCGGTATGGCAAAAAGCTTCACTTCGGTAGTCTTGTGAAAGGGCTATCGACTGTTTGAGTGGGGACATGAAGCTCCCTGTTATGATGACCTGCATTTTGATCGTTTCGTCGTCTTCGGGTTCTCTCTGCATTCCAACTTTGCCGTCAATTTCTTTTCATTTCGTCCCGTGTGTATATAATGTTCATGTGTTTCTTTTTGAGTCATAGCTCGTGATGGGAGATGTGCCGTTTCGGATGCTATGTTATTGGAGCCAGTAGTCACTGAAGACATATCAAATTTTCACGCCACCTATTCTACCACTTGCTACTGAAATATCTGACAGAAGCCGAGATTCAAGTTCGAGTAAAGATGTAGTCAACCCCATGGTCCGATTTGCGGAGGATCATCGCGTAGATCCACCGCATTGGACATTATCTCATGCAAGCTAAGGAATAGCGTGCGGGGTCAGCTTTCTAGACATGCAAGTCGGGGAGGCCTGTGCCAAATCTCCTTTTGCATATTTTGCATGCTTTATGTATGTAAGGGCATGCAGCCCCTGTTCGAAGCTTTTAGAGTGGAAGGAGCGACGGTCGTTGATGGGACCAGAGTAAGCTACCAATGTGAATGAGGCTCAAATGGAGAGTCCCAAGCTAAGTGTTCCGACTACGGGAAGATCCCACCTCGACGACAAGATACCTCTTCTACTCAGCCATTGACTTGACTGAACCTATGAAATCACATACAAAGTTCCTGCCAGACTAAGGCTGCTAGCAGACACTTATATTGACAACCTGGAATGATATCTTCAAGCCTGATCTTCATTCTAGCTGGAAACTCAGCACTGGGTCTGATAATCGCAATTCCCAAGTGTAGAATATTTTAGTCATGGCTACACGACCCTAATACCAAATTCTCCCATCTGACCTTCTGGTAATGTAGTGTTGTAGATTGGGCATATCAATTAACGATTCTCTTAGTATACGTTCTACTTATTATGGGTGAGAATATCAATCAGCTTTCGGAGAGACCTCAAGCAGGCAGTAGTTGGCTGAGTGAGCAAAGCCCATACTGTCATTTGCTGACAGATAATTGCATCAAGTGAAAAAGCTTTGTTTTTGTCGCCTTACACAGTTTGAGTCCAGGATGGAGACAACAAGGTCGCGATTTCCTTGTGACAGGTGGAAACTTCCACAAATCTCCTGACCGTCTCCCCCCTTCATTACATTTTGCCAACCCTCTTCCTGTCAAACACCATTCATCTTCCACTATCACTCTTCGAAAGATTTGAAGAATCCCAGCAGACTCCTGTAAGCCTCCCCCCCTTTTGGGCTGTGTTCTGCCTTGCCGTACGCTCGAGACACAGCGACGGCATCCATCAATTGTATAGTCCGTCCGAGAACTCTTTATCTCAATCTAGAGCACTTCAATCCCTGTCAGATTATCCAAAGGTCACTAGAATGTGGGGGAACAAGTTTCTGACTGGATCATCGCGTACCAGCGAACGATTCTTCTGAGAAGATGGGAATGATACTCACCACTGAAACAGTCACGAGATCAACATGACGCTTGCATTGGTCAATCATTCTGTCCAGCAGGGCAGAGATAAGGAGCAAGGTATCGCGATGCTAACAGCATATCTTGAACAGCTTCACAGGCTTGCGGCTTCCTATGCTTTGCTGTTCGATGAGCGAGACCAGAAGGATCTTGATAAAGCTGGCTTTGAAGATGACTCAAAGCATGCAAGTAATACCTCTGTTGCCCAGAGTTTCCTTCTTCGTGTGTTGATAGTAGCAACTGTTGAAAATTCTCAAGGTGACGAGGCCAAAATTGTTGTCGTCTCGCTGGTCAGAAACAATCCTCAACAAAGATTTGGCTTTCTCCGCACAAGAAACCGGGTCAATGTTCTTCAATGTCGCGCAAAACATGGCATGTACCTCATCGGCAACTCGGAGACCTCCAATCACATCATCATATGGGCAAAGGTCATCGGATCTTTGCGCGAGGAAGGAAACAGTGGAGAAAATCGGGAAATTCAATCCTCCTGCTAACCAGATACACAGATTTGTGTCTCGTAGCCTGACGAATACCTACGCCTCTTCTTTTGAAGGCGGCTGCATTCTGTGTCGTAACAAAAGTGTCCCATGCGGTCAAACAAGACCTGCTTCAAGTGCGTCTCAAGAGATGAAGAAGGAGAGGTCCTGGTCAAAAATCCAACTGAAAACCCCGAACCACGTGAGTTTCCCTGTCTTTTGGCTTCCTCTGTCGTGTGGAAACGCTGAATCCAATTGTAGTCTTCTGCAAAAGGATAGGGAAACCCACGTTGCTCGGGGTTTTCAGTTGGATGTTTTGTCTTCACGTGCTACGCGACAGAACGCTTGAAATTCTGCAGCCTGTCATGCAATGTATCAGCAGCGTCATGGCCGGGCTTACTCTATCTGTTCACATAGTTGCGTGAACGCATGCAACGGCAAAGCCAATGGCTGGCCTGCCTACCAGAATGCGAGATATCCTGTGGTCATTCCCGATGAAACCTCCTGAGGGAGTTCTCTATGCAAGGACGCTGAAGAGGAAGGGAAAATTTGTCAATCTCTATGGATCTGGAAAATTTCTCTATCTGAGAAGAAACAGGAAAACAGGAGATGGCTATATAGCCATCGACTATCTCAACAAAACATAGATAGGAAGGAGACTTGGTCAAACAGTCAAACGGCCAAACGGCGACCTGCACAACTTCTATGCGAAGGGCAGCGGGAAGGCGCTGGTCCTGCCAGAAATTACCAAGACCGGAAGGGAGGAAACTCCATCGCCTCAGTGTGATCACTTCATAATACCGAGAGCATGGATGCTCATGTGGACATTAAGAAGCACCATTTCGTTGACGGACATGAAGAGTAAACAACGGGTTTTTGCTTCACTGCAGCCATTCTGAAGGGAGAGCGAGGGTGGCTTTAGAGTGTGTGCAGAATGCGTTGGCAAGGTCAGGAATCTTTGCAGTGCGTACCCGGGTCAGACGTCTGGGTTGAGAAGAGGTGGTTAGCGTCGAAAAGATGCTCAGTGAAGGCGAGGCACCTTATCCGCCGAAGTCACCAGTCAAGAATGTATGGCAGTGAGCATTGCCATGGCCAGGGATTTTCTCGGAACGGGACATTGGTACTACAATCGCAACGGTCATGTTCACCCTATATAGCTCCAACAGTATGAGGATAGTTGAGTTCTTGAACGCTGACACAAGGAACGGGCAAAAGATATATCAGGCATGCTTTTAGTAAGGCTGTCCTGTGATTGGATGGACCTGTGGTGGGGAGTAGCGTTGTACTACATTCTAAGGGGCTAGAAGGTAGATAGGCAGTGTAGCATCAACTTTTTCATTCATAGTCAAGTAAAGGACAGGAATGGTACTGCCTGATAATGAAATGTAGATTTCAAAAGGTGAGCTTAGGGCTCTTGGCATCCACGTGATCTTACTACAGATATCAGATTTAAGGTTAGCGTCCGCTGACCAAGCGCGAGATTTGGACCCTGGGAAGTCGGTTCCAAAGCGCTCGAACCACTTATTAGCATGTGGCGGGGGGAAAATCTCCATGCCATACGTCAGCATCGGCGTGTCAAATAATGGCGAGCCAAAAAGACTCATTTTCGATGAATCTGCAGACCGGAAGATCCCAAATGGATGGCGCTATATCTCACGAAGCTTCAAAATCCCCACAGTTCTTGTTTGTTGGTGGCCCGTCGCTGAGTCGAGGGGCCAACTCCAGATCTAGTAACACGCGCTCAGTTATAATTCGCCGGCGACTCTCCGAAAAGCGCAGTACACACCGGCAGAGGGAAGAAGTTAAGAGACAGGAATTGATCGCTCAACGTCAGGAACGCGCTGCATATCGATCGGTGCGTTGGTGTGCCTGCGATGGAACGGCCAGGGGCCAGGCCCAAAATCAGGTGGCTACCGATAGGCTCACAGTACCCCGGACACGAAAAAGTGATGGAACTGTTGCCGACATATGTGGCACCTGCGGATGGTTCCGAGTGGCCGACCAGGCGTATGGCAGCAACGCCCCGGCTCCATCTCTAAGCCCTGTCAATGGTAGGGCAGACCCTTTTTCATCTGTGGATCCATGCCTAGGTCCAGGTGTGGAGGATTTAGTTCAATTTGGTCAGTACAATCGGGTCCTGCATAGTTCACTGGCGTTTCTACACCTATTCTGACATAGGAAATCTAGCCCTCAAGAATATCTGGCCAAATTTCCGCCGTACAGATTACTCGAGGCGATGCTACCAATCATGGATCGTACCGAACCGCGAAAACAAACTTATTATATACTGTAATTTATGGGCTGGATCGTGTCATCGCGACGTTCTGCGTCTTAGCTATGGATCCGATCCAGTACTGGACATTAAGGACCAGTTATACTACAAGGGGCGAATTCTGAGTCTGCTGCGTGAGCATGTGACTGACTTTACTAAAGAAGAATGGCGAGATGGGATCATTATGGCGATTTTGTATCTGGCTGTCAATGAGACCGAAAGACGAGACCTTAGCCGTGATCCAAGCCCTTTCACGCCACCGTTTATGGATATGCAAATGCTTTCATTCTACGGGAGTCGGGACTATCACACCATGCATTGGGGTGTGATAGTGAATCTGCTCGGCCAACTGGGCGGGATCCAGTCTATCAAACTATTCGGCGTCGCTTGGCTGACCTCAATGTAAGTCATCTTGGTTCATTGTCTCTTGCCTTCCTAGGGACGTGAGAATATCTGCTGAGACTTCATATAGCTCGGATCTGATGAACGCGACCCATTCTCTAACTAAACCACTTTTCCCAATTGTGGACGTCGAGGGAAATGTGACGACCTTTCTACCACCCTTGCACGCTTTTCCCTTCCCGGGTGATCCATCCAGGCAGACAAAACTCGGCTTTAGGGTTTTGCTGTCCGCCCACCCACCGGTGAAAGATGCCATCGTGGACGTTTTCCTCCATCTAAGCCTATACTCTAGGATGGTACAACGGCGCTACGGTCAAGACCTTGAGCCATCAGATTGCGACCGTTTGGCTAATTTCCGCAATCAAGTCCATCACACCCTCTTCAGCCTGCCTGACGAGCAAGACCCCCCTGAAACAGTCTTTGATATGGGTGACTTATTCCCTGGCGACGTTTCTGTAACCCATGAGCTGTACCTTACCTGCCGATTGGCAGCGAAGCTGTATGCGACACACGTCACCTTTCCTGTGCCGCGATCTGCTTTGCTTCGCGCAATTATCCTTCCGCCTCTTGCCAGCAAGCTCGACCAAATAACGCAGAGCATCTCAAGTCTATTGATTTTATGGTGTGCGACCGTGGCGGCCATCGCGGCAGAAGAGACACCAGAAAACTGCCAATTGACTGAACTTGTCCAAGGCCTCTGTCAGCAGTTAAAGATCACATCATATAAATCGTTCATCAATATTTTGCAATCCTTTGCCTGGGTGGAAGTTGCATGCTCGGAGGGATGTTATCGCCTGTGGAAGAGATTGACGGTCGCTGGCTCGGGTGATCGCCTGTAGAGATAGATAGGAGACTCTATATGGCGTTGAGACTATTTGGGGGATCTGGTGGACCCGGACAACGGGGTTAGGATTGGCACTTTACATGTCACATGAGGTAGACAAATCTTAAACCAATTTACCTGATACAATCTGGGACTCGATTGGGAACTTCTTGGCAAGAGTTCTGGGTCTTTTTCTCACCTTCAAATTCATTACATTTTTCGAGTGGTTCCATTTCATCTTGAATCATCTTTCTGCCTGTAGTAAGCTGGTCCGCTTTTGGAACGGGCTAGTGACGGGCGATTAAAAGTTACTAAAGTTTTAGCGCATTCGATTCTCCACACAGGCTCTGCCGCGACGCTAGTCCTAATCGCGTACAATGTTGAAGTAATCTCATTGGCTGCAGGCTCCCATCGATTATGCAGTCTGGTTTGCTCTGTTGCGAAAAATTGACCTTCCGAACCAGCCCGTCTCGATAGTACAGTACAGTGTCCTCCAGATAATTTTGTTCAAGTGGAGAACCTGCCGCTAGCACAATATGGGGATAGATACCAGCTTGGAACGCCCCTAGGACTATCAATCAGCAATTTTCGAATTTTCATTACCCATGTTTGACGGAACAGCTAAGGTCTAAAATGGTTAGGGCTGACGATCCACTTAAACAATGGTCACTGTCAGATTAATTTTAAGAATGAGTCTTTTCCGCACTCTGTAAGCGCATGAGCATTACCAATTTCCTTTTTCGGGCTTTCCCTCGGTTCAGGGCAACGATACGCATTTAGCCGAGCGAGTAAAATTCATTTTGTAATACCGATCCGAAAATAATTGAGATATCCTTTGAAACTGAAAGACGCTGCCATAGCAAATTGCCACGTGGTAGAGAGAAACCTTGATCCCTGGCAGCGTAGTAAAATCGCTTATCCGATACCCAGTAGGTATAGAGAGAAAGCAAAGTTTCCAGATCCGTAAAAGCAAGAAAAGAATGGTGGCTTTCTTATCCACAATTAGTCCGAGTTCGCTCCTCTTATATGGGATTACAATATCATTTGACCATGTTACCGTTGGAGCACATGGCTGTAGTTACATATTGACCCTTTCCCGTTGGCTCGCTAATAATGGACTTTTCATCTACCCCCTCAGATGTGCCTACTCGCTTACATGTGTGATGCAAAATGTTGGATCATAAGAGTTCTGACATAAATCTGATCACACCTCCGGGATTCGGCCCGTCCGATCTCGCTGCAAAGTGGCGCTGTCTCGGTCAAAATCGGTAGACATGGGGGGGGGCTGGCTGGCCAAATTTACCCCACGATACCTTTGCTTGTCCCTCGCTCTCAGTTTCACACAGTCTGGACGTGACAAAGTTGATATCGCACCTATCGCGGTCTATGCAAAACTTCCAAGGTCAGAAGTCTCTAATTCCTCCTCGAAAAACATCCATTTCACAACTTGACTTCGGTTGAATTCATGTCTCTTATCTAATTGACACGCCTTCTGCCTGCAAGTATGGAGTAGTTCAACCTTAACGAACTAGGATATAGCACGTGCTTGAACCCTTGCATAACCCAAGGCGTGCCTAAGATCTCGGCTTAGGCCTTGGCCCGGCCGAGACCCGGGTTGAACCGCTCTGTCGGGACCGTCACGACATTCCCAATTCTGCATACTTGTCGGGAATCGGGGATAGATTAGTGTACCAGACTCCCAGTAATATTTCGGTCAGATTCCGCTCTCATCCGTTGATATTAAGATAATCAATCGGAAGCCGATTTTACAATGTGGGAGTCTGAAACAAGGCTTGAATTCAAATTTAACTAATCGTGTATAAAAACCTTAAGAAGAGACGTGCCGTGTTCGCCAAGTTCGTATGCTGAGGTCGGGGAAATGGTCCTATAGTTTCAGTCAGGAAGAGCAGTGCTATTACATGGATATGTATCGTACTGGTATTGGTATACAAGTTGACTAAAAATATAGTGCCACGACACTAAGTAACAGTGGTAAGGGCACCAAGTTATCGTTAGGGTGTACACTTAGATTTTTCGGAGGGACCACCGAACTTCAGGGTCTACTACACATACCATCATGGACATTCATTTCTAGACTAACCACAAAAGACTTCGTAAATGATGGTCTCGTTCATGCAACCTTATCGAGTTCTCCACGTGCAATTGCACGTTATTACTTAGATAATTCGTTACACTTCAAGATTTGCCTTGAATACAACCCTTAGCAAACATAAGGGAGCTCGCGAGGTGATTCGCCTCCTTCAAACACTATATAGCGCCTTTTGCAAGAGGCTCGATGGGTCTCGAGCCTGGTTCAGGCTTCGCAAATCGATGGTACGGTTGTGGGATACTATGGGGATCCGCGGTCGGTACTTAGAGGGCTGAGAAGAACAACCTTGGCAAAAATACCGATCATATGTAAGTGGATCGACAATACGAACTAAAAGGCCGGAGCGCGTTTGAAAGTACTGTACAGTGATTTTGAGTGTCACAATAGGTATCCAGCTTGCAATCACCTTTCCAAATGATAGAAATTTGCCATCTTCTCCTCATATGGTTTGAATGATTCCAGAAGGGCATCAGGAAAGGCATGATATATGAGTTTCGAGGCGTCCAACGCCGTTTCAAAGTGTTCTCTCCGACTTGACCAAATGTTTGCAGATCCTGATGCACAGATTTTAAGGTTGCTGCGCTCGTAGTGGCGACACGGCAATCTGAGATCTCTTCAGTGACCCACTTCAAATAGTACATACGTCAATGAACCCGTTCGAGTCTGGGGGCTTTAAATTTGCTGGTATCCTCGGTTGACATGAGAAGCAGCTTGTAATGCCTGACAGTTTGTGGCTTCGCTCGCCCACGAGCGTGGAAAGGACAACTAGCATCTCTGGCTAACCACGAGTTTCCCGATTTTCAGGCAACAGTCCCGTGGTACAGTCATTATCATAGTCCTTTACAGCACCCACTATGGCCTTGTCGATGATCTTGTAATGAGTTTATTCCGGACTTTGATAGACATCCTCGTTTATTCTAACGGTCCCACTCTGCTTTTCTACAATGACAATAGTTATTATAAGCACAATACGCATATTCTATAATGGAGATCTGAGATTCACAACATTGCAGGTCCCGAATATACCTGTCATCGAATGCGAACTGATCGCTAACATGTTCATTGTATAGGCGCGGTGTGTGTCCCTAAACTTAACGTGTCGAGCCATGGGGCCAACGGTGCATGTCACCCCCGTTTTTAGCTTCACCCTCAAATGGCGCTATACCATTTTGAGTAATATCTTTTCGTGTGCTGATTGGCCACATGCGCCATGGTAGTCTAACTCTTTTGGGAAACTCCACCTGAAGATGTTCACGCTCCGATTGGTGAAGATCCGATCCCTCCCGTTGGAACGACGGGTGCATATATTCGGGCAACGGAGGTCGTCACAAGAATGTATCATTGACTACGCGAGCTGGTAAGCTTATAAGAACCATTGTGTCCTTGGAGGTTAAATAACAGACAACTTCATCTGGATTTTCTCGCTTCATCCAGACTCACTTCTCAATTTTCAGTTTTCTCACAAAGCGTCGAGACTGACTTCCAACACCCCACCAGATACGATGGACATAATGGATCAATACTACTGGCATTCTCAGCGCACTGACTCTCTGCCATTGGAGTCACCCGAAATCCCGAGAGCAGAAGGCAACGATCCATCCTTGCAACTACTCTACCCGCTGGTAAGGGCGATTGCATCTATCAGCAAGATCGATCGCTAATTTCTCCAACAGCAAAACCAAGTTATAGAGCACCAGTTCTCCAAGCAAGCTAGATCGCGGTTATCTATCAATGAAATAAACACTGGCGATTTGAAACACGGTTTCACCTCACCCACTTCCACCAAGTCTGCATCTCCAGAAATGTATTTCGATCCTTCAGCATTTTCCGACCGCCAGGATTCAAACTCGGATGGCAGTAGGTCAAACTTAAGCACTCAAGAGGACGGACAAAAGCTCGTAAGTGGCCCTTTGATGTACTTGGTTGAAACTCAAGCTAATATCAATAAACCAGGTCAACCGGCGCATCCAGAATCGCGCTGCACAGCGTCGATTCCGCGAACGGAGAGATGAGCAAAATAAAATCCTCCAGGCCAAGTTGAATGAGTTACAGGAAGAGCATCGGAAACTCTCAGACGAGTTGAGTCAAAAGTCGAAAGAAGTCGGCTCGTTGAAAACTGAAAACGAGGCGCTGAAGTCGGAGGTTGAGAACCTGCGCCAAAGATGGCGGTCAATACTTCTTCTCTTGAAGCGACCGAAGAGCTTACAGCTTTTGTCGATGCTGGTTGGGGGCGAAGAGGATCCGGATGATTCTGGGTCCGGCATAAGCGATTTAGATCGTTACCTGCGATGTTTGGATGCTTTGACTTTGCCTAATGAGAAGGCCTGATTTGGACGGGTTGTTCTACATGGATTTTTTTGGATTCTGGGCGTTTAATTGAGCTGGGAGTTTCGGGTAATAGACTTAACGGACTGAACTTAACGCTTATCGAATTTAGGGAGTGAAGACTACAGGTCCGTTTCTGCGTCTCATAGGGTCTGGGTTGACCCACTATCGAGGCTAGTAGGATTATCATATTTTAGATTTTTTCATCAGCCACTTGCCTGCTGAACTTTCTTTCTTTGCCAAGCTCCATGTTATCCTAGATCGCGGAAGCGGAATTGTCCAAGTTAATGGGCGGTCGATGAGGAGTATAACCCCCCCCCCCAAAACCTGTTAATTCGAAAAGAATCGTGATATCTCATGCCAAGGCTTACTGCTCATTTTCCATCCCTGCTTCTCTTGGGTTGCGGTACTGTACTGTACCTTCCCATTTTGTGCCTACGGATGCTCCACAAGCGCTAAGTATCTCCTTTCCAATCTGAGCCTCCTTTGGCTGTGATTGGTGCTAAATTCCCATGAACCAAATTGCTGCTGCGCGCTTGTCAGCTTACCATACCGCCAACGCTTCTCCCCGCAGCTCACCATGCCGGCTGCTGACAACGGTTAGGCAAGACATTGATAAGATTGACAATTTAACGCCGGATTGTGTATGGAATGGCCCCGCGGAAAGGTCCAAGATTCGAGTGTGCCATGGGGCCGACCCGCTTCGTCGGAGCCGGTCAGTTCTCGCGCCGCCGTTGGGGTCGTTTTCGATTACCAAAATGATGCCGACGGGTGGATGTGCCCGAAGCGAGAAATGAGGAGCATTTAACGAGTTCGCTGAAAGTAGGTTTCTTGGCAGTTCTAGATCTGCTTATTGCACATTTTCGGTCATTTTGAGAGTTCGCTCGGCCGCATAGTTCGATTGATGTATTAGAGTGCGATACTAAAATTAGAGACCCTCGTTTTCACATGCAGGTCTGAACCGCTTCGGGCGCTGATATTCGCTATCCGGTACGCAGGGGAATCGCCGGCGATGTCGGTTAACTATTGGCCGGACATTTGCCCGGCCGCCCGTTTGAGTACCGCTGGAGGTCCATCTTCGCAGCTAGTTGCCTAATAAGGTTAGTCGTAAATGCCAAGTCACAGATGGACTCATGCATCTGTTTCAGACTATCCAGAAATCATAAGAATGCGGGAAAAGACCATCATACTCCGGCCGTTGCGTGCGAATGGATAAGTCTCGTGAAGCAGATAGTAATGTGACACTTCCCACTAGTACAATTACGGGGTCGATACAACAGTTAGACAACCTTCTAAGCGGCAGAAGAGGTGACCGCAGTATGAAAAATCGAGTCTCATTTGGTGACCAGATCTGCAAACATGGTACTTTTGAGTCAAAAAATGTACGCAATGACCCAACTTGTGACAAGATGGTCGGGGAGAATGGAGCTTGCAGGAAATTTCTTCATTTACTGCATCGGGACGAAGAATTAGCGGTGAGTGGCCTGGATTCATGAAATTTGTGAGAAATCCTGACAATCAACCTACTCTTCTTTGTACTCTGTCCATGGCTGACCGAGATCATAGAACTCCAGGGAGGAACCCATGCTCTTAGATGATGAGAACGCAATGAACTATTAAAGCCACTCTATCTCACCATTTTTCCACATATCCTGCAACAGCTCCCTCGCAGTCTTTCTGTCTTCGGACCGCCACTGAAGCATCTTCATCATGAAGGCAAGGAACATTCCCTTATTTCTACGGCATCGTTCTAATATCTCTTAAATAACTCCCGTTGGAGTATTGATGTCTTGCTTGCACTTTCCTGTCAGTTTGTTTTCATAAGCCTCTGCACAGCGCTTTGTGCGAGATGACTTCCCCAAAGATTATCGGTAAAAAGTTTCATGGCTGCGTTTTCCACGCTCGTACATATTCATAAGAGGTGGCCCTAGAATGCCCATGATTGCTGCGAGGTGTGCTCGTGTCGAATACCCATTGCTACCACCAGGGTCAAGTAGGGAAGGGCCCCATCTACTGAAGATTATCAAAGCAAATCTTTTGGATTATTATAGTGACGTCCAGGAGCACTTCGTAAACATCATAGCACTTTTGCAAGTCAAGTCTTTCTGCTTAGAGCGCTCTGGGATGGGTCTGGATGTCAAAACTTAACGAATTAAAGTGATCATAGGCATATTTTACTGCTAGGCATTTCTCCCTATAATTCAAAGGTATTGACCTATACAACTAGACAGACTCAACCTGCTCCACTGCTGCTTTGTGGTCGGACACCTCGTGTCCAAATGACGAGCTCCGGGGCCGAAGACTGAAAATACGATCTTCAAACAACAGATCAACCTCTTCCAAAGACAAGCCCTTGGTCTCGGGAATCATCAGCCAGACAAATGGTACCGATAGTGTGGTGCAGGCTGCAAAGACAAAGTATGTCCCAAACGAAATGTTCGAGATCATGTACGGCACGCTTCTTGCGATAACGAAGTTGAACAACCAGTGTGTTGCGACACAGATACTCACGGCAACTCCGCGTACTTGCAAGGGGTATATCTCGGAGCAAATGATCCAAGGGACACCAGCCCAGCTAAAGCAAAACGATACTGCGAACAAATATATAAAGACAGCTGCCGCATAAGACGTGCCGCTAATCGAATCGCCGGTTTTGACCTCTGCGCTTTGGATCTTGACAAAAGCGCCAATAAGCCACATGGAAATTGCCTGTGACTAGTAAGCCATTTGTAAATCTAATTAGTGGGAGAGGCAAATTGAGGGTACTGACCATCACGATGCTGCCGAAGATTAACATAGGCTTCCGACCAAAGCGATCGACCACAAAATACATGGCGAAAAACACCGTTACCAATCTGACGATCCCGTAGATCCCCGTGGATACCAATGTTGTCTTGCTTCCAGTGAGTCCAATTGAACGGAAGATACGCGGGGAATAATAGTTGATAGCATTGGACCCGGCCATCTGGAAGAATATCATAATCACCACTCCCAGGAACAGGCGGTATCGGATACCTGGCTGCATGAGCTCTTTCACAGACGACAAGGTCCCATCAGGGCTCATTGCTCGTTCAAGTTCGAGTTGCTGTAGAATGTCATCAACTTCATGTTGTACGTCTGGATGGTCGCCCGGTAAATTTCTCAGGAGTGATAGAACCTCAGTCACCCGAGATCTACCATGGGCCTTAGCCATCCATCGAGGGGACTCTGGCATGAACCAGAGACCAATCAAAAGGAGACCGCCTGGAATGAGCTGCAAAGCAAATGGGGTCATCCATTGTGCAGATGTCGGCGCCATATGTTGCTCGACACCAAAGTTGATCCAGAAACCCATACAAGTGCCGACCTGTACACCAATCTCATAGATGCCGACTAGTCGTCCTCGAATTTTCGGTGGTGCGCATTCCGCAGTGTACAGAGGTACTAGCATACTCGCAGCTCCGACACCCTGTCAGGCATTAGCTGTGACCCTATGGTGATTTTGCAAGCTGAGTTTGGGGTTCTCCTTGATGACTTACCATTCCACCGAGTACTCTGCCAACGAACATCAAGGGCTTGTTACCCGCTGAGGCAACTTGCATAATCGAGCCGACAATAAATGAAATCGCTCCAAGTGCCAATGCGATTCGCCGACCAAGCTTGTCTCCAAGTGGTGCAGCAGCTAGAGCCCCAAAGAAGCATCCGGCTTGTAGAAGTGAGACTATGTTGGCTGAAAACGCATCCTGGACGGATTGCGATGCACCGACAAGGCCAAAATCCCTGGAAAGGTTAGAGTTGTGCGCTAATCCTAGTATCAAGGGAGGTAATAAAACCTTTTGAATGATTTCAGGTCAATCGAAGTTCCAATGAATGCCAGGTCATAACCAAACATGAATGCACCCATTGAGGTCACAATTGCAAGAAGATAGACGCGCATGGCGTGTGGATGCGCGTCGTGCCCAATGTCGCTCGAAGTGTTTGCCATGATGAAGGCCAGCCTAAGCAGATCTATAATCAACGCAAGACTGCCGGCATTGAATGTAAGGGACGACAGATCTCTTTTATGCACATGCACCCCGCATTACCCCAGACTCAGACCCAGAATTCTCGGAGAATTCGCCATCCAAGAATGTGGGACGGCAAAAGAGAGCCGTGGATCGCGGCAATTTTGGGCCACGGAAGGTCAGTTCCCGCGGAGCGGGCTTGCTACGTTCATGCTTGTGGTCAAGAGACTTTGCCTGCACCATGGGGGACGAAACAATAAATAGGAATTATATTATCTGTTTACTTCTTGAGTCTAACGACCAAATCTTCAAGAACTTCCACAGAAAAGTTTATGCAAACTGCCCGGAATTTGAACAAAATCATGACGATTACCAATTTGGAACAAGTCCATGCATCCATACACTTCCAGAAAAGGAAGAAGATACCGGCGGTTTGGATGAGAGCCGGAACCTCAAAGGGTCTCTTTCTAAATCAAAAAGATCTTCCAGCTTCTTCGAAGCTTTGGGAAAGCATTATGCTCTCAGCGATGGGCTCTTCTCAGGCAAACTCGCGACAATTAAACGGAATCGGTGGTGCGACATCAACAACATCCAAAGTAGCCATTGTTGCGAAATCGAAGCGACCTAATATCGACGTCGATTATACATTTATGCAGGTTGCCCCAGATCAACCGAAAATTGACATGACTGGTAACTGTGGCAACATTGCATCCGGAGTTGGACCGTTTAGCCTTGATGAAGGAATTGTGGTGGCTCGTCCCGGACAATCCGAGGTATGCTTTGACCACCTTCAAATTGAATATAGCATTATTGCTAAAACTTATTGCCAAGATCGACATTCGGATCTTCAATACCAACACTGAACAGATCATTGTTGAGACTGTTCAGGTAGCTCCGGATGGTACCTCTCGAGAAGACGGAGAATATGAGCTTGCCGGTGTGACAGGAACGGCAAGCCCGATAAAACTTGCTTTTGTCAAGCCACAAGGTAGCATGACTGGGAGCATGTTTCCTAGTGGCATGAAACAGCAATTCCTAAATGTGGATTCTCGAAAACAGGGGGCATTTTCAGTACGCGCTAGCCTGGTCGATGCTGCGAATCCATTCGTTCTCGTTGATGCAGATTCACTGCCCTTTTCGAACGATTATATTCGCTTGAACGTCGATGACTCCGACTTCCTTTCTGTCGTTGAGGAAATTCGCCGCGCAGGGGCAGTGCAATTTGGACTCGCTACGGATACGAATGCGGCAGGTCTCATTCGTGGAACGCCCAAGATCGCATTCCTGTCAGAGACCACCAGAGACATCGATCAAGCAGACATTGACGTCATTGCCTTCTCCATGGGAAAGGCGCATCCAAGTCTTCAATTGACTGGCGCTGTGTGTATTGCGGCTGCGATGGCAACACCCGGTACTGTGGCATGGGAATTGGCGGGAGGGAAGAAACTTGAAATGGTCCCAAAACATGGAATGTCCGTTGCAAAACACGAGATTGCATCGCCTTTGCCCGTGGGTATTCGGCATCGTTCGGGCATCGTTCATACAGAGACTATGTTGGAGATGAATCACATTGGAGACGTACAGGTGGAAAGGGTTGCTGTGTTACGAACCGCACGTCGGCTTTTTGAAGGGAATGTATTTTACTAAGTTTTGATCTACGGTTTGTTAATTATATAGAGACTACTTCATTGGCTTTTCAGATATATTCATTTGGTGGCCGTTTTATCGCGTGCCTAAAGATCCTCGAGGTATTGGGGGTCAAGTAATCAGAAAATGGGGTGGTGTAGAGATTAGTTCTACTTGGCTTAGGTAGCCGGAATTCGAACGTCTGTAGACTATCCAAGGTTGCCAATTAATAGTATGGAATTTGTTTCTACGATTATTCGTAAATCATACTATCCTGAAGGGAACCATTGAAGCCAAAAAGCATGTCATCGTCAAAACGTGGGCCAGGATAGGCATCATCATATGGGGGGATGGCCGTGGACGCCATGTTGGTCTGTGTACCAAAAATCGTAGTAGATCCAGGAAGGGGATGATCGGTACTTTCAAGATAGACTTGGCCTTCATTTGATCTGTTATCTTGTCGAATGAAGCTCTGGATTATCCTGTCAATGTCGAGTTCTGAATCTTCTGTTACCCCCGAAGATGGAGTACCATAGCTAGCAATAATTGTTGCATCTAGATGAGAGCCATCTCCAGCCATGTACGGGGCTTCATCCAGAGTGACAATTTCGTCCGGACGACTGTAGGGCCCTCGTGCATCAGCCTCGTGACTGTTTGTATTCAACTCCACTCCCATTCGGTTCATCAAATGACGAATGACGTTTTCAGCCCGACGAACGGCCCAGTTTGTTTCCTGATTTTTCTTGAAGATACTGAAGCAGGCTCGCAAGCTGGCATGCGCTCGGCTACCCCCTTCCTTCTGGGCAGCGACTCGGACAAAGATTGTAGCGGCGACGTAGGTAGCGTATGAAATCAGATATGGGGCCCGCCGAATTGAGAACGTGTGATCATAAGCCTGGAGAAGCTGTATGATACGGTTTGCAGCCAAAGTACATGTGCTGAATGATGTGATTGCGACTGTCAGATCCGTGGTGTAGAGATGCCCTTCAGCTACAAATGGTCGGTGCAGGAGGATCAATAGAACATTGTATAGAGCAAGGAGCGAAACAACATGTGGCGGTGGCGTGATCTGAGTCGTGGTCGGGTTAAATCTCAAGTGATCGGGGATCGCATCGTGCCAAGTTTTGAGTTGCAGATCCAAAGACTCCAAGGTTGCAAGAAGCTCATCCGGCGAACGCGCTGAGCTCCGCTCAGAGTAGACTTTATTCAAAACTCCATTGAGTATCAGGGAAAGCTTGCATAGTTGCGTGAAAGTTGACACGCTATAGGCAGGGGACCCTGGGTAAGATTCGACGTCTGAATATGCGAATGGCTGCCATTCCTCAAGCTCTTCGTAGTTGTCCAAAAATGACAGCGAGACTTTGGTATCAAAGTCTTGGAGGCTTGCTGGCCGGCCTTGGTATAGTGATTGAATCTTATCCACGACAAAGGCTCCCCAGAAGACGCGTCGGCGGATCTCAAGATCTTCGTCGGAGAGCCGACGCATATTTGGTAACATCGTCGCATCAACGTGCATCCCTAAGTCGATAATCATTCGAAATGCAGTACCGGCGTAAAGCCAAGCAGCACTTCTCTCATCGCCTAATGCAAACAATGAGCTAGTCATGACTAAAAGTGCTTGAATAGTCGTAATCTCGCTATGGTCAAGGGCACTGCCAAGAAGCTCCTTGACTCGCATGCGAAAGGTCCAACCCGCCGTGCGTACATCGTTGGGGTCCCGACGAACCTCAGGCCGATTGCTAAACTTTGAAGCGCCAAAGTAGATGGCGTTGAGAAGGAGTTTTGAGAAATAGGGCCCATCGCAGGCCATGTCGCGCATGAAAGCTGGGCGGTATGTGATCAAAAATGAGTGATGCTGGCGATTCCAGTGGAGGGATAGTAGATGCATGCCGAGTTCTGGATCGACACCATCAAAGTCCAGCTTTTCATGGCGTAGATTCAACCCTTCAAGCTGTCCTGAACTCCGGTTAGATCGGATTACTGAGAACTTGGTATATCTTGAAACATACTTTGATAAGCAGCCTCTCCCATGAGACGCTTAGAGACGTGATCTGCAGGGATTTGCTGGTCGGTCGGTCTCATTTGACCTCGTCTATCGGTCGGAGCATCATCGAAGAGAGTACTAGTGAGGCCGTGATAGCTGGAGTCTCCATTCGGTGAAATAAAGATGCGTGAGACGGCCGACTGGGAAGGCTCCACGGTGCTAGCTTGCTGCTCTTCCCTATTGCACGAAGATTCGCCAGGGGTCTCAGCAAGAAGCTCTTGTGTCTGCTGCCTCGATGGAGTTCGACTGTGTTCGGGCGATCCACTAGCTTGGATGGATCGCGTCTCAACATCGCCTAGTTGCCGACGCAATTGTTGATTTTCTGCTTCTAGCTGAGAGAGACGGGCTTTGGTGGGCCTTTTCGATTGTCAATAAATGATCTTTCAGTAAATGACGCCAATATTCATACCTCTGCCTTACAGTATCTGCGGGATAGACACATTCATTGCCGTACCCCCGGCAATTAGAACAAGCGGGCTTCCCGTTATCGCATCGCAACTACATGACCCACTCAGAACACCTTCGCATTGCGATCGATCACATCTCTGAGACTCACCTTTCGCCGCCGACAGAAGGCGCATGCTTTCGCAGCTCGACGTGACCTCCGCGGATGGACATCTGCCATGGCCTTGAGGGGGAAGGGAGATGGAAGTCGAAGAAAGGACAGACCCCGTGGTATCCGTGGGATCCTGGGTGGCTCCGCGGGATATACGGCGGACTATAGGGGGGAGAAGGCTATAACCCTGAATTTCTTTAAAGACCTTTCACCGCTTTCTTCCGCCCTAAGTACATTTCATTCTTACTACATCACGAGGAGATTAACGTAGAGATTAACTAAGAAACTATCGAGGTGTCTATCTAGGGAACTATCTATGAAACTATCTATGAAACTATCTAGGAAACTATCTAGGAAACTATCTAGGAAACTATCTAGGAAACTATCTAGGAAACTATCTAGGAAACTATCTAGGAAACTATCGAGGTGTCTATCTAGGGAACTATCTAGGAAACTACCCCTCTGTCTTAGTTACGATCGTAATACTTAATAGGATTAGGTAAAAAAGTTTAGCCGTAAGAGGATTCAACATCAGATTTCGGATTATATCTACATTTAAGTTCCAGTAATCTCATTAGTTATTTAATCCGAATCGATTTTAATTGTTTCGGTGCAGGAAATCGTACTTAACAAAGGGTATATAACTAGGATATGCGTAGATTATCTAAGGGAAGGGATGCCTGAAAATGGAATTCTGCCGATTCTTGAACTACGAACAAAGGGTTATGGCCTTCTCCTCCCTATAGTCCGCCGTAGGGATACCAATCTCCGCGGCAAGTCTGCTTCCGTCAACCCCCCACCTTCAAGGATATATGTTCAAGAAGTTCGAGATGTCCCGTCCGGCCAGACAATTGCATGATACCAATAAATAAAAATAAAATTTCGCGGTTCACTGTGCTTGTCATGGCCACTCAAATTTCGGTTCAGCCAAGTGCACGCAAGATTGGGCCACGAAAGGTAGTTCATTCCATTACTTTCCCCGATTCGCGGTCAGTCTACAGGCGTAAATTATCGTTTTCTGATTCTTTTCCCAGCATGTCACTCCACAGTGGGTCTCACTTGTGTCAGGAGGTGTGGCTGGTGGTGTAGAGGCAGCAATAACGGTCGGTATATCACTGCTTCACAACGCTATTCGATCACTCGCTGACTCTCATAGTATCCGTTCGAGTACTCCAAAACGAGAGTCCAGCTTGTTCAACATGGTTCGGTGGCTAGGACGAATCCCGTTCGACTGATCTTGGATGTAGCCCGACAAGAAGGAGTCCGTTCTTTGTACACGGGGTGTACCACCTTGATAGTTGTCAGTATCTGAACGCTCTCGTTGGCACTCTCGATATGACCAAAGGTTCTTATGGGCCCCAACTGATACCCAACTCGATCATTAGGGCACCGCTGGAAAGGCAGCAGTACGATTCGTGTCCTATGATACGATCCGCAATTCCTTGTCTGATGAGCAAGGGAGGCTTTCAGCAGGAGGAGGCATTCTAGCTGGCATGGCAGCCGGCGCTGTTGAGAGTGTTTTAGCCGTTACCCCTACCGAGCGAATCAAAACTGCATTGTAAGTCCCTTTGGCCTACAGTTCTAGGTGAAGACCACTTTCTCATGGTCTCGCACAGGATCGACGACGCAAAGACAAATCGCCAATTCAAGTCCGGCATGCATGCTGCCAGAGTGCTAGTCCAAAGACATGGCCTCTCTGAACTCTATCGAGGCCTAGTTTCCACCACGATCAAGCAGTCGGCCACCTCCGCAGTACGCATGGGAACATACAATATTCTCAAAGAGGCGACCAAAAAGCAAGGGGTGACCTCGAACGTGTTTACTTCGTTCGGAACGGGAGCTGTGGCGGGGATCGTGACGGTCTATGCAACTCAGCCCTTTGATACCATCAAGACGAGGGCACAAAGCGTTCAAGGTGCTGGCATTAGTGAGGCAGTCAAAAGTGTAATGCGCGATTATGGTGTCAGGGGTTTCTGGAAAGGAAGCTCTATGCGACTTGGGCGTCTTTTCCTCAGCGGTGGAATCGTGTTTTCAGTATATGAACAGGTTTCGGCCTTGCTGGCTCCAGCTACGTTTAATTAGATAGAATCCTCATTCGATAGAGTAGACAATGGCAGCTTTGGTTTCATGGCATGATGGTGTTTTACGTAGGAACGCGGATCCAGAGAATGGTGGGTAGAAGAAAGTCAAATATTTGTTATTTGGTATTTACAGCCCTTCACGTATATGAGCATATCAACAAACTCATTTGTCAGTGCGATCGATGTATCGAGGCTTCAGCGACGTGAATTCGGCTTGTAAGATATTTGCGCGATGGCCGGGGCGGAAACCGCTGAGGCAGTGACGTTTCTTTCAGTGGAATGTGTGGACTCACCACCCAATGAGCTTATCCTCTTATCCTTCGCTGGCTTCGCGGCGCTCCAACTTAACCTCCCACCTCACCCCCAACCCCGACCCATTCGCCTCAGCTCTTACCCCTTGAACTCCCCGCAGTCGATCGCTTGTGGTGAAAGAGCTTCCAGTTCCCTTGATCGCTCTGCAGCTCGTTTACCGCCTACCTCCGTCCTCAGCTCCCCCTCCCTCACTCCCACGATGGCGAGCCCACCGCCGGTCGCCGAGGACCAAAGCCGCCTCCTCGAGGAGGCATTGGGAGTGGTGAGGCAACAGTCAACGATGATGCGCAAATGTTTAGAGACTCCTGGCAAGCTCATGGATGCGCTCAAGTGCGGGTAAGCTTGGTCTTAACTTTGGTCCCCTGCAGGCAGCGGCCCCGGATGTCTGCGTAAGGAACCTATAGGCTAATTGCTCCCTGTCGACAACTCCTCACTACAGTTCAACTCTTGTCTCCGAACTACGAACCCCTAGCCTTGGTCCGAAGCAGTATTATGAGTTGTACATGGCCGTTTTTGACGCGTTGCGACACCTGTCCGTCTACCTCAAGGAGAACCACCCGGTCAACCACCTGGCGGATCTCTACGAACTGGTTCAATATGCTGGAAACATTGTTCCCCGTTTATATCTGATGATCACCGTCGGCACAGTTTACATGTCCGTTGAGGATGCGCCGGTCAAGGAGATTATGAAGGATATGATGGAGATGAGCCGTGGCATTCAGCATCCCATCCGTGGCCTTTTCCTACGATACTACCTGTCCGGTCAGGCGCGCGACTACCTTCCATTGGGATCGGGCGATGGCCCTGAGGGCAACCTGCAAGATTCAATCAATTTCGTTTTGACCAATTTCGTGGAGATGAACAAGCTCTGGGTTCGGCTGCAGCACCAGGGTCCATCCAGAGAGCGGGAGAGGCGGATACAGGAAAGGCGCGAGTTGGAGCTGCTTGTTGGCAGCAATATCGTTCGGTTGAGCCAGTTGGTCGACCTTGAAGGATACAAGTCTGGCATCCTGCAAGCCCTTCTGGAGCAAGTGGTACAGTGTCGCGATGTCCTGGCGCAAGAATACCTTCTCGAAGGTAAAACACTCTTTTCCATTTTTCTTCTTTGGTTTCAGACTAATGGAGTCTATAGTGATCACGAAGGTTTTCCCCGACGAATTCCACCTCCACACCCTGGACCACCTATTGTCTGCTATCGCTCGACTCCACCCACACGTTGATTTGAAGAAGATCGTGATCGGATTGATGGATCGCCTGTCCACTTACGCGACAAAGGAAAACGAATCCACGCCAGAGCCAGAGGCGCGAAAACAAAATGAGGAGGAAGCGGTAGTTCGGTTGTTGGAAAAACTCGAATTGGACAAGGAGCAGAAGAAGAAGCAAGCAGAAGCAGAAGCGACTGCTGCAAATAAGGCACAGGAGAATGGCACTGAGGAGCCCTCGAAGACGGAAGAGTCTACCGAGTCTCCGAAGGAACAGAGCGATAGCCAGGAACAGGCTGCAAATGGAGACGATGCCAAACCCGCCATTCCCGCAGAAGTCAAGCTATACGATATCTTCTATGATCAGGTGGTGAATTTGATCAAGACGCGCGCACTGCCGATCCAAGATACCATGGCACTTCTGGTATCCCTCGTCAACCTAGCACTAAACATCTACCCAGATGAGCTGCATTATGTTGATCAGGTCCTAGACTTTGCGACTGAAAAGACCGGTGAATATACCGACCACGCCGATCTTCACTCGGCCCCCACTCAACAGCACATCCTCCACCTTCTCAGCGCTCCTCTTCGCTCCTATGTCTCGATCTTCACAGCTTTGGCGTTGCCGCATTATCTGCCTCTTCTGACATCACAGTCATATCCCACCCGTAGGGCGGTCGCCGGCGAGATTGTGCGGAGTCTACTTAAGAATAGGACCCTGATCACGACGACGGAGAACCTTGACCGTGTGTTGCAAGTTGCCCGAGTTTTGATCAAGGAGGGTCTGCAACAGTCTGCCGGATACCCCGGCGCACCGTCGCAGCGGCGTGGCGGGGAGACAGACGAGACGATTGAGGAGCAAGGATGGCTTGCCAGGTTGGTGCACTTGATCCAGGCGCCCGATAATGACACCCAATTGAAGGTAGGCTTCGTGATATGTCTCCAGTACCAGTCGCCAATGCTAATATCCCTCATCAGCTTCTCCAATCAACTCGTAAAGTATATGCCGATGGCAACGAGCGCATCAGATACACCACGCCAGCTCTTGTTACGGCCTCAATTCGCTTGGCCCGTAAATTGAAGTCCCGCGAGCATTACGACGACAACTGGCAGTCACAGTCGTCCGCTCTCTATCGCTTCCTGCACCAATGCGTCAACAACTTGTACCAACGGGTGAACCCCGGCTGTGCCGACCTAGCCCTCCGATTGTTCGTGATGTGTGGTGAAGTTGCAGACCAAACAGGATTCGAGGAAGTCAGCTACGAATTCTTCGCGCAAGCATTTACCATTTACGAAGATGCGATCAGTGACTCTCGAGCTCAGTTCCAGGCTGTCTGCATCATTGCAGGTGCCCTGCACGGAACCCGAGGGTTCTCCAAGGAGAACTACGATACATTAATCACCAAGGCTGCCCTTCATGGAAGCAAGCTTCTCAAGAAGCCTGACCAGTGCCGTGCGGTGTACCTTGCCAGCCATCTCTGGTGGGTAGTTGAGAACCCTCAGCGTGGGGAAGAGGATCCCAAAAACGTAAGTGATCTTTTTTGAATGTTTTGATGTTTCACAATACTCACAAGTCACAGCTCTACCGCGATGGCAAACGGGTTCTCGAGTGCCTCCAGCGTGCCCTCCGTGTTGCCGATGCCTGCATGGACACGGCCGTTTCCGTGGAGCTATTCGTCGAAATTTTGAACCGCTACGTGTATTATTTCGACCAGCAAAACGAAACCGTCACGACCAAGTATCTCAATGGGCTAATCGAGCTCATTCATTCCAACCTTCAGACTAGCGAAGACGAACCAAACCCGAGCCTCGAGGGTCCCAAACGCCACTTCGAGCGCACATTGGAGTACATCAGGTCCCGCGACTATGAAGGCGTTGTAACCGAGCGGCAGTAAATTCACACTGCGGATTGAAAAAGGTACCGGTTTGCTCCCAACCGGGCCAGGCTCGTGTATAGATTGAGGTGGTTCCTCTCGTGAGGAACTGTCAGTCTTGTTGGCGCGGGATCCTGGAATCCTGGTTTCTCCTTGGTCTTGTCCTTCCATTCCCTTTCTCTCTTGTTCTCTTCTGGAAGCCGGCCCTCTGCCATGTTGCTTTTCTCTTTTTGGTTCTTGAGTATATACAAGTGTACCATTGTCACTGGACAACATTCCATACCCTTCCTTCTTCATCCACTACCTATTTGCTTCCTACAAAGATTAATAAGTTCAATTCTCCAATAAGGAGAATCACTAGTCTTATACGTTCAATCTCTGTCCAAAATGAGTAGACAGAGTAACAAACTACAAGATGGAATCCAAAGATAATGGCAAAAGACGAAGAAACCTTCGATCATGCAATTGGGTCAAGGACGATGAAGGAGAGGGAGATTGTCCCATTCTCCACGGATATCGCTGCATAATGCAGAAAGGCCAGTAAACACAAAGAATCATACCGTACACATAATACCAACCCAGGATGCCCCAGGTCCAAGTCCAGCAGCCGACCGACTTGGACACAAAAATAAGAAACCCATATCGATGAGGAAAGATCAAGATAGTTCAGAACGTGGTGGATGAGACGTTAACCCGTGACGCTTGAATTCAAAAGAGGAACGCAGATGAGGAAAATGGTGTGAAAGGGGTGGAGAAAGAAGAGTCATGTTAGATATCATTCCCATAAGATCGGACAAGGTGGACGGCCCAAGGCCCCGAGCGATCAAATGGACTCGTAAAAAAGCAGAAACTTAGGCAGTTCCGCCAAACAATCCAGCCGCTGGCGAAGAGTACTGTCGCAGCGCCGAGGAAGCAGGCGCGCCGAATCCACCAAAGACAGCTGGATTGCTGTTTGCAGGAATCGGACTACCGATATCACCCGGCACGATGCTGCCTCGATGTCCTGTAACGGCGCTGTTCGTGTCTGGCTCGAACTTGACGAATTGGCCCTTCCCTTCATTCTTGATGGAGAAAGAGCCACCGCCATTTTGAGAACTGCCTTCCGTATCGCAGATCTCAAGCATCTCATCCAGGGAGATTGCCGGCTCAGAGGGAGACCGCAGCTGCTCTGCCTGGTCGAGAACGAGGTTCACATCATGATAGCCACCCGAGCCAGCGCGTGGGCTTAGACTGTTAAGGTACTTGCAGGCTTGAATTACCAACAAGCGGACAGTGACAGGGCGAGAGGTGTGTGGTCGATGATGGCCACTAGCTGCAAAGGCATTGTGAGACCAACCGGTTCCTGTCAGAGTCATTAGCACAGTGACGCAACAACTTCATACTTCATTCAAGGGCTTCCTACCAGTCGTGGCTCCCCAGGTAGAGGCACCAGGGAAAGCGGGCCCTCCAAAAGGTGCAGGTGCACCCCAGCTAGATCCGCCTACAAATGGTGTATGCTTGGCTCCTACAACAAAATCAGTCTGAAATGCATCGACAGGTTTAATTTGGGTTCCACATCTTACCTAGTGGGTCCGTGAACAACGACCCTTGGAAACTGGCTCTCGCTGGAGACGCATACGGCCCAGGCGCAGGAGCGCCAGGCAATGATTGTGACAGCTTCGATGAGAACGCAGCGTCCGTGTCGTCGAGGAGCGCGCTACTTCCCAGCTGCGTGCTCAAGGCATCGATGTCACGCTGGGGTTGAGGGTGGCCATGGCCATGATGCTCATGCTGGTCCTGTGCAGTGCTCGGCGGACGCTTGATAGGGCTTGGGCGCGAAATGGGGAACGGCTGGGTACCGGACTCCAAAGAAGAGCGATCGAATGAGCCAGATGGCTGTCTCGAATGAGTCTTCGACAAGCCAGGCTGTTGCATACCGAATGCTCCAGGAACAGCATGGTGGCCTGGGAATGGAAGACCGTGCCCCGATTCAGGAAGCGGGAACCCTCGGCCTGGAGGCATTGGACGGACTCCGTTGATACCAGGAGGGGCGGGAATGCTTCCAGGGCCGAACCCCCCTCTAAGAGGGTTCATCATCGCCGAGTTAGGAGAGTACATTGGCAGATCGGGTGGGTGAAGCGGTCGGCCCCCCATTCCTGGTAAGCCCGGAGGGTTTATCGGTAAGCCACCGAGGGCCGAGAAACCTGGCGGGTTACTGCGGCCCAGAGGTGACAGAGGGGCGGAAGGTTGAGGATGGTGCAGATGAGGCTGCTGATGCTGGACATGTCGACCAAGGCTGGGGGCTCCCGATTGAGACTGTGCTAGAGACCGCGGAGAGATTGAAGGCTGCAAGGGAAAGTCTGAACTTGCTGGTTGCGAGTGAGGAGACGAAGAGTGAGACCCCTGCTGGGATGGCTGGCGTGGCCTGCTCGGGGTTGAAACTTTCGGGGCGACAGGAGTAGCCACAGCATAGTGTGGCGATTGGAATGAACCAGGATGAGTCTGCGTTTGAAGAGCAGAGGGGAGAGGGATGGAGCCAGCGTGCGAAATCGGCTTCGGCTGCATGTAAGGCTTTGCGGCTTGCTCTGCCCTCGTGGCAATGTCACGTTCCTTCTTAGCCTGATCATCACGGGCTTTGCGCTCCTGTTCCTCCTTGACCTTCCTATCACGCTCTTCCTTTTCCTTGCGCTTCGCTTCATCGCGCTTCTTCTTCTCCTCCTTTTGCTCACGCTGCTTCCGCTCGGCTTCAGCTTGCCGCTCGCGCTCTTCTTTGGCACGTCGTTGCTTCTCGGCTTCTTTGCGAGCTCGCTCATCTTCTTGTGCTTTGCGTTCGGCTTCGCGCTTCTTCCGTTGCTCCTCACGCTTGATTCGCTGCTCTTCCAACTTTTTCTCGTGCGCAGCCTTCGCTGCAGCTTCCTCAGCAGCTTTCTCTGCATCACGACGAGCCTTTTCCTCTTCCTTCGCTTGCTTCTGTAGGCGCTTCTTATCCTTCTTCTTCTGCGCCTCTCGAGCCTTCTTAGCATTCCGCTGCTCCTCTCGGTTCTCCTCTTCCAGGAGTTCTTCTATGAGCTGCTTCTGCCGCTGCTCGGCAACTTTCTCTCGATATGCCGTCATGACTCGTTGTTCGAACATTCGAGCGGCAAATATCTGAAACATTCGTCGCCCTTCCTGCATGCGTTGCTCTTCGGTCATAGCATCCTGGTCATAGCTGTCAGTCACCGTTCCCTGTTCAGAAAGTTGCCAATGGCAACACACCATCTCGTCCTCATCGAACTCTTCCTCCTCCTGACTATCGTAATCGTCATCCTCCTCATCGTCGTAGTCTTCATCGTCGAGAGGACCATGGTTATGACCGGCATGGAAAGATTGGTGGGCGGCGGCGATATTGTACTGCGTATCCTCTTCTCGTTGCATTCGGCGCTCGGCTAGTTGCTCCATCATATCGATGAAGTGTTTGCCGTCGTTTTTCAGTAGATCATCAGCCACAGTAAGAATGCCATCTTTGCATCGAAGCAGTCAGCTAGTTGCCACTTTCACATAAAGATCGTAACATATTTTGTAGACATACCTTTGACCGTGAGACTATTCCCGAAGGCAAAGAAATCGGCCCGGGCAGCACGCGCCTCCTCGTCCTCGTACTCCTCGTCGCTGTACAAGTCATCCTCGTCTTCGTCCTCCTCGTCCTCGTCGTCATAATCGTCTTCAAAGTCCTCTTCATCATCCTCGGGTAATTCTTGCACTCGGCCCCGTGACGGGTGAAATTGTCCATGCGTGCGAGTATGTTGACCGGGCGATCGAAGAGGGGATTGGTACAGTCGAGGGGGGGGGATAATGGGGGCACCTTCGTCAAAAGAGCCCTGGTTGTTATTGGCGTATTGTTCAAGCTCTTCGTAGTATGCATCGTACAAGACCTCTAGCTCTTCCTCAATTGCGGTTCGCTTTCGGCCACACACAGTGCAACTGCAAGAGTGCTTCTGTTGTTCCTTCATCTTCTTCAAAACAGCATCTTTCTCGACTTTGACGAGTTGGCGGCGTTCCTCCTCGCCCAGTTCAAACCAGAAGGTCCGGATATTCTCCCGTTCTTCCAACGATGACTGGTTCCAGATGCTGCTTTCTTTGGTCGACCTGGCTGGGAAACGGTGGCCATATGGTAGAGAGTGCGAATGTGGAGGCGGATGGGAGAAGGTGGCGGAGGGGGTCGAGAGAGGAGTTGAGCTGCCATCTGCGAGAGTATGAGAACCAGACCGGCCTTTCTTGTTTTTCTTCTTTTTCGATTTATGTCCGGGTGGGTCTGGGTGGTCGGCGGGGTCATTCGATATCATCGGTCCGTTGAGATCATGCTGAGAGCCAGACTCGCCATTCTTGTACATGCTATCTGGATCCGTGTGGGTGGAGTCAGCAGTGTCAAGGTCGGCGTTATCATCGTAGACATGTCGCTCGTCGGGCTGATCCGCGACAAATCCCGCGGCATGGTTTTCGGAAGGGTCCGCCGCTAAGCGAGCGGCTTGTTTCTGCCGACGCTTTTGTTTCTTGCGATTCACGGTGGGCGTTGGTCCAGACATATTTCCGGCAGTCGAGTTGTTCAAAGGTCCCCGCGCGTCACCGTTGGTGGTGGAGAATATCGGAGTTGCTGAGGCATGGGTCGCCATGGTGGACTGTGGAGCTTGAAGCGACTGCCTTCGCAGTGGTCTATTCCAGCCCGCAGCAAGTTTAGTAAATCGAAAAGAAGAAGTCAAGGTGCTGGGTGAGAGGGGACAAGAGCGACTAGTAGGCCAAAGCGGAGAGCGGGAGGGCGAAAGAACCTACCAACAAAGCTCCGTTCAATCCAATGCAGGGACCAAGCCACCAGTAAGAGATCCCCGAAGAGGGACAGTTAGATAGAGTCGCGCCCTTTGTGAGTTGTTTGTGAGGGGGTCCTCTTGCGTAGCAAACGGGAGGGGGAAGTGCGGGATCAGGCTCAAGGAGGGGGTTGAAAGGCCTATGATCCCGGCGGGTCAGGTCGTGTTCGCTTCTCGGAGAGGAGACCGGGGCGCTGGGAAATCCTCGGATCAAGGAGATCAGTGAGTAAAGACCAGGACTGGCACGGGTGCAGAGCCCAGGGAGCGCGTAGAACGGAAGTTGCAAGATCGTATGGCGGGTGATGGATGAAGCAATGGGCTTTCCTGCGTTCTGGCTGGTTGTCGTGCCGCCGCAACGGGATAGCCGCCGCAAGCGAGCTGGTGCCTGTCCGGTCAGGCACCACCAGGAATAGTGAAACGGGTTGAGTAGAATTAGCGATCAACTTGTATTCCAAGTTTTTTAATACTCTATTTTTTTACGCTCTACTATTTATCCCAGGACGGGGATGGGCCTTTCATGCACAAACTGAGGTTCGTCTGAGGTCACGTGGCTTATGGTATACCGCCCTTGTGTTCTGTCAGAACAATCTGGCAGGCGGTGTATATCCACGTGATAGGCAACTCACTTTCGGCGCCTCATTTGGTTCCACCGTGCTGTGAGACACGGACAGCGATAATTAAAAATAACTCCATCATGGCGAGAAAACCAGAGCCAGCTGGATGTGGGCAAAAAGAGTTACATCAGGGTTGGAACCAGGATGATCAGACGGAGCAGCTGCCGTGTGTGTATCAGACTCCGTAGTCCAATCTCGGGGGCAAGCCATAAAATCTCCGGGTTTCTACAACCGCATTCTTCCTCCTATTCATCTTATCGACCGACCGCCCGGCGCCCAAACGCCGCGGGCTAAACCGATTACTACCAAGTCCAACTAACTAAACCACTCTCGCTTACTACCCAATTTCAACTACTCTCCCTCTAGCAGTGGATCGGTTAATCGTGAGGATCGTCGTGCCTGGCTATCCAATTCGATCCTCTGTTTCCCCTTCCCCTCGTCCTCCTCCAACTTATTATTCCTGCGGTCCTTCAGCCCCGACGCGACCGCCTTTAAATAAACCAGAACCAGAACCAGAACCAGAGAACGGCGCCCCCCCCCCCCCCCTCCCCAACCCTGACCCGTCACGTCACTGTTGTGGTGCATCGTTAGGCCTCCTCTCGCAAACTACCCCCCTGAACGCTATTGGGCGGGTTACACCGTGTGTACAGGGCTGGACTTCCCTTACCCCTGCCTGATTCCGTGTCGCGATCTTCGATCGTCAGCTCTTGCAGGCCTGACTCGAGAAACTTCGTATCCCGCCGTGAAGCTGTGATCGGTCTCGCTATCCTCCCGCTTCCTCAACCATTCTTCGGTCTTGCGAGTATCCGGGCTCAACCCACCCGACACCATTGGACATGGCCCAACAACAGGACGATAATGTGATGCGGAGGTACGCATAATCAACTTATTCCTCTCTTGCGCCTTGTGGTTCTCGTGTCAGAATTGCTCCCATCGCACGAGCCGGTTTAACAAGCCGAGAACCCCCTCTCAGCGGATGGACAGTAGCATTGCTGAAGTGTTCTCTGTTATTACCACACGGCAAATTCTTACGATTGTAAAATCTGAGTCAAATATTAATCAACGATTATGCGTATAGGAAGCTCGTGATCATCGGTGATGGTGCCTGTGGAAAAACGAGTCTGCTGAGTGTCTTCACGCTCGGCTACTTTCCAACTGTGAGTTGTATTATGCCATGAGAATTTGACAAGTCTGTCGCTAATTCGTATACCTCACGCAGCATTACGTTAGTCCGCGATCATCCTACTCCATCCACGATCCATCTGTCTAATCATCTATATCATCAGGTACCCACGGTGTTCGAAAACTATGTGACCGATTGTCGAGTTGATGGCCGGTCGGTACAGTTGGCCCTCTGGGATACGGCAGGACAAGAAGACTACGAGCGGTTGCGACCGCTGGCATATTCGAAAGCACATGTCTTGTTGATTGGTTTCGCGGTGGATTCCCCAGATTCACTGGAGAACGTGAAACACAAGGTGCGTCAGATTGATTCGTCAGGACCCGGGGGGGTCCCTTCATGAATCTCACTAACTCGTTGGTCGCAGTGGATTGAAGAAGCGAACGAACGATGCCCCGGCGTCCCCATTATTCTTGTCGGCCTGAAGAAAGATCTCCGTGAAGATCCATTGGCCATTGAAGAAATGCGCAAAAAGTCTCTCAAATTTGTAACGACCAAAGAGGGCAACGAGACGGGGACTCAGGTTGGCGCCCGCAAGTATCTCGAATGCTCGTCCCTCACGGGCGAAGGCGTCGATGATGTTTTCGAAGCCGCCACCCGGGCTGCTCTGCTATCCTTCGACAAGCGCAAGAGCTCCTGCTGTATTGTTCTATAACGACCTGATTGCGTGAAACGGACATTGCGATTACTCTTTCTCTCTGCCCAGCGTTCGGTTTTGTTTTTCTTTCGCCTTCCAAGTCGACGGACTTTGCTCAGTCCCTGTTTTGACCCGTGTCGATTAGCAGTCCCCGCTGTATCATGCATCATTGGCGTTCGGGAGGTTCTTGTGATTGCTTGGGTCGATTGGTCCGGGTATGACATCTGTTGCTCTTCTATTGTTATTCCGGCTCTTTTTCGCCCTGTCTATTCTCTCGGAGTACATTCTCTCACGTCTTTCCTTTTGGTCATTCCCTATTTGGTTCCCCCATCATCTCATGCACGTGCGTCTCCGGATTCCCATCTCTTGTCACTATTCTCCCCGAAGTGCATTGCGAATGCCGTTCCTTGATGGTTTCTCTCCTTCTCGTGTAGTAATTCCTGTCGATTCTTTTTCTGTCAAATCATTTGATACAGCGCACTTTTTTGCCATTGCTTTCGCAGAATTATACAGCGAGCAATCCAACACTGTAACTCTGGCAGTCTTCTTTATCACTCAAACTGTAGAGATTTCGAGCCACAGGCTCTTTTATTTAAACAATAGCTCTTATAGAACACATATAAAAGCACGATATGCCCATCCGAGAGATGACTCAAAAAGGCTCTCGGAATTGAGGCCAACAAAAAAAATGCGTATAGTACATAGCGCCAAATGATACACAAGATACCCAACACTAAAGCTCCGGTCAGAACCAGATCTAGCCAATCCACACTCTGACCCCTAAAACAGGCCAGTCCCACACATTTATCGGTCCTTCTTCTCAGGACGCTTCCAATCATGATTCCACCCCTCGGCAGGGGGGTAATCGGTCTGCATACGGCCATACTCGATGGGGAACATATCAGTGAAGATACCCTTCTTGATCATTGACTTGCGGAACAATCTGCCACCGTCACCGGCACCAGTCCGCAGCTCCTCACAAGCAGACTGCATGCTCTGGTACTGACGCTCCAGCTCGAGTTCTCGTGCACGGCGCTGCTTGGCCTGGAACAATTGCCAAGCGCGGTGAATAGTCCAATGGCGGAGGTAGCGGTTTCGCGAGAAGCGCAGAGGGCGGGGAGTGAGAGGGTGGTAGAGGAAGTAGCGGATGAGAGCTAAAGAGTCACGTTAGTCTCCATGAACCTTTTCCACTTAATTCGAGTGATGCGCTATCGAGCAAGATGGGGCGCCAGCGAACGCCCTCGGGCAATTGATGTTTTCGGCAGCACTAGATATCTGGTACAACATACTGATTCGCTTATCCACATTGGGACCTCTCTTCTCTCGCCCCTCCAGGGTACTTGTCGACGAGAATGGCGCGGACTGCACGGCTGAGGTGATCGGGCCAGGTTGTTGTGTCCGACGGGCAAGGACTTCGTGGCAGACGCGGGACGCAGTTGGGCGCACCGGAGCTAGCGACATCGGGATCCGGAAGACATTCGCGAGAGACGCGAGAGCTGGTGATAGAGACCGCATAGTGGGTGGATATATGGTGGATGCAATGTTCAGAGAGTTGCGTTCGCTGTACGGGGGATAATTCCCTGATGGCAGAATCTTGTCCGCCCTACTTTAGCCGCGCGCTTAATTGATCGCCCACGCCGCAATCTAGGACTCGACAACGGTCGGGCTTAGGTTTTAAACATCGAGGGAGAGTCTTCCTGCAAAAGTAGTTTGAATAGACAAGGTTTATTGCATACATTTACTGCGAGGCCTTGGGTTTTCATCAGGCATCGACATGGGGTGTCAGGCGCGACTCCTGCTGATAGGTACAATGAAAGAATAGGCTTAAAAGCCAATGAAGGAAAAGAATTTGAGAAACAGGAGCTATTTGTAGTGTCCAACGGTATCTTATAGGTCATGAAAGGCATAATATGTCAAATCGACATGCAGATAAGTGGCGTATCCTACCAAATTCCACCGGGTAGATTTCCTTAAAACGCCGTAGAATGCAAACAATGTGTTAGACCGGCCCAGTAAGAACGAAGAGCAGTTGCCAGGGAGATCATAGCGAAGAAACTGGCACGAGTTCCTTCATTTCTTCCCATCTATCTCTTCTTCCCGGTGTGCTTTTTGGATCGATCATAGTTCTGCACCTTGCGACGCCGGTGTGTCTGTGCGAGCTTCCATCGGCAGTAAAGGACAAGGGCGTCTTTGAGCAGCACAAACATACAGCCACCAACCACGCTACGGCCCCAGCGAGACTGTAGAAGGCCTGGCCGACTTCGTTCGAGGACTGACGACGGAGTTGTCCAAGATTTTGGTAAGATATACTTGAGCAACCCACCCATGGACGCTGAGATAGCGGGGAAGACGAGTGCTCCAAGAACAGTGTCGGCAAGATTACCGGTGTCGTGGATAATCTCGTTTTGTCGACGCCCGAGACCAAGCCCGTTGTTGGGGCCTGCGTTCTGTCCCTGTGCTTGGCCGTCCTGGGCGCCTTGGTCAGCGCCATCTTGATTCTCTGCTGCAGGGATAGCTTGACCCAGGAGCGGCTCATCGTCATCGTCCATTCCTACCTGCAACTCAAGATCAATTTCCATAAGTATTTGGCCGTTCACATTGTCGCCGAAACGATTAAGCCCCTCTGCCTGATCCTGCTGCTGAACTTCGTCCATGATCTCCTCCGCTGCACGAGGCTGCACCTCTGCGATCCACTTTCTCTCTAGACCACCAAATAGACGGTCGTAGAGGGCGCCGTAAAAGCTCTTCACATATGGTAGGGCAGCGAATGTCATGGCCGGAGTAGGTGGCCAAAGGTCAAAGTCGGGCTCCTGTCCGGGATTATGCGCAGCGAAGAATAGAACAGGGATCGCCGGAAGAAGACCTTCCGCATAACGAGTCCGTGAGAAAATCAAGACTAGGGGGATCAGAGGTAGACCGAGATTCATGCCGGGATTCCACGGGCCGTCAACGCTATCTTCGAGAATATGTTTTGCCTCCTCTGTACCAAACACAAGATACATCGAGTATATGCCATGGGCACAACATCCGGCCCACACAGTACCGGCGACGGTGAACACCATGCCTGGAAGAACCAATCGTCCCGCAATTCTCTCCATCAGACGCAGGGTGTCAACGACGTAGCTTCGCGGGCGAGTAACGACGATCTCTGATTTGCATTGCGGGCAGACCATCTTTGCCCCACGACCATTTCTCTTGTGAGACCGAGGGTTTTCCATATCTGCAAGCCAGTCGAGTAGACATGCTTCGTGGGCCGTCAATGCACAAGGGCAGGGAGATCGCCACTCCGAGTTTAGTGGCGAATCCTCCGTCTCGTCTGTGTAGCAAATCCAGCATTTGCGAGGTTCTTCCTGGTGATTGGAGGTATCGGCATTATTGGAGGGTTTGGTGAGGGTCTTGACGGCGACGTCCAGAGGATTCTCCGTAGACGATGTGGGCATGTCTTTGTTCAAGATGACGGTCTCGGTCTCTCCATCCTCCGGTAGGTTTACTTGGGCTGTCGTGCCCTCGGTTGATATTCCTGCGTCGGTACTGGAGGTTGTGGCATCATCGGACGATCTCGTCCTCCCAGTGGCGGAGTAGCTCGGGAGAGAGGCCATGGCGGAGATGTAATGATGGAGGCGAAAGAAATGCGGTACGCCGAGGAAGAGAGTAAGAATGTATGTGCTTATCGCGTTAGATCACCGAGTTCAAATTCAAGGAGATAAACCTAGGCATCTTCCGAGACGAGCAATAGTATAAGAATCATGGGGAGCATTCCCGCTGAAAGAGAGAAGCTCCGCCCCAAATGGAGGCTGGTCTGAACAGGGCACCTCGGCTGCGACCCGCGGCTGTCAGAAGGGTCACGTGTTGGTCACGTCATTTCCAGCAGACGCAGTCGGTAGGCAATCTACAAAAAGACGTATTAGGCGTATGCTGGTACACTTGACGATGAAGAAGAAGAAAATAGGAGAAAAACTTGACATCGGTTGCACATGAGCCAGAGATATCCACATTGAAGGTTCCTGCAGGATAAGTAATGAACCAAATTTTTACGGTCTTTCTCATAGGCCTAGATTCAATAAGTTTTGCACAGTAAAACTTCAATCAATTAGCCACCTTCAGAGCATAATGACTCAGATTATGTCTTATTGTCACGAACCGCCATGGCATGGAACATGCCAAAGCACCCAAGGTGCTTGCGTGCAAATCAATGAAACAGTGTACGTAGTTAATCAAGGCCATGGGCAACTTGTTGAGAGTCAGTACTCTGGTTCTGAGACATGTGAGGACATATCCTTGTTTCGTAATTCCTCTGCAGATTGATCAAGAGCATGAATTCTAACTACTTCATGGGCAATAGAGCAGCCCTAATCCCGATACGCCGTACTTGAGCTAGGATCAAGGAGATCGGATCATGGCCTGCCCCACTCGTGCGTGACTAATCCGGGGCAGTGTGACCCAAGCTAACTAGATAGATGTCGCCAACCAGTTACCCTGCATTTGCAAAAATTTCTGAGCGAGCACTGTATTCATTCCCTTGGAATGCATTGCATTCAGGATGCCACAGGCTGGTAGTCGGCCTTGCACGCCATCTTGTTGGTCCGGGCATCTCCAGATCTAGACCTGCGTTGATTGCTTCGGAGGTGCTGTACGTCTCGAACCTTTAATGAGATGAAGCAGAATTGGCATGTTTTCTCAGAAAGCCTGTGATCTTTGTTCTTCACTGTATTTAAATGCCTCCTAGTCACTCATCACCAGCCCTTCCCAGCCCCATTCTCATCGAAGAATATCCTGCAGGAGCTGAGAGCTCTCGGAAGCATGTAACCCCTTCACTTTATTATACGCCGTCATGATAGCCTCTAAATTACCCAGAGTAATGGCAATCATGAACGGGAGTAGATAGATTTCCCTCAGAGCTCCATCGGTGACAATCGAGCTCGTAGTCATGGGCTCATGCTCCTGGTCATTGCAGACAAAGTGCTTGAGGGTCGCGACAATGCCCTTTTCGTTCAATCCCTTGCAATAGTGGCTAGCCAGCACATCCGACAAATAATGATCTTCAGAAAAGACTCGAAGCATATTCCCCCCAATGAACCACGTGCTATATTAATAGTTGGACCGAAAATGACGTATGCATCTTTGGCTTTAGCTTCGGCCGCCAGAAGGTGTCCAATCTCTACTAGAAGATCTCGATCGATGTTGCCCCGATAGCTGTTCCACATGGCAGACATGCCGCTGGGACCTGAAGAAACGGGTGCCACGAATGTCATTTGGCCCGTCCGAGAGTCGAATCGTGGATTCTTAATCTGGAAATGGGGACTGTGTGCCAGAAATTTTCGCCTGTATGGGGGTGTCATCACGGTTAGCGTGCCTCTTGACTGCTGACAACAATAAAGTTCGTGGGTTTGTGAGCACACCTGTCAGCAGTGCAACCTCTGGGTGAGCCGTTTGAGTAAGAGCTCAGTATCTGCTCTTGCCATCTATGCAAATGCTTCGTGCACCGCACCGGGCGTGTTGTCCTCAACCCACATTCTCTTATGCTAGGAAAACCTAAGGTCGGGGAAATGCGAGCAATTTTTTCCTTTTACACGTCCTCCGTTTCATTCTGCGAAAGTCGGTCTTCTAAGTACTTTCCCGCAGACATCGATCCAGAGTTCGGGCTCCTCGTGTTGTGTTCCTCTCCGGTTCCCCAACTCGAGACTGGCCGATAGGGAAGTATATCGGGCCTGTCTCCACCTCGGCAAGCATGCTGATTGAACGGCGGGCGGCAGGCCCAAGCCCGTCCACGCCATTAAGAAAGTATCGTTATATTCTCCGTTTCTGCTTTTCTCCGTTTCTCGGCTTCGGGTCTAGTATGTGCCGTGTCGATGCCGACCCCGGCCCCCCCCGTGTCTCCCCACAATCTCTTTCCAACTAAGCCCCCAGTCGGCGCATGGTAGTTTTTTCTGACGACCTAGTGACCGGGCCACGACAATCGAATCTCGACTCGGAATTAAGCGATTGGCCGGTGCTGCATGTCGTCGTCCGCTTTCTCATAAAACTACACTGATTCACGGCATTGGTTCAAATCCACGGGATAGGAGACTTCCAGAAACCGATCATCGGACGATGATGGCTTTTCAACGTGTATTACTCGCCGTGTATCAAACCTCGTGGCAGCCACTGCGTTGCTCCTGACCCCAGATTATTGTCTGTGTTTCTTCATACTAGCCTCTCGACCCTTTATACATCATGGGTTCTAGTCAGACTGACCAAGTTGACGTGGTTAGCAAGCATGCTGAAGGGAATCCAACGCCCGATTCGATCCCCGCATTCCTTCCAACGGATGCGGGGCCCTGGTATAGGCAATCGCATCTTCTACGTCTCAACCTCATCATTCTCTCCCTGGCGATGTACTCGTCGGCGAACGGTTATGACGGATCTCTGATGAACGGCCTGGAGGCATTGGCTCAATGGAAAACCTTCATGAATAACCCGGCTGGTTCCTGGCTGGGATGGATCAATGCAATCTACTGGCTGGGCTGCGGTGTGGGTTGTCCCACAGCATCATGGATTGCGGATCGGTACGGTCGTAAGCCAGGTATTTACGTGGGCTATGTCTTCCTAGCCCTTGGAGTCGCTCTTCAAACTGCGGCTCAAAATGACACAACGTTTTCCCTTGCCCGTCTGTTCCTGGGTTTTGCATCTGCGCTATTTGGAAACTCAGTCCCTCTGCTCATCAATGAGGTTGCCCACCCAACACACCGCGGTTTCTTGAACGGGCTTTTCATGTCGGGCTGGTATGTCGGTGGAACGGTGGCAGCTTGGAAGGTCTTCGCATCGCGAACATACTTTTCATCCTGGGCTTGGCGTCTTCCCTCAGTCCTTCAGGCTCTGGTACCACTCATCGGTCTGCCCGGATTCCTGCTCGCTCCAGAAAGCCCTCGATGGCTAGTTTCAGTGGGAAGAGAAGAAGAAGCCCTGGCAATTCTCGCTCAATACCATGCTGCTGGCGATGCCTCTTCTTCTCTGGTCAATAATGAGATGCAAGAGATCATCACTACCATTCGAGCCGAGCAAGAGGCCAACAACAACGGCAGCTACCTGGAGATGGTTCAAACACCTGGCAACCGCCGACGCCTCATGATCTCCATTAGTTTGGGTATTTTTGCCCAGTGGGCGGGCAACGGCCTGATCAGTTATTATTTATCCTTAATTCTGGATTCGGTTGGGGTCACCAAGGTCCGCGACCAGACTCTGATCTCGGCCTGTCTGCAGATGTGGAATCTGGCCTTCGCAGCTCTAGGTGCATATCTGATTGATCGGTTGGGTCGTCGTCCTCTTTTCCTGGCATCTGCAGCTATCATGTTCGTCAGCTATGTCCTGGTCACCGCACTGTCAGGTAGCTTCGCAGTGACGAACAAGGCGGCCACTGGATGTGCCGCCATTCCGTTTCTCTTCATCTTCTTCGCCGGATACTGCATCGCACTGTGAGTTCCTCCTTTCTCGTGGCTTCTTATCACTATTTTGACATGACTGGCTCTATAGTACGCCCTTCCTCTCAGCATACCCCTGCGAAATCTGGCCGTACCGTCTTCGATCCCGTGGACTGACTGTCACTTGGGTGGCCACAATTTGTGCCATGTTCTTCAATACATTCGCTAATCCCATCGCTTTGGGGGCCATTGGGTGGAGGTACTATATCGTGTTCATCGTTGTGCTGCTGGTCTTTGGTCTGACCGCGTACTTCTACTACCCCGAGACCAAGGGCTACACTCTTGAGCAGATGGCTGTAATCTTCGACGGTCCAGATGCCCTTGTGGCCAACACCATCGAGGTGGCCACCGTCGCCGAGGCTAAGTCTGGGTCGTTGGTTGTTCACAGTGAGTTGGTTTGATTGATACCTGTCTGCTATTGATTTATAGATGTAGATACAATACTAATATATCTAATCTTCTTTGACTGCTCTCTTCATCGTAAACTCACACACCATTCTCTCCAACTTCCGGGACTGCGGGTCTGAGTAAGAATTGTGGAACTTGTTATATACCGCCTACAGCGTGGGTATAGTGATATTGGATATGTACGGGTTATCCTCTTCGGCAATATGTAGGAGAGTACTGCTTACGAATTCTTTTGGCTATTCTCAAAGCAGACTTTTCAAGCAAGAGGAAACCTGTGCATACCCTACAGACTGTCCATGTACGCCTTGCTCAGTTCTGAACTCGCGCTCTCCATTGGGATTCTAGAACGCAACAATCTTCGATGATTTACTTCCATCGCGCTGGACTAATACGCTACCTCCGTATCATTTAGTATTGATGACCTTGACACAAATTTTGGGGGGAGAATAATGACTGCCAAACGTATGGACCATTCCCTTCTCCACAACAAGCTCCTCCATCGAGGTCCATACACGACGGCAGCTTCAAGTAGCCATGCCTTCTACGCGATGTTTGGTTACCCTGTCGGCTGGGTGATGCGAAACCTCGGGAATCTCCGTAATAGCTAGGCAGCGTGCTATTGATAGCCCGATTAGGAAGGGGCGAGGCCATTTGTCGATTGGCGGAACTCTCCAGGTGAGGAAGGCGCGACCCTCTGCAAAAAGCATAAATATCCCGTCCTCCCCAGCCTCTGCCAAATTTTTCTTCTTTCTTCAACTCCCCTCCTCCCTCTTATCCTCCATGTGTCCATCCATCCGGCCTCCCACTTCCTGCCATCCCCTTGGGTCTCCCTACTCCTTCTCATCTGGGTCTGCCTCATCTACATCCAGCCCACTTGACCAGCCTTGATCAAAAGGATTCTTCTTGCCTTCAAGAGCTTTGACTTCCGTCAGGTGAGATGGCCACCCTTTCCTCCACAACCTGTTTGCCTCGCATCTACTGACACGCCGGCTACAGAAAAAACCTACTGTCCAGGCTCTTCTGTCACAACATCAATCCCGCCATGGCCTGCCAATGTTCCCACCTCGTTCAACCATGGAAACCTTCCATCTTGATCATATGGCACATCGTCTTGGGCCTTGACTTCTAGTCCTAACACATGCATGGCGGTTCTACATGGTCCCTCTCTACTTGGCCCTCATCACTTGGCCCTCGTCACCTGTGGACCCACCCGCCATGTGACACGCCAGTATGGCCTTCTTCATCTGATGGCGTACAGAGTCAAGCACAAAGGTCTGCACCCTTCTTCCATTTCCTTCACTACACGTAACCTGGCTGACAGTCTTATTAGGAGCCTATACTAACGTTCTTGAGTGAACCTCGGTGACCATGAACTTGGTGTCGAGCCTGTATAGGGCGTGGTATACTGCACAAGTCTCCACTGCCACACATCTCAGCCTCCCCGCCCATACTGTGCTGGAAGATACTAACTAAACAGATTTGAGGAAATTCTTCTTCTGCCTCCGGCTCCTGACACACCAATTGTCAATCACTGGCCCGCTTTCCCGATACCATCTCCGGTATCTTTGCGTTGCCTCACATTGTAGCTTACGCAGCTCAACATAAGCGGTCACTATGTCCACGCTTCCCCATGCTCCACAGCTTCGACTAACGCCTTGAACAGAAGCTTACACGGACGGGCTTGAGTGTCGATCACAAAACCTTTAATAAAAGCCTTCACAACAAGTCTCCACTACCGCATCTTCGATCCCCTCGTTTATCTTCTGCGGACAGTCGGGGTTTTGAGAGATCAGCCGACATCAAACATCCAACATTTCCATCGTCGCCATACTGATCCTCGATCACGGCCTTGTCCGTCCATTCATGATGGCTGACAGAGTGAAGCAAATAGGTTGGTTTGCTCATACCTCTTCGTCATCTTCGGCTTCAGCTAACTTCTTCAACAGGAGCCTACACTAACGCTCTTAAGTGAGCCTCGGTGGCCATGAACTCGGTACCGAGACTGTGTAGGGCGTGGTTGACTACAAATATTCACCACAAGTCACCACTGCCACACATCTCAGCCTCCTCGCTTTTACTCTGCTGGAAGATACTAACTCGATAGATTGACCGTCTCCGGCTCCTCCAAACCCCCATCCTGACATATCAATTCTCCATCATTTTCTGCGTGTTCCACGCCTCTTGGGCTTCCCTACAATCAGTGCCTGGTCACTGCAAGGGTTGGTGGGTCCACTCCTCACATAATTTGTACTCTCTACTGACATCGAATATCTTGAATAGAGCAGTCATCTTTGACGACCATTCTTCCAGAACAAAAAAAACGAAAAGGACATTCCATAGTGTATCTCAACTGGCCACAACTAGTCGAAAATCTTGATCACCACCCACATATACCGTTGGTTATGAGCTTGGAGGACGAAGAACCGTGGAGGACAAATCGCAACGTTTCTATGAGAATTTATTCCTGTGTCTTCTTTCTTTCCTCGAGCCCCTGTTAGCCTAATGTCCCAGACGATATGTCTATCACTCTATCAATGCTGAAAATATTTGGTCCGTCTCTGAGCGATAGTTGACACTATCATCTACATTTCTCTTCTCCTCCGTGAATGGGCCAGTGGTTCCGCAGGTGCAATGGAAGATAGCATCAGTCCGACACACCAGTTTCCATACCATAGAATAAGCTTTTATATCGCCGCCGTCGTGCAAACTTCCCCTGCATGGAGTTACCTTGACGCTAAATTTGTGCTTGTGGCTGAATGTGGACTCTGTAGTCGGCATCTAATTCGTGCTGACCCGAATACACTGTCAAGCCACGGTGCACAATTTTTTCTTTGATATTCTCTCAGCATCAACTTGTCTCGGATTAAATATGACCCACTCGCTGCTGGGGTGGCTATTCGGGAGTTTAGCTCGACAATCTGATTACCATTCTGGGCTCTTGGCAGCTATGACAAGGAAGGTCGTCATAGCCGTGAAAAGTACATAACGGCTTCTCTGGGATATTGAGAAACCTGATTTCAACGCCTAGGAAGGACGATCACTTCTTGAAGGGTTTTTATGCCGGTAGCTGATAATAAGATGTCAAGTCGCTCCCGGAGCGATCTTTTGTTCTTTCCCATACTCCATACATACTTGCCTCGAGTGCCCATACATAATGACCTCTCTACTACGGCTATCAACACGCCAATTGGCGCGCCCTTCCATCGCATCTATTGCTGGCTCGATCATCAGGCTACCCGCTCAGCGAAATTATGCCCAGGATTCCAATAAGTCGAGCAGCGGCAAACACGATGCGACTCGGGACGCGGGCACTTCAGAGAGCCCGCTGCCCAACCACCCGATTCCTTCCAACAATGCAAAGCCCACACTACGAGATGGCCGGTCGTCGCCCATTGCCGATTTTGAAGGTAATCTGAAGGACGATGTACCTGAGGATGTGAAGAAACATAATGAAGAAGTGGAGAACCGATATGACCGACCGTACAACCACATCGCCGATCAGGGGAAGGTGGAGGAGAATGGGTGGAAGAAGAAGTGAATTATCACATTTTCTCGGATGTTGGGGTGGCGTTAGCGGCAATGATCTATTATTGAAGGAGGATAGGGTTGGAAATTATATGATATTCTTGTTGGCTTGACAGTTGTCAGGGTTGCTATACATTACTTGTGCACTCCCGCTGGCAAAATATATATTTGCCCGCTTGGGTGCTGATCCACCAAATGGTCTGTCTGCACTGTTTTTTCAAAGAATCCCTTTCAAAGACCGGCCTAGATCAAAACATCAGAAGCAAAAATACAAATAATAGAATGATGGCCAAATCCATCGACTCGCCATTTGATCAAAAATGAAAAGAAACAAAAAGATAATGCTTTGACAAGAGTGGGATTCGAACCCACGCCCCTTTCGAGACACGGAAGTGTGGATCAGGTAAACCTGAACCGTGCGCCATAGACCAACTCGGCCATCTTGCCTTGCTTGATGGAAGGTTCCGCAAACTTTGGATTCATGTTCCTGAACATCAGGATGCCTGCAGCTCCAAAGCAGCGCGGTCTGCCGTACAACTTAGTCGATCGGTCTTGCGACAAACATCATTTACAACTCAAATATCAAGCAACTTTCCACAGAAAAAAGGTCACATTTCACACATTTATATACATAGGAACCAGCAAAAAAATAGATCATCCAGCAAAAACCACAATCAAGATCCCCGGTAGGTTGAGTAATTCCAAGGTCCCAACAGCACGGGCACATGATAATGGCGCCAACCCTCCTCACCGTCCTTGCCACGACCCTTAACGGTGAACTTCACCTCAACCTCCGGCCAGAAGCTCTCGATACCCTGAGCCTCATACCAGGGTCCAACATCGAAGCGCACCGCCCAATTGGTCTTGCTATCGGCCGCGGGGAGCGCAGCCAGGATCTCTTGGACGGAGGCGGCGGCGCTGGCGCTGGCGCCAGTGGGCGTCCACTTTGCGACACGACCGTCGGCGTTGGTCGTAGCGTGGAAGGTGACCGGGCTGGAGGGTGAGGCGGGCGCCGATAGCAGGGTCAGAGTGACGGGCAAGTTGGCGGCGGGTGTGCCGGTCAGGGTATTGAGACAGTGGCAGGTAATGGGATCGCGGGACATGGTGGGTGGTTGAGGTCGAGTGTTGGAGGGTGTAGATGTGGAGCTGTTGGAGGGAGAGAGCTGTTGCTGAACGAGGGCGAGGCGGTTGGTGATGCGGCCCTGGGAGGAATCACTAGAGTCCATGAAATTGATGATGAGATGAGGAGGAGAGAGAAGAGGAAATTGTACGAGGAGAAAAGAGATCTAGAAGGATAACCAGACGGGGAGTGATTGCCATTATTTCTACGGGACTGCCATCGGAGAGCACCGATAGCTGCGGAGGATGCCACGGCGGGGTGGAGCGGGCAGAGCATTCTGGGGAGATTTGACGATAATACATTTTTTAGAGAGGTTCGAAGAATGTAGAACATCATTTTGGATTTTAGATAGTACTATTGGACCGTCCAACAATACTCAAATGGCAGTAGCCTAACTGTTGGTCTATACTGAATTCTTCGCACAGCAAGCATCAACGGGCAGGACACCGCAAACCATTGGGCCAACCTCTCATACGAGACATTCTTTACTCTGCTACAATGGTTTTACCTCATGAAAGGATAGAACATTGAGTGCGGCTACGTTCAATACTTCTTTCTCGTTTCCCTTGTCCAGGACACCCTGTCATATCCGTCTAGACTATCTTCCCGAACGTTCGATCGCTTTGCGGGGCAAATCCTCAATTTCGAACCTCAAACGCCTCCCCGCCAGAATACCAACGGAGCAGACCCATACCTCCCCCTCCCCCCGACCCTGCCTCTCCCTTCCCCCTTCGGCCATTTCTGTATAGCCGAACATGTCCTCTACCGCTGTGGTCCATGGTGACGACCTCGACATGGAGCCCACGCTCCAGTCGATCCTGAATCAGAACACCCTCCGCTGGATCTTCGTCGGCGGGAAAGGTGGTGTCGGCAAGACCACCACCTCATGCTCTCTCGCCATCCAGCTGGCCAAAGTCCGCAAGTCGGTCCTGCTGATCTCGACCGATCCCGCCCACAATCTCAGTGATGCTTTTGGTCAGAAATTCGGAAAGGAGGCCCGTCTGGTCGACGGCTACACCAACCTGAGCGCCATGGAGATCGACCCCAATGGCAGTATCCAGGACCTCTTGGCGAACGGTGACGGTCAGGGTGAAGATCCCATGGCAGGTCTGGGCATGGGAAACATGATGCAGGACCTGGCGTTCAGCGTGAGTGGCCTCCGACCTGCGTCCGTGTGCGCGCGATGGATACCATCTTGCTAACCCGACCCTTTCGAGCTTCTTAGATCCCCGGTGTTGACGAGGCCATGTCCTTTGCCGAAGTCCTGAAGCAAGTGAAGTCCCTCTCCTACGAGACCATCGTCTTTGATACCGCCCCGACCGGCCATACTCTGCGTTTCCTGCAATTCCCCACCGTCCTCGAGAAGGCTCTCGCCAAGCTCTCGCAGCTGTCCACCCAATTTGGCCCGATGCTGAACTCGATTCTCGGCGCGCGGGGTGGTCTCCCTGGTGGCCAGAACATGGACGAGCTGCTCCAGAAGATGGAGTCGCTCCGTGAGACGATCAGCGAGGTCAACTCGCAGTTCAAGGACCCCGACATGACTACCTTTGTCTGTGTTTGCATTGCAGAGTTCCTGTCGCTATACGAGACGGAACGTATGATCCAGGAATTGACCAGCTACGGCATTGATACCCACTCCATTGTGGTCAACCAGTTGCTGTTCCCCAAGGATGGGAGCAGCTGCGACCAGTGCAACGCCCGGAGGAAGATGCAGAAGAAGTACCTCGAGCAGATTGAGGAGCTCTACGAGGACTTCAACGTGGTGCGCATGCCTCTATTGGTGGAGGAGGTTCGCGGAAAGGAGAAGTTGGAGAAGTAAGTGACCCCGAATGGTTGCTTCTGCAGAATTCCTTGCTTTTGGTGAGCTCCGCTAACCACTATCTTCCCCCGTAGGTTCAGCGACATGTTGGTACACCCGTATGTGCCCCCGCAGTAAGTAGTTGACCGGAGCATGAAGAGTGTACGAGCTGGGATATCTCGTCGGACGAATTATGAAAAGACTAGAGCAATAATATTTTGATGCCAATCTTTCCCGTTTCCACGTACTCGGCCGCCCATTGCCTTTCATCCTACTGGCCACTGTCGGTGAATGATGACAGTCTGTATAAAAGTCGGTGCTATGCAGAGAAGATTGAAGACCTTTCGGACCGTAGAAGACGTCGGATCCAATGGCCAGCGGCATATGCAGCCCTCGTCACATCTCATTGCCGATGGCCGGCCCCAGGCATGAGCCCCCGAGTTCTATCCCTTGCACTTTCTATTACTTTTTAATGTTTCTCTCCCACTTCCAACTTGCAACTACTGTACATCTTGTTACAATCCTTCCATTATCTCCCCACCAGTCAGCACGGCAGATCAGATAAACCCTCCTTGCCCGACTGCAGCCTGCCAGGTCTCGAATGAACCCCTCGTCACCCCGTCACCTGCACCTGCCATGTGTTTCGACATCGACTCTCACCCAACGCAGTTACAACTTCGATTGTGATTGCAGTTTTCGGCTTCCGGACTCTGCCACTGGGCTCCCCAAAACGAAAGGATGCAGAAATGCCTCCTGCAGCTCAGTTTGGGCCCCGCGACGAAACGAGACGGGCTCCTCATGGTGCCACGACATCGCGGCAGGTGAAGCCAATCTGCCAATGCAGAGAAGAGGTGTGAGAGATGCGGTGAGTAGAATGTTCGAATCATCTTTTTGGGGCTTTGTACAACCTTGTCTACCCTACCTTTCCTGGAATGCCAGCTACATGACCCGCAACTAATACTACTACTCCATTGGCTAGGTGAAGGCTAGCAGGAACGGTCTGTCTGGTTGAAACTTGACATACCTCAACTCGATCCAATGGCTTGCGAAAACGTTGTGCTAAGCTGAAACCCCTTTTGGCCGGTCTTGTTATGCCTATTTTTCTCAACTTTTCAGCAAACTCAACAACTCGGCAGTTCTGCAGAGGGTTTCTCCCTTGCAGATGCGTTGTTCCTTCCGAGAAGTGTCGAATTGATTCGAGGGCGTCGCTTCCTCGAGTAAGCCTCACTTTGACACCGACCCGCCCCAATTCCTGGTTCATGGCCCCTACCAACGAGGGCACTGGCACCCACCCTCGGCGTTTCCTCTGATATGCCTGGTATTTCCAACGAAGACAATTCGGGAAAGACTGGCCGGCTTGCGTGTTTCTGACAGGTCCGCCAGCCGCTACCGCCATGTTCAAATTCGAGTTTTAATCTAAGCATGCGGATACACAAAGGGAATGGGTTGGATGTCGTTGTTTCTTCGAAGTGAGGCGTACACCCCCTTTCTCTGCTCGCCCTGGCAGTTCCGAGTTGAATCCTCCATGGCCAGACAATCCCATCAAAAGAGCTGCTTGGAACTGAGTGGTTCGTCATCGTGGACTATTTCTGGCCCCCCCCCCTTTGGTTTCGTAAGAGATGCAACACCATCTTGTGTTGGTGTCTTTGCCTGGACCTTGCCGCCGCGGAAATACCACAAGAGTCGTTCTGGACTCTAGCAGATCAAGAACCGGTGGATCCAAGACTTTTCTCCTCCGGTTTGTCGCTAGCGGGAGGGTACTAGGGTGCGACTAGTCGGATGGAGGTACTACCTGAACTGGGCAAGTTGTACGCGATTGACTTTGCTCGCCTTGGACCGCCTTTGTATGATTAGCCTTTTCCGAATGAAGAGAGAGAAAGAGAGAGAGAGAGAGAGAGGCAGCAGCAGTAGCAGCTGGACTGCAGCCCGGGCGCTTGTCTCCATTCGCTCCTGGCTATGCTCCGACCAGCGTGATACTTGTGTCTTGACCCCATGCTGTACGAGGGAGCTTCCCCTAGAGAGGGGCCTGCCCGGCTAGTTATTTATACCCCCAGGCTTGGTCCTCATGTCTTGCTGCCAGGTGGAAAAAGATACCAAAAGATCTCCGCTGCTCCATCCCCTCTTCCGGCTCTGCTTGTTTGGCCCCCGGCTTGTCAGACCGCAAGCTCGACCTTTACGCCCAAAGCCCTGCCCCAAGCCCGAGCCCTGTTTTGGCTCTTGAGACCTAACGCACACACCTCCCTCTTACCTACCCAGCAGCAGACAGATCTTTGACCTGAGATGTCCCGAGTTCAACAGTATTGGCTTCCGGGATATGGTCTGTCCCGGCATATCGTCCTCGGACATATCCACTATTTCCTGGGCCCAACTGCATCAGTGAGACCTTATAGTTATCAGGTACTTTTGGCACCACCTCCCACTGCGCGCCACGGTTGACAAGCTCTAACCAGATGAATTGTTTTGATTAAAGGGGCGCGAAGGTTACCTCATCACGGGCATGCCTCTGACTCGGGTCTGTCCTGTCTCTACGCGGTAGGATATATGAACGATCCACATGCTGACCCCATTCACATCCCAGGACCAAATCGACGACCTTGCAGCCATGTCTCGGGAATATGAGAAGCAGGAAGCACTGCGAATGACCAACCAGAGTCCTGGTGCTGGTGCTACCAGCAATAATGGGGTTGGCTCGTCGCGACAGCCGACGGAACCATATATCAACGAGATTATTCCAGTGGATCCTAATCGGGCACGCAGACGGCCGGGGGAGCAAGACCTCCGGAGCAGCCGTTGAGATGACTGAACCACCTTTCTTCTGGTTGTCCACTGTCCGGAAAAGGATTGGAAAACCTGCCAAGTCAAAGCCTTGAATGCCCCGGTCGTGCCTGTGCGAGAGATTCCTCGGACTGCCTTCCCAAGCCGTCGGACCCTTGGACTCGTGGCCACTTGTCTCTGACTTTTCCTTGCTATGATATTGTCCTGCTCGATTTTCCAAGTCTCAAGCCAAGGTCTTCAATACCTAACTCCCGGGCGCGAAGAAAGGCATGGCATCCCGGCTCTCAGGCCCACGGGCTCAATTCCTCAATGGATGGATCCAACCAGATGAAAGGATCCCCTGGGACCCATAGGATAGAGTACCTTCCGCTGCATATCTCCCATGGCGATTCCAGGCTCAATTTGTCACTATTTCTTGAAGATACCCCCCTTTACGTTTGGCAAGTTATACAACCGTCATACTATGTCCATATATACTAAGATCTGCCCGAGGCGCTCGCGGGATGGTGGAAGTTATCATCTCCATGAGTACTTTCATTACCAAGTTTCCGAATATAGGAACACAACAACTGGACCAGACATTGTCAGACATCATTTTATTTCACTCATCTCTATAGACCATTCGTAACAGCATAGATCCATCAGACCCCAACCTAATCCCCGGGGTCCTCTACATGATTCCCATCTTTTTTTCTTCCGCAAATCAAAAGAGACGACACGAGGGAAGCGCCATGCTCTTCTTTCTCCCCACCATGCATATGCAAAATGTAAGCCTATGATGTAGAAGGGCTTCCATTTCCGACCTCGATTTTCCTCTTTCTCTGCAAAACCACCAGGGTCAGAAAGACCTCCTTGGCACACACGACAAAAAAGAACCAAGAAGAAATCAAAAAAGAAGAGAGGGAACAAAAGAATATATCTGACGGCACACACAGAGAGAGAAGGGGGGGGGGGGATAGGGAAACTGTGGACTAAGAGGTTAAAAGAAAAAGGAGATAAACATCAATAAGAAAAAAGGTGAACCACCTAAGAACGCCAGCCGGATGCCACTCCTGCGCAAGGTCCCCATCTCTCACATAGAACCGTGTTGTGACATACACGGGGAGATCATTAAAATGGGTAGGCAGAGAAAAAACATGGGTCGATAATAACATGGAAGGGGAAGTTCGGTTTTTGGCATCAGCTCATGCAAGAGGTATTTCATTTCGCGACAGCGGAGCTGGAAACGTATTAGTCAATAAATTCAAAAGTGAAAATGGCCAGTTGCTGTTTGGTATCGGCTTACCTCAGGACTTGTGTCCGGAAGAAGGCACCCTTGGTCTTCTCAATGACTTGCTGGTAAACCGACTGGGGAGGGTGGTTCATGATAACAGTGCCTTCCTTGTAGTCGATCTTGGCGTCAACCCGGGTGTCGCGGATGAGGTTGACAATCCACTTCTCACCCTCATCCTGGCTCAGACCAAGACGAGTGGACAGATCCCTGGACGTGGGTGTTAGAATTTTGAGGGTCCTCCTTTGTTAATTTGGAATTCTCCGGTTCAAACTCACTTAATATCAATGCGCTGGTGGATCTTGCAGTAGCTCTCGGAGATGAGGTGACGGGCAGCCTCGACGAAAGCGTCCGCGGCAGAAACAAGGAAGAAATCACTGCGGAGAACCTCCTCGGCCTCGCTCAGCTTGCGCTGGGCCTCCTCGAAGTCAAAGTCGACATAGAGGGCCTTGATGAAGTCGGTGATGGGGTCGGTGTACTCGTAGTTCTCCTGGCGCACCACACGGATCAGGTCCTTCAATTGCTTCTGGTAGACACCGTGGTGCTTGTGAGGGCGGCTGCGGTTGGTGATGACGGCAGCAGCGAGGTAACGCAGGATCCAGGGGCAGCTGGTCTGGATAGTGTTGATGTAGGCGGGGGAGAAGAAGAGGTCGGTCAGGACGTCACGGGCGGCGTCGTGGTTGAAGAAGGGGAACAGGGACCAGTGGATGAGCCAAGAGCGGTTGGTGAGCTGGGCCAGCGGGTTGTTGAACAGGCGGGTCTCGATCGAGTCCTTGGCCTTCTGCACCTCCTCCATAGCGCCCTCCCAGTTGGTGGTCAGGATCTCGGACGCCAGCTTACCCCAGGTAGCGGAAGCGACCTTGTCGTTGTCGGTGGACAAGACACGGAACTGGTAGAGCAGCTCGGCGGCATTGCCGTAACTGCCGCAGCTGTACTGGAACCGGCCGTAGTCGTACAGGCTGTTAACCATCTCGTTGGTGACACCGTGCTGCTCCTCGAGGAACCGCAAGTTGGCAGCTTTGTCGCTTCGCAGGTTGCCCACAACTTCCTCATCCTGCAACAACTCGGTGATCTTCTCACTCTGAACCTGGTAGTGCTCCAGCTTGGCCAGAACCTCCTCGCGCTTCTTGACAAACTCATCGGGGATGCTGTCGGAATTGTTGATCTCCTTCCACAAGTTGGCGACGTAGTCGGTCATGTTGGTGTGCTTGAGCAACTCATACTTGGCGCGAGTGATTTCTTTGTCCTCCTCATCGGTGCCGGCGCTGAATTCGAGTAGAGGGAAAACCAGGTGGCGGTCGAGGTATGGGATCAGGCGGGGGAGCAAGTCAAACTCGGGGACGACATCGGTCGGTTGAGCGCCGCTGAGCTTCTCAGCGGAGGGAGGGGCGTTGTCTGCCATGGTGAACGGTGGTATGGGGTTGATCGAAGACCGAAGACGAGGCACAAAGCACTTCGCACTTTGAATTTGTGTGCGGGAGGGTGTGTAGCGCTAAACCCTTTTGGGGCACAGTTGGCTGATCGGGGCGGTGGCAGAAAACCGGCGCGAAGAAACCTGCTTCAATTCCCGTCGAGTGAGCATCGCGGGTTTATTTTTTGCTGGTAATCTTCGACCTCTTCTTCCCCCTCCCTCCCCACAGGATTCCCGGCTTTTTCCCCCCCGTCCGGTTCACCTTCAGACCTTCAATGGCGTCTCTTCGTCAGTCGGCCTCGGTTGCTTCCGCCGTGTGCAAGCAGACTGCTGGTCCCCGCTTCGCCCAGTCCGTCGCTTCCGTTCAGACATGCAGCCGAATCTCTTCATTATCTTCTTGTAAGTTTCAAATGATGCGACCTTCTCTCGTTTTAGTGGACTCGCCCGAGTAGAGTTTACTCTCTTGCAAAGTGGCTGGGTTTTTAGACGACTCCATCTTGAAATTCAAGAAGAGAACACCTATCTCCGGTCATGCTATTTTAGACCGTTGAGCAAGAGTTTATCTAACAAAATTGTTCTTTCTCATGCAGTCCCCTGCCTTCACTCTTCATACCGTCCGACCTCCTCTCAAATCTCTATTCCCGCCCGCCAGACTCGCACGTTCCTGACACAACTTCGCCGTGATGCGCAAGCTCTCAAGGAACAGCCCATCTCACCATCCGCACCCTTGCCCAAGTCTGGCAAGCAACCGAAGCCCACTCTGTCCCTAACCAACCTTCCGTACTTTGTTCGCCGGACTGGATCCAACCAGCTGCCTGTCTACCTCGTTACAAAAGCCGGTGGCACCAAGCAGCTCACCAAGATCCAGAAGACCGAGGGTGATTTGGATGCTTTGCGCAGTGATTTGGCACTTACTCTGGGTGTTGACACTCGGAGCCCCGATGTTTCGATCAACCGTCTTACCGGTCACATCATCGTGAAGGTATGCTTCTAATATAGCCTGTCACTAGTCCAATAACTTTCGTGGACATGACACTAACGTACTTACGACAGGGCTGGCGGAAACCCGAGATCGTCAAATTCCTCCAGGAGCGCAACTTTTAATCTCTTCTCTCCTGAATTGCATACTTTCGCAGCGATCGGTCGCTTGATGTCTACACAAAGGCATTGACCGGGATCCTAATGAGTGCGGGTATCCGACGAGTGTGGAAGCGGGAGGAGCAAAAAAGCGAGAACAAAAGCATTTGGAGAACCAGTAAGAGGAGGAAATCAGACTTGGGTCCGTGGACATGTGATGTTCCATGGGTTATTTTTTTCCCTTTTTCGTTGATTCCCTACTTCCCTTGGTGTGTATTTCTTAAGCTCAGTCATGGGGTCATTTGTTTCTTTTCCTTTTTCTCTTTCTTTTTTTGCGGGTGTTGTTACTTCTGGTCTCTTCTTTCTGTGGCCCTGTTTTCCGGCGCTTGCGTTTACTTTCATCACTCCCTGTATCACTCCTACTCTGTACATGCTCAATGGCTCGATGGGCGTTGGCCCTGGTTTTTTTCTAATCGAATGAATCTATATAGGTATTGGCATATCTATTTGAAGTAAAGTATTCGCTGCGTTCGAGATCCTTCAAATACAATTTTCCAGAGCGTCGATAAACAGACAAAATAGGACGGAGACTCCGCTTTACAGGGATACCAAATCGGAAGTATGCCGAAAACGGCAATATCTCGACGACTTTGCCTACATTTGGCAATGTCCACCCCATTCCATATTTACAATTACAGCATTACAATCAATGCCAATGTTTACTTGAGAGAAGTTTTATTCAGCTACACCAAAATAAAAAAGGGCTGCAGTGTTAACCCGCGTCGTCCTTGAGATTGGGCTTCTGGTATCAAATCCCCTTAAGGGGAACAACATCTAAGGAACTTAGTCAAGGAAACAAAAACATACAACAGCCAGGATTCGCATGTGGTCACCCACCATACTACTAACTGGCCGGCGTGTGGCTTAAGTACGGCTGAGCGGACGGGAAGCCCTGTTCTCCACACCCTATGGTCGTATGTGCTAAGATGTAGTCGAAAGGGAAATAAGTAGAGCTTTGTAAGAGATGGAATAAAGCCACTCCTTCATCTCCGGACGGAAAGCTGTCAATTTGGTGTCTTTGTATGAAACAATAGCCTCAAGTGGAAGACCAAAAAATGAAGGTTCTCATGATTGGCATGTTTGAAAGGTCAGTTTGAACAGCAAGCCAGCCGGCCTGATTATGACAGCTCCTGCTCCACTCTCCGTCATACTGTCTAACTATATTTTAAGCAAACACTGTTGACCATAACCCAGGATTCGGTCCGAGAAACAGTTCATGAGCCATCTCAGGAAGCAATTCAAAAAAGTTGAAACAGATCGCAAAACCCGTTCAGAAAGGTCATTCAAAAGAGCGATCACTAAAGCATCCACTAGCTAGTTCAGAAGTGGGGACTCGGTGCCCGGAATATCAGTCAATCGGAGGAGTTTTCTCCTACCTCTGACCACCCATTTGTCCAAGAGAGATAGGGTAGTCAACTCTAAAACTCTTAGTTGTTCTGAAATCCAGACCGCGTGCACCGACAACGTAGGGTTGAACTAATCACGTGTCCTGCGGCAACGCCGGCGACAAAATGATCGTGATTTTCAAGAGAAGAGTGGTCTAAAAACAAAAACCGAGCATGGCATGAGGCGATGCGGCTGCACATCACAGTGGTCCACAATATCGTCAAATAAGCCGTTCTGTGTGCACAGCTCTTGTATATGAGGTATTCATAAACCCTCCATTCCCTGGAGTCGAGCGTTGATCACAAGAGACCAGCATGATATTCAAACCCCGGGAGGGCAACCTTATTAACGAAATTCGGCCTCATTGTAAGTGAGGTGCTCGCCATAACCAGGCTCCTTCTCGATGTCCTCATCGAGGCCGTCCCCCACGCGGTTCTCACTAAGTTTGCGAGAAAGGCTCTCTCGGAAGTACGTAGTCGAGATTGCAATGATTGATTGCGAGGGACTCATCAATGCCTGCAATAGCTGCGCTACGCCGGTAAAGGCTCTGGTGTTGTACCAGGTACCAGTCAATCAGGGCCGCCCAACTGAGCAGCCTGCTCCCCAGTAAGATGGTGATGCTTGCAATATGTGTTTGAGGGGATCTCAGAGGAGACAACCACGCAAAGGAAGCATGCGAGGAACTCCGTGAAGAAGAGTTTTGCCAGTTTCTATCGAAGGGTGATCTCACAACCATAGGCATTTTCGACATGTTTTAAGCGACAATGTCGCTCTGTGCCTGCCTTATCACCCATGTTGTAGACAGTTTTTGAGCTGGGTCGCGTTGGTTTCGCCACATCGTCGCGCTTCAAACTTGTCGTTTCATATTACTACGAATGATCCAGCTAGGAAGCGGTAATAGCGGATATTTTTCTCATAGACAGGACTTGGTTATTTTCTAGCGGAGGCCACGGCGTTCGAATTGAAAATGGGTCAAGGAAACCAATTATTTTACGTCATGATATTCTGAAACACTTGTAACTAGACTTCTCGGGCAGTGCTTTTCAATTCGATGCGCATCACCCTCACTTATTTCACTCTGTTTACTCGCTTGCCCGCCAGTTTTCTGACCTTACGTTCATCTCTAATTGCCCCACTGAACTCCGGATAGCTCTTTGACAAATTGTAGGGGGAGTTTTTAGCTTCTTTACTGGGTGGTCATATTAAGGTGCGGATGTATTCTCGTATGCTAACATGGGCTACCCATGACGATCGTTTACTCCGTAGCTTGCGTGTAATAAGGCCTGCGTTCAAGCTGAGACCAGGTCATTGTGTCATAGCGCACAGTGTGTAAAGTGGTTCGTTCCAAGAGCGCGGGACGCCGAAGCTAGACCCACGATTTCCCCACTGATTAGCGCGGTTGTTTACCACAACCAACTCTAGTGTTTGAGATCGATTGGCGAACATGTCGCCACCGGAGTTCAGCTTGGCTCGACGCGACTGTGGCAAATGTCCCCGACAAGATTGTTGTTTGGCTTGACAGATTCAGATCATTGAACCGATACTCTATCCATAATCTGGAGTATGTTGACTCTATACTCTTCTATCTCGGCTAGAGAGAAATTCGATAATTCCTGTTTTTTATTTGGACATAATAGCTGAATGACGTGCGGGCTGTGAAAATGGCAGCAATTGATGTCACTTTCACCAACTAAAAGATCTTCGGTATCATGCACGTCGTCTCCATTATGACATCTAGATCGACACTCCGTCTTCTAGCGAGAGTCATTAATCCTCTATATAACTCGAGCCCCGCGAACACGGATGTTTCGCTTTTCTTCATATTCACATTCTTCATTTCCATTATTTGAAAGAAATTTGACCATTACAACAGCCGCCGCTATGGTGAAACAAACCACCCTCGATATCGAATATGCCTCTCTCATGAGTCGCAACCCAGAAGGGACATACCTGTACAGCCCACCAACCTTTCGCAAATTCCACCCCGGCTCGGTGGGTTTCTTCGATGAGTACAGCGGCTGGAACCAGATCACCGATCTTTCCAAGGAAGGCCAGCCTGAGGCCGATGGCTTCACACCTCTGAAAAAGCAATTGGCCCGAGACCAGCGGCCCAAGTCCGCTATGTGGAAGACCCGATCGTCAGAATCTGAGGCTGGTCAGCATATCAAGCTATCCGGCGGCCTATCTGCCGCCGCAGCAGCCGCAGTCCCAGTTGACGTCTCAGCTGATGGTAAGCATAAGACCAGTACCGCGGGCAAAGCCGCGCTGGTGACTGGATCAACCGCTATGCGAGAGAAAGTACTTGCTCCGTTCGACAAGCCCGTCTCGACGTGGGCAAGCGAAAATGCGCAGGCGCTATTGGACTCGGACTTTGCGCCTGATATTGCTAAGAATGGTGTCTGGATCATTCAGCATGCGTGGGTGACGGATGAATGTGCGATAAATATGACGAACAGCTCTGACAAGGAGATTGAGGTTGGATTGGATATTGCTGCCACGGGGATTGCGAAAGCTGGGGCCGGAGGGGGGACATTTGACAAGCTTAAGAATGAGGGATGGACTACATATAAATCCGAAGGGGTGAGTATAACATTCGATGACTTAATTGGGTTTTGTAGGAGACTATCAGCTCACCCCTTTTGTTTTAGGATGATGGAGGGCTCGTCGTTTGCTTCGGCGGATCCCACTTCAAGCCTCGTCGGTTCCAGCGATTCCGCAGTGTTGTGAGTAGTACCCCCGAGTCATATATACCTAATACTGACCAAGACAAGCCCATCAAACAAACCCAGGCAAACTCTTTCCTGAGGACAGGACCTGTCGAAGAGGCACAACTGGTTGAGGAGCTGGACTTCGAGTCCGCAAAGGTTGGAGCAACTGAAAGTGATGCCGAGGAAGAGGCGGAGGCCGCTGCTAGAGAAGAAGAGGAGGAGAAGCGCGTTCGCGAGGATTTGGAGAAGAGAAAGGAGGAGATCTTGAACAGCGCCACCACGGAGACATTTGTTGTGCAGATCTAATGGGAAGCTTGTGTTGCGCAAGCTTTATTTGATTATCCGCATTAAAGATCTTGAGTGTTTGAATGATTGTATAGATCAATAGTAGTTAAAGAACAGAATCATGACCAGTGAGATAACAAACTTGGGAGGAATTGTCTATCACCAGAGCATTCAGAGCGAAAGACAACCGTAATTATCTCCACCAATACATACTTCCGGTTTTGTATACCCCGCATTCTCTGCCTCAGGGCGTTGATTAATAAGCAAGCGGCGAGGGCTCCCCACGATATCTCCGATGCGAGTGGACCTTCTTTTGTTTGACTCCAAGCTCTCTTTCTAAACTTGCGGTCACCAACTTCTCTCCTCTTCCTGAATCTCGAGAATTGCTTTATTACATAATATGTCACGAGCAAGCTCAATAGCTCCAGCCGACGCCGTCGCAGCTGCAATCAATGATGGCAAAAAGCATCTCCTTCTAGCTGCGTAAGTCTCTTGCTCTTGCCAACGTCTTTGATAGTTCAACCAGCGCTAATCCTGCAACCCGATACTAGGAGTGGCTCGGTCGCAACAATAAAACTTCCCAACATAATCTTCGCTCTGTCAAAACACCAGAACCTATCCATCAGAGTGATCCTCACCAGTTCCGCTGCACACTTTCTTAACGGCCAATCTCAAGAACAACCCACCATCGAATCACTCGCTTCCCTCCCCAATATCGACGGGATATACCAGGATAAGGACGAAATGGGAGAATCATGGATCCGCGGCGCGGGTATCTTGCATATCAACCTACGCAAGTGGGCACATATCCTGGTCATTGCGCCACTGAGCGCCAATACGCTGGCGAAGATCGTCCATGGGATGTCGAATAACTTGTTGACGGATACGATTCGGGCTTGGGATACGTCGGGCCAATTGGAAGGAATGAAGAAGCGCATTGTGGTGTTTCCAGCTATGAACGTAGCTATGTGGTTGCATCCGGTCACCACGCAACAAATAAGGGTACTCGAGGAAGATTGGGGTGTGAAGGATAATGGATATGATGGCCAGGATAATCCGGGCTGGTTTGAGGTCTTTAGGCCTATTGGGGTATGTGAAGAACTTCCAGGCTGCTATGTTGTTCGTTTGGCTAATTTCTTTCTACAGAAGACGCTTGCTTGCGGAGACATCGGAATCGGAGGCATGCGAGAATGGACCGAAGTGGTTTCCATCATTGAAGAGAGACTGGCACTCGCTACCTGAGGCTATCTGGTCCACACGGAGATGTCAATCTTGAGGACCACCTTTCCTCAATTTAGGAAAACCCATTACGTCCAGTGATTGTTTTGACAACCTTGCATTTGAGCTCCAGTGTCGCTTGAGAGTGCAGGAAAATGTTTTTTGAAGAAGGATGATCTGCGTCGGGTAGCGGCGGAAGGACTTGGTATTTACGCGCCACGTTCGGGACAAACCAGACAACATAGCCGTGGTACTTATATTGGTGACCACGTACCAGATGTACCTGGACCGTAACGTGTACCCTTGCAATTAACGCCTCCTCGAACTGGGTGAGCTCGGGCTGGTGTGACGGCACCGCCGGCAAATTGTGCCGCTGTACTCGCCAATGGTGGATGTACATTTGTCGTTCTGTCGCTTCTTACCCTGCTTCCATCGCTCTGCTTGTATGAGGGAGGTATATCGGCATCGGGATCATCAGAGAGGACAGCCATCAGGAATTATGTTATGGCCGAGGACATTATGAGAATCTGAAGGTCATTGATAGGAAGATACTTGTAATAGACTTTACTTGACACATCAAGTCGACTTTATGGACACACGATGTGAATTCGTGTTCGAACATCGTATTCCTTCTCTGAAAGTTCTGGTGTGAATTCGAGGATGTTCATGGCTACGTTCACGATCTTATAACTAATTTTAAACATGGCGATATGGTCACATTCTGGTACACGCAGTCATTTCTTTTCGCTTGTCATCAGCCACCGCATAGTCCGCAGTCTAGAATACTACCGTATCACCAAAATGAAGATTATATCGGCGAGTATAGATTCACGAGGCAGGCAGGCCACACACGTCTGCTTGGCGCAAGCGAGTCTCGAGTAGACCTGACGATAATCTTGTGGATAGGAATTTCATCTCCGAAGATGGCAAGATCTTTTTTCCCCATCAAAGTGTGCGACATCTTCTCGACGACAAAATTTGACTTGCTTCTCAGTGGGGCAGGGGTGAGGAGTTGTTCCTGGAAACAAAAGCACAAGCCATTGTAGAGCCGGTAGGTTGTGTCCTCAATTCATCAAGAAACAATACAGTGGAAGGATGCGAAAAGTTGAGGCATTCTCTGAGACCTAGTTTGGTGAGGTCATTCTAGGTGTGAAGAAGGGTAGTCTGGCACGACTTAGCGAGGAACGCAAGGCATTGGAGACGATATCAAAGGCAGCAGGCAAGAGTCAAAACATCAGCGTATTTGTATATAGCGTGTTGAGTGGTTGATTAGAATGAGAAGAGGTGGACAAAGAGAGATAGCGTTCGGGAGGTGCTCAGTCGAGTCGGGTTAGCTCGAAAGAAGCCATGGCTGTAGCTGCGTTTGCAGTATCCGACGCCCTTGTATCGGGACAGACGGAAAGTGCATCGGGCTACAAGGCCAACACATACAGGTCTTACTAGGTCTCACTAAAAGAACGGACCGCTTACGTATTCCATTTGGGCATGACCCATCAAATGAACCTCAATCTCTCGCATTCAGCCGAGGGTATTTTGAGCATTGTACACAGAAAGAGAAGACACGAACACGCTATCTCACAATAGAAGTCAAGTGGTCAAAAAACCCGTAATCAGAGAAAGGGACAGAAAAGGAAATAAGAACCCCCCGATATCCACCGGCGCCCAAAAGAGAAGAACCCATCCATAGGCAAGAAACAAAAGGTTGAGCCGACCCAGACCCGACTCGACCAAACGACCGGCAGCAAAGACAAGTTAAAATTGGCTGGCTTGGAGACATGAGTACAAATGACATGATAGAAATTCAGAAAAATTCTCGTATATGCTGCAGACACGCGGCAAATCAACTCGTTTCCAACGCCTCGCCTCGCGTGGTGGTCACCAAATCCAATGTCCTTGGAACACAACACATTGAGAGGGCGAGGCGTGATGCAAAAAGAAAAGAACGCCTCGTCGGCCTTTACTCTGCTAGATTGGCATATGTGAGGAGCTGACGGATGATGGTGGGGTCCATGTTCGCAAGAAGCAGGGCGCCAAGCAAGCTCTCTTTGCTGGGGAGGATACCGGAGGGAAGATGGAGGGGGGATGGGTTGTCCACTTGCTTGGACTTTTCGGCGAGTCGGCGCAGGATGGCAAGTCCGCGATGGATAATCGAGCTATATGCATAGGCTTCGGCTTCGGCCTGGCGGCTTGAACGCGGATTGATGTTCGGGAGACGCTCCGTGCATAACAAACAGGAAATGCGCAAGAGGTGAATGGCAAATCCGTCGACAGAACCAAGCCAGAGCTTGGCCAAAGCTCCATCGGCAAAGGTGGTCAGAACGTCAGCTGCCAGAAGACCCTGCATAAGGAGAACCATGCGGGCATCCGCAACTGCCAGAGGTTTCTTGTCCGGAACAGCGCAGATGGCAAGACCGAATGTGCGCGTGAGAAGCTCGGGTTGCGGAGGTGCAGATCCGTCCCCAGAGAAAATGGCACCGAGATAGATACGGTTCGGGTCATCTCTTGCCAACAGCTTAGCCAGGGCATCCACAGCAGAAGAGGTATACCGGTGGATCGAAGGATTGAACGCCGCAAACATAATCTGGCCCGACTTCACAGCTATGGGGCCAGGCAAAGGCGAAAATGCCAGGAGGAAGTGCAATAGACTGAGGGCTTCATCTTTCCCAGGTATTTGCATGACGTGGGCCAAGTTGCTCATGAAAATGACAGCATCTTTCATAAAGTCCAACAGGTTTTGGTCAGTTCGCAGATACCTGGTGCGAGTACCGATGTTTCGGACGACGTTCGCAAAACATTGGGTCACGGCAGGCATTCCTAATGGCCCAAAGTTGGGCTCAGTAAACGAAAGGTTCCGAAGAATGGTCGTGATGCATATCAATCGATCTACGGCACGGTCCAGCTCGTATTCAAGGCTCCCGAATTCATGCACATCGGCAAGCGATGTGTGTTCGGACTGACAACCCCGAGTGACGTCTTCATATGAACGCAGAGATATCACATCGGAGGCTTCTTGAGAATGTTCGGCCAGGAAGTCGGCTTGATCATCAGCACAATCCACCAAGCTCTCCATCAGTTCCTCGGCATTCTCGAGGGAGACCTGAACGCCATGCTGGCAGGAAAGAGTAGTGAGTGTGTCCAAAGCAAGTCGAACTTCTGCATGAATGCCGGACTTCAAGCTCATGGTCACTGCATGGATATCTATCAGACCCATTTCTGAGAAGCTTGGGAAAGTGGGCCTGAGCGTGAGAATCTCCTCGCCAAGTTGGTACATTTCGTCCACTTGAATAGGTCCATGCAGTCGCTGCTCGGTGATGACCATGGGTTTGAAGGGGTCTTCAATCGGCCGCTTGACTACTTGATCCGGCTTAGGTTCCGGAGCTTGCACCGGTTGCTGGACTGGAGTCATAGAAGACTTCCCTTGCTGAGATGGAGAAGGTGCAGCGAACTGTCCCGCAGCATCTGGTGGGGGAGCAGGTGGCTGGGACTGCCGTGAGACACTGAGCCGATGGCCCTGTTGAGGTGGTTTGCTCTGGCTTCGGGCCTGAGTGGGTGTGGCAAACCCATTGGCCGGGGTAGCCTGGGCATTATTGGAGACGGGGGTGCTATGTTGAGGGGTGTGCGGAATTTGTGGTTGGGGTTGCTCGAATCCCTGGCCCGGTTTGACTTGCGGAGACTGGAATTGAATCGCGGATGGATCGTTAGGCTGACGGGGAATCCCAACTGGGTGTTGCTGCTGCTGCTGATGCGGTGGCGGTTGCTGCTGTTGGTGGTGTTGCTGATGCTGCTGATGTTGTTGATGTTGTTGATGCTGCTGCTGCTGTTGCTGTTGCTGCTGTTGCTGTTGCTGTTGCTGCTGTTGCTGCTGCTGTTGTTGCTGCTGCTGCTGCTGCTGCTGCTGCTGCTGCTGTTGCTGCTGTTGCTGCTGTTGCTGCTGTTGCTGTTGTTGTTGTTGCTGCATCTCAGCAAACTGTTTGGATTGAGATTGGAAGTATGCCTGCTCGTAAGGAGCCAGGTTCCTCTGGTGATATTCCCGAACTTCCTGTGCGGCCATGGGGAACTGGACTTGAGGGAATTGGAGTTGCTGTGCAACCATCGGCCATAAGTTCATTGCGGTCACTTTCTTGGACCCGCCCATTTTCATAACCGTTCCATACAACTGCATGACATTGATGGGACGGCCACTGATGATAGGGTTGGGATCCAAAGGCAGGTTTCGTGACATCATGAATTTTTGTAACGTTCTCATAAACATCTCCGGATTATTAGGCTTGCCCATACTTTGCTGCTGCTGCTGCTGTTGTTGCTGCTGCTGCATCTGGCGAAGAGCAGCCATTTGCTGAGGATTCGCCATGGGGTTCATACCACCAGGTACTTGGGGGCGACCGGCCATTTGAGGGTTGGCACTCATTTGTTGGCTCTGCTGCATTTGCATTTGGCGAAGCCGCTGTTGCTGAGCCGCAATGGCTTGGTGATAGCCCTGGGGCACCTGCTGCATCCCATTAAATTGTTGTGCCTGCATCGGAGATTGCTGTCCCGCCGAAGTCATGCCAGGTCCCTGTTGAAATTGCGGGTTCATGGACTGAGGGAATGCCTGCCCGGGCATAAATTGGCCATTCTGCGGGGTGTTCACACGGCTGCCATCCGATTGCGAGGGTGACATGTGAGGGCCACCCACGTGCGGACCAGCCGGCGAATACGGGCTTGGTGAGGTAGTTCCCATGCGTACACTTTGTTGTTCAAAGTCTTGGATGATAGGCGACTGGGCCACATTGGGTGAGGCACCTTGTTGGAGATGTTGATAGGGTGTCGGATGTTGAGGGAACTGGGCGCCATTTGCGGGGCCTTGATAGCCGGGGAACGGTACTTGATGGGGAGTCTGCGATCGCGACCCAGTGACACCCGCACCGGGGGCAGGGCGCGGTGACATAGGCATTCCATCTTCTGGCCGTGGTCGCTTTGATGGGATTACCTGGTTCGGGTTGTGGAAACCCGGGGAGGCATTCCTTGGCACGCCATTGAACATGCGCTGGAACTGATTGGGGTCCTGGGGGGTGGGAGAGGCATGGAGAAAGGCGGCTGAGGGGTCGATAGTAGAGGGATTGAATGCGCCGTTTTCCTGGCCAGGAATGGTCGAGGCGTCGGCGAGCCAAGCGTTCATGTCGTGTGGTTTTTCCAACCCATCTACATCACGGGCAACGCAAGTTAGCAAGGTCCATTGAGTGGGCGCGTCATCATCGCGGTTAGAGCAACTCCGATCAATTTCATCTCCATCATCAATGGAAAACGCAGAATGACCCTCGCATCAATTTCCAAGATGGAATGAACGCGTCTTGAGCGGAGATGTTGAGGGTCTGCGCGCTCGATCGCGACACGCTCCCGGGGGGGTGGTCTCAGATCGAAGGGGGATGGGATCATAGCCGCAAAACGAATGATAACCATTGGGAAAGGTTCGAGGGGAAGGAAGAATAAATTGATATACATACCGACAAGGTTGGATCACTCAAATTCCCGACTTGCGATCGGATGGCTAAGGCCGGGTCCCGGAATTAGCAGATGGATCGAAGGGGAGAGAGGTTTGGACGGAGGTCCCGGGATCACGTGGTGTGGGAGCCTGAGGCGGGAACACAGTCACGAGGAGATAATCCTGAGGAAGGGCCAACGTTGGGGGGAGGGAGGTTCAGGCAGGGGGGTGGGAAGGTGTCGGGCTGGAAGGGCCTGTTGATCTTTCCTGAGGCCACGATAATAATGGTCCAGAAACCAGAAATCATAGACAAATGAAGGCTGGGGGTGTGCTGTCGGCGGGTTGCCCGGAAGAAGGGGGGAAAGGGGGAAAGTGGGCGGGTGCGTGGCCACAGGGCAATAGGGAGGGAAATTTGGGGGGAAGATATGGGGGGAAATGGGGGGTCAGAAAAGGCGCAATACAAGCAAACGGAAGCAAATAAAAAGGCGTACCTACCGTATACTTTTGGCAGCAAGCAAAGGCAGTTAGGGATGGAAGGGCGAAGTGGAGAGAAAAGAGGGAAAAATACAAAAATACAAAGAGACCCGTTCCCGTCATCACGGTCAGAAATGGCCCAGCTGGGTGGCTGCGATACCAGACAATACCCTGTATGATAAGTAATTCACCCGGCGGTGGTCCTGCGGCCAATGGGTTCGAGAGCGGACCGTAATCATCAATACACTGTTCATACTGTAACGTACACCGTCCTGTTTCTGGCTTTGCGTGTTCACTGTTTTTTAAATCGTCCAGAAAATGCTTCAGGAGGTTATGTGTTTCTTGTCCATTCATCACTTAAATGGGATGGAAACGTCCTGGCTGAATCTTTTGTCATGGTGAGTGGCCGTCCACGGGTTAGTAAAGTTGTTTGTTAGTCAGGTGGCCGTCTCGCCAACTATACGGGGGTATAGAGCGAGAAGAGAAGACATGGCCACGAAGATAAGAATCTCATAATTTCATAGAAGAGAGATCACCGAGATTTAGAACATCCATGTGAAGATGTGTATAGAAGGAGAGAAAAAAATCCTCTTTGCAGGCCGGAGATGCCAAATGAGCTCGGCGAAGATCCATTCCAACGGTCTTCGCCCATTCTGGTTAGTGTGTATACTCTTGCCGGCCAGCACTGGGTCACCCCAGCAGAGGCCAGAAAGTAGTGTTTAAATGTCCTTCAAAAAATGATTGCAGAAAATTAAGCGCACGAGATCGCAGTGAAGGGATTATTGGAAAGGAAAGAGGAAGGAAATCTTCACGTCAGGCACGGTGACCGGTACAGTTGGTGGGCGCGGCTCTCCTTATATAAAGCTCGGACTAGCGTCTGATAATCATGACGAGCGCAACCAATCCCCTGGTCACGCAGGAAACCAAGAGGCAAGAAAAGAAATGAGAAAAAAAAAGAGACTCCCCGCAGAATCAGAGCCGTTCCCAGGACCCAAAAGAAAATTCCGCCAAGAGGGCTTCCCCTAGTGGTGCAAGGATCCGACTAGATCCGCATGGGGCATCGTGATGGTTCTGTGCCTGTCCCACCTATTGCAACCACCGCTAAATCTGCCCAACCGCTACCAGGTTGGATAATCGATGAACCCAATTCTGGCCTTGGACTCCACTGTAAATAAACGGGATTTAGGCTTTCTCTCATGGCTCAAATGACATCGGAACCTTAGCGACAGAATGGCAGCACGAGCCCCCCGCGATCCTAGGTGGGTTTCGTTAATCAGCCAGGACCAAGGAAATAAGGAGTAATGGAAAGAATCTTAAACCTGCTTCCTCGGCTCGTTAGACAGGATCAGCTGTCTCAATCTGCGTTCAGCGGGCGTGCTGCCAGCGTCACCTCTACGAATCATCTCAAGACAGCCCCGACCATGGGGCTGATTGGCCATGGGCTGAAGTTGGGCCTGGCCCCAATACAGTCTATGGTGACCATGGGTTCCCGGGCGAAACAGCCACTCCTAATTACAATGTCTAGTTGACCATGTGCTGTCAGAGATGACCAGCCATGAATGGGGATAATTAGTTTACGGCGTAGCTTTTGTCAAATACGTAGGTTAGAGTGGTGCCTCGAGCATGCCCGCCAGTGTTCAGGTGTTCCGTGCAAAGTGTGGTGTGAGAGTCATTAAAATATATAGTCAACAAAGACAAGTGAGAATTTTATTGGAAAATGTGATTTCTTGAGTTTATCACAGATTGGTGACTACCCTACTTAGTAGATCATTACAAAGCCGCTGTTTTACCGACAAGTTCAAAATGGAAAGAATTTGGAAGAAGCACCATACTACTCCGAAGTTGTTCGTGGTCATAATGACCGAATCACGTGACCATCGATTAAGCTCCATGTTGCCCGATCCAAGCTCCAAGGCCGGGCTCATCATCATCTCCGGACCCTGCACAACGCGCCTTGCAACGTCAATCTACGACTCCAACCTCAAACAACATCCATCGTCTCCTATATCCTTTGGTTTTTCTTCCCCATCACATAGAAGATCGCAATCATGGGAGACGTCGCCGTGGAGAACCCGGCAAACAACGTCACGCCTCTCCCAAAGCCAGGTGCCTTGGATGCCCTTGCTAACCTGGACTCGCTGGAGGGCACTGGAGCCGATGGAAACGACGAATATGCCAACTTGAAGCGGCTACAGAGACACTTAGAGTTAGTGATGATGAGGATGTCCCCAATCCTCTTCAACGTTACTGACACCTTCGACAGATACATTCAGCTGCAGGAGGAATACATTAAGGATGAGCAAAGGTAAGTCTCCGCAACGTGTCGTGTTTTGGCAGCCGGACTAGATGACTGACCTCTGCGATTCAATATAGGAGCTTGAAGAGGGAGCTTGTCCGAGCACAAGAAGAGATCAAACGGATACAGAGTGTGCCACTGGTGATTGGACAGTTCATGGAGGCTATCGATCAGAAGTATGCTCGACCCTGCAAGTCGACAAGGGGGAGAGAGTGAGAGTATCTCTTGCTAACAGGATTCCTCCTAGTACTGGCATCGTGCAAAGCTCGACCGGGTCGAATTACGTCGTCCGCATCCTGTCCACACTCGACCGCGAGAAGCTGAAGCCCTCATCCTCGGTCGCCCTCCACCGTCACTCTAATGCGCTTGTCGATATTCTTCCCCCCGAAGCTGACTCCTCCATTGCGATGCTGGGTGAGAGTGAGAAGCCAGATGTGACCTACGCCGACGTGGGTGGTCTGGATATGCAGAAGCAGGAGATCCGGGAAGCGGTCGAGTTGCCGTTGACACACTTCGACCTCTATAGACAGATTGGTGGGCTCAACTATGACATTATATGGATGATGGAACCATGCTAATCTAACGATGCAGGTATCGACCCGCCCCGTGGTGTCTTGCTGTATGGACCCCCCGGTACCGGTAAGACCATGTTGGTCAAGGCCGTGGCCAACAGCACAACCGCCAGCTTCATTCGCGTGAATGGCTCCGAGTTCGTACAAAAGTATCTGGGTGAGGGTCCTCGTATGGTTCGTGATGTCTTCCGGATGGCGCGCGAGAACTCGCCTGCCATCATCTTCATTGACGAGATTGATGCCATCGCCACCAAGCGTTTCGATGCCCAGACCGGTGCCGACCGTGAGGTGCAGCGTATTTTGCTGGAGCTGTTGAACCAAATGGATGGTTTCGAGCAAACCAGCAACGTCAAGGTCATCATGGCTACCAACCGTGCAGACACCCTGGACCCGGCTCTGCTGCGCCCTGGTCGTCTGGACCGTAAAATTGAGTTCCCGTCGTTGCGCGACCGCCGTGAGCGCCGCCTGATCTTCACCACCATCGCATCAAAGATGTCTCTGTCGCCCGAGGTGGACTTGGACTCTTTGATTGTTCGGAATGAGCCGCTGTCAGGAGCTGTGATCGCTGCCATCATGCAAGAGGCCGGTCTTCGGGCGGTGCGCAAGAACCGATACAACATCATCCAGACTGACCTGGAGGATGCCTACGCATCCCAGGTGAAGAGTGGCCATGAGGATGACCGGTATGTGCCTTTTTGTCTCGCCTCGTGTCTACCAATGTCTTTTCTTTTTCTTACTGATTTCGTTACAGTCTCGATTTCTACCGGTAAGCTCTATTTTGCTGGGGGCCGAGTGTATGCGGGTGGTGAAAGCGTGGCTCGGACTGTTGTATTATCAATAATCTGTGATACTTGGAATACATGCGATATTCAATTTGTAAGGCATGACTCGTGACAAGCTGCGATGTGGTAGGAAGCATTCCGTACCACGTAAGGGTCAAGCGATACGCAAAAAAATTCAGCTGGATTGTACCACGCATGGTCTTTGAAACAGTATCATACCGGGTATAGGAAGGCATCGATCAGGCTGCCAGTATGGTTTCAATACTGCTTGCTATGAGGGTATGATACGTACGATTTGGACCTGTTGATGACCACCCTCTAGATAAGCAGACCCGTAGTCTGGAAATGATCTCCACCCAGCGTAGATAGGTCGATAACCTACAAGGATATAATTCTTGATTTCGGGTCCTGGGGAGTACTCTAGAGCCTCAATTAGCGTCCAGGAGGTTCACTCAGTATACCTAGGCGGACTAGTCCGGTTTCCTGGTCACGCTACCGCTCCAGCGACCTTGCAGAGAATGTCCTCCGGAGCTGTCGCCACCTCATTCTGCATCTGCCAGGTACGGCGCTTCGACCGTCTCCCTGGTTATCCCCGGTTAGCGCCAAGCAGGCAAACGCCCAGCCACCTCCTCCTTTCCACTCTCCTTTCCACTGTTCACGATGTAGCAAGGGGGGAAGTCTTTCCTCGGTATAGAGAGATCAATCAAAATGTACGGCTAGTATTTATAATGGGGTTCTATATTCTTGTTTGTGCTGGACATAACGAGGGGAAAACCGGACTAGGGACAATCCTCTAAATAGGTAAGTCCCAGAGTGTAACCCCAACTGGGTTGGGTTGACCGTGGTCGGCCCAGCTGATTCCGGTAATGACGCACTCCCATCACGTTATGCCGATCGGTTCCTCCAGGCTCCGCCCCCAGCCCGTCCTTATCTTCCCTCACCTCCTCTCCATCGTTATCATCCTCCTCATCACACACCACCATGAAGTCCTTCACTCTGCTCACAGCCTCTGCGCTGTTGGGCGCTGCCTCTGCTGAGGTCCACAAGCTCAAGCTCAACAAGGTCCCGTTGGAAGAGCAGCTGGTGAGATCAGCCTATCCCCGCCGGAAGCGGTGCCTCGTACCCGAAAGCTAACAACAACCTCATCACAGACCGCTGCCAACATCGACAGACATGTTCAGTCGCTGGGCCAGAAGTACATGGGTTACCGCCCTTCTTCTAGCTATCAGGACACCTCCGTCAAGCCCGATGGCGGTCACAACGTACTGGTCGACAACTTCCTGAACGCCCAGTGTAAGCAGATCGTCTCCACACCAACCATGAATCCACTCCCTTGCCCTACAGTCATCCTCAATCATCTGTCAACCACAATCAATTAAAGCACCTTACTAACTCCACCTAGACTTCTCCGAGATCACACTGGGTACCCCTCCCCAGACCTTCAAGGTTGTCCTTGACACTGGTAGCTCCAACCTCTGGGTACCCTCGTCGCAGTGCAACTCGATCGCCTGCTTCCTCCACAGCAAGTATGACTCGTCTTCGTCGACCTCATACAAGAAGAACGGCACCGAGTTCGCCATCCAGTACGGATCTGGTAGCCTGAGCGGCTTCGTGTCCCAGGATACCCTGCAGATTGGTGACCTGGAGATCAAGCACCAGGACTTTGCCGAGGCGACCGAGGAGCCTGGTCTGGCTTTCGCCTTTGGCCGTTTCGACGGTATCCTGGGTCTGGGCTTTGACACCATCTCCGTCAACAAGATGGTCCCTCCCTTCTACAACGCGCTCAACCAGGGTCTCCTGGACGAGCCCGTCTTTGCCTTCTACCTTGGTGACGCCAACAAGGAAGGTGATGAGTCCGAGGCCACTTTCGGTGGTGTTGACAAGAGCCGCTACACTGGCGAGCTGATCAACATTCCTCTCCGCCGCAAGGCGTACTGGGAGGTCGACTTTGATGCCATCACCCTCGGTGACAGCACTGCCGAGCTGGAGAACACCGGTGTTATCCTGGACACCGGCACCTCGCTCATTGCCCTGCCCTCCACCATGGCCGAGCTCCTGAACAAGGAGATCGGCGCCAAGAAGGGCTTCACTGGCCAGTACAGCGTGGACTGTGATAAGCGTAGCAGCTTGCCCGACATCACCTTCACTCTCGCCGGCCACAACTTCACTATCGGTCCCTTCGACTACACCCTCGAGGTCCAGGGTTCTTGCATCAGCAGCTTCATGGGCATGGACTTCCCCGAGCCCGTTGGTCCCCTGGCCATTCTGGGTGACGCGTTCCTGCGCAAGTGGTACAGCGTGTACGACCACGGCAAGGGCTCCGTTGGTCTGGCCAAGGCCAAGGCCAACTAAATGCGTCTATCCACTATTACTCTAGGAGGGAAGCTGTAGCCGCGGACAACCCTGAAGACACGAGCCGAGCTCATCGTTCGTATATACGCAATGTACATGCTGCTTTTCTCCCGGGGAGAACCTGTCGTTTGTAAAGGTGCCTGCTCTTATCATCCGCGCCTCATGGCTTACAAGCATATTTGGTTCAATTCTTTTCCTGTTTATGCTGTTCCTTGCATGGGCACAGTCCTTCCTGGGTATTTGCTCTCTGAAAATCGCGCAGATTGTCAAGAGCATGGATTTACTTGTTGCATTTTTGTTGAATTTGTCTCGCTTTTACCAATCAATTCTCCTCCTAGCTCTGAACCTTAATTTACTCCTTTTGTTTTTGTAGATTTCAGGTGTTTTTTAACCTGTATAAACTGCTTGGTGCGTATAATAGTCGCTCCAATGGCCGTGGGCGGAGGAGCTTCGATGGAGCCAGAGGTCCGTGGCTGTAGCATCCTACTCGAATGGCCAATCATGAGTGCTGTTCAGCCCAAGGGAGTCTAAATCAGGGACTTAGCTGCAAAAAGCACCTGGTAGAAGACCAGAGACTATAATACATAGCTGTACTATAAAATAATTCATATTAAGCACTTCGTTGTCGAGTCCTAAGCTCCACCATTTAATGTGGTGCTCCCCCGGAGCCGATGGGATGTTGACATAAGCAGAGCTCCTTCAAAAGGAAAGCCGGTTGAGCCTGTCCCCGCACAAGTTCCCGGACTGAGCTCTTCCCTTCTCCAATCCGCACCGAACAAACACACCCATCCATCCCCAACAACACCTGCGCACCGTCGCTTGAAGCACTCAGTGCGTGTATCATCTCTTCTGATCTTTCCACGCACCACAATCTACAAAGCGCACTTTTCCCTCTACACCTCTGCGTTCGTGTGGCGATATCCAACCACTCGACTGCCTAACAACTCCACCCACGTGCTGGTGAACTCGTCCTTGCTCCAGCGGCAATACTTCATCCATCCTACTTAAATCTCAATCACCTCATATCTACTACTCTTTTCTGCGATTCTCTCCCGTCGTCGTTGTCGTCACGCGTCTCGTGTCGGGCATGGCGCTGTAGCCAGCGCACGCGATCAAGCTCACACGATATCCGCGCTTTCTATTGACGCGATTTCAAGAAGCGGAGGGCCTCCGTGCAATCTTTGCTGACAGGCCCGACTGAGATTTCGAGTGAAAAGGTGGATTTCAATCGCTTAGGGGCGGACTGGGAGCCAAGATGCAGCTCCGGTTGCCCCCCAGCCTGCACTATCCTATCACCGTGACCTCTCTTCTGAAGAAGGAGGGGGACACGGTGGAGCGGGATGAGGCTATCTTCTGGTACATTTACCAAACTACTGTGGAGGAGGGAGACGGGCTGGGAAACCAGGTGATGGTCAAGCGCAAGTTTCCGACACGTTTTGAATCTACCGTGGATGGCACAGTTGTGAAATGGAATATCGCTAAGGGCGATGTTATTGATGAACCGTGAGTCATATCGTCTGATGCTTGCTCCAAATTTGTGAACTGTCACTGATCACTCGTCTTTAGTGTGGATGTGGTCGAGGTTGAGGAGCCGTGTGCACATGAGGTCCAGTTCGGTGGGATGTGCGCCGAATGTGGCAAGGATATGACTGAGTATGTATATTCGTCCAATCTCCGACCTCAGACGAGAGAATTTAATTTTCATCGCAATACTGACTGAGTCTCTTTTTCCCTGTTGGGTAGATCGACCTACAACACTGAGATCTCGGAAACCTTCCGCGCTCCCATCCAGATGACCCATGACAACACCACGTTGACCGTCAGTGAGAAGGAAGCCACCCGTGTCGAGGAGGATGCCAAGCGTCGTCTTCTGGCGTCCCGACGTCTGTCGCTAGTGGTGGATCTGGATCAGACAATCATCCATGCCACCGTTGATCCCACAGTCGGGGAATGGAAGGACGACAAAGATAATCCAAACTATGATGCATTGAAGGATGTTCGGTCTTTCCAATTGGTTGACGATACTCCCGGGGCGCGCGGATGTTGGTATTACATCAAACTCCGACCTGGACTGGAGGAATTCCTGGAGAAGGTCGCCGAACTCTTCGAGCTGCACATCTACACAATGGGTACTCGAGCATATGCCCAGAACATCGCTGACCTGATTGACCCAACGCGCAAGCTCTTCGGAGACCGCATCCTGAGCCGTGACGAGAGCGGAAGTTTGACGGCCAAGAACCTGCAGCGACTCTTCCCGGTGGACACCAAAATGGTCGTCATTATTGACGACCGCGGTGACGTGTGGCGATGGATCCCCAATTTGATCAAGGTCGTTCCCTATGACTTCTTTGTCGGAATTGGCGATATCAATTCCAGCTTCTTGCCGAAAAAGCAAGAGATCGCGGTGCCATCTAAAGCAAGAAGAGGATCGAAAGAGAAGGGGAAGGAGAAGGAGCTGCAGGAACACCATGTCAACGGAGCAACGATGAGGACAGGGTCGGAGACGGAGGTCTCGGCTTTGGAACAGCTGGTGACGATGGGTGGAGGTGATGACCCCAGACTTTTGCAGGAGCAGACAGACGCACAGGAGGAAACGATCATGCATCAAGTTGAGGATCGTCCTTTGCTGCAGAAACAAAAAGAGCTAGATGCAGACGACGATGCGTCTGCCGATGGCAGCGAATCGTCTTCCAGTGGGGATGAGTCGCAGGAGACAGCCAGACCTCGACACCATCTACTGGTAGACCATGATACGGAGCTTTTCCAGCTTCAAGAACGTCTGGAAACGGTACATAAGATCTTCTTTGAAGAGTATGACAAAAAGAGAACACACGCTCTGGGTGGCCGTGTAGCCGCCCTCCGCGGCGAGAAAGCCCTCTCGAAAGACAAAGACGTGGACTTGAAACTAGTCCCCGATATCAAGGACATTATGCCCCTGTACAAAGCTCAAGTACTCGGCGGTGTCGTGGTGGTTTTCTCCGGCGTGATTCCGCTGGGTCAAGATCTCCAGAACGCAGAAGTCTCTCTTTGGGCAAAGACATTCGGCGTAGTCGTCCAGAAGAACATCGGCAAGCGCGTAACACACCTGGTCGCTGGCCGAAATCGCACCGCCAAAGTGCGGGAAGCCACGCGCTGGCCAAACATCAAGATCGTCACAACGCAATGGCTCTACGACTCTCTTATCAACTGGAAACACCTGGACGAAGACCCTTACCTGTTACCTGTCCACCCAGATGACCGAGGCGAGCCCCTCTCGCCCGGTTCCCGCGAACTTGTCGATAGCTCGTGGATTTCTTCTTCGGACGAAGCGACGAACGTGACCGATGATGACGCCGGCGACGAGATGTTCAAGGAGGCCGGGTTGACCGAGTCCTCGGCCCTCAGCTACGACGAGGACGACCAGGCAGCGGTGCACGATGAGCTGAAGGAATTCCTGGGCAGCGACGACGAAAGCGAGAGCGACAGCGAGCTCTTGGCGGAGGAAACGACCGAGCCGAGTCGCAAGCGCAAGCGTGGGGAAGGAAACGAGGGAAACGCCGACGAGGAATCAACCGATGAAGACGGCGACGAGTCAGATCCCAAAGGCTCACGTCTTTCGCAACGCATCAAGCGTTCCTATGAGCGGAGTACTGGTCTTAGAGAGGTCGCTACCGCCGGAGGTTCGGAGACGGAAGAGACGCGGTTTGAGAAGGGACAATTCTCTGCCCCGGATGATGACGACGAGGGAGAAGAAGTGGCCGCTTCTGCTGTTGGTGAACAGGAGACTCAGTCTGACACGGCCGTTGACGAATCGGACGCGGATGATTTTGAGCGTGAGATGATGGCAGCGTTTGATGATCCGGATTACAGCAAGGAATCCGGTGCTGACGAGGCAGCTGCCGAGTAAACCTAGAGAGCCGCATCTGTTTGCCCTAGGCTATCGTGGCCTATTCCGATGCTTCGTGATAACTCTACGGCGTTACGGTTTCAGTGCCCCTACGTTCTATCTTCATCTTTCTCCTTCCCGGTGTCCTGGACTTGTCTGTAGTCATAGCTGATTTGTGCAGTTGCGATGCGTGCGTAGCATAGCGGCGGCGTTTGTCAGAGTCTTTTTTGATATTCTATTTGTGTATCTCTGTATTTTCTTGTCAAAGGTAGCTAGTGTTCCATACAAGAGGGGTTGTGCGCCCCGGATCTTGCTAGGTATGGTTCCAAAAAATGAGGATGTCCTTCATGAAAAGTAATCAATGCCTGACTGTAGTAATTAGTCAATGGGGATACAAATGCACCGGTGAAATAATTTAAGCGTATGGGTCGCCCGGGAAGATTTCAACAAGAGTACTTGTACTTAGTTTTCGTACTCTGGATTCTCGAATTGGAATTACTACTATGTTTCTATGTTTTGTGCTTGCGCAATGGCGGTGGATAAATTCTTACTGGGCCAAACAATTTGAACCTGAGAGAGACTACTACAATGGTTGGATATAAGTTTTGTGAGAGTAGGAAGTTGTATTCAGTAGGTAAGGTTCAGGTCTGAAGAATGTAGAGAACAATGATATTCATGGTTAGAACATCCGAATTTGTGTGTGTAGGTGTCTGTGAAGAGTCCAGGAGACTCCACTTTCCTTCCCAGCATGATAGTGATGTCGACTTTGGCCAGAGTACGCTTCGTGGTTGATTGCTGCTGTGTACTCGTTGTGTTTGTTTGGACGGGGTTTGGTTCAAGCAGTTGGATTTGTGGTTTGGGGTTTGCAAGGCTTTAATAACTTTGAGAGACCGAATCGTTCGAAATGTGGTCAAGTCTAGGACATCCATTGTTAGCATGTGTTATGAATGGGGCTGAGAATTCACTGACCTTGGCTCGTGGGAGGGGACACTGACGAAGATTTTGGGTATCCGAAGTGCATGACAATGATTGCAGGTCAATGTGTCAAGCGGTGGGTTATTGATGGGGATTGATGGTCTTCTTTTGCGGATTTGTCGTGACCAGACCAACTGTGTGACTCCTATTCAGGAAGAAATCAGTGAGCCAGATGGTGGAAGGATTGGTAGGATGAAGAGACGAATCTGTGACGGAGTCAGTAGCAAAAAGGTAGGGTAGTGCAAACAACTTTAGGAGGCTGAGATGTGTGGCAGTGGAGACTCGTATTGTAGACGGTTGTTCAACCACGCCCTACACAGGCTGGACGCCAAGTTCATGGTCACCGAGGTTCACTTAAGAACGTTAGTGTAGGCTCCTAATGAGATTGTCAGCCGATGCGAAGAAGGTTTCAACTCTAGCCGGTTCATACCTGTTTGTTTGACTTTTCATGCCAACAAGAGATTGAGGCGAGAAGACGAAAGACCAGAAGGTGGAAGGTCAGAATGTGGAAGGTCAGAATGTGGAAGGACAGAATGAGGAGGGCCAGAATGAGGAGGGCCAAGGTGGAGGGCCAAGGAGGAGGGCAATCTTGATTCATTGCAAAGATGGAAAATGGTATCAGAGGCGGACACGTTGTGAAGAGAAAGTGTCCGGAGAATGGAGGAATCTATAACGGAATCAGTAGCAAAATTTGGGTAGTGCAAACCAGGAGGCTGAGATGTGTGGCAGTGGAGACTCGTATTGTAGACTATCGGTCAACCACGCCCTACACAGGCTCGACACCAAGTTCATGGTCATCGAGGCTCACTCAAGAACGTTAGTATAGGCTCCTGATGAAATTGTTAGCTAACCCGAACATTGAGACGCTAGATGGTCCATACCTTTTTGTTTGACTTTTTATGCCACCAAGGTATTGAGGCCGAGGATTGAAAGGCCAGAGATTGGAGGGGCCAGAGGTTAGAAGGCCAGAGGTTGGAAGGCCAGAATGAGGAGAGCCAAGGTAGAGAGCCATCTTGATTGATTGCAACGGTGGAAAATGATATCAGAGGCGGACACGTTGTGAAGAGGACGTGTTCAGAGGGTGGATGGAGGAATCTATGACGGAATCAGTAGCAAAAGTTGGGTAGTGCAAACCAGGAGGCTGAGATGTGTGGCAGTGGAGACTCGTATTGTAGACTATCGGTCAACCACGCCCTACACAGGCTCGACACCAAGTTCATGGTCATCGAGGCTCATTCAAGAACGTCAGTGTAGGCTCCTAAGATATGAGATTGTTAGCTGGTTCGAAAAACATCGAGACGGTTGAAGAGGTGATACCTTTTTGTTTGACTTTTCATGCCAACAAGGAATTGAGCCCAAATGGTGAGAGGCCAGGCCGAGAGGATGAAGTCTTTTTGATTTGTTCATTGTTTTGTGGCAGTTGTTGTTGTTGTTGTTGTTGTTGTTGTTGTTGTTGTATTGTGTGTGTGTGTGTGTGTGTGTGTTGGTTTTTTTTTTTTTTTTTTGGTTGGTGGAAAGTGGGAGGCCAATTTATGGCAGTGACTGGAGGGTTGTTGACATGATGAGGTGTTATGAAAGAGGCAGAGGTCTTGTGAGTCGAAGTCCATGTGGTAGAGGGACCAAATATGAGAGACCGGAAATTGAGACGTCGTAGGGTCCACGGTGAGATGAGGAAGTGAAGTGTTGTCAAGTCGGTGAGAGGAATGAGGAGGGAGACGTCATGAGAGGGAAGAGTCAGAAGGGGATAGGGGACTTGTGAAAGAGGAAGAGTCATTGATACCGTAGCTAGTATCTGACAAGGGCAGTGATTGATGATCGATATGTCAGGGAAAGGAAGAAGTAATCTCAATCGATAGAGAGTACCAGCAGAGGGATAAACGAGGAGGCTGAGATGTGAAGCAGTGGGACTCTGAGGTCAACCATGCCCTACACAGGCTCGGCAACAAGGTCATTGCTACCGAGGTTCACTCAAGAACGTTAGTGTAGGCTCCTGTTGTTGAGGGTGTTAGTCAAATTCAAGATGGATGAGGACATGTGGAAGTAGACTGACCTGTATGTTTATATTTGCGAGCCACCAGAAAGGGGATGTTGACGTGACACCGTGGTAGTGTGAGCTCACAAGGCACCGGACGCGTCGAAGCCGAGACCCGCTGATAGAAGAGGGTAGCCAGGAAAGATTTGAATGACGACAGGAGGTCAGGAACCAGGATGATGAGGATCAAGACCGGAGAAGAGCAGGCACCACAGCAGCGAAGTGGGAGAAAGTCAAAACAAACTGCTTGAGCTTTCTTTTGGTGCGGGTGAAGGGCTTCTTTGTGGTGGACTTCATGTTGAAGCCTGATGAGAGAGGTTGATAAAGGAGTTGATCAAGGCTTGAAGAAGATCGAGTGTGAGTTGAAGTGTTCGACAAACAAAGTGATGAAGGGCCCAGGTGGATGAAGGTTGGGTGTGAGTTGAGGTGTGTGGCAACAGCGCAAGGTAAAGTCCAGATAGATGATGAAGGTTGAAGGTTGAGAGTTGGATGGGTGATGGATGGTTGGGGGTGGACTGGGGAGAGTGGAAATTCTTGGAGGAAGGAGAAGAAAAAGGACAGTTTGTGGAGGTGGGAGGAGATGTTTATACCTGAGGGGGAGTCCTTATTTATACTTTTGAAATTCAAAGTTCGAGCTAGCGAATAGGCTATATTTCCCAATTGGGATGTGAATAGCCTCACTGCTGCCTTTGGGATGCCTCGTGATGGGGGTAAACATCGCGAGCGCGGAGCATACGTGTCACGCGTTTTTAATGCTCGAGACTTGCACCGATGGAGGGAGACCATTGGCATATTGCATGGCCCTCGAGCTTGCATACAACACAGGATATCAAAATGCATCTACAAGCATGATAGATCATATAGAGGAAGGATGGCATTAACGACACGACAGAATAGTTCATGAGGAGCGCCCCCACTTCAATATGGAATGCTACATTCGAGATTTACAAAATATCAGTAGAGTCCTTGGTGTGTATAAGCCTATGTTCTAGAAAAGATATTGGAAAATGCCATCGAAAAGACCATCGAAAAAACCGGAAAGAAGGGTAATAGTAGGAAAGGGAGTAGAATGATAACCTAGTCTATTATAATAAATAAATAGAGGTTGCGTATATAGTGAAAAGCTGCAAGAAGGGAATCGCACGATAGGATGGAATAGACACGCTAGAGATGGAGCATAATACAGAGCATGGCATGCATCTCAACGCCATATGTCATGCAAGAAGATGGTATCACATGAGTAGATGGGAGAACAGATCGGATATTAAGCATAAAAGGGCGTGAAGATCAGAAGCATCAAGCATAAGTAACATCAAAAACATCAGTGATAAAAGTCCCGATGGACCTGCCACGACATGATCATCATCCACAGGTAGAATATCGTATTGACGAGCTCGAACGCAAAGGCTGTTTTCCAGCAATTACCTGCGACGGATAGTTAGATGGACTGCGCAACACACGAGGATGGAAGAGATGGAAAATAGAGAGACTAACAGATCGTGCTTTGCGTCAGCCAGGCCAGTGTGTTGATGCTGTTTCCCCGAGACTCATTCTCCACTACCCAGATCTGACAATTATCATTGACATTGCCAGACACACCATACAGCTGTAATGCAGTCTCGATTAAACCTGTCAACCAGAGCACGAAGAGAATGAAGCTGCCAACGATAAGGATGCCAGGAAGCAGTGGTCCTCGTGCAATGAGGACTTGAACTAGGAAAAAAAAAGTCACGCCGAGGGCGCTCACGACGACCATGTATGGGAACAGCCTGTGGGTTCAAAAAGTCAGTACTAAAACAATCTATGGAATCGATAGTTGGAGTCTAAAAATTGACAAAAATCGACCTACCAAGGGGTTCCCAAGTCCATCTGCGATTGCACGATCATGAACCAAGAGAAGATTCCCAAACATGTTGCCGAGGCAGACAGTACCACGATCAACCAAATATTGAGCTGAATCTCCGGCCAGTGATGGAGACGTCTAGTCTCATGGCGCACGCGAACAGCTTTCATTGTGCCCGCCATTTAGTCGGAAAACAACAGTGTCGCAGTTAGATGCTTGTCGTCCGTTGCGATAACGGGTATTGAATTGGATACAAGCTCCGTCCGTGGCACTCGATATATAACCACGGATCAAAATGCGCTTGTGCCCGATACACCGTCTTTCTCGAGCCTTCGATGGGCAGTAGCCAGGTCGTGAATAGAATGCGACCCAAGAGTGGGTATCGTAACCAATTCGGCCTCGAGCTTGAGGCGAGTAGTGAATGGATGGATCGGTGCCAGGTGGGCTTCGGGGGAGTGGAATGCGGGCGATAAGGGCTGACAGCGCATCGGGCGCCAGTAGGCGCAGGGTGGAGAGATGGACTCGAGCCTAGGACGTAATGACTGTTGTACGTTTGTCGCAGGAATGCAAATATCGCAACGGTGATGGTATGCGGGGGAAAACAGCCAAGACGTGGGTGGTGATTTAGACAGAAAAACCGAAAGTCGCAGGTTGCCAGGAGGGGCGGGCTTGTTGATGATCGGCGAGAAATTGAGGTGGCAGGGGATCTTGAGTTGATTGAGTTTAGTCCCTCGGAAAGCATGCTTTGACCATGTTTCTTTTACGCGTTACCCGCCTACCCGCATCCACTTGCAGCGTCATCGGTCGAGGGAACTCTTGTATTTTCTATACTGTAGCTCTTCTTTTTTCTAATTCAAAAAACCCACAGGAAAATCTAGATTCCAAAACAAAAAAACAAAATCGTGCAAGTCATTACAAAAGGGTATCGCCGAGGGCACTCCGCACCAACGAGCATCCAGCACGGATGGTTTCGGCAGCGCCCACAGCCTCTAAGCTGGGGTTCACCTCGACCAGATCCATGGCAACTAAGTTGCCGGTCTCGTGGACACACTCGCAGATGAAATCGCCCTCACGGAGAGTCAGACCACCACGGACCGGAGTACCGGTGCTGGGCGCCCACTGCGGGTCCAGCGCATCAACATCGAACGAGAGATGGATGGGGGTATCGTTGCCAATGTGAGCGAGGGCCATCTCGACGACGCGACCAATGCCGTGGCTATAAAGCGAAAAGAATTAGATATTAGCCGTGTTGCCATACAAAAGGAATGGGGGTGGAGAAGAACGTACCGGTCAATGTCGTGCATGCTGAAAGCCTTGATACCATTCTCGCGGAGAATCTTCTTCTCACCACGATCCACATCCCGCAGACCGATGTACACCAGCTTACGGGTGCTGATGATGTGCTCATCCTTCAACCAGCCAAAGATATCAGGACGATCGTCCCGGGCCAGCCGGGTCAGGAACGCCATGGGCATACCGTGAATGTTACCGCTGGGGCTCATCTCGGGGACGTTGATGTCGGCGTGAGCATCAACCCAGATGACGGCCATCTCACGACCCAATCGCTCGCGAATCGCCTTGGCTGTGCCGGAGACGGTACCGATGGCGATGGAGTGGTCGCCGCCCAGGGTCAGCACGAACTTGCCGTCCTTGGCGTGGTTGTAGACTTGCGAGCTGAGGCGCTCGGTCACGGCACTGACAGCGCGGGGCTTCTTCATGTTGCGGTGATCCGGGTCCTCAGCAGGGATGTCCTTCTCGTAGTAGTGGATGATGTCGTCGTGGTGGATTTCGTAGTCGAGATCCTCGCGCAGCTGAGTGAGCAGGCCGGACTCGATCAGGGCCATAGGCGCGGCCTCGACGCCCTTCTTCATCTAAACAGCCGTGGTATTAGCCTGTCTCTCAGTACTGAAAGCGTTGATAGCAGCTTCTTACCTGTCCGCCATTGAAGCCGACAGCAACCACGCCCAACGTGTTGGGGTGGGTAAGGAACCGGGAGGCGATAGTAGATGGCTGCGTCATCGTGCTTGATGGGCGGATGTGGTTTGCAGTATGCGGTATGCAGGGCTATTTGCCGAACACGGACGAGATATCTGCGACGAGGTCGAGAATTGCTGTCTGGGCAACGAAGACAAGACAAGACAGGGAAAAAAGATTCGGCGACCCAAAGATTTCCAGATCGCAAAGTCCGATCTGCGATAAGATAAACAGTGGATCACAGAGGGGGGAGGTGGGACGGAGGTATGAAGAGGCTCGGAGTATAACAAGAAGACTCTATTGAATCAAGACAAAGCACGAGAGATGATGAAAAGAAGAAGAAAGAATTGAAATGCAACAGGAGATAATCTGCTTCTTTATAACCCTTTCCCCCCTTTCCGAGTCGCGGGCCATGCTTTCATTCCTGTGACTGCGCAGTCGCTAAAAACTGCTTTTAGGGATCATCGCGCTCCGCCGGGTACTCCATCACTTCCGTTAAGTACAGGTTGAGGAGAGCGGCCCCGTTTAGGGCCCTTTGCCGTCCCACTGCGTTGCAATTTCACTTTTTAGTGAGAAGCGAAGCCGGAGGAATGTCGTAATGGCGTCGGAGAGACTTGAGAGATTTCGAGGGAGGGTAAAGCGCGTCTGCGGCGGTAAATGAGGCACGAGAACTTGCGTTGTATAGGGTGCGAATCTACGGACTACAGCAGAGCAGGTCTTTCCCTCCCCCCCCCGGATCGAGTGAGACGCAAAGTTCAAAATAAGTACGGGTATCATGAAAGAAAAGGCTATGTAGTACACGTATTCATACACGGGATGTCTTTAAGGCCTGGGGTGGCTCTACTGCTTCCCCAGGATGAGCTCGTGGAGAATCTCCTGGGCCTTGGGCGCCTCAACGCGGCCCTTCTCACCCAAGCGCATCATCTGGCCTAAGAACCAGCCCATTTTCCCCAGCTGGTTCTTGCTGCGGATCTGCTCCACCATTTCTGGCCTTTGCGCGAGAACCGTCTCGGCCAGCGCTACGTACTCCTCGCGGGAAAGTGGCCGCAACAAAAGATTGTCTTCCTCCAGCAGCTGAGGCACCGGCCGCCGATCACCGTCAAATACCGCTGCCAGGACTTGCTTCGCAATAGATCCCGTGATGCGCTTCTGTTGCAGATGGTCAACGAGATCCGCCAGTGCCCGGGCCGGCACGGCCTCGCTGTCCCAGGGCCGGTCCGCCTTGGTCAACAGACCGCCGAGCTCGTGGAGAACCCAATTACCCGCGATTCGCGTGACAGCCGCCTGGGTCTGGGGATCCTGGTCGGGGTGAAGAGACCGGAGGGTATCCACTACATCCTGGTAATACTCCAGTCGAGCCCCGTCATCCAGCTCAATCAACGGCTTCGCGTCTTCGATTGAAAGACCGTATTCGGGACCGATCAGGTGTGCCACCAGCGAATCTGGGGAGGTCGGCAACGTCTCCGCCAGACTAGAAATGAGATCTTCCCCAATGACCAACGGAGGAATATCTGGATCTGGCATGTAGCGGTAGTCGACCGCGCCCTCTTTCCCTCTCAACCGGCGTGTCTCGGTGCTGCCAATGGTCCATCCACGGGTCTCCCCTTCGATCACACCGCCGCTCTCCAGAACCGCAATCTGACGGTTCTTCTCCGCGACAATGGCATCTTCCACCGCCTTGAAACTGCTCAGATTCTTGATTTCCGTGCGCTGACCAAGTCCACCGATCCCATCGTATTGATGCTGCCCCGGGGCCTCCCCTCGACGGCGGATCGAGACGTTGACGTCGGCTCGTAAACCACCCAGTTCCATCCCCGTTGTCACGGCACCGCATGCTTGTAAAATCGCTTGGAGTTTTCGAACGCAGGCGGCAGCGGTCGCGGGGGTATGGATCTGCGGCATGGTAATGATCTCGATCAGCGGATGGGAGACGCGGTTGAAATCGAGGAGCTGTGTTGCAGGCGGGTATTCTTGGGATTTGGCAGTATCCTGCTCTAGCTGGACCTGTTTGATGTCCACACGAACCCGATCACCATCCTCCGGGGCAATGCCATCATAGTCATATAGGTCGACGTATCCATTCCGTGCGAAAGGCTCTATAATAACTTAGGTTGGCAAACTGGCCGATCGATGAGCATCAGCGGGACAACACCAACCATAATATTGTGTGATTTGATAACCAGCCGGCTGGTCTTGGTAGAAATAGTGTTTGCGATCGAATCGGCTGACGGGCTGAACCTGACAGTTCAAGGCGATGGCGGCGCGGAGGGCTGGGAGGAGGGTAGCAGCTTGGAATTCCTGTGTCGAATGAGCCCTCGGACTCTCTCTCTCTCTCTCTCTCACCATCCACCAGAAGGAGTCCAATACGAACCGGCTGACTGCCCGGGAAGGCAAGGTCGAACAAGGCGACATTAGAATTGGGGGTATCGCTCGTAGATGTCGGGGCACCTGCTCCAGAACAGGGACGATAAGCCAAGCTGCCCAACCAACAGGATGTGGATGCACGGGTGAGTACTCACGAGAGAATAGTTTCGCTTCCGTATCCAGTTGCGCGTGGATCTCAACGCCCACAGTCAATTCCCATTCCTGCCTAGAGGCTTCCTCGGACTCTTTCCGCAGCTTCTTCTGTGCCCTGAGAGCTTTGGCCTCTTGCTTGAGCTGCTTGCGGAGGGGTACGCGGTCTGTCGACGCGGCGGACTGGAGACGGCGAGTCGTAGAGAAACGAGCGGCATTAACCTGGGACGAAGCCAACAATGGCCGATTCGCCCGGCAAAGAGCGCGGACAGCGCCGCTGGGCCATGGCCGGAGCATGGAGAGAGAAATTGGACTGTAAAGGCCGTTGGAGGACTCGATCAAAAAAGATGCGGAACTCGGGAAGAAGACGATCTGCGGACCGCCTGCGATGACGGGGGGGCCGCCCCCAGCTTGTCTCAATATAGTAAACTATAGTTAGTAACGCTAGTTAATTAACTAGCTACAAAGACTATGACACTAAAGAAGAAACTATACTATTTTCTATATCAATTGATGATACATGACAGTTATTGCAACCCTGACAATTGGGGCCCATCTGTACTTGATCAAGTCGACTAGAAAGCAAAGCTGGATTCGATGGCGGGGAAAACCCACTGGACTCGTGTGAACATGCAACTGGCAACTGGCAGGGTGTCCAGGTGTCCCGAGTTCATTGCCATGGACCCGACTTGCAGGACACAATCGTGGACAACTTCCCACCAAACCGAAATCCACGCCTCTTCTCTCCTTTCCCCACAGTACTGCACGACAGAAGCAATCCTGCACGACACGACCACAAGACGGAAAGGCATGAACGTGGCAATGCTCCATCAATGACCCCCAAACCCCCAGTTCCCATGCTTGGAACATTGGGGCCGGTAGACCGCCAGATGCGCTGGACGCAAGGAGATGATCGACAAGCGAATCGCCAGCGCATGGATTCCCCAAATGGCTGGACAACGTCCAGACCCATGCATTAGGATTCGGATCGGATAGGAACCCCGGCTGATTTGTTGCGTTCTGACTGGCCCACTCCATGGCATCACACAGGCCCAACGAGCAGCCCATCATCCCGCTAGTTCCTGGTAATCAACTCAATCCCCGGTTCCTTCGTTCTTCACATCGTACGCGGTACAACGAACATCTTCCAAAGAGTCACGACTATCCCGAGAGGATTGACTCTACCAAGACCACCTGGCTGGCCTTCCTTCGGAGATCGACAGGGATTCAAGGTACCTCCTTGCGACTTCACGGTCATTGGCTGCCGATCTGAAGCCCTGGGCGCTTCTCATCTGCCTCAGATTGTTTGGGGATTCCCGGTGCGACGAATTGTAACCCTCCATTCCCCAGCTACCTGCCCTGGGTCTCTCGTTTTAGCACGACACCCGGTGAAACGAACATTGTCGGGCCTTGGGGGCTGACGACGCCGGGACTGTGATCATTCGATCTATTCCAAACTATCGACACTATTGATTTTGGGGCGGGATCCTCAGCCCTAGGGGTATAACTACAAGTATACATCCCTAGGTCCCCTCCCGTCGGGAGAAAACTGTCACGGGGAAGACGCGGGGAGAGTTGAGACATCACATCTTATCGACTATCGCTGCTCATTTGTTACTTTCTTACGTCTTCTTCCTTTGGCTTTTCTCTACTCTTTTGACTTTGGGTCATCGCGCAGGACTATCATCCCTGGATTCCGCGCGGTGGATGCTATGATCTGATCGGAATTCTTGCCCCTCCCTTGTGTCATGCCTCGGACCCCCCATACATCTGACGCTTTTGATTCCGCTATGATCGCGACTTCCTGCGATACACCTATGCAAATCAAATTCGCCGTCTTTTGGCATGGCCTAATTGAACCAGCTTTCTTTATTCTTTAATTTGCTTTTTGGGCTAAAGTGATGAACCGGGTATCACTTCCGACCTTCTCCGATCACCATGCCGCTCCATACCGGTACTCATAGTCTGCGCTCGAGGAAGCCCAAGGAGGGCAGGAAAAGAACCTCGTCCACCGTTTCCAATTCCGCAACCGTCACCCAGGCTGGTCCTGGGCAGAGTCCAAAAATCTCTACCAACAAACGATCATCACCAACTGAACGGGTCAATGCATCAAAACAAACCGTGAAGGGGCCGCCGGCGCCAGAGGCTCCGCTAGACCAGCCTAGCGAGCCAGCGAAGAAAGTTCCCAATGTGTTCGAATTCTTAGAAGAAGATGACGAGTCCTCGTCCTCGTCGTCAGAAGCGGAATCTTCTGAGGACGAAGAAGCCACAGCTCCAGTGCACGCCCGAGCTATCGCCAAAATACAATCACCGAAGCCTCGATCAAGTCCCATCCCGCACCCGATACTGGTTTCACAGAAACCTATAGTAACTCATGCTTCCACCACCACGACACCGAGAAGCTCAAGTGATTCGCACCCACCACCACCTCCCGCACCGACTGCACCAGCGCCCTCGGAGAGACAAGTGTTGATAACCCAAAGACAAGCACCGCCGCGCAGAGTATCTCCGATAGAGCCTCACTCCCCAGAGACACATCACTTGCAACTTTCTCGACAGGAAAGTTACTATATATCGAAGGACGCCACAGCTGTTCACAGGCCACCTCTCCCTCCTTCCCCACCGAGCAGCCCAGAAGACAGCCTTCACCGCGGCGTCGTAGCCAAACGACGAGACTCGAATGTGCCACAAGTTTCATCAGGATATGGCCTCGTCGCGTCACATCTCACCAAATCTGCTACACAAGATAAAGCAGCCTTTTCTCCACTTTACCGACGCTTTGAAAGCGTGAACCATCGTGTCTTATTGCATCTCCAGGATGAGATCTCCCAGATGGAGGAAGATCTCCACACTCTCGATGAATACGAGGAGATGCATCGAGTGGCCACTGCCGAACAGGAGGGTGCCAAACCTCTACCAGCTTCCCGCCGAGTCGACATCCAATCCCAAGCATATCCATCGCTGCACTACCGGCGCATGGATCTGATGGCAGCCCTAGTTCAAAAGACGGAGCAATACAGTGAGTGATTGTATCAACATCAAAGCGAATGAGGCAGACAGTTGATAGTCCCACACAGATACTGCACTAAGTGCATACAGCAGAGTCCTCCAAACTCTCCCCCGCGCGTCAAACGACGACATTACCAACTACCGCTCATGGATGAAAGAACACAATCCCATCGCCGCCGCTGAAACCCGATTCCTCGACCAAGATGCTGACCTAGTCGCACTTACCCCTCGGCTGGCAGCGTCTGCCGCTGCAGCACCGATTTACATCGCCATAATCATCGCTTCCGGGGCTTTATTAATGCCGCTTCTCGCATTCAGTATGATTGCCGAATTCTCCGGCCGACTCGTCGTCGTAACTATCACCGGCGGCGCAGCGGCTGCCATTGCTGCGAATTACTCTACTGGTATTGAAGCGCTAGTAGACTCTCGGGATGGATGGAGATGTGCGACATTGTACGTTTCACCCGTCTCTTGGCTTTTTCGATGAAAGTCTACTAATCCATCAATAGATACTTTGGTTTCATGACTATCGCCGCTATGTTCATCCCCTGAGCAACGTAGAGAACTATGTAACGACTTACGAATTTCATTTTCGATCTCATACTCGCGTCAAACTTGACTTGCCGCCACGGGCGCTGTTCTTCGCTCACTCATTCAGTCACTCATTGAAGACGCTGTGATTCTATAGAATGGTGAGGTCATTTCAAAAACAGAGAAGCGAAAGAGATGGCGTCAGATTATCGGGAAATTTTGGCTTTTCATGTTATCATACCACCGGGAATATCATGGCAAGGTAGATTGGTTTTGGCTCTATTAGCGGAGGACAAGTCGGAAGACACATTGCATGTTGGAATGGAAGATATAGCGGATTTGGATGGAGTGTTTATTTTCCTGGAGAGATTTTGTCGGTTTACCGACATTCGACTGATGTCTTATGTTTCTTTGGATGTACGAATTATCTGATATTAACGAATCCCGGAATTATAAGTCTCGATGTTATTTCTTCAACACCATGTATGAAACGTAGTTTTTAATCGCCGCGAAGCGAGTATATCACGGCTCCCGTATTTCTTCTACCCATACTGCAGGCACTATCAGGGTGACACTCTCTATGGTTGCGTGGGAGAGGGAACCCACCTAATATCAATACCAATCCAATGGGGCATGTAGACCTCTCAGGCTGAACTAATAAACCAAGTCCACCAGCCTGACCTATGAGTGATTCCAAGACCGCCGGCACTTGCAGCTAGATTTGACTCTCCCGAGTCACCCCTAGTCCGCACATCTCTGGCGAGTGCATGCTCCAAAAATGGGTGGTGTCAAGGCACTCGTCTAATTGATATCGCTCTTATGATGATCATGGAGTGGAATTACCAAATGGCTAGCGAGGCGGAATTAACAGGCACGCAAAGTCGTCCGGGCAGCGCCATCATCGAAAGGTCTTTTATTCTGTAATTTTTTTTATTTGGTTTATTATAAACAATAATCCTGCATGGGTACTTTCTCCATATAGGATACGCCCGTCGAAAGCCTACGCGTTCTGAAAATGGGCTCTACGCTGTAATATGGAATCGGTCATCAGACACGGGCTATTCAGCATTGACACAATCCATTGTTCATATGTTGAAAAGCGAAAGCAATCTTCTTCTCATCTAGGAAAAAAAAGCCCACAGTGTGGATACAGAAACAGACTGCCTCGCCACCATCCTAAACTACCCAGGGTAGAACCCGTCTTGAAACCCACAACCACACGCCAATTGCTGTCATCCCAGCAAACACCTAAAGAACACAGAAACCAATGAGTCCGCAGAGATAAGACGCAAATACCATTAAAAGACAGTGGAGAAAGAAAATCGGTGAGAAACGAAACGTAGGAATCACGGTACCAGGCGTCACAAAAGCCATGTCCAAAGACAAGTAAAGACCTTGACCTGAGTGTCGGGTCAAGATCGAGTTTCACGAAGAGAATGGTCAGCTCAACGTGATAAGGAACAACTCCATCCCCCGAAAATTGTCGAGTAGACGCCCCAGAAAGGGCGAGACAATCTTATGACAAGCACTAGTTTAGCTTGCCTGTTGTGTTGGAACGGGAGTGCCGTTCTGCTTGCCAGGAGTCAGGCTACCCTCGTGGGATGAGCGAGCATCAAGACCATGAGGTTGTGGGGTCGACGGGCTTTGCCGTTGCTGGGCGGCAAGCTGAACCTTTGTGGCTTGCTGTTTCTCAGCAGCGCTGCGCGCATAAATCGCGGCGGCAGCTGAATTCGAGTATGCAGCCTGTGGCTGCGTGAGGTTCGCATTTTGGTATGGCTGAGGAGTGCCGGCGTTGGCGTAAGGTGTGCGTCCTTGAGGTGTAGCATTGTACGCAGCCGGTTGCCCAGGCCGTGGGGTGTACTGTTGTGGAGATTGCGCGTACCCATTGGACGGCGGCCGCTGGAACTGTGGCGTGTTGCCCGCTTGACCGTGTTGTGGGTTCACTTGTTGTGAGAACTGCTGAGGCATGTAGCCAGGCCGTTGCCCAGGGGTGCTCGGGGGACGAGCTGTATAATTAGGTGTAAATGAGGCTCCCGCAGAGGGCTGTCGGGCTTGTTGTGGAACCTGGAACCCAGGCCGGGGCTGCGACATCTGAGGATTAGGGGGGACAGCACGTTGGTTGTATGTTGTCTGGGGGGTTTGTTGGTATCCAGAGCGCGATCCAGAAGGCGTCGAGGTACGGTTCATAGCATTCGATGTAACAGCAGCAGCATTCGTGGCGGAGGCGGCCGCGATTGCTGCAGCGCGATCCTGATGCAGCGTGTAGTCATCCTTCTCCATGGTGCCACTGTAATCCGGATTCTCGACAATAATCTTTTGGCTGATGTTGAGCTCGGCGAGTTGGTCGCCGTCGAGCTTTGCAACTGCAAATGGAGGAAGATTGTTGATTATGGCGAAGAGACCCGCCTTGAGGGTTTCGTAAACAGCTCGCTCGGCGTCGGAGGGGGTGTCGGGTGTGCCGAACATGGGGACAGCGGATTCGTTTGATTCTGAGGTCTCGCCTCCCGAAGAGGGAAGTTGAAGATTGCGAATCTTCTGATACGAGCTCAGAGTGTCCAACAGATCAGAAATTTCACCAAGCAAATCTTCGACCTCTCGGGATTCAGGATCCTCTTTGCTTGGCTCGTCTTGAGTTGAGTCATAAGCGAAGTCTTCGGGGTTGAATTGTTTCACCATTTCATCAAGTGCGCTCTCATCTAGATCGCCGATACTGCCAGGTTGTACCACTGGTGTCTCAACTTCTTCATCTGAGAGAGTAAGCAAAGTCTGCAAGCGCTTCGCGCCTTGCTTCCCCCACCACACCAAGTCCTTAGTATCAACTTGTAGAACAGCTCCCGAGCTGTCATACGACGGGGCAAATGATGAGAAGACACCTTGAAGCAAAGAAGGGTCGTCGCCAGTCCAGAGTGCAGGGTCGCCGTGTTTCGGGCCATTGTCAACCTCAGCATGTTGCTTCTCCACGCGAGACCAGTATGAGGGTGATGACGTTACGCCGCCGTATTGTAGCCACTGGCTAGCCGGGAGGGGTGTCAGACAGTAGCTATTGCGATCACCCAAGAAATGCTTGGTATCGAAGACCGCGTCAAAGGGATCGATCCACGATGCCGAGGAGCTTCGATGAGCTCGTGTGCGCGGAGGCTGCATGAGTGGCAGACCCGAGCGGGGAGCAAAAACCTCACCGAATGTTCTCTTTTGGGGCTTGGTGACATTTAGGTTGTACGGAACCACCTTGGTGGAAGTGATGCCAGCAGGAAGGGCGGTCTCGCGAAGTTGCTCCTGAACTTCGATAAATTTTTCCGTGTCGGGTTCAGAGGATTGCAATGGCACCTTGACCGATTTTTGCAGACTTGAGAACAACTGCTTCGGATTTCCTTGGTTTGAAGGATTCGCACCGAAGAACGTCAAGGCTTGTCGGTCCTCGCGGGCACCAGGAATGGCTGCCAGGGCTTCTGCTGATTGTTCGGCCTCATCCTCTGAGGCTTCGGCCTTGACCTCGGTTTGATTCACAAAAGATTGGCCGACAATGCTATTCATGTGCTTTTTGAAGGCCGCGATGCGGTTCACCACCTCCGTCAAAGGTGTGCCATCCGCCTTGGTGCCATTTGACTGGTTCTGGTTCCGCTCGATCACGGCTGCGGACGCCTTTTCGATGTCGGCCAGGAACTCTTGTAACGTGTTATACCGGCCAGACTCGACGCGAATTTGTACATTGGTTGTCTCCTGGTCATTTGAGGTTTTGGTGCGCTTCGTGCGCGGCTTCGTTCCGGACGTGGGGAATGGGCAGGATAGGAGCTGTAGCTCAGTGTCGTGTCTGGATCCATGTTGTTAGTGGGGAACAGACCATCCAATTTCCTTGTAGAAACTCACTTGATCAGGAGGCCCACGAGGCTTCGTAAATTCTCGTGAAGAGTTGCTCTATCACGCGATGTAGTGGATGTGTTGGAGTCGACACCCAAGTTCTCCTCTTGAGTAGACCGCTTTCTTTTCCCAGGGGTCGCGGTCGCCGAGGAATCGGGATGAGGCTCGCCGTTCGTCGCTGGCATGATTGGGGTATCTCCGTTTTCGTCGGCGCTCATGATTGCGCACAAACTGCGACAGGGGACAGGGTTGACAGTACTAGCGTCGACGCGATCCCCTCGAACGAAGCGGGCGTTTTCGATTGACCCCGGGAACGACCGAGTAAAAAAATATTGGTAGTTTGCGACCGAAGATCAGATATTCAATGGATTGTCGGGGTTGAGGGTGGCCCTTGAGCTTGTTCAAAATCGGTGGCCAGGTAGATTTTAATGTGAGGCCCGAGAGGAGATCAGGAAAGGATGAGATCGCGACGAGAGAGACAAACAAGAACCGGATTGCCTCTCCGCCCACTGGAATGCTGAAATATGAGTGAGGCAAGGGTAGAAAGAAGAATAAGTATCAGTCGACAGAGGCACTATATAGCTGAAGCCTTCCCTGGATCGAGTGGATGCCTTGGAGTGTCTTTTCCCAAGCGAGGCGGATATCGTTTGTTCTTGAGACGCTCAGAATGCGCGCCATTCCGAAAACCGCAGCCCGTGACGATCCTGCACGTGACCCGGACACAGTCTCTTCCGCGTCGCTCGGGAGCCGCGTTACTTTTTTCGAATTCTTGATTCGGTTCAGTTAAATCAATCCGCTCTTCATTACTGTGTTCCTTAGGTAAAGGAGGCACTGGAAGCTTTCAGCCCTCTCGCTGAAGTGTCACGCATTGGAGGACTCGTGGATGACGACATTCATGGATGTCATTGGCTCTCAATCATGTTCGCGGCCTCTCGGGGGTGCCTATGAGAGCGGCACGGCTGGCTCCCCGTCAATGTTGCAAGGTAGGCAATCTTCTAAGTCGTTTATGCTACTGGACCCTGCACCTTTGAGCTGTACTAATTTGTGGTTCTGGAACTTCAGGCACATCATCACGGTGATATTTCCTCTGCAAATCGCGCTAGCCTGCCGCGGAGTACCCCCGGAGGTATTCGACGTCCATTTCGTTTCCAGGCGACTCTCCAATACCCTGAACCGCTTGCAACTATTCCCAAAGTCGTTCAAGGACAAAAACTGCGTCCTCAAGACCCATCGACCAGCCAGAGTGAGGAGGTCCGTGACTCTAGGTTGCAGCAATCGAGGGAGCAGGATGCGTCAAGCCAAACACAACCCGACGCTTTGGTGTCGAGGCGACGTTTGAAAAAGACTTATGGCCAACCTAGTCCTACCCCATCCCAATATCTTGCCAAAGCTCTCCGTCAAACTGGTCATTCTCTGGGAGATCATCATGGCTCCCAGGATGTTGATGCCGTTCGACATCTGCACGTTTTGCAGCCGACATATGGCCGCCCCGCGCGACTTTCACTCCAAACTACCCTTGGAGAGTATATACGATTGGTGGATCCATTGATCTCCTCTTCTACGGAAGCACATTCGACGGACCGGTTCGATTCGGCACTAAACGAAGTTTTCAGAGACCAAAGCTATAGCTATCTGACTCGCCGTGGCTATGATGTGGGCGACGTTGTGGCCTGGGCATGGGTTTTGAAGAGCAAGGATGCTGACCAGGCTATTTCCCGGTTATTTGCCCACGCAGTCCAGCACCAGTCCAGAGCCGGCTCTGGCTCTCCTGTCGCTCCTCCATTTGTCATTCTCTTCCTTTTAAAACAACGGTATTTGGAGGCTCGTTCCCTTCGATTACTTTTGATTTACTCGTTGCATCTGATCAGTGGCCAGCCACTGCCATGTGAAGAGATGATCAGACGGTCCCTGCAAGAGAATTTGCAGCTGCCACAAGGCAAATTTCAGCCTCAGGTCGATCATTCCACTGGCATGCGTCTGTTTGCCCGCTTGATTCGGCATGCACGCATTGTGTGGCCTCAGGCAATGCCGACCATTGCAAGGGCTTTTTCGTGGTTTATGTTGGCCACGAAGCCGGGCGAGGCAGAGAAATCGATTCTCAAGAAGTCGATCGCCGACCGTCTGAAGACCAAGAACTTCAACATCTTCCTTCGCCTACTTTCGGTTCCGTCCAAAGCTCACCCATTCCAATCTGTCCATCTCCAACAGGTAGCCCAGTTTGAACTTCTTCGAGCCATGGCCAGTCACAAGCCGGTGCTTCCTCTGACGCGAAAAGGCTACCGAGCCGTAGCCGCGATCCAGCTGGCACACAAGAAGACATCTGAGGAACGACTGTCGGCCGAGTTAAAGGCTCCTTCGTGGCCGCCTTGGAAAGAAGGAAAGCTAGGAATAGATGCCCTTCGGGGCAACGAAGGCATGTACAGTCGTGCCATGAACGTACTGTCGCAAATGCGAGATGCGGGCTATTCTAGCAAGCTCTGGGAAGAAGTATGTTCAATTCTGGCAGGCTGGGATACAGATCGAAGCCCGACAATCCAGACCAGAAGTTTTATGCCCTGGTTGAGGTCTTTGAGCCGTGCATCTGATACCAAACCCGATCATACTGCTATTTGGGCTGCTCGTATCCGTGCCACAAGAACTGTTCGTGAAGCATGGGCTTGCTTTTTGTCTTATCAAGACCGCGGTCTTCCTCCCAACATGGTCATATATGCCGAGATGGCAGAGAAGCTGATCTATCGCCAATTGGCGATCAGGAACCGATTCGATGAGTCAGATCACGTTTTGCCTGGGGATGGCCGTGAAGTCTACGCCGAGCCTGCTTCTGCACGTGATATCATTTACGTCCACACTGAACCTCCGGTACTCCAAGAATTTCTGGAGCAAATGACTTCCCAGGGACTTCCCTTTCCCAGTCGATTGCTCGCTTTATTGCTTCGGACGAAACCGGAATTCCGCACTGGCTTGCACTATCTGATCGTCAGTGATCTCACAAAGGATCAAATTAAAGTGCTGTGCACTGTCCTGGGCCACTCATCCGACTACGAAGCACAGACAACAGATGTTTTGCAGACTGTACCGGATGGTGTATTTGCCTCTTTCATCAAATTCCTCTGCGTTTCTTCGAGTTCCACTTTGCACGCGGGACCCAAGTCTCTCACGCTCGACCGGTTCCCATTCCTTGCAACAGAGAGTCAGTCACGAAGCTCCAAGACCGTTCTCCCCGATTTTGAAGATCATCCATACCAGGGGTGTCACCCCAGGGCCTTCTGGCATGCGGCTCAATTAGTCAAGGCACGGCAAACTCCCTGCGCACCAGCCTGGACTCATATACTAAGCGCTTTGGGGAGTACAAGCTCCAATTACCTGAAGGAGAACAAAGCTTGGAGGCGTATTCTCGCGTGGCACGAAGCCCTTTTGGCTCTGAAATGGATGAAAGACCACGATATCGAACCTAACTTGGACGGGTTCCAAGCTATGTGTAAGGTCTTCAACGAAGCCGTCAACGCAGGGCTCAAGCATCCAGATGAGGCTGAAGAGGCATTCAGCTTGATTCAAAAGGTTACCCATGGTGTCGACGATTGCGAGGTCCTTGGACATGAGCACTTTGATGGCATGGTTGAGAATGGACTGCTTGTCCTGAAGTCCCAATTTGATTCCCTTGTTCTCCCTGCCTCCTCAACGTCAAAATTAGCGGAGCAGAGCATATTCACGGAGAATAGCTCGGTCGATTCACAGCTTCAAGTTCCCACGATTCTGCATGTGCCATCGTTTGCGACACTGCATCGTTTCGTTCGCGTTTTGGGAGCAGTGGGGGACGACGAGGGAGTGTTGCATCTGTTGCAGTGGATGAGTCGATCTGCTGGATCGTTGAACGCAGCCGCTGATGAGCGACTGAATGGTGACAAAATGCGGCGGCAGACCCTGACAGCGATCCGCGTGACCTTGGAACGACTTCAAGCTGGGCCGACCGACTGTGGTCGGATAGCGTCGGATCCTGCTCAAGTGCAAGAGGCGTACGATATCATCGATCAGACCCCTGGTTGGGATTGGCCTAGTGATGAAGAGGTTGAATATTACTGCCGGTGATGCAAGCCAGCGCCTTTCGTGTACAGATATATGTATTTTTAGACTACCATACTCGTTGATTTGAATTGTGATACCCATCTGTGAGGCCTCCCAAGCTTGTTGGTAACCCCATGACCCTAGCGCGAGTTTTTGGGGCTGGGCGTAAATATACTAGTCAGTCTAATGTGGAAGAAAGTGAAATATCTACAGTAGGCTTGTGATTCTGGCAACGTTATCAGGAGGTTTGCGATATGCTTCGGGCTTGGAGTTTCATTTTCCGAGAAAAGTCTAGTCTGTCTATGGTATCTCGCATACTTAGATTATATGCATCAGTATTTGCGCAAGCTACTGGTAGGTACCATGAAGGCTCGAGATATACGACAGTTATAGAGCATGAACAGTAGAATTAACCAGTCAATTTCTTGTCTCATTGCTCAGTGCTTATTAAACCCACTTCCACGACCAGCTCCGCGCGCTTCGGCAAGCGTCGGCGTTTCGCAAGAAGCTTTCCCCACACCCGGGCTCAGCTCCGCGCATTTCGGATCCTTCAACTTTCAGAGCCTCAGACTTGCCTTTTCGCATTGAACTGTTTTTCGTGTCAATTACTCGTGTGAAAGAATTTGGAGTCGACCATCTACATTTCACCATATTGACCCGGGCAATGGCAACACTCACCCTGGCCCCGCGGCTCGTCCGCCTCACCACCCTCGGCCATCTCTCTCGCCCGACTGTCCTGTCCACCCGGGTATTCGCCGCACGATACAGCACCAACGCCGAAGAAGAGATCATCAAGGTTCAACAAATCCCAGCCCCGGGTTCCGGGCATGTCCGTGTGCTGCTTCTCAATCGGCCCAAAGCCCGCAATGCGATCTCGCGACAGCTACTGGAAACCCTCTCCAAGCAGGTAAACTCGATCGCCGCAGAGAATGGCAACGGACCAACCCGGGCCTTGGTGGTCGCAAGCAACGTTGACGCTGCCTTTTGCGCCGGCGCAGATCTCAAGGAGCGTGCTAAAATGACACAAGCCGAGTGAGAAGAAGCCCCCAACAAGCTAGAACCGAGCATTCCCGCCCGCTAACAGATGTACACCTCCACAGGACTGAACAATTCCTCGAAAAGCTCCGCGGCACCTTCAAGGGTCTCGCCGGCCTACAAATCCCCACCATCTCCGCAATTTCTTCCATGGCTCTAGGTGGCGGCCTCGAGCTCGCGCTCTGCACTCACCTTCGCGTATTCGGCTCGTCCTGCACCGTTGGTCTACCTGAAACACGGCTCGCAATCATCCCAGGCGCTGGAGGTACCTACCGTCTGCCAGCATTGATCGGGCCCACCCGGGCGCGCGACCTCATCCTGACAGGGCGACGGGTTTCCGGACCCGAGTCATACTTTATCGGACTCTGTGATCGCTTGGTGGAGGTGTTGCCGGAGGAAGGGCAACAAGAAGGCGTGGCGCGTGAGAAGGTTCTCCGGGAGAGTATCAAGTTGGCGTTGGATATCTGTGAGGGTGGCCCTATTGCCCTGAAGCAGGCGTTGCTGGCTGTGCAGGGGTCTGCCTTGGGCGAGGTGGCGGAAAATCAGGCTTATGAGGGGGTGATCGAGACTGAGGATCGGTATGAGGCTCTGCGTGCTTTTGTGGAGAAGCGAAAGCCCGCTTTCCGAGGGCGGTAGATTGTATACATACTATACTGTACTTGGGAAAGATTGTTTATTATTGGCGAATTTGGATCTGGATTGTGATTGGTTTGAGATGAATCTAGTCGACACTTGTTCTCAATATATGACGTTGCCCCGTCGCGGGAAGTATTGTAGAGCCACGCAATCATTTCGACTGCCTGCGCTGGAACCGGTAATGGTTGCGTCCGAATCAAGCGAGAAATTGAAGAAGAAAAAGAAAATAATTATCGAGGGTTCCTAGGCTGAAGGGACTATTCGAGTCATCTGAACCACACCATTGATGGGTGTCACGTTCTGGGCTCTCAGATATGACAGTAGGGCTGGCGACCCGAACCACCTCCACCTATGGATCGTACCCGAAGGGCGCTGCGAACCGATCGCGGTAAGTAGGGATCTATGTACAGTCGAGATATGCAGCCCTGGTACAGAATAACCAGGGTAATTATGGGTTTCCTCGACTTGTTTTACCCAGAATCATTTGCTGCCCGTCTGGTTACTATAGGCCAGGTATCTACTGTACTTGATCTCGTGGCAGGGCAAGGAAGACAACGTAGATAGAGAATGGAATTTCACAAGTTTGAAACCCTGACTGGTAAGGAACTGCTCATCAGTCATACTTTGAACGATGTAGCAAGAGATAATATCTGAGCCAGCCAGAAAGATTATTCACAAGACATTTCGAAAGATCCCTAGGAATACAGTGATGTCGCTAGGTCTTTTCTCCCATCTCTTGAATCAATACTTTGAACGACCACTATACGTAGAACATGGTATAGCTCTATGAGTGAATACAATCTAGGGTCAGAGTCTCATTGCCCTGGCATTTTGGCCCCCTCGTATTCGGTGGATAGATCGATTTTGGCCTGCAGATGTCACGGCCCCGTTGATTCCCACACCCATTTCAAGACCCCGACCAGACCTCTGTCTTTCCGTGGTTTCAGCACACGCAAAGAAAGGGACCCTCAAGTCAAAAAGAGAAACCTCCTTTCCCAGGCTGATCCAAACAGATCATGAGTCATGAACAGGCGTCCATATTCCTCGGGGCACCCATTCTCGGGCAAATCTTGGGAACCCTAGGTTCCTGCATGAGACTATATATCGTATCGCCCAGTACGGAATACCCCCGTGGCGCAGAGCCGGTGCCCCTCTCAGCCCCAGATGCAAATGAGATCAGTCTCGTTGTACGGGGCGCAGCGGGGGATCGAGTAATCTGCAGCGGGCCGGACTCCACCCAGGGCAGGGCGAGCCTGAGAGGGCCAGCATGGACAGGGTTGACTACCCTAGAGAGTATGTAGTTGGTTAGTATTGGCTAAATTACTAAACTAAGCTATATGTACAGTACAGGTGCGTACCGGTCCCGTTCAACCCGTGGATCGTAGTCATCTGAATGGGTCAGGGGATGTTCCCAAATAAACATTACCGTCCATCACCTGCAGCCACACCACCACCCCGGTCCTGCCTTCCTCCTCTTATAAGAGAGCTCGGACCTGCCTGACATCCAGACATCTTTCATTCTCCTTGCAGAAATGGTTGTTCTCTGATCAAAACCTGCAACCATTTCTTATCATGACCCATCACCCCCCCGTCAAGCCGTTTGGCTTGACGCAGGTCTATGCGCCTCCACGCGGGGAGATCCCCACCGTCGATATAGTCTTTGTCCACGGCTTGAACGGCCACCCCGAGAACTCTTGGACCAGCAAGACCTCTGGCTGCTTCTGGCCCGTCGATCTTCTTCCTGATGTTCTCGCACAGCTGCGTCCTCGAATCTTGACCTACGGGTATAATGCGAATGTTGCTGCTTTTACGGATGGCGCGTCGCGCGACTCGATCGTCAGCCACGCCGAAACGTTGGCCTCCAACCTTGCCGCAAATCGAAATGTATGTGAACGGCAACCTCGTTTCTTACCATTGTCTCTGGCTGTAGCAGCTCGGATCTGCCAAGACTGCCCATTTCTCTTTGTTGTCTCTGTCTATACATTTTGGATCTGTCAAGACTAACCAGCTTTCGCCTATATGTAGCTACGCAGTTGTTCCGATCGGCCGATTATCTTTGTTTGTCATTCCCTCGGTGGCCTGGTGGTCAAGCGTGCCCTCATATACTCCCGCAGTCTATCAAACGAGAAGACCGAACACCTGCGCTCCGTGTATGTTTCGACCTTTGGCATCCTCTTCCTCGGCACCCCGCACAACGGCTCGGATGTTGCCAAATGGGGCCTGTTGCTACACAAGATTTGCACGGCTGTCCTGCCCAAGAAGGTGATGGAGGGCTCACCACAATTGATCAAGGCACTCCAGACCAACAACGAAACTCTGCAACATATTAACAGTCTCTTCGCCGATATCATGAGCCGATTCCACATATATCTCTTCCACGAGACTCGTTCGATGGATGTTCGAGGTACGCGAGAGATCATCGTCGACGAGGCCTCCGCTGCACCGTACTTTGAAGGCGTCGAGCGAGGCGGAATTGAGGCCGACCACAGCCATATGTGCAAATTCGACGATGAAAACTCATCAGGCTATGAAGTGGTCGCTGAAGCAATCCTTCGCTACTCACGCGAGGCACCTTCCGTGATCGCTGATCGCTGGATTGAAGAGCGCAAGACTCGGATCCTGGAGAAGAAGGCCAAGGCGCGAGAGATATACGATGGTGCGGATGACCCTGTCGGTCAAAGCATGCCGAACTTGAACACGCCTGCTACTGGTAGGGAAACCCACCTCCTCCCTGCACCGGAAGATTCCGTTACATTGAAGGATTATAAGATCGAGGAGCCCGCTATTTGAGGACTTTGCGTTTGGCTTTTGGCTATTTGATTTCTTATCAGCGATGATTTATGACCTTGCAATGGACAATGGCCGCAATGATGTCCATATTTTGACGAGGCACCGGCCCTTCCCTCCTCGCTTCGGCGCGCAATTTTTTGACTATACGCCGCTTTTGAGTTTTGCTTCGACTGTGTGTATCTAGCTTGCTGTGTTTGATCTTCCTCAGGGTGGCTCCCGATCTCCTTCTCCTTCCAATTTAGCTGATATCATTCAATCTCGTCCTACAATATCTATCCTCCTCAGTCAGGCCCAAAGCTGACTATCCTTCCCTTAGGTCAACTCGTACCGATTCTCCCTCGAGGGTCTGCCACCAATGGCCGGAATTCGCCAGTGTCCGACCCGAGTAAAACAAATATTGGGCCTTTATCTCGCTCGTTGAATAGTACGTCTTGTGAAACTTTCTCTCACATGTCTTTTGTGTCGCCTTTTCTACCTCATTTTGTGTCGTCTTAATTACTAAGATCTAAACAGGCCTTCCGTCCCAATCGCAAAAAGAACCCGCCCTTTTCGTCGCACCGCCAGGTTTCCATCCAAATGCAGCCTTTTTCGGAATGCAGAAGGAGCTGGAGGAGCTTCATAGACGGCTTTTCAAAGCCAAAGCACGCGCTGAGCGGACTATGGCCGTTCTAATAGCCGGGGTCCCAGGATCTGGAAAGACTCAACTGGCCCGCCAGTACGTCTTTACCCAGCGTGAGTGCTATACAGGGGGCGTATTCTGGATTGATGCAAAGTCTCGCGAGTCGGTGTACAAGTGCTTTTGGGAGATTGCTCAAGCCGCTACCCTTGTTGACCACAAAGAGGCCGAAGATTCAAAACACCAGGAATCGCGTACATACGTGAATGCCGTTCGGAACTGGCTGCAATCACGTAACGAATGGTTGTTGATCTTTGATGGAATCACGTTCGACCACGATGACGATATAAACGACTTTCGGCCGTTTTTGCCTTGGAATAAAAGGTGCAGTATCATCTATACTTCCATTGATGCTACGCTACGGAAGAAGCAGCGCTTGTTTGAGCCATACTGCCTTACTGTGCCTCGATTGAAGGTTGAAGACGCCTGTAGGCTACTTTACAAGGATCTCGGTATCAGAAGACCTACCCCGGACCAAGCCTCCAAGGCTACAGAACTGGTCGAACATTATGAATGCCTCCCTCTCGCCATACATGCTATAGGACACCGACTCAACGCTACGGGAAAACCGATTGAGAGATACCACGTGAAGCACCAAGTCACTGACAAGAAGCTCGCCGAGCCATTTCTGTGCATTATGAACGATCTATATCGATTGAAGCACCGGGAAGCCCTGAATCTGATCAATCTGCTCTCATTTCTCGGTCACCATGTCCCTGTCGGCTTGCTTGTTCTTGGAAGATCCATCATGACGGTGGAGAATGCAGAGATCTTGTCTAGTGCTCAATCTGGGGAGGACCCTGACCTTGATACCACGCTGGGCACATTGATCCACTATGGTCTGGTCGAGCGGACGTCAGACGCGGATGTGTTTCAGCACAACGGATCTGCGAAGAATTCGAACGATGAAATGCACGACGAACAAAAAAAGACTCCTCAGTTGACTGATTCGTTCACGGAAAGTAGCCAGGATGGATTCTTCTCCATTTACCGGGGCAACTCGCTAGTGGACGTGGTTAAGGTCCATAGCGTCGTGCAGGGCTTCTGTCGTGATGAGCTAAAGATCAAGGATGAAGAGTATAAAGATCTGAACCAGGCACCAGGGTTCTATGACTCGTGGCTGATCGTTGCCACTCGCTTCCTCTGCAAATCTTATGAGATGGCCATGGAGAGAATGGCTCATTACCATGACTGTGGACTGGTCCGTGATTATCGTGAATACGAGACTCACGCATCTCGCCTGGCTGAGCTCTTTCCCAAGAAACTGGCAATTGGGAATCACCCACACGTCATTCGCGAAGCACGTGAGAGCCTGCGACAACTGATGAAAAGCATCAGCAGCGAGATTGATCGCATGTCACCGAGCTCTTCACAAGAGTCGGCTCGTAACCAAAAGTCCGTGTTTGACCGGTCGAGCAGCTCCTCGTCGTCATTCCCTGATTCATCAGCCGACGAAGGCGGTCTCTCACGCCAGTCTACCTGGAACTGGACCGAGTCCGGATCTGCACGTGCCGAATCACCGGAGCAAATGATGGGTCCTCCTCGTTTTAAATTGGAACTCTTTCCTCCTCATATATTCCCACAAGCGGGTTCCGAGTCGGAGGACGGTTATGAGACCGATGGAGAGGCAAAGGAAGCACCTCGCATTTCTCCAGCACTCTCGCAGATGAGCCAAGTCACGGAGAGACCAAAACAGTCCCCCCCCTCATCGAGTCCGCCCATTCCTCGTGAGGATGCGCATGACTGGCAGCTAGTTGAGCGGTATTTCAAAACACGTTCGGCGGGACCCAGGCAACAAAGCAAGCGGCCACGAGGGCCGAGTCGATTTCGGGGTGCCAGGCCAGATACCCCGTTGGTGAAGGTTTCTCCAATCGAGGGAAGAGGGTCGTCTAGTCGCATGTCCTCAGGTCCAAGCGAGAGCTCGTCGATTTTATCGTCCGCAGCTGAAGCAGCACTGGCTGCTGTTCGGCGGATCAGTGGTCATCAGACAAGCTCAAACTCGGAGGACGTGAGCTCATCATCTTCAAACAAACCTCTTTCCTCCAACAAGGAGAATGTGCCCACATATGCGAGTATCGCTGCGAAGCGGATCCTAGAGGCAAATGAGGCTCAGTTGAGACGTCCAGCATCTATGCCAGCCCCTTCGGGTCCCGTTGTTAGCTCGGGGCTACAAATGAAGCCCTCGGTGGAATCCCTCGACAGTCAGGCAAGCCGTGTCTTTGCGTCTCCACTCTCTCACGAGGTGATGTCTCACGAACTAATGTCTCACGAAATCATCGCCGAGCCATTGACTCGATCAACTTACAGTGACCCTGGACGAGATTATCTGGAACACTCGCTCGGAACGTTGGATCTACATACTGCGCCTACCTCACAGGTAAACTCTCGTCGTCCTTCCGTACAGGCTAATATTGAGCCTGTAATACGAGACTTGTCTGCGAGTACCCCCGTATTTCCGTATGGAATACCTATTCGGGAACTCTCCGCAAGCACGCCTTCGCTGCAATATCCCCCTCCTTTACCCTATGATCAAGATATAACCATCACAATTCCGCACAGGCGCTCAGTGCCTCAGCGTGCCCCCGAGCCTATATTTTCTTCCTCTATGGCTCCTAAGCACGTGCCGGTAGCACATCCTTCCGCAATCATGCCGGGAGCTCTCCCTTTGTCTGCAACGTCGTCCAATTCAACAGTTATAGCCGCCGAGCGCCCTGGGGGTGAAGCCCTCTCTCGTGGATCATCTGGGTTCTCACATCAGTCCTGGGCCACAGAGCCCGTTCGATCCCCACCACGCTTCTCACCAGCAACGAGCTTCGCCCAGCCTACAGATATTACACGCAGTCCAACCCCACTGCATCAGAATCAGCACGTAATTTCCACCGGCGGAAGCTGGCCTCTTGATCAACCTCTCTCAAGCAGCGCCAGCGCCATCCAATCAGACAATCTATACCTACCACAAACCCGTGGACGACTAGGCTCAGTCGACGAACGGTTGAGAAACATGGATCTATCCTGGAATTCAGAGATTGCCGCCCAAGACTTACGTTTCGGGGGCCACCGTGTCGACGTTCGTGACGCGCGACAGAGACTGCAAGAAGTAGGACGACTTCAGACACCGAGACATATGCCCACATATCAACTCTACCATTCGAATATGTCGGGTCCCTTGGTTCACGATGATGGACATATTTATGCCCCGGCGCTGGCGTTGGAGGTTTATGGGATGCGTGCGAGGAGTGGGAGTTCCCCGCCGAGACCGAATTATAATGGGTTGGGTGTGCAGTTTAATGACCATGTTTTTGATTGACTTTTGATTGAGGTTGGGGTTGGGTTGCATTTGCATGAGGGAAGGTGTTGTGTTTCATTCTTAAATGTTTCCTTGCTCATTAGGTTTCTGTTGGGATTCTGGATTGCATCTTATATGCCACTATAGACACCGGATTTTGTCCGCCGGGTAGGACTTCCTGTTGAATGAGGGCGATCAGGCTCAGGCTCAGTGCCCAAGTCATAATATACCAAAAAAGGACATGTCTTATAAGGTCATCTATTCTGTAGGGCGGGTCGATGAGATTGATGAAGGCGGGCAGTCACTAAGGTAAGCTAAACCATTAACCATAGTCTTGCTCACGGTCATTGTCAAATACTTGAAGGCTTTTTCGGGACTTGATTTTGGGGTTACTAGGCTTCGTCACTTGGTGGCTATAGGCTCGGCTTCGGTAATTGCAAGGTTCCGTATTCTAGGGATCTGGTTTAGGAGTCATACGGATCAAAATGGAGTCTTAGGGATCCGATTTGTTAGGCACAATGATCGCAAAGAACCCGTGCAGCACCGTGGCCATCGAAGATCAAGAGATGCTTCTCACCCTCCTTCGTACGATCGCAGTTAGACCCCATAAGATGAGCTAGCCATCGGGTACCTAGATCCTCAGATATCCAGCCGTGAGACGAAATTCCGATCATCTCGCTTCCGTCAAACCAGACCTCCATGATATCGCCGCTACTCTGGGATATGAGCTGCGGGTCCACCTGCCAGTCATTGGCAGCAATACATTCAGTGGATCCTACGTTTGGCCATTCCTAATGGAGGACTGCTTCCGTCGGCGCTGCCAAGCTTGGGCCGGGGAGCTGCCGAGGGTTTGGTGGAGACAGACGGCAACTATTCGCGAGACTATTACAACGCAGAAAGAACTAGCTACGCAACCAGAACTTGCTTGGTCTTCGCAAGGGATTTAGTTTTCTGACGTTGAACATAAGGGAATGTCACTCCGGTAACCCAGCTCTTCCATTGGTACTACTATTCGCCAGATGGATTTCCCCACCTGCAGACCCGCGCGGCCATTAACAAAGTGTCAAGTATTCGCGAAACGAGGGAAAAAAAATAAATTGGCACGACCGTTGATCTGGTTTTGAATATGGTCAGCGAGTCGGCTTAATCAGTTCGTCCGTGAATTTCCATCCATATTCAGATTGCATAAATTCTTCCTTAATCTTCGTTTTTGATCGGCAAATTCTTCCTATACTACGTCCCAAAGAAAGACTAACAAGATTATCTGATATTCAACTGCGTCTGCATATTTTTCGAAATGCCATCGTACGTTATTACTGGAGCCTCTAGGGGCCTTGGAGTGAGTCTCATCCCCAAGGATCGACCGCATGAAGCTCAACATTCTTTAACCAAAACCAGTGGGAGTTCCTTCGCCAGATATCCAGCGATTCGAACAACACCGTGATAGGACTTGTTCGTAGAAAGCGGGCAACCGAGGAGAAAGTGAAGGAAGAATTGCCTGGCCGTACCAACATCCACATAGTAGAGGCCGACATCACCGTTTATGCTGCTTTAACGGTGAGAATCTCAGCTATACACGAAGATATTTTATTGATATATTTCTACAGAGCGCGGCGGCAGAGGTTGCAACAATCACTGGCGGGGAACTCGATTATCTGATCGCCAATGCTGGTGTCGTATCCCATTTCGATGCGTATGATCCGATCGGTGTTCTGTCAGTTAAGTCAGGTCGAGTTACTCGATTCCAGAAAGAAGCTGTCACTGACAGAGCGAGATTGATACTATTAGAGGACAGCAGCCCGAAGTCCTGGAGGAGGACTTGACTAAGTGTTTCAAAGTCAATGTCGTTAGCAACATTCACTTGTTCAACCTGTTCACGCCTTTAATCCTTAAGGGTGGGGCTAAGAAGGTTATCGCCATCTCCAGTGGCCAGGCTGCCCTTGATGTTATTCCTAAATTGGGAATCGAGGTCGCTGCCCTTTACTCCATCAGTAAGGCGGGCTTGAACACTGCCGTGGCTAAGTTCAGCGCGCAATATGCTAAGGAGGGTGTTCTTTTCATGAGCATTTGTCCCGGAATGGTTGAAACAGGTCACTTTGTCGACGGTATGCTTAAATCTCCTTTCAATTTCCTATTTCATATGATCTGACTTTTTTTCTTCTTTTAGCAACGGAGGAGCAGATGCAGGGCTTGGGAGCAATGCTTGGTGCCTTTGTTGAGTATGCGCCAAACTTCAAGGGCCCTGTTCCACCAGAGGCGGCGGTGAAGGATGTTATCTCGGTCATGGAAAAGGCTAGTGTGAAGACTGGCGATGGTGGCTCATTCGTATCGCACTACGGCAATCAACAGTGGCTGTAGAGATTTTCACGAGACCTGCTCCAAGCTAGTCTTGATATCTATGCCTTGCATGAAGTTGGAATCACTGAGAGTTGATTTTCTATTCTTGTGCATTTTTAGAGATTTGACTCAATTTACACTTCATTGAAAGTACAAATAGAACGTGATTGGCGGTTATCACCTTCGAAATCGGACGTAAGCGAATAATGCTTGCCTCTCTGGAGATTGCTCTCTTCTCTGGGGACTACTAGGAAATCATAGAGAGCATGAGAATACAATTGTGTTGAATGATGTTGGAATATGGTAAAGAGGAAGTAGTGAGCTATATCAAATATTTATCCCGTAGAAGTGCGATAAAGATATTGGATACCATTCTCAAGAGTATAAGTAGGATCAATCTGTGTCCTGTAAATCCCTTTGCCAAAACAGATCTTAGTTAGGTGATATTTCTCTTAGTCAGACGAAAGTAGGCAAGATAGTGCAGCAGCTCATAATAGCATCGAGCTTTTCCGTGTACTCAATCTGGCCCTGTGAGAGATCATCTTGAACCCAAACAGCCTGAATGAGTTTCTTAGTTAGGAATAGGGAGCGTGAGGAGTCTCTCTCCTCTGTCCTGCTAATCAGATCCAAGACCGTACACCTTTCCGCATCGGTCCACGCCTCACAGCTTAAGATGAGCAGTGGGAATTGACGTTCACAGGAAGTTATACGAGAAAATATATCAAACGCTCGTTCAATCCGTTGTTGGGTTTCGGCGGCCGACTCGATGATGTGTCCAAATGCTCGGTTGAGGTAGACAAGCGCGGCTAATTGGAAGAGTTCCACAATGGTCGCCATGCCCTGATACTCGTTAACTCTTGTATCTGAGATTGAAATGGACCGGATTCTCCATGCAAGGACCTTAAGGTAGCTCTTAAAATCATCGGACTCTTTGGATGGGGTCATCTGAGCTGGTGCTGCGGCGACTAGATCACAAACCTCCGCCAGGAGCTTCAGGATTGTATTAACCGGCGATTGGTTCGAGTTTGTCATCTATCCCACATCAATCAGCAACCTGCTCTTGCCGAATGCTGAATTATTATACCAACCTCGATACAGGGTTCATAAGTATCCACCGGCGGCGAAGGGATCTCGACTGGCTCGTCCAAGTCCATCAGAGTGCTCTCAATCGCTGGTGGATGCCAGTGTGTGAGACTGAAACGAGATAGGACATCATGATAGTATACCCAGTCTAGCAAGACACTAAAGTCACTGTCTCTTGCAAATGCGTTCGCAGGGGAGGCATGAATGACGCTTTTCACGCCTATGATATATGATCGCCATTGGCCAGAGGTGCATGACGACTGGTGAATCTAGGTTGATGACCGAATAAGTTTAGTTAGAGAATTATATGCATCGAATTTGTCAGAGTTTGTCAGCGGGGTGAGGCATTGTGATGCATACCTCAAATGAGCACAAAAGCATCCCTGCCGCAACATGCTGGAGCGTTTCCATGGTTCCAATCTCGCGATTTGATGCGGCGCCTAGGGCTTTCAACGCAGCAATTTTAAGCTCGGCAGCCTGTGTCTGTAGTCCAGAACGGTGCAACGAGGCCAAAGCGAGCAAGGAGCGCAGCACTGCAGCGGAAGATGGGGTATTATTCATGACAGCCATGCGAAGAAGCATATTGCCCACATTTATCGGGTCATGGCCAAAGGTTGCTAGAGAGCTTGATGCGTTGGAATGGACTGCAATACCGGTCAGTTTTATGGGGGAAATCCCATGGCCGACAGCATCATCTTCACCTACAGTATTTAAATAAACAGTCTTCCGCAACATCTAACTTGAATGGATTCCATGGCATCGGTGATCGTAGGGTCAGCCGCTGGTGCTCTACAAGCGCATTAGTGTCCTGTTATCTTGCAGGTCAAATGTCGAAGGGTATTACGATTTGACGCTACCCCTGACAGCTGGCGGTACATCTCAATGTCCCAGGTGGATATGTTAATTTGGCGGGCATCGGAAAATAAGTGACCTGTGCTGTTATGTTGCAGTGATGACCGAGCCACGACGGCACGTCGCTTATCATTGGCCTTTGGCCATGACAGTCGCATAACATAGCCTTTGCAAATGCGGTTAGTATGGGAACACTGCGTGCATACTGGGATCGTTCGATCACAGAGAATCCGGCGATCTGAAATTAATCAATTGTTAGCAAGTTCACGTATTTCACACAGGCTCAAGGAGTCCGGAGCACTTACCCCGACACGTCCCACAGCTTCTACTCGCCATGTTGTGTCTATTGAAGAGGCTTCTAGGGTCTTGGGGGTAAAGGAGAAAGATCACACGAATTTAGGCAACTTCTCGCGGCGGCGCTGAGCGGCATGCAGGTAGACCTCAGAGATTAATGTTAAGTTAACGTGGTAACTACTTCAGGACTAATATTCAGCCGGGCACCGTTCTATATCAGATTTATGTAATTAAACCCCCAACCACATTGATTGCAAAGTTACACCAAAAGTACTGCTTACTAAGGTGTATGTCCTTAGGTAACTAACTAGTTAGTTAGTTAACTAACTAGGCCCTTACGCAAGGCATACAGCTTACACGCTATTCTTCGTCTGTGGATACGGTAACGGCCATTCAAGCTCCCGGGCGCTCTGAACGTATCCGTTGACCGAGTGCACGATTCCTCAATCGACGTCGGACTTGAGAGAGTCTTCGAGAACCTAAAGTCTTCTTTGCAGGTGACTACTAAGAGTGGGGGCAGCGAGATCGTGGATCTTGCGAGTATGTTACAGCTTGTACTGCATGCGAACTGTGCCACGGCCGGTGAGCGACGGTTGAACAGCTGGGTGGTCAATAGGATTGAGCCGGACTTTGTTTTTCCTACGATCCAGCGGAGGAATTATTTGCATTTGAAGATCAACGTTACTATAGCAGGGGAGACGAAAAATAGTGAGTTTAAGAAGGAGATGACGGTCTTTGCAAAGCTTGATGCAAATCAAATTCAAAGGTCTTGCTGTATACAAAGTGTGTTTCATATCTTCTTTACATTCCGAGACTTATGATTCATGAATTGCTCATAAATATGACACATATATGACAGGGTATAGAATGAGATGCGCCTCAGATATCCTTGCACGTATTTACAGCTTCGCTTGGGCACGCCACTCCTGCAAGAGCGCCTCCTCATCACGAACCCGCCAACTAGCAGCCTTACGCATCCGAATATCAACCTGGTCGTCATCAACCCCAGACACCTTCTCCAACGGATACTCGAGGGAGGATTGTAACCCGTGCGCAAACCACGTCCACAACCCAGTGCGTTTGACCCGATCAGCGGCAGCATCGCGACAAAACTCGGACAGACTCTTGAAAAACCGCTTTCCAGTTGGGGTAGAAATCATCAGTAACCCATGACAGTGCGGCATTCCCTCGAATTGCTCTGCGACAACGGTGACGCCGGCTTTGTGCATGCGTCGTGCTAGAATGAGACCTTCGTCGGTGAGTAGTTCTTCACCTGTGGAGATGAAAACTGGTGGTGCGTCTTTCCAGAGTTCGGGCTTCGCTGCCAGCGGAGAGGTGAGTGGATGGAGCATCATGTTTGCGTGGACGAACATGTCTACTCGAGGCGGCGTCACTGGCCATATCGAGCCAGGTGGGAACGGTAATGGTGCAAAGGGAGCGGGTTCATCTGGGTCTTCGGACGGCGCGATCTTCATGTCGAGGTAGTCGTATTTGGCATTTCGGATGATGGAGGGCATGGCGCGGGTCATATCGCACCAGGGTGAGATTGTAGCTACGCCTGCCGGAAGATCGATGTTTACCTCCTGGCCATGAAAGCGGACGGGTCGAGACGCTCGCTTCAAAGCGAGTAGTGTCTGTAGTAGGACAAGAGACAGATTCCCGCCTGCAGAGTCACCCGCAATGATAATCTTGTTCGCTGGAACAGGCTTGTGGAGGGCACCCGGAGGCGGGTGAATCAGTGATAAGTATGCCGTTAGCGCGTCGACCAGCGCCGCAGGAAAGGGGTTTTGCGGTGCGAGTCTATATCGCACGGAGAGAATTGGAGCGCCCGTGAGACGGGAAAGATGTGCCACTGGTACGCGATGCGTGCAAGGGTCCATCATGCTGTAACTATGAGTATACGTCAAGATTTGGAGGGCTTGAGATTTGTTCAACTTACAAGTAGGCACCGCCATGAAAATACAGGATGGTCATATCAGAGGGTGATTCCCTCCGTAACTCGTGATACTTTTCTTCTTCAGAGAGATCAGGCTGTGGTGTCTTCTTGCCAACTCCACTGCGATAACCGGTCCATTCAGCCTCGACTGCCGCAATCGGGGGCATGTCAAAGGTTTCATTGCCCGTCGTCATGAGATCTTCAATAGCGCTAATAACAGCATCGCGCACGTCGAATTCTGGCCGTGGCAGGGTGACCTTGGATACCCACATGGGTCCCTTGATGCCAGGATCACGCATGCTATTTTTCTGCGTCTTATCGACTGGCGCACTAAAGGTCATGAAGGAACGAATAATGGATGTCGTCAATTCCGTGCGAATGTCTTGCTTTCCCTTTACGGGAGACATTTGAATTCCATGGAGAACGAGAGTTTTCAAGATCAACGGGATTCGGACTAGTAGCTCCTTGAGGAGGTGAATGGTATGTTTGAAGTCGCCCATCTTGAGCAGGGTAAGGGAGTGGCTTGGAGCACTGCTCCCGACGTTTTGGATAGGGGATGACAGAGATTAATCCCACGGGCCCGGAAAGCTTCCCTCGAGAGAACCAACTTGCAGACAAATCAACTGGTTATAACTCGTGAACTGGTCGATCTCTGAAACCGGATCCTTGGGAGTGGCGTCAAGCCGAGGTCCATTTTTTTGCGGGGTCCACTTCTGCCCACTTTCTTCTTGTAAAGTTGGGTTAAGCCAAGACTAAAAGTTGAGAGAGATACAAGCACATGATACTGTCCTCTAAAGCTAGGAGATCTACTCCGTCTAAAGGTCCCTACTAGAGTTTGAGGAGAGATATGTCCGATTTTTATGAACTTATGCAAGCCCTCCGTATATCTCCGGTTGGCAAAGTCTCTGTTTTCTGCACAAAGCCGACCTTGAACCAGTACGCCGTTGAAAGTTAAAATATCATAATATCAGATGCCCAAATCTAGCAGATCTAGATCAAGGTTGCGGGGAATGATCCTCCGGTCTCTCGGTATGGACTAGTGGTGCAGTCTCCACAGCTGCCGGATTTTCTAGGCGATCTCGCGCCTGTTGAGCTTCGGGCACTCCACGAGAACGATGGAGTTCTTTTTGATACACAGCCTCCTCTTCCTCCTTCAGACCCGAGCCCGTCGGATCTCTACGAATGAGGAAACTCTGCACCCGAGCGTCATTGTGCGGCATCTGAGCAACTGTGTGCTGTCGGCGGCCAGTCAAGAACCGCATCGAATCCTCGCTTACCTCGCGCAAACGCTGCTCATATCCCGAATTCAGTTGTCCAATCCAGGAAGCCTGCACGGCACCACCGAAAAGAACGAGCAGAACAACGAGCCGGGTAAAGGTACGTTGGTCAACGACGTGCTGCTGTTTCCCTTGATGGCGATTATTCCATCGTTCCCAGTCTTCCCACGTCGCATTTGCGTAGATGGTAGGCCCATAGTGCCCCCAATCGGCCGATGCCTCGGCCACGGTGTGATAGCGTTTAGGGTTGTGGTTCCATCCGGCTCCCGTTTGATCATAGGCAGCTCGTCTGGTCGGATCGGAGAGAATCTCATGGGCAGTGACCACAATATGATACCGCTGTAGGCGAACTTCGGGAGTAATATTTCGACAGAGAGGGTGCTCCTCGCAGGGCCGATCTGGATGGTAGATCTTTACCAGATCATAGTATCGTGCTTTGGAGTACGGGTCGTTGCGATGGAGGTTGAGAACTTCATATGGTGTGAAAGATGAGCTCGAAGGCCAAGTATATGGGTGATCCGAGATATCCGAAGCTGTGGCATAACCTCTATTGGACCGACATGTCCAGAGGCCGGGATACGAAGCACTGAAGCTCGTGCGAGTGGGTGGCAAAGCCGTAACAGACGGACTCAAGAGCTGAATACCGCCATAACTAAAGAGGCTGGCCTTCTTGAACATGGCCGCATGATTCTAGGAAGAGAGCAGGGTAAAACTCCCGGTTGCTCCCTGAAGAATTGGAATGAAGACGACAAGCATTGAGGGGATTCGTCCCCTCACAAGATGGTTTGGAGAGGGTCACGTGGGGCCGGAGGTCGATTTGCCGGATAATTCGTGACGATCTCCGAGTGGCATCATTTCACAACAGTCTCATTCCTACTCGTCTCCACATAATGGCTGGATCACAAGATGGTGACCGAGATCGTCGGCAGCGCTCGCCATCCAATTCCTCGGACCGGACCCGCGAACGCCGGCGAGACACCAGAGAGCATTGTAAGAGCTCACGCCAGCGGGATGATGACCGTCGAAGCTCTCGTCGAGACAGTCCTCGACGCAGATCATCGCGCAGCCCGTCTGGAATAGAATCTACTCGAAGAGACCATGAAAAATCTCGTCGGGATCGAAGCGATCACCCAACAGACCCTGCAGACGATGATCGCCGAAGAGATAGACACCGCAGCCATCGACACCGCGATGACCGCAACCGCGATCGCGATCGCGATCACGAACGATCCTCAAGAAGGCATCGAAGTCCACGACCTCGGTCTCGCTCTCCACGCCGATCAAAATCCCCAGCGCGCGCACTACAACGGCGCGGCCCCCTTCCTTCACAATCCGACGCCTTCACGGGCGAATTGGTACAGTCAGGCGATGCACCTCCACCCGAGAAGATCAAGCCCAATTTCAACCAGTCTGGTCGACTTGCAGCTGAAAGTAACACGGTTCAGGTCCAAGGTGGTGAAGGGATCGTCTTGAAATACCACGAGCCTCCGGAGGCCCGCAAACCACCCGCCAAAGAGGCCTGGCGATTCTACGTCTTCAAGGGAGAAGACTTGCTAGAAGTGGTGGAGCTTGGTGAACGCAGCTGCTGGCTGATCGGTCGTGAGAATCGTGTGGTCGACTTCCCCCTCGAACACCCAAGCTGTTCGAAGCAACACGCCGCACTTCAGTTCCGCTATGTCGAGAAACGGAACGAATTCGGCGATCGAATTGGCAAGGTCAAGCCCTATCTTATCGACCTGGAGAGCGCGAATGGTTCTCATGTCAATGGTGAGGCTATTCCCGCAGGTCGCTACGTGGAGGTCATGGACAAGGACGTCATCAAATTCGGGTTGAGTACCCGCGAATACGTCCTCATGCTGCCAAACTGAACATTCAGCTCCTTGCAACATGCTTCATAAAAAACTGGAACTTTACGACCATTGATGAAAAGATGTCGAATAAAAACTTGATATCATTATTTGTGATGTACAGTACAGAGACTATCCCTTACGAGGGAAAAATTATGCAACGCCCTCAACCCAGATGCTCCCGCTTGGCCTCCTTGGCCTTGCCCTCCACCTCGTGTGCCTTTCCCTTGGCTTTCCCGGCGAGCTCCTCAGCCTGACCCTTGCCCTTGCCCAAGACCTCGTGAGCATCACCCTTCACTTCTTGGGCCTTTGCCTCGGCCTCTGCACTGGTGGTGCCGACGGTCTTCTTGACCTTCTCGGTAGCCTCTCCTGTATAGCCATCTCATATTAGTGTCCGATTCTTAGTAATGTTTTTCCTAATCTTCAAAGGAGGAACATACTGCCGAGATCAATACCCTTGACTGCTGCGTCGGAAACAACCCGGTCGGCTGCCTTGAGGGTATCCTTGGTAGCATCCACGGGGCCCTTCTCCAGTCTGGCGGTAGTCGAGAGAGATCGCAGGGTCACTGACGCCGGGGCAGTAGTGATCATTCGAGATCGGACAACGGGGACAAAGCGTGCGGCGGACATGGTGTGTGGTGTTTGTATGAGAGTGAAGTCTTGAACTTGAAGAGAAGATAGGAGTTTGAGAAAATTCAATTAGCTTGGAAACGTTTGAAGCTTGATAAAGATGTAGAAATGTTTGAATGGTTAAATTTTGGGCGTGTCTATTGTAATTTATACCAGTCACTATGAATAAGTTGGCCTCGTGGTGGCCGAGACTTGGTAAATCGCTGACGTCACCGGCATCGCATTCCTGACGTCGACAAACGATCACAACCCTGCCTCCAGAACTTGGTTGGCTTGTTTGCTACTTTGATCGGCGATTGCTACTGGGGAAGAATTGGGGCTGGGTTTGATCCGGTACTATTGTCATTTCTGTCGTTCTCGTTCATCGGGTTCTAGATTCGGCGGGCTCTCATGAACCTCTAGCCGTGGAGCTCGGACTTGTAGCTACGGACCCTTTTAAGTGGACGCTCAGACTGGAGACCGCAAAGTTATACTAAACGTATTTGAACATTTCAAAATACTATCGTCTCTAGCTCATGCAGTAATAGGTTTTCCCTCTGCCAGTGCAAGACGATTCCGATGCCACTGGATCCATGTCAGCTAGCTACCAAGTCACATATCGGAAACGAAAGAGAACTTACCTTTCCGCAAGAAATAGGCTCATATAGAGCAGGATGATCCTCATCGACACACGAGGGCACAACCCGACACACCGAGTCAGGATTAAATCCCAAGAAAAACGGCATTGAATACCGAGATGTTGTCTGCCGATTATACACTCGATGCACCGTCGACTTGAACCGATTATTTGAAAGACGCTGTAAAAAGTCCCCAATGTTCACCACCAATGTCCCGGGGATAGGTCTCGCATCCAGCCACTCGTCACTCGCAGAGAGAACCTGTAGCCCGCCAGACATGTCCTGCCAGAGCAGGGTGACGCATTGAAAATCGGTATGCGAGCCGATCCCGACATCCGTCTCGATGTCGTCGGATAACGGTGCTGGAGAACCGGGGTAGTGGACGTATAGTCCGTCAGCGCCGGGGTTTGTTGTTACGGAGTCGAAGTAGTCTTCGGGCATGTCGAGGGCTAGTGCGAAGATGCGGATCATTCTGCGGGCGAGAGCTAAGCGTCGCTGCCAGAATTCAATGGTTGTTTCTCGGAAGCCTGGTACGTGCGAGGTTCCCTCCCATAAGAACTCGTCGTTGACGGAGGAATAGCTTGGGTCGACGAGGAGAGTCTCCGGGTTGGATATCGTTGGGTCATTGATGGGATTATAGCGCAATGTAAAGGTTTCCTTGCGGTCTAAGTGGCACACGTTAACTTGGAAAATGGTCATCATACTCTTTCCAATAGTGGACGCCCACCTCGTGTCTCTGATTTGTTCACTTGCGTACTTCCCACGCTATGAAAGCCAATCGCATTATGGGACTTCTTATTAGAGACCAACTCTTTCTGCTCGATCGGTTGACTGAAGAAAGATTGCGCTTGGGAGAGAGCACGGCCCAACAGCTCTTCCGAGATCCCATGATTCTTAATGTAAAAGAATCCCGTATTCTCAGCTGCAGCTTTGACTTGAGATGCGATAGCTTTCTTTGCTTCAAACCCGTCATCAATAGTGCTTAAATCGATGATTGGGATCTCATCTTCGGTAGGCAGTCGGGGCGGCGCAGTGGACACTCGACGAAACTCCGGTCCATGCAGAGTCAGTAACTCGACTTGAGTATATTGAGTTACTGTTGCCATGGCGTCTGCGAGGAGGATGGTAAATGCGGGGTTTGACTTGGACTTGGGGTGATTGAGGGGATGGCGTAAGCGGGTAGTTGCAGAGATCTATAAACGCGATACAGCAAACGGGGATTCCACAGATAACTATAGTTAAGCTAGCCAGTCATGAACTTCCACGGAGAACGCCGACTTCCTATAGATTGATTCTGGCATTTCATGATAAGAATGTATTAGAATGTCTATCTATTGATGAGTCTGCGTCGGATATTCTTCGGCCTTATCACCGCGACTCTCCCAGGCTGAGTGTTGACTGGCAGTTCTTATCGGCGTGGTATGCGTGGCGTAGCCCTAACTACCGCTAGCATCTTGGCCTTGATCTGCTTTTCCTGTTATCGCGTGCGTTCATGCTTCTTTATCAGATTGCGATAAACTCTTTCGCATTACCTTTCGATTACTTGAACGTGGTCGCCTCGAGAACTCAAAGGAGAATATCTCATCTCACCCTTGAAAGAGAACGCCGGACTCCCACATCTGGAGAGTCTACTATGCCGAAAACATCATGACACTCACGCTATCACAGTTGAATGAGCGACTGCTCGTCAAGGCCGTTGACAAAGATGGCTCTCAGCGTTCCGTGGACATGCTGGACAATGACTCCATTCGACCAACACCAGCCAAAGATCGAACATGGACTCAATTCACTTACATGACGTTCTGGTTCTCCGCAACGGCAAATGTTAGCAATCTGTACTCTGCATCTACGGGCATGACTATGGGCCTTACCATGTGGGAGGCCATTGCCTGCTCTTTTGGGGGCCAGATTCTAGCTGGATGTCTGATGGCGCTGAACGGTCGTGCTGGTGCAATGTATCGGATTCCTTTCCCCGTTCTGTGTCGGTCTAGTTTTGGCCCTTGGGGGGCGTTCTGGCCTACCTTCAACCGAGCAGTCATGTCAATCGTGTGGAATGGTGTGAATTCGGTTCAGGGAGCGCAGTGCTTATAGTAAGTACGATCAGCTACGGTGCAGAGAGAGAAAATTAACGGTGACGTTTTAGTGTCTTCCTACACGCCATCTTTCCTTCGATCGAAAATATCCCTGATAAGATGGGATCAAAGTCTGCTTTAACCTCGGCGCAGATGATGTGCTTTTTCATCTACTGGTACTGTCAACATTAGCTCTCAGCATACAATAACAATCACTAACATTCAATAGGGTCATCAACTGCGCATTCCTCGTTGTCCCCGTCCCAAAAATGAAATCCCTGGTCTACGCCAAAGTCGTAGTCTATTTTGCCGGCACCATCGCAATGCTAGCCTGGACCGTTTCTCTAGCCGGTGGCTCTTCTCAGTTCCTCCACATGCCTTCCACTGTCCACGGCACGGAGAAGAGCTACCTGATCTTGAAATTCTTTTGGCTGGGTCTTGCATCTTGCGGAACATTCGTGTCCAATGCAGCCGATCTTCAACGCTACGCACGGAAGCCCAACGATGTACTCATTGGTCAGATTATCAGCTTTCCCCTATCGAACTTGTTGGTTGCGATCCTTGGAAATGTGATTGCATCGGCAAGTAAAGCGATCTTTGGAGAGGTACATTTCCATTCCGTGTTAAAGCTTTCTGCGGCCTAGCTGACCACCAAAACATTCATGCAGTTGATCTGGAATCCCCTTGACTTCTTAGATAAGTTGATGGAAGGGGAGCGATATACCTCCGGTAATCGTGCAGCATGCGCCTTCATTTCGTTGGCATTCGTATATTCTACTGTTTTCTCTGCTATATTCGAAAACTCCATTCCGTATGATCTTTTCACCCCATCCGACTCCCATGGCAACTCCCTAGCTAATGAATCTGCAGCGCTGGAAATGACATCGCAGCTCTCATGCCGCGATACATCACGATCAAGCGAGGATTCTTCATCTGCGCTGGTAAGACCTTCACTTCCCCACCATTTCTACTGCTCACAATCAAACATAATATCTGCTAACAACTCGCCACTCAAGTTCTCTCATATGCAATCTGCCCTTGGTACCTCCTCTCCAGTGCCTCGGTTTTCATCACATTCCTATCCTCCTACCAAATCTTCCTCTCCGCCATCGCCGGTATTCTAATCTGCGACTACTACCTAATCCGCCGAGGTAACTTGAACATTCCAGCCCTATACACCGCACATCCAGAAGGTTTGTACAGATACTTCTACGGATTCAACCTATGGGCATTTGCTACGTATATCATTGCCGTAGCGCCAAATTTCTACGGATTCCTCAATCAGATGGGAGTCAAGGCTCCGCTTGGGATTCAGAGGTTTTATTACGTTGCCTATCCAACTGGGCTTTTGGTTGCCTTTTTAGTTTATTATGCTGGTTCTTTGGTTTTCTCGCCGAAAGGGATGGTGAAGGGGAGGGGTTGGAGGGAGCCGAAGGATTTTGTGGATGAGAATGGTCCGGCTAGGGAGGAGGGATATGCGATTGATGGGGTTGAGGTTGATGGTTCTGCCGCTGAGAAGGGGCCTTTTACTGATACAAAGGAGGTGGACTTTTGAAGTTAGTCCTTCAATAGTCCGGGGCCGGCCAATAGTTTTAATAGTTTCCATGCTTATACCAAGTGTTTCATCGGATGTTGTTACGGGTCATATTCAGGGTCGAATTCACAGGTCCCTATCTTCTGATTGTATATAATCTTAAACACTGCGCTGATAACATGCCCGAATTTTCATGTCCTTTCCCGGTTCTCGACCCAAGAACGCCTTTCCAGGTAAAGCAAAAGCGCCCATTAATGCCTATTCTCATTAATCAAACAGGAAATCAAAGATATTCATCCTCATCCATAGATACTCGATCGTCAGCCCACAGGATGGGCGCTTCATTTTGTGGAACCTCATTGCGAGGAGTCCACACAGGCTGTTGCGTCGCAGATGATTGTGACGGTACAACAGTCTGACCCGGAGACGTCAACCAGGGGAATGAGACAGGTGTACCATTCACGCGGATCTCGCCGACAATGTTGCTGAGCTGAGGCGGTTCATCAACATATCCATCCGAGATACCCAGCAGCTGCGCCGTGAGACGGAAGAAAGCCACGCAGATGGTGATGATAGGTGCTAAAAGCGATCCCAGATGAGACCAGCGCCAGAGCATAGTCACAGTCACAAAGGGGAACTCAGGCGCATCCGCTTGTAGACAATAGCCATTGCAGGTCTCGGAGATTGATGGATGGGCATATAGATCCCACATCAGACATTCGATGATATACCAGGAGAGCGAGACAAACGTAAACCAACCCAACTTGGTGAGTTGACGACGCTGGGTTATGGGATCCCATCTCCAGAGGCGAGGGAGAGGGATAGCAGCGTATACACGGCCATCATCATGAACGCATTGCTCGCAATTCTCACTGGAGTGCGACCGTAGTGTTTGCGCGCCAGCTTTCTTGGGAGAGGATGGGTTTGACACAATAGCGGCATCTCGGATAACGTGCTCTTCCAGACTATTCAGACCCTTCTTTACTTCATTGATGTTCCTCACGAGTGAATGAAGTTTATCGTTCAGACGATCAATATCAACTGAATCTTGCCCATTTGCATTCGCCAGCTCAAGTCTCTTGAGCACCTCTTGTTCGTAGGCAGCTTCTTCCTCTTGCTCGGTCTTGAGCTCAGTTTGGTCGTCCATGATTGCTTGGAGTGATTCAATCGTGTCATCTCCCAGGTCTAGAGTCTCTTTACCGGAGCTCACGTCCTCGATAACCGTTTGAAGGCCACTCTTGGGTAGCTTGGGTCGGATCACGGACGCTCTGTTCCGTTTGGCGGGTTGGGTTTCAGTAACGGGCTCTTCCGAAGCCCTTGGCTCAGGCTTTACTTCTGTAACGGGTGGTTGGACAACCACTGAGGGCTTCTGCTCCTGTCGAGGAGCTTCGGATACCTGCACAGGAGCTTCGGGTTCCTTTGCAGGGACCGATGGTAGGACAATATCTTTGGTCAAATCTTGAGGAATCTCCTTCACCCGTTCAGTCATTGGCGTGTCAATCCAGGCCCCGGTCACTCTGGGTGTCTTGTCGTAAATTCTCGTTTCAAAAAGCTTCGGTTGATCAGGTGTTTGCATTTGTTCAAGCTTCGGGCTTTCGGTTCGTGCAAGCTTGCGGAGCAAATATTGCGAGTCTCGTTTCAAAGCACTTGGCCTGTTCAAGCCGGAATTTTTAAAGACGACGATGGGCGTGTTTGGTACGTGGATTCCTTCACTCTGTGGTGCATTCCGGTCATGACTATGCACCTCGGCCTTCTTATCCTGTGGTGCTTCCTGAGTATGAAGATTGGCGGTACGTTCCCCCAGAGCGCTCCGGGCCGGAAGATTGCCTCGTTCAAAAGCCCCTGAGGACGAGCGGCCAGAATATTCCCGGGAGAGATTTTCTTCTGCTCTGAGTCGTGTATTCGAAGAATTATCCGGTGGCAGTTGTTCTTCTCTCCTCTCTTGTCGCTCCGATGAAGTGCTCTCACTGACGTTCCTGAGCCATTCAGAGCCGCGTCCACCTCGACTCCCCCAGGTCCGCGGCAAGTTCAACGATGGGCCAACCTCCCCATCATCCTCTTCCGATACATGGACCTGCTCTTCTTCCTCCCTCCTCTGCAAGTTGTCCGCCGTGAGGGCAGCTCGACTCCCGACCTTGGCTTTGCTGAAAATTGGCGAATCCTTGCCGGTCACACGTCGAAGTCGCTGTTCGTCTCTGGCATAATCGGTAGCCCTCCTGCGTGGCGAGGTTTCATTGGCAAAGCTCGCCTCCGAGAATGCGCGCCCTTCGAACTCTCGATCTCTCACTCGAGGCGACGAGCGACTCAACCGACTTGCTGGGCGCGTATCGAGTGGAGCATCCCAATCGTCCAGCGGCACGAAGTCTGCTAGCGTTCCATCATGCTCGATCCTCCTGTATATATCGGCGCGTTCTTCCGGTGGGTTTGACATATCCGACGAGGGCGAACGCGCACTAATGAAGTCTTGGGTTTGTCGGGGGCTGGTGGTCAACCCGAGTCCGGCGCCGTCGTCGGACATACTCGTACGCGAAGTAGCTCGATACGCGCCGGAGAGCGTTCCCGTGCGGAAGCTGGGTCTTTGACGCGTCCCGTTCTGTTTTGAGGGTGTAGGAAAATGCGAGTCATCGAGGTCGAATTCGTAACTGGGCTCTCGCGCGCGAGCAAAGGGCGACTGCGGATGGTGGTGACGCGCGAGTGCAGCTCGGTCGCTCTTGCGGGGAGAGGCCATGACGACGGAGTGAGAAGAGAAAGGCGGCTCTCCCGCAGAAATCAGAAAAAAAACCCTCCTTCAATACCTTTGTTGGTTGATATAGATTGAGTACATGAAATAATTCCACTGCAACGAAGTAAATACGGAGCTCCCGCATTCCCCGAAGGGGTTAGAGCGGCCCGCAACAAGCTTCATTAATCCATGTCTTTTCTAATTTCAACAACTTCCTGTTCTCTTCTGCCTACGAGTCGAATAGTGTAGTACCTTTTCACTGCCACCCTCGTGTCCGCAGCCACTTCTGCCTGCTGCCTCATTTAGCGAGTGCCAAATCATGCGAGCATCGCCTGCCGCCTCGCAAGTGACGCGACGCTGTGACATGTGACCCGCTCACTTGCCCCGATCATCTATCAGTCTCAAATTACGCGACAGATAAGAACCCCAAAAAAACTCCCGATCTGCCAGGTATACTGGCTCAAGGACACACAAACATACTGGTTTCTTGAAAGATCCGAACAATCACTACCAAGTCCGATCCCCATCCAGTTTCACACCAGCCATGACGAAATCGTCCCGCCGGAGGACGCCTGCGTCAACACCAGCCTCATCGGGCGCTTCGACCCCAAGTTCTGTCTCCTCGGGGCCTATCCCACCCTTCACCAAGGCTCCGTCCATCCTCAAGCCTTTCCTTGACCCGCTCTCCCCGGAGGAGGTATACCTAGTCCACATCGACACCTCAGCAACAGAGCTGAAATGGCAGACCTTCTTTGTCCCAACGGTGGTCAACGTGGTGGTGGCAGCGGTGATCGCTCTACGCGTATACTGGGGCTTTAGCACATACCCAGCGCTAGTAGCTATTCTACTCGGAATGGAGAGCTCACTGAGCGTGGACATCGCCTCGACACCGTGGACGGAGTTGGCACAAATCACCCTCCGTCGGGTCGGCACCATCCTGATCGACTACTACCTCGTGACCTTGTTCCTGTCTTGGCCCATCAACTTCGTACTTGGACCCGTCCACTGGCGCCGTGCCGTTGGCTTCCGGGACCGCGAGATCATCGTCCGCCGCAGCCACCGCAGCTGGAGCAAGAAGCTCGAGCGCAACAATTGGATCCGCGATAACGATGCGATGCGTGACAAAATCGTTGCTGCTGTGACACCCGAGCGTATTGGGAAGACCGGGTATCTACTCGTCGACGAGGACTGGAATCTAGACTATCGCGCCATGGTCCGCGCGCACGCGTTGGTCGACCTAACCCGTAAGGGCGAGGGCGTACAGCTGGACGAGTTCCGCACGGCCGTGCTGGTTCACACTGACTCGGATGGTTGGCTGATCTGGCGCGTTGCGGACGAAAATACACCCGGTGGACGCCAAAAGTCTGCTCAGCGAGACCAGATCCTGGCTTTCAAGGAGAGGTTGACTGCCATGGGGAAGGAGGATTTGTTCTTCCGCTGGGTGGAGCTGGTCCAGTGGGAAAGCTCGCAACCTGGTGGATTCACTCCGGAGAGGCAGCGCAGTGCTATGGTACAGGCTAAGCAGATGTTTGACGAGGAGAATGTGGATTTCACTCAGTTCTGGGATGATGAACTGGTGGGCATATCCAGCGCTGAAGAGACGGCGACGTGAACCCGTTCTCCCTTGGTGTTCTCTATTTGACTTTTGTTCTTTTCATATGCATATAGCTGGGCTGGTGTCACCATGAGTTTAACATCCTAACGGCCGTTTTCAGGTTATATACCCAGAGATTTCCTTCTGTAGGTCATCTTCCAAAAAGCTTCTACCTTAGAACCACCGACAATTAAGGCTTGCCTGCGGAATTTGTAGAGCCTATGTGTCAGATAATACGGAGGGCTTCGTAGAAATGAGGCTATGTACTATTGGGTATCTTGTCAAACTAAGTCCCATCAAGGGCATATAAATCTCCACCAGCCATGGAGGGGAAACAAGAAAAAAAACAATGTAAAGCAAAAAGGATCCAAAAAGCAAATCACAAGGAATATAAAGGGAAGGCGATCCATTTACTCCATAAACCCAGCCCAACGCTCAGGTTTTCAATGTCCTTCTATTGCGAAGCATCTTCGAATCGATAATCAAGGGACCATAGTTTCTCCCATGGTCTCCGAACCCCATTTTGACGACGAGTAGAAGCTGATCGAGAGGGCGGGGATGCCGGAGATGTAGCAATATCACCCGGATTGAGAGCCTGGCTTACGGAAATCGGGATTCGTGCTCGGTTCTGTGCCTAAAGAAATACCAAATTAGCGTGCTCGTTTTCTTAATCAGACCCGGGAAAAGATAGATCTGCGTCCTACTTTTCACGGGCCGAAGAGCAGGTCACGGCGCACCTCGTCGAAGATCTGGGCAGACTCGCGAGGCTGGGAGCCGGCATCTGCTTCGGCAGGGCGAACTAGATCGGAGGAGGAGTCGTTGGCCTTCTGCGAAGGAGCGGGCGTGCCCCGTTTCGAGTTTGAGCTATTGCGACGGCTCTCGAGACTTCTGGACAAGGTTTGGGCGACAGTGCTTTCTTCGGTGGGCCGTTTCAGACGAATGCTTCCTTTGGCGTCGACGTGGGCGGATGCAACAGTACTCTTAGCAATGCCGGGAGTCGCAGGGGCACCGGGCTTTTCTTCCGTGGCGTCCAGAAGGTACCAGCGTAGGCCGTCGGATAGCTCGAAGGGGTTTTCGTCAATGGAAGCGCCATCGCTGGCGTCGCCGAGAGAGCGGCGGTCTGGAGCAACGCCATTTAAAGACTTGGACAAGTCAACAACGCGCTCTTCGATCCTGCTGATACGGGCTAGTAGCCAATCCCGTGTTTGCAATTTATGAGAATCCTGCTCGCGTAGGAAATAGTGTGGTGCACCGACATTAAAGGCGGCCCAGGAGCGGATGGCTTGGTTGCGCGTAGGGAGGAACAGAGCGAGATCTCCTTCCTTAAAGGACCGATATGCAATCTTCTCGTGTGCTTCGCTTTGGACTCGGTGATACTTTTCGCGGTAGCCCTTGGCCTCTTTCTGCCACTTGCGGGCTAATATCTCAATGTCCTTGACACGCTTGACCACCACATCTCCGAAGACGGCGACATCAAAGTGGTTTAGGCTTTCCATGAAGGATTTGAACCTGGTCTCCTCCTCTTCGGGACTGTCGGCATGCATCCAGCCTAGAAGGCCCGAGTCTGGTCTTGCCGTTACAATGCCCGATTGAGCGATACTTTCGCCTAGACTAGATGATGTGCTGAGCTTGGACGCACGCTGGACGGTTAAACGACCATCTTGTTGGATAATTGCAAAGCCGAGCTGCTCTAGCATACGCTCCAGTTTCTCAACCTGTGCGTATAGTTTCACGGACAAGTCGTGAGACTTGGTACCTCGGGCATCCAGTCGAGCCACAGCGTGCTGTTCTGCCTTGGAGGCTTCCTCGACCTTTCTCTCACAGTCTGCCTCTTTCGATTTCAGATCCTGGGCCAAAGACTCCGCATCGGCCAGTTTCCGCGCCAAGTTAGCCTGCTTCCGTTCTTCCTCGGCAATCTGCTCTCGCAGGGCGTCAGAACCACTTTCGCCAGCTGAAACTTGCGACTGCAACGTATTCAGTCTGGAGCGTTCCTGATCTAGCTCAGCCTTGACAACGGCCACTTCCAACTTTTCTTTCTTAAGCTTCTCCGTCAATCGAGTGATTTGGGCCTCGCGGTCATCGGCAACCTTCAACCGTCCCTCGAGCTCATACTCTAGTTGAGATATTCTCTCCTCCAGAGCCTTGTTCTCGGTCGTCAGCTTCAAGGCACTATCCTCTGCACTCTTTGCATGGATTGACAACCCTTCAGAGAGTACCTCGATGGCTTTAATAATACCAGGAACGTCAGGAGGAACTGTTCCGCCGGGAGACAGGTTCATAAAGGCCGAATGTAGAGCATTGTAATGGTCTAGATCCTTCTGGGTCCATTCACCATGCTGACGTTCGAAATCTTTAATCTTCACTTGGAGACACTGTTCGTGCTGCTGAAGAGATTCAACCCGCTCGTTGAGATCCCCAACTGTGCGAGTTGCCTCAGCAGATCTATCATGAGCTGTCTGCAGATCAGTCTCAAGCTGATGAATCCGCTCGTCAACCTCTTGCTTCTCGTGCTCCCGGCTGTCAATAAGTCTATCCAGCTCTTCTTCCACTTCTTCAGTGCGAAGTCGAAACTTTTTGACCTCTGCCTCTAGGTATCTTCGCTCATCTTCAAACTCACGCTGTCGCGCTTCAAGATTCCCAATCAGATCTTGCTTCGTAGATTGAGCCTCTTGGTATTTGTCTGAATTTGACTGACGCTCCGCGTGGGCTTCTTTGTAAAGTCTTTGTACTGTTTCCCGTTCCACGTTGAGCTCCGCTTCCAGGGAGACAATGCGTTGGACCAAAGCTCGATCCTCGGGGGACTGCGTCATCGACACGCGCCTAGACGAGATAGAAGACCGCCTCGAGAGGGTGTCCGGGTGTGGCGACGCGGGAGAGAGAGGGAAATCATGCCCGAAATTGCCGCTCGAGGGCCGACTCATGTGGCTCTGGCGATGAAGAAGGTCTTCCAGTTTTCGAATGCGACTATCAGACCCCTTGAGTCTCTCCTCCAACTTCCCTTTTTCCTCTTGCAAACTTCGAACCATGTCATCGCCGCGTAGTAGCATAGAACTCCGACTCAAGTCGAAGACACTCCCGTTTTTGAACGCCTTTGCTCGTCGCCTTTGCTGGCGAGTTGGTGTATCCAAATCCTTGAATTGTTGGGCTAATTCATCTGCGATATTCGACAAAGAGTACTTATTCCGTAAATCTTCAATATATGTCTCAATCTCGGTTCGATTGACTTCCGGCCAGTTGTTATCTTGCCTATGGAGGTTGACCTCTATCCCTGGCGTTGTAGAGTCTCCAAAGGAAATAAAGTCGCCCATGGTTTTGACCCATCTCTTCCGGCGGCGCTGCTCTTCGTCTCTCAGAACGGCCATCTCTTCGGTCAGAGTCAACGAGTCGCTTTTAATTTTATCATTCCACTCACGCCGCCGTACCGACTCAATGAGAACCGATCCGTAGATCATTGGCATCTGAAACACGGTATGGAGAATCTCAAATGCGTTACTGTCAATCCCAAAATTGACAAGCTGCGCATGCGCGTCGGCAAGTCGAGACTCAATGAACGAGATGGTGTGCATGTGCTGTAAGGCCGTCTTCTCAGCAGCGGCTCGTCGGCGAACTGCTTGCTCCAAGGCATGGTAAAGATCGCCGCTGAGGTCCAACAATGACGGTAAAAGATTCTGAGTGTGGTTGAGGGCGAGCCGAGAGACGTTTGCCAGCATCTTCTGATTATTGGGCAAGCCAAGCACATGTTCGTAATCAGAGCCAATCTTCTTTGCAAGAGTTTCCACTTCCTCAAGCAACCCATCCTCGCCGTCTGCAGATGCGAGGACTACCTCATCCACCAAAGCTTGTGTATCCGAGGCGATATCACTGACGGCCTGTTCAAGGTCCCGAGCTTGTAGCGCAAAGCGTGGAGACACGACTGCTGCATCCGAACCAGCTTGCTGAACTTCATTTATATCGATAAAGTCACGTAGCGTTCCCGTATGCTGATCTTTGTCCTTCTTAGGAGTGGATGGGCGCCCGAGCATGGGGAAATCCGTCCGAGCTGGAATATTCTCCAGCGACTGGAGAGCACGCTGCCAACCGTCGAGAGCAGCCTGCTGCTCTTCGAGAAGATTATTGGCCCATGTCTGTGCCTCCTGAAAGCGATGCTCCAAGGTGCCCACGTGTGACTTGAGGTTCTCCAAGGCAACACCCACGGCGCGGTTGATGACATCAGTCCGCTCGTTGTGAGCCTTGACGTTCTTATCCATCGTTCCACAGCGAGCGGATAGATCCAGAGCCCATGTTCTCCTTGTCATGAACAAGTTCCGCCATGATTGTAGGTCGTTTTGGTCCGTCAACGAGGCTGGCGGGCTTTGTGGTTGGAATGGTTCTGGGGCGGGAAGCTCGGGGAGCTCAAAGTCGGCGGGTTCGCTCACGTACTGCCGGTCATAGACAAAGATTTCGGTCTGAGATTCCCAATATTAGAGCTCGCTCAGTTTCACCTTGGGATGGTCATGGGCCGTTGATCCGATATACAGCTTGCATACCTCGGTGGCGAGCGTTTGAGTCTTGACATTCTTCCCTCGTGCAGTCATCAAGATCTGCCTAGCAATCGGGATCGAGGTATTCCGAACGATCCATGCTTTCAAAGAATCCGGCCTGGTATAGTTAGAACAGCTTTAGCTGGAATCCCCGAGGTTATTCGGGGGCACGAGACACCCATAAGGCACCCCCTCATGGATCGGGACGATCAACATACGAAGCATAAGCAACCGGATCCGCAAGCAAATGCTCGCCGGAATGAGCAATATAGATATGCGGCGACATGATTCCCCTCCTCACCACCGAGCGCAAGAGCTCGAAAGACCAGGGAAGTGGGAGGGGAGATGGGTTTAACGAGGGCAAATCGGGAGGAGGCTGAAGCTCTCCAGGTGAGCGACTCTCCACCGCCCTCCGCTCATGGAGATATCACAAGGCACGCGCCCGCCCGCCCACGAGATCCCCCCATGGCGACCAAACTGGCCTCCGCAAGGCCTCAC